CCACCCCCCACCCCCCCCACCCAACCCCCCCCCCCCCCCACCCCCCCCCCCCCCCCCCCCCCCCCCCCCCCCCCCCCCCCCCCCCCCGCCCCCCCCCCCCCCCGAGACTGGGACCGTGAAGAGATAGAGAAATGTTGATAGAGAAAAGAAAAAGCATTGCCGGTGTGATTTAACAGCAGGAACCCTTTCGTCACAAAGGGCGTCTGAATTAACCGGCTGCCGGTGCCGGGCGCGCGCTCGCGCGAGTGAGAGCGACTTGAACAACGCAACGAAACCAGCTTGGATGGAACCTGGAACCTAGCAAACAAAGCATAGTCCGTCCTCAAGTATTTGTAATGAGTCAATCCATATGTTTGATGCCATCGCATAATTTTAAAAAGCTACCTAACCTTAGGTACCTATATATTATTCTTTGGTCATCTTTCAGAAAGATGATATACTTATAGAACTAGGTACACAAATCGTCAAAGCTCTTATCTGCAGCTATTTACAGCTGAGGTTGGGCATGATTACAAAGCCCCCTCGAGCCTAAATGACGCCAGATCAACAAGGATTCCCGTTGTTGGATCGTCACTTCTCACACCCTTGGAACCGGAGATCCTTAAGCATATGTCATATCACATAACATACACGACAAAAGTGACTTAGGTATTCTTAGGAAAAATCAAAGGTCTATTCGGTTAGGTTAGAGATAATTAAGTATTTTATTTTATTCCTAATCTGACTTACCTCCTAACTGGGTTTGCTGCATTATTCAAAACCCAAACGAGCTTCAGCTGGCTGGCATACCACACTCCAGATCAGTAATATGGAGAATAAACCCAAGGCATACGAACGGAATCAAATCGTGCTACTCCGACTTAACTTATCGTCTTTGTTCATGAGCTCTACAACCTGGTGGCCTTCCTGTCCAACCAGTCCGCTCGGTTGGGGACTACATACATCCGCCCCTATGAAGAGGTATCGTAACAATAACAAACCTCTACGTCACCTTTTTTTTCCTGGTCAAAAGAGAAGAGAGAAGAATTTGGTCCCTTGTGGGCCATCAAGAAGCCAGCTTCCACAGCCTGAAAAAAAGGGGGGGGTTAAGAGAAGAATAATAGCGCCGTGACTTCGTCAGGCTCAACGCGGGAAAATCGTTGCGCCGGTATCAATAAATGCTCGGAGGTATCAAAAAAGCGTTTAAGGAAATGCCAGAAACTTCTTTCTTTTTAGGAACGGAACCAAACAACAAACAGTGCCCTAGACTTTCAAGAATCCGAGCTAGAATCACAACCACAAAAATAGCAAAAGAGAGAAAATGTTAAAAAGTAGAAAGTAACAAGCAAAAAACTGGAATGCGTCATCTAAAGAGAAAAATCCACAATAGGTGTGGCTTGCGTTCCATCGAAAATACCTAGAGGGTCCATGCTCAAAAACGTGCATTCATCTACTGAGCAACCAGACTTAGAATAGGGGGGAATGTAAGTGGCGTGCACATCCGAGAAGGGAACTTGTTAACCAGACGCTCCACCAAAGAAAAAATCAACCCCCTCCTTAGGACCAACTAACCCTGGTATCCAGGATATCCACTGTTGAAACTCTGGGTAGGTGGTGGTTGCGTCCACGGCTGGTTAGGCGGCTGTTGACCGCGTCCGTAACCCCCCGCGCTCGGCGGACCGCCATAACCCATGGGCTGCGCTCCATAACCGGCAGGCGACTGGGCTGGCGGTCCACCGTAGGGTTGCTGCTGACCACCATACTGACCTGCTTATACACGTGAGCACGATGATCTAATCAAACATGAATAGAGCATAAATCGCATACCTCCATACTGTGGGAAAAATGTCGAGGGCGTACCTGGGTATGCAGACGCCTGAGCGCTCTGAGGGCTAAATGCCTGTTGTGAAGGATCGAAGCCCCCTTGGGCATTGGGGGTTTTGTCCTTACCCCACTATCATATATAGTCAATATCAATTCCCATGCGCTATGGATGAAGCTTTAACTTACACTGCACTTTAGAGGTCGACCGTTGACATTGTATCCGTTTAATTGGCAGATGGCCATCGCGGCATTCTCGTGGGTGTCCATCTTGATGAATGCAAAACCTCGATCGGCTTGGAATCGGGATTCCGTAACGTAACCAAAGTTCTGGAAAAGGGGCACGACATCGTTTTGGGTGGTGTATGGGGTCAGATTGCCAACATAACAGGTTGTCTGCCAAGCTGGTGTCTGATTGACGATCATATCGTAGCTCTGAATTCCATGGGTAGGGAAATGGTGGTGACCATAGGGGGTAGTAGGTGTCATGCCCATAGCCTGCATCGCCTGCTGTTGAGCCATTGAAGGCTGCCCTTTCTGGTTGGCCCAGTTGCATCGAATTGCACGAGAGCCCAGCCACTCTCCGTCCATCGAACTCAAGGCCTTCTCAGCATCCGCACGGTCTCGGAAAGCGACAAAGCCATAGCCGCGAGAACGTCCAGTCTTCATGTCCCACATAACACGGGCTTCCGAGATGGTTCCAAACGCCGAAAAGGCTTGCAATAGAACTTCATCGTTGACTTCATTGGATAAGTCACCAACGAAAATGTGGAAGTGGCCCGATGTGTCCTCCTTGTTGGTAGTATTGGACTGATAGGCCCAATTGACTCTAATCTCCTAAACTGCTTGTCAATTCTGTTGTTTCATTTCTTAAGGGAAAGGAGCGAAATCTTACAGCTTGGTGGACACGTCGACCATTTAATGTCTGCATAGCACGTTCAGCTGCACCGGGGTCATCGTATTCGACAAAACCATAGTTGTATCCCTTTTGCTTTAATAGTATTAGCGCATGCCTAGAACCATACTATCACGATGCAAGCCTGTGGCAATAGGGTTCCTAGAATATCACGTACGTTCTTGTCTGGAATTATCTTAACATTCTGAACATGCCCGGTAGTCTCAAAGATCTGGCGCAGGACGTCCTCTGTCACGCGAGGGTCAAGACCACCTACATACAAGGCGCGCTTGTTAGGTTCGGGAGCCGCACGTCGCGGGAAGGGGCCTCCACTGTTAGGAGACATAACTCCTCCCTTGTCGACAGCAGACATAGGAGAGGTGATGGCTGTAGGGATGGGATTGGTATTCGGCGGGATGTGGAGAGGCGGCGGAGGCATGTGGGTAGGATTAGCCTGGCCATTTTGGTTGTCAAATCCAGGCGCGCCAGCATTAGGCTGCGGCGGGGGAGGTAGCTGAGAATTGGCAGAAGTATCAGCCATTGCAAACTAACAATTAACTGAAATGATGTTGTAAGATGTGGATGAGATTGTTTTGCAAAATTAATTCGTTGCTGCGATGCGACGGAAAATAAGCAGGCGAAAAGCTGATTTGCGAAAAGATGGCGGGGTGCGTATTTTCGGTTTTCTGGATTAAAAAGGTCTCCTAATTCTTATCGACGTGGGAAATTGTCGTAGCTTCGTTTAATTGAGTTCGTGAACAAAAAAAAAAGAGAGGTGAGAAAAAGGTGGGGTATTGAAGATCGGATCCCGTTGCCACGGATTCCCTTTTCTTCCTTGAATACAATGGTCGCGCTCGTTGTTGGCGAATCTATCGGTATTGTGCAAATAGTAGGCGAAAATGCGCAATGACGGGTAGGAGATGGAAGAAGGCAAGTAAGTTTTTTGTTATCGAATGGAGAGATCTCGAAAGAAAAAAGGAACTCGTTCGAGAATGGGACGCCGATACAATGCGATTCTAGACGAAGACGCGCTGAGAGGAATAAGGTCTTCGCTACTCAATAAGAAGGGCCGCCTTGACTGAGAAGAGAGACCAAGAGTGACGTCCACTTTGCTGTCGGCAGGACTGTGATAGCGGCGGAGTAGGAACGTATGCAGAATGCAACGCCTTCAAGCGACCGGACGACAGTAAGGAAAATAACAAAAGTGAACCTTTGACCGAGGGGAAATAAATACGACGACTGCGACGAGAGGAGAACAAAGATGAGAAGGAAGAGAGAAAAAAGGAAACTGCCTTAAAAGGAGGAGTCCCCCAATTTTCAACACACGGCACCGACGATACGTGAGGATTTTCTGCACCACGATATGGGGGAGATGAGAGGAAGGAAAAGGAAGCAAACGAACGGGTCTCGCAGATGCGGCGTGGGATTGGGTTTTTTTTTTTTTTTTTTTCAGACGAGTTTGATGGATAAGTGGAGATGTCTTGTTCATAAATGTGGAGATGGCAGCCCTTCCGCTCGCAGATGCATACCCCCTAAGCTACCTACGGCAACCAGCTCTAGGTACGAATCGTAGAGAATATAGAGAAAAGTTTGGTTCAATGTTGGTATTTAATGTATTAATTGGTATTGTACCTGCCTAAAGGTAGGTGGTAAGTCCCGGAATATTGAATGATAGAGGGGTAAAAGCTGCTAAGCCACACAAAGCATTGACGAAAGAACATATCTGAAAGGCTGAGGTACATAGTAATAGGTAACTGCATAAACGTGGGGTGATTGACCTATCCGACCTGCAACTTTCAGAATTGCATGTGCGCTTACTTTAGGTACCCCACATGGTTAAGCCCGGGCTGTTGTTACTTTTATAGCTTTTATAGCCTTAATAGTAGTACTTATCAGGTATGTTTTATGCCTATTTATATTGGGTTGACCTAGGTATGGTTTCGTCAGATGATTGCTAATTTAACCTCTTCACAAGATTAATAGAAATTACAGGGTTATATATAATGCTATTAGAAATGACTTTGTCCAAAGGCAGCCATGCTTCCTCGCTGTGATGGAATAGTGATTTTTATGTATTTGTATTGTATTGTACAATACCTACCTCCATACATGCAAACATGTAGCGACCTAGTCACCAGCCACAGGCTAAGGAGTTAGCCGTACGCCAGCAGAAGGGACCAATACTTTTAGCAACCTTACATTTCAGCGCGGACAGCGACCAAGCTACAATACAAATCTCGGTTCATTCATAAAACATAAAACGTGAAGTACAAATATTTGAAAACACCTTCCAATCGACTCAGCTATTCACATAATACTAGATCATATTATAATCTACCCTCTATTTTGTTTCTTTTTTTTTTCATATTTAGGGGTACGTCACGACGCATAATACTAGCCACCATGGCGGCTCCCAAGCAAGATCCTCTTGAGATCTTAGACAAGATGTTTAACGAAGTCGTGAGTTGTTCAATAACAAGAAAACTTGAACCGGGTGACCTGATTAATAATATCATCGCAGCTGGTGCAAACTGGGAAGCATCTCAAAGTACATGCTAAGGATGGGTCAAGGAACGTTAACGCGAGCAACGCGATACGCGCAAAGACGTCAGATTTGCTGGCGACGTATCACTATGCTTTGGACGACCTCGAAAGCGAAATTGTATGCACTGGCCTTGTCATATAGCTCCTAACCACGTTCGGACTAACTTCGTCAACAGACCAGGGCCAAGGCTGTCATTCTGCGAGATCTGGAGAAGCTACGTGCAGCGCGAGCTCCCGTTCCTGCTCCCGCTCCTGCTCCGCAGCCTGTGGCACCACCGGCACCAATGATGGAATTGCCGTCCTCAGCGGCACACACCATGAATGCCCGGGCCGCCTTTGCTCCTAAGCAAGAGAGCAAGCCGGCAGCCCCGTTCCCGGACATGGGCGTAGGCATGTCTACTGACGTAGTTGATCTGACTTCGAGCGACAAGAAGCCATCGCCACGGGTCCCACCTGGTGCTATCAGGCCGCCCGTTAGGGCCACTCCCCCGATGAAGAACGAAGTAAAACCTTCTCCAAAACAACCACCCAAGCCTTCACCCAAGCTAGCTCAACCCCCCAAGGTAACCCCAGTGCCTCTGCCGCAGATCCCGCGGCTCCAACCTCCTCAACCACCTGCTATAGGGCCTGGCGCTACAACCCAACCGCAGCCGGGAGCTCCTAATGGTCAACTGAATAGACCGGTCCAAACTACACCGGCGGCGCAAGCTGCCCAGGACGCAACTCTTAATGCCATGTTACTGCCTGGTAATGTTGCAGGTGGCGATACTAACGCTGCAGGGGGTGGCAATGCGCTAGGTTTTACAGACATGCAATTCTCCCTTGCGCCATCGAACAATGAAGCATCGGGCGCTCCTCCGGCTCCAATGCCTGAATTTGACCTTACAACGTTCGCCCCACAAGAAGGGAGTAATAACACGTTGCTTGACACATCCAAGCACGGTAATACCAACACAGGGCCTGCTACAGGAACTAGTCAGAACAATATAACGGTACCCCAACATCAACCACAACCAAAGCAAGAAGACAAGGCCGATACAAACCTCGATGACTTGTTCAACCTGGACAATACTAACGGCGGGACCGACAACATGTTCGACCTGGGAGGCAGCGGTGTTAACGATACCGCATTTGACGATATGTTCTTCGGCAACAATAACGACACGGATCTGGAGCACTTTGACGAGGAATACTTCAACAGCTTTCAGTAATACCCAGGTCAGATAACCGGGTTGTATCATCATTCTCATCGAAGGAAATTAATAACCTCTAGCGGCTGGACTTGGAAAGGAATTATCATTATTAGTTGGCGAAATAGTAGGTAGAAAAGTTTAATCAGCGTTCTATAATATCTATTTGGTCCCATGTTAGCCTTTTGGTTCCGAATATTATTAGCCTTTAGCAACTTTACTTTTGATGTAGTAGAGTCAGTATTCGAAGTACATTATTTATATTGATAAACCCCTGGACTGCAAGAGTCTTGTCATAGGGGGAGGTTTCCACTCATGTGCAGATATGAAGTATACATATTTGCGCTGGCAGCATTTGGTAACAGGTTAATTCCACCAGGGCCACTTGGCTTATGTAATGATATGTAGGTCTTACTAACGTCCCCCTTTTCAGATCAAACCAAATACCTAGGTAGGCCACGAAATAGGGGTTGGGATTCCAAGCAAGATATTTCAAGGGAAGGATATTTTAGGGGGGTATGATCACAGGTCTCTATGGAATAAGATCGATGTTTTTTTTACGGAACGAAGTTGTTTCCATATTTTCTAGCCCACGTTGTCGCAAAAATGATAGGTACAGTACGGTAGTTAGGCGTTTTTTCTTGAACTATCTACTACTATATGATACCTAGGTACAGAGTGAGTCGATTCAGAGACTGATAACAATATAATTTAATAAAAATATATAACTATCAGAATCAGGGGACGTCGATGTGATGTTTCGTTCCTGGATACCTAATACTGGTTGAAAAGGGGAAGAAAACAGGAGGGAAACAGATCTATCTACAAGATTGGAAATGAGAATAAAAAAAAATTAAAAAAAGTAATAAAATAAAAAGGAACAATTGACAAAAAAGCTGGGGGCCCAGGTCATACCCCATTGCATGTTGGGCTGAGTAAGTTGGCCTGCTTACCGCCCATGCGCTGGAATCGAACCCGAACCGCCTACGAAAAACGCCTCGAGGAGTTATTTCTATAACTACTTCCGCAACCACTCGGCCAACGGCCACTTCCGACTTCGCGGCGGCGAATTAGGGGTGAAGGAATGGCTTGTTACTGCACATTATGAACTTAGGTTCCGGAGGGGGGTTAGATGCCTGGCAACCATGAGAATATGTCCTAGGTATTTTTGTATTCTTGTAGCTTGCTTGCTACCTGACGACAAGATTTATGATACCTGGGATCTCTCTCCTTGGTGCTTTTTAGTTATGATGCTACTTAATGAGAATTGCTTGTAGTTTCTGTCACCTTGCACAAGTGTCATGATATGAGGTCAGAAGCCAACTCCTGTGGAAAACTCATTAAATACCTAAAAGATGCTTGCTCTCTATAATTATTATTCCACGAGCTCTGAACAGAACCCAAGTCCATGGGAGAATGAAAAACAACTGCAAGCAGACTGTCACTCACCTCCTCATATATAAATAATCTCTATATGCAACCCATTTTTTATCTATATACGGATAAATCATGGCGTTTGACTTGCTGGATTATAATAAATATGTATCACGAATAGTAATCCTAAGTCATCCGGTGTATTTTATAAATATATGAGGGATTCCATATGCTAATCACCACTTTCTTCAAAAAAAAAAAAAAAAAAAAAAAAAAAAAAAAAAAAAAAGAAAAGAAAAGAAAAGAAAAAAAAAAAAAAAGAAAAACGGCGGACTCGAGCGCTTCACCGCGAAAAACCCTCCTGAAGTAACCATGTGGCCACGACACAGGAAGTTTGTTGCTCCCGGAACCGCATGACCATCAAGACGAAGCAAGCGGCTACGCTGCTCCAATTGCTAAGCTGCGCTGCTGTTTCCTTAGATATATGCCTTACGTAGGGTAACATCGCCTGGGCGACAAGAAAGAGAGAGTCCTAACCTGCCTGGTAGGTACTTGCATTGCTAGTTATAGACTAAGGTTATTTACAGTAGACCACATGTATGAAAGTTATCTTGTACTTATATATATCATATTTAGTCAGTATGTAGTTCCGAAGCCAAGATCGCCGCGCATGCGGTCCGCATCATATGACCTCCAGGCAGCAGAATAACGGACGGCTTATATAAGGAGAAAGGGGGCGGTGCTAGGTATGCCGCGGGGGGGAACTTTTATAACAAAAACTTTCTCTTCACTTTCTTCTCATAGATATTTCGAGATAATATTTGTAGCAATAAATCAAGCTCTACTGTGGGATGTAGGCTACCTTAGGTAGGTAGGTAAATAAAGGGGGTATCAGAACCAAGTCCAACTCGCGTACACCCAGGCGACTTACTCCGACTAGTATCGTCAAGCGTATGATCTAAGATTCCTCCTTCTCGTCCTCGTCTCTGCTCAAACTTCATATATATACACCTCCTATATACCCAAGAAGAATCATTATCATCATCCTGTCTTTACATAAAAATATTTACTTAGAAATCTCCTATCACCCTTAACTCACTCTCTCACTCTCTCTCCTCACGGCCCCTGAGTAACTTCGAACATGGGCTTCAACAACTCGGGCAGCTTCGGGTTCCTCAAGTTCTTCCAGTCCCCATCCAGCAACCCCCACCCCTCGTCCGCGCCCACGTTCCCCTCCCGGACGTAATACGAGCCTTGGACGGCCCACAGCGCCCACTCGCCGTCGTTGCCCGTGACGTACTCCCGCAGGCACTGGAAGTACGCGTTGTCCTCGTCGGACAGCCCGTCGTTCGGGCCGCCCGACATGCCGAAGCCGAACTCGGACAGGATCAGGGGCGCCGTGTAGTCCTTGCCCTGGGCCAGCACGAAGCCGTCGAACAGCCCGTACGTCTCCTTGAGCAGGCTGCAGTTGCCCTTGGCCAGCGCGAACGTCACGGTGAACGAGTACGCGTGCCACTCCCACACGTGCTTGCCCTTCCACCCGCTGACGTCCAGCGCCTTGTTGACGCGCAGGTGCGTCAGGTCCGTCGCGCTCTGCGTGCCCCCCACGATCACCAGCAGGTCCGGGTTCGCCCCGTGCACCCGCTGCGCCCCCTGCGTCATGAAGTCGTACCAGTCCGCCCGCCCGTTCGTCCCCTGCAGCAGCAGCTCCCGCACCTCGTTCCGCAGCGACATCCCGATCACCCCCGCCTGCGACGTCGACCACTTCGCCATCGCCTCCAGCCCGTTCAGCCAGTCCTGCGTCTTGAAGAACCGGCTGTTCCACTGGTTGTACCCGAACCCTTCGTCCCACCAGCCGTTGCCGTCGTCGAGGTTACCTAGGTACGTAACGCCGGATGTTAGGTTTTCACTACTCCATTTTCTTCCTTCTTGCCTTCTCATTACAGGGGTTGGATATGGCGGTGGGAAGACAGAGAAGGTATTTAGAATGTTCAGAAAAAGGGGAGGGGATTACTTACAGCACCAACTCGCCTTGCTGACGTGGTTATCCAAAATAGTCATAACGCCCCTCTTCCAGAGCGCCGCGATGACCGCCTCGTAGACGGCGCGCGTGGTAGCCCCGCTGACGAAGGGGTTCTTCTCGGCGACCTGGGCGTAGATGCCGTCCATGTCGCTGGCGCTGACCCCCGCGGCGCTGGCGGCGCTGGCGAAGGAGTCCGACACGCGGACGTCCGGGTTGAGCGCGTGGTCGATCGAGTACGTCAGGCGCACGCAGTTGAACCCCTGCGCGGAGATGAAGTCCGCGATGTAGTCGATCGACTGCTTGTGCAGGCCCTCCGGCAGGTTGGCTTCTTGGTGGCCCGCCCAGTTCACGCACCGCAGCTTGACACGCTTGCCGTCCGCGTCGAGGATCCATCGCGACGACGTCGATAGGGGGAGCTTTTGGGCCGCGGTGAGGGCCGCCGGGAGCACTGTCGCTCCTAATACGGCGAGGAGCGAGAGCAATCTCATCTTGACAGTGGCCCGCTCGGCCGAGTCGAATACAGGGGTTCGAGTCTATGTGTGTGTGTGCCGTGATACTGAATTATTTATCTCTGCACAGCTTAATCTAGGTTCCTATGCTCTCAGTCGGGCGTCAAGGGTTTCTTCTCAACACCAGTCTCTCGAGCAGGTGAGAATCTGGCTACACACATACAGCGAGCTAGGAACACGCGAGAGAACAAGATAAGAAAATAAAAGGAGCGACCCGGTGCGCGGATCTGCCGTCGTATATAGACAGACCACAGCAGGGAGCAGGAGCAGCTAGCTGGGAAGCGCGGACAAGGAAACCAGAACGTGGTCTGCCCACGTCCAAGACAGTAGTATCACGAAAAAGGCAGACCGACGACCATACAATGACGCCCTCCGCACTGCTACTATGTACCTGACCCTACCTTGCCTTGCATTGGCAAGTGAAAAACTGACCTTCCCGATCGAATTAGATAGGTTAATGACCAACGCAGCATGCCCCCCCGCTACTCCCCCCCCCCCCTCTTGAGCTACACCAGGGGAACGGTGGGAGCGACATATTCTCGCCACGAGATCGGTCGAGACCGAGACCATATCATAGCTGAAGGGTCGCACATCATAGGATAAAAAATGAAAAGAGAAAAAACGTGCCTGGCCCAATACGGGATCTCGAGTCGATGATCAGGTACGGTGGCACCCCTCATCAGATGCACGACAGGGGAAATACCTGCTTTGCTTTTGCGCCGCAGACGATACCCTTACCTTACCTAGAGGCACGCAGGGGAGCCAGAGGGATCTGCCGAGCCCGCATATACCTAATATAAACATGTATATATGATGGTCCGTGGTCTCTCTCATCCAAGACCATGAAGCTGGATCCAAAGCTTTATTTTTATTCATTTTTATTTTTTAAGAAATAGGAAAAGAAAAAAAAGAGAGAGAAAGTTACGAAAAGCAAAAACAAGATCTGATCGTAACCAAAGCGGCAATTCCCCTCCAAAAAAAAGCCAAGGTTGTCCAAGGTTGCCCAAGGTTGCGTCGTCGCGACACCAAGACATGGGTGGTCATTATAGCAGACCGCATGACGGCGACGGGTGATTGGCCGGTTTGCCGTTTGGGCGACCGTCGAATGGGAACTCCAAAAAATACCTACCCTGTCGAGCTGTGCAGTGCTGTGCAGTGCTGTGTGTTGTGCTTTGCAGCCGTTGGAGATTTCTCCAAAAGCCGGTTAGCCAGGGGTAGATAGGCCAGGAAGGTTAGTTTACTTGTTGCAAGGTTGTATTGCATTGTACGTATTGTCCTATAAAATAAGTGTAAGTGTAGGTAGGTGTAAGTGTGTATTCCTCTTGTAAATGGGAAGTGGAGTGGGGTGGAGTGGGTTGAACCGAAACGGCCTTATTTTCTGGTCAAGCAAAAAGGAGGACGGGACGGGATGAGATAGGATATTCAGGGTCAATGCGGAGAGGTCAGGGGAAAGAGAGAGCGCCACAGCTGAAAGGTTGTGTACCCAAATAGTAATGTAAACAAGGTAGGTGAGTGGTAAGTGGTGAGTGGTGAGTATGTAAACCACTAACCTCATGACATGAATGGGTTAAATACCAGCTGAGTTCCCACCTTGCGGTTCGATGGCAGGTTGCATCGTACCTAGCATTTCGACCCGCCGTCGTTGTCATTGTCGTGCTTTGCCCTGTCGTGCCCTTGCTCTACCCTGCTCTACTCTCCTCCCAAATCACCGAACCAGGTCCGGCTTCGATTTTACGCATTCAGCTATCGCGATCACCTGCTCACCTTTACTTTTCTCCCTCTTCTCCAACAAAATTCGCAATGGCTGGTCTGATAGGACGGGGACGCGGGAAAGGTCCGGATGACCTGCCTCGACGAGCCTGGCGGGTGATAACCTAATTCCAACCGGCTCTTCGTCTTCTTTTTTTCTCATGTGAAAATTACATACATAAAAGACAGGTAGGTACCTAACCTAATCTAAGATCCCCTTCCGTCCTCAAGGTCTAATATGTGTACCCAAAGTCAGTACAATGTTACCGTAGCACGAACATGCTATGTAGATCAGATCACGAAAATCACCATCGTGAAAGACGGCCCTGCCAGCATCGGTTTCTCCTAGTTATAGGAATAGGAATCTACCCACCAGCCAAAACCATCCCAAACCCAGACATCTATCTCGCCAATCTCCATAGTCCTTATCTTGATGTTTATCTCTTCATGCCTCGTGGCAGTTAAACTACCTGCCTACCTTACCTAACTAACAGTAAACGACCTAACCTAAAGTAACTAATAGGTACTCTCACCTACCTACCCGAGTAAGGATCTCTCGACGATCCTCTAGTGCGGTGCAGAAATTCGCCGCGGTTTTGTATTTATTTATTTTTCAGCCCCCTCCCCCTCCCCCTCCCCATCTCCATCCTCCTCCTCCTCCTCCCCGCCGAACCGCCTTCCGGATCGACGAGGCTATTTTAGGTAGGTCCGTACCTACATTAGGTACCTACCTACCTAACCTACATATATGCCACTGGAGCCGAGCTACGTCGATGGGTTTAGCTTTTGACCTAACCTATTGTTAGCTTCTGCTTTCCATCTTTAGTTTCCACTTCACATCTAGGGGTAGTTGGTTTACAGTGTTATAGTCCATGGGTACCTACCTAACCTATCCTCGCAAAATAGACCCGAATCCCTCGCTCTAGCTCGGCTCAGCTTCCTACGAGGAAAACAAAAAAAAACATGTCAAATTCTGGACATAACCCGAACTTGCCGAGCCGAGCTAAGTGCGGCGCAAACAGGTTGAATGGGTTTATGTGTACCTGTGGCTAACACGTAGGAATTTACAGGAATCTATCACCAGAAGATTCCCCCCTTAAACCAAAAATAAACCCAAAAATAAAAAGAACTCTTTTCTATATTATATTAACTAATATAGTCGCACACGGTAATTATTGCATTTTGCAAAGCTGATGGCAGGCAGCAGTACAGCAGTAGTACAGCAGCAGGGCAGCAGAGCAGCAGAGTTAGCAGTATCAAAGTGTTGTACAAACAAACCCTCGTCATTATCATACTGCAGAGCATGCATGCATGCATGCGATACAACACAACACGTCTGAATACTTCCTCCTCTTCTTCTGTATCGTAACACTTCGTTAAGGGGTTAACAACACCTCGCTCTCCCACCTCCCACCACCACCACCACCTCCTCCCCCTTCCCCCCTTCCTTTCCCTCCTCTTATACGATATTATACTTCTTAGCTCGTAGCAACCGAGACAGTAGTCGTAGTAGTATTAGTAGTATTACGCACTCCTCTCTCTCTCGCCCTGTGTTGCACCTGTACCTGTATACCTGTGCCTGACCATTACACGTTCCGAAATGCAGTCTTTACCGTATTGCTCCTAAAGGGGGGTATCACGAAAAAACAAAGTGCCTTTCGCATGATTAGCGTCATTAGCCTTCATGCTGCTGTTGCGGGCAGTGGTGATGGTGGCGGTAATGTCACGTTCCCCGAGGCGGCTGCCCGGGCTTCCAAGTCCCTGCGCTTGGAGAGCAGGCTCTTGAAAGCGCCCAGGCACTGCACCAGCGTCTCCTCGTCGTGCGCGCAGTAGCGGTACGTCTTCTCGTCCGTGATGACCTGGAAGCAGTGCGACTTGGTCTTGCTGATCGGGTCGATGTCCACGACGTTGACGATCCCCGAGAGCGATAGTATGAAGGACGCCTTGTACTCGGATTCGTCCTTGTAGAGGATGAGATTCCGAGGTCGGAGAACCGCCCACCGGTTTTTCCACTGCTTCACACCGCCTTTGCTGTTGAGCAGCCACAGCCAGCCTTGCCAGACGATGCGGTCCGGGTCGTTCTCGAGGTTATTCAGGCCGCTGAGTTGGCTCGCATTCCTATGCCACAAATTCGGGCGGTTATTGGAACCGGTTTCTATATGCGTCCCCGACGTCGTGGGCGATCGAGCACCGAGACTCTCGATAGACGCACCGTGGACTCGTCCTTCGTTATCGGAGATATCCGAATGGGATGCCAGTTCGTTGCCAGATAGACCCGAATAATCGTTGTGCGAAAGTCTTCTCGTAGATTGCGCAGATCGTGACGATCTCGGATCGACAGGCTCGGGTGAGCTAGAGATGGGTCTTTCGTGATCTTGGGGTGTGATCCGCGTCGTTCCCGACCCATTCTGCAGCATACCGACGGGAGCGAACGTCTGTCGGCGAATGATAGGACTTGCCAAGAACATCTCTTCTTCCTCTTCCTCGATCTTAGCATCTTTCTTAATTAAATCCACCCATTCTTGCGCATCCTTCGCACTCGGAGCCTCGAAGTGGTAGTTCTTCGCTGGAGAGAATAGACCGAAGAGATTATGACGCTTGTTCTTGGGGTCTTTGAGGAGCGTAACGGCGGAGAGTTCCGAAGTGTAGAGCTTGTGTCGAAGCTTGCTCTCCTTGTCTGTCTTGTATATCGAGAGAGCACTGGGTCTAAGGACAAGATAAACGGATTTCCAAGTCTGTATGATCTCATTGTCTTAGCGCACTGAAAGCTACAATATTCGGGGGCAGAATGATGGTGTAGTATAGCCGCTCACCTTGGTCTTCTGGGTTCGCTTCTGGACATAGCCGCTCTTGAGCACACGGTCGAATTCGAAGCTTCCATTTTGATTGACTGGGCTGGCCATCGGCGTAGCAATTTGGTTTCGTAGACGATTAATTTGGGAGTTTGCGGGCGCAGCCATCGCGGATGAAGGAGGAATGCTAATGGTCGCACCGCGACTTGAAATATTGGTGGGTAGCTCGATAGGTGATTGGGTCGCCGTCTCAGCCATCGTAAGCTCTTTGGGGTCGACGCGTTAAAACAAGGTCGATATCTAAGCTCCGAAACAGAATGATTTATTATTATCTTTTTTCTTTTTTGAAGTATTAGATTAGTTGAGTCGACCTCGGTCTAATTACGAATAACAGTAACGTGTTGTTTACACCAAAATATCGTATGGAAATCGTAATGTCAGGGGGGTAAAGCGGATTTAAAAGTCGGAGCAGCTCAAGAATAGGTAGTCGACGCGATTCATTGCTGAACAACAACAAAGTATTGTACCACAAGGTATTAGCCCGACGAGATAGGGAAGTCAATTAAGAATGGAACTCAGACTGGTAAACCAGCTGGCAAGGAAAGTTCATCGAATCAAAAAGTCGAAGAGTATGCGAAAAGAGAAAGTGAGAAGTGAGAAAGGAAGTCGGAGGAAGAGGAAGAAGAGGAAGAGGAAAAAGAAGAAGAAGAAGAAGCTTAGAAGGTGGCCGTAGGTAGTTGGATAACCAATAAGGTTTAAAGGCGCGCCGGAATGCCCCTCAACTCATCAACAAGATTCAGGGCTATTGCTCAATGCGAACCCTCGATGCACAATTAACTTTTAAGAAAGTGCTTTTAGGAGGAATGAATCGCGGCTATAATGGCCCAAACATGAGCGAATTAGCATGAATGCGCATGTGTGTGAGAAAAGGGTACCTAGGTAGGTAAAGAGTTCGCAAGAAAGTGTAAGAATTGAATTGCCACAAAAGAAATACGATTGGTCAAAGTGAGTCGGTCAAAGTCAAAATGGTAGGTAAGAGGAACCTGTTAGATGTGTTGTAAAAATAGAAAAAGAAGAAGCTCGTGGAGTTGTTTTGGTGTAATAACAGGTGTGTAGGTAATAGGTACCTACTGTAATGTAATACATAATAATACCTAGGCAATAAATAAATAAAAAGTTCGGGTTTCTACCGGATTGTCGCACAAGCACCGCCTTTCTGGAACCCTTATACGTACATAGTACCTTTTTTTCGGTTTGTTTTTTTCGTATTAAACTGTAATTAAGCTCCTAAAAGGTAATAACGCCAGCTAGGTTGTGCTAGGACCAGGTGTTTCAGGAACTGCCGGACGCTAAGGCCCTAAAACATCTTAATAAACTAGCCACCTAAGCTGCTAAGGGATCTCCGTGACGAGGCTAGTGATCGTTTCTTGTGGCTGTATCACCCAATCACAATCACAGCTCGTATGTATGTACGTAGCCCTACGAGTTACAACCCCATTGTATGCACCATTACGTATGTGAATCCTTACAAATAACAGCTTTTTTTTTTCTTTCTTTTTCTTACACGCTTCTTTCTCACCCGCATGTTCCGAATATTTCTGGAATGTGTCAGGTAAAGTGCTTTTTTGCTCGTAAAGGATAGAACACACTTTCGCTCTAGCTAACTACCTGGGTGCCTAACCTAATATATATCATGATGATGAGTCTCTCACATCTGTATGTATATTTATAGACGGAGATATACTCCCTATAAGACCAACTAATATATCCATTACTACCTAAGGTACCTAAACTAGCCTATTCCTACCCCGTATGCTGTCCCGCCCCAGCCGCCTTCTCCTTGCTCACATCCGGGTCTGGCCCTTCTCCCGCCTTCGACCCGGGCCCTTCGGATCTGACGCCTGTGGACTTGCTGGGGCTAGGCTGTGGATCCGGCTGCTTGGCGGGGTGACCGCGATCTTGGACCCCCGACGACGCCGTCTTCGTTGCCTGTTCGCGATGTTCGTCCTTCTGCTCCGCGGACGGGTCGTTCGACTTCTTCGTCTGGTCTACCACCACCACCGTATAGCGTGCTGCGCTTGTCGCGAAGGGCGCCCGGGTTGTTGTTATTCGGGTGCTTGGGATAGGTCGTCTACCCCCTCGGTAAGTGGCATGCTGCCGACTGGTTCGAGATGGGTCTAGGCGGGGGAGCTTGAGAATCGACTTCATTTTCTCTGCTTTTCCTCTCCCTCTCGGTTAGCGACGAGAGAATTAAATTTTGTAGTAGAATTTGTTTATGAATTTGTTTTACTTGGCCAGAAGATGAGGGATGATTTACCTAGAATTTAAACAAGTCCCTACCTACCTACATGAAGCTGGTGAGGCTCACTAGGATGATCGTTCTGTCACCAATACGTCAGCATCTCGATTCTTAGATTATTAAATAATCTCGTGGCCTGTTCCGAAGCAATGACGTCTTAGAATCTAGTATACATCATGAAATTCCATTTGCTATGGGTTACACCTTCTATCGTTGCATTTATCGTGACGACAGCCTATCTACTTATTATACGATGAAACAGATATGCAAACACGCGATCTCAAGTAATTGTATTCTTTTCATGTGGTGGATAAAACAGGCAGGCAAAAACCAACACGGCTTCAAGTTAATAGAACCATCAAAATAGTATCAGACAGCTTTTCTAGACATCGTTAACAACCAAGAATAAAGTATTAATGTAAATGTCGTAGGCCAGGCAACCAGTACCAACAAATATTCTAATCTAACCTATACGGGGGTATCAATCCTCTCTCTCTCCCTCTTATCCCATCGGTACTCTCTCTTCTCATCCAACGTCCAGTCTGAAGTCTATAACACGGCGACTCTACCTTCCCGTGTCCCTTCCTATTATCTACCTCCTAATCTATTAGAGATAGGCACCTACCTACCCATCGAGCCGACAAACGCGGTCTTCGAAACTTCTAGTAAAAAGCAGGCTGGCCTTAGCAAGCATACTGTGTAGACATAAGCAAAACCTTACCGCACCTTACTTCCTCCCCTTCGGCGTAGCAACCCTCACGCCCCTTGCGCTCCCCCACACGCTTTCCGATACCTTCCGCGGGATCTTTCGCCCGCGGAGCCTCTGGTCGATAAGCCACATCCCGACGACGAATTCCGTCCGGTCTAGATATCCGCGCCCGCGTCTGTCCACCAAGTCCCACACCTCGGCCAGCTCGTCCGGCGGCAGCCGGCTGCGCGCCCAGATATCGCGCACCACCACGTTGGCTACGACTTGGTCCAGCTCTCTTTCTTTACCGTTGGAAGCAGAGGTGGGGACGGATAGGGTATCCCCGTCAGATGGCACTAGAAGCAGGCCGCGGTTACTCGCCCATACGCCTTCGTACCGCTTGCGCTCTCGGGGCGTGATCTCCTCGCGCCAGCGGCGGCGCTGGCCTTCCTGGTGTATGTGCTTGTTGCCGCCCAGCTTACCGAGGGGCTTGTGGCGCCGTGAACGAGCGACCTCTTCGTCATCCGACTTACTTGGGGGATGACGTAGCGTCTGGCGCATATGCGGTGTCTGCTTGCGGGATGGTGGTTTTGGTGGCGGCGTCTTTGATAGCGTTATGCGAGACGACGCGAGAGAACCGGCCACAATGGCGTCTGTGAGAGACTCCAGGGGTAAGTTTGGAGAACTCGCGTGCGACTGCTGTCGAGGGGGAATTGGTGGACGACTGGTAGAGGTGGCCTCTGTAAATATAGTCCGGGTTGTTAGAGGCCGCCTTAGTCGTACTGTGTTAGGGGTTGATGGCCGAGATCTGCTTCTCTCTGGGGAGCTGGGGTGGGGCGTTGGGACTGATGAAGCAGAGACGAAGGTATCATTAGATGAAGTTGAACTTCGACGAAGGTCATCTTCTTGAAGGGGTGGTACCGTGGCTTCATTTGAGGGAGGTGGGTATTGCGATCTTGGTCTAGATGCTTGTTCTGGCGGCACTGCGTCTGGCGCTTGTATATCATTCAATATAACCTTCTGGGATGTAGACCGTGTTGGCCGAGGGGATAAGATCACGGTATCCGCCTGCCTAATAGGTTTTGGTGGCGTAGAAGCGCGCGGTTTACCGGTAGACTCTAGAGTCCTAGGTTGCAAAGACGCATGCGGTTTGTTCTTCGTCCTTGCTGGTGGAGGAGTAGGGGGGCGTGCCTTTACTTCAACAGCTAAGTCTTGAGTCTTGCGACGTCCATCCTGAACCAAATTTGTTATTGAAGCTGAAGGAGATGGCGTTCTTTGCCAAGCTATGTTACTGGCTAATATTGATGGGGATAGGTCACTCGTAGATGCAGAGCTCGTAGCCCTTGGAGGCGTTAAAGGTCGAATTGGAGGCTTCGTTCCAAGTAACTTTGAGGTATCCGGTACTTCTGTGTCTTTCTTGACGGGATCTGTATCATCTCTTTTCTTTTCGAATATCGATATGAGGGTGTTGGTAGAAGGGATTGATGTCATATCCGTCGTTAAGTCAAGGCTCGTCACTGAACTGGCACCGCTGTCGGCATCGGGGTTATGTTTCGGTTGTTTTCTAACCAACTGCTGGGCGTATGGATGCGATTGAGCTGTCTGATGATGGGTAGGACTAGTAGACCTGCTGGCGGCTAGGGTGGCAGCTATGAAAGATGGAGAACGAGGATCTGGCACGGCATGTTTGGTCGCAATCCCCAAGGAAGAGGAAGCACCATGATTGCGATTCAAGGTTGATTGTAGGTGTTGAACCGAAGGTTGATTCTTTATATGTTGTTCGTTTCCAATGCTGTTGCTACCCGTGTTTTGTCGGCTGACTGCTTGCGAATGATCTCGCGAAGCTGAGGCTGCCGAGGTTGCTGCGATAAGCGCACCATTGTCGAGGTTTCGAGAAGAGGTCGTGTTTGTAGGTAATTGTTTGGGTGTAGATTTCGGCATGGATTTCTGGAAGGCGAGAGAGGCGCCTTTCAAGGCGGCATTGTAGGAGGCATTGTCGTTATTTTCGGAATTATTTGGCGGCAATCGGCTCCGATTAAGGGTCCCTGATTCATTCATGAGGCCCGTTGATAGGAGGAGACCGCCTAGGTTGGAGGCTTAGGACAGTGACGTTTCATTTATAGGCAAGGTATAAAGCTATTAACGATATTTGATAAAATATTGTTGCGCAAATGGTGAGACTGGAACAATAGCAGCTTCCCACATTGCGGTTGTAGAGTGGAAGATTAAAGGCAGTTGACCGTTTCGAAGTTAGGGGGCTTAATGGCGTAACAGTTAGGAGGTACATGTTAGTAGTAGGGCTGAAGCCTGAAACAAGTCCACGCTAAAGAAAAACCGGTTACCGATATCTGGGGTCTTGGATCAGGGGTACCTGCACCTAATGAACCTTGCTGTGCTTCGATGCCTCTACATTATTGTCACATGACATAATGTATTTACACTTCTCCCACTACCTAACCTAAGTGGACCATGTACAGTTAGGTAACCTTGAATTATGCACTCAGGCAAGTAGCAACATGAGCAAATCGCCGATAGGCTCAGTATTAGCAATTATAAATTAACTAGGTGCCTAGACATTAAATACGGTCATTTTCACTTCCTCCTTTACCAAGCTGTACTTGCTTAATGATTCAAGTTTTTTTTATAAAAAATAAAAAAAATTTGACCAGCTTCAAGCTGGCCCTTTATTTCAGCTACGAAGATAGAAGCTGGAATATGGAATATGGAATATGAACCAGGAAACATGCATAGTTATTTGCTATCCATCTTGAACGCCTTATGAACCGACGCCCATTCCAATACTCCCGCAACCCCCCCTTAAGCTGCTTGCCTGCCTTTCGCCTTCACCCCCCCTTCCGATTATGTTCCAACAAGGAGTATGTAAAATCAGGCAAATCAAAGCCACCATGAGTACGACAACCCAAGTGCTATGTGCTATCGGCCGGTCTTGAGAAACGTCAAGCTCGTCAAGTTAGGATTCCACCTAAGTGGCCTCGCGGCGAACGACATCATAATGCAATTAAAAGCAAATACAAGAAACGGAATAATAAGGAAGAAACAATAACCAGTTCATGGAAATCAAAAACGATGCCAAATCATCATCAACAAAATTACGTAAAAGTATCCCGAAGAGCGCCATCGCTACCAGGTTGTGAGAAGCGTCACATAAATCGTAACGGTCAGTCGCGTAACTTTTCGAAGCTCGTAAATGCTCGTTATCGCTCGTTATAGTCTAGTGGGAAGACTAATGAAATGCTCAGTAGGCATCTTCATCAGTCCATTCACTACCCGAAATGATACGATTGCCTTCAGCATCTATCGTAACGTTGCCAGATTGCAACTGGGGTGGGATCCCTCGATACCGCTTAGGTATGTTTGCTTGCTGGCGCGAGTAGGGGTCTTCTGGTGTAAATCGTTTCCCTCTCGCCGCTCGTACCTTGGCGTAATACGCATCAGATGCGTCTGCCTCCGGCTCGGAATTATCGTCATACGTCTCCCAATTTTCGGATCCAGTTACTACTGTAGACGTATTTGAGATCTGCCTTGGAGGGGGTGCTTGGGGGTAGGATGATTGCATAAGTCGCTCACTTTGTGCAGACATATGCGAATCATGATGCGACTGGGATCTTGAATAAGAATGGTAGGACTCTCGCTCGTATGCTCGATCATCATACACATCGTCCGGCTCAACAGCTCGGATATGCGTGCTCGAACCTAGTCCAACGTTTCGGTAGGGATTCACCGGGGTTTCTAACTCGGGAGGCGGGTTTAGGTCTCTCATCTTCGGGGGAGGTGCTCGCGAGAGAGGATGCCCAGGACGCAGTATACTTTGAGCGCGTGACTCAGGCCGAGGTCTTTCGGGAGAGTTATTACCGTACTTGAGATTCGACAAAGGAGCACGGGCTGGTATCCTAGATGGGCTACCCTTCGGATCCTTTGGTCCTTGCATACCAGGAGGAGCTTTCCTGATCGTGCCATTGCCATTACCATTCACCACTGGCGTCTTTGATCTTGGGAATGTACCTGCCTTGCTAGCATTGCTATTGGCACGGCTCGGCGGTTGTGCTGACTTTTGCGCTTTGTTTGCTGATGGTGGAGGGCCCGCAGGGGTCTTTGATCTTGGACCTGGGGCCTGCTTTGGGGGTTCTGGTTCTAAAACATCTAGGTACCTCTCTCCGTACACGAGGAATGGGCGGCCATATTCATCCTCCCATTGCTCTAGCATCTTGGCGAGATCTGCAGCAACTTTAGGGAGCTCCTTGGCGATTCTCTTTCGCATCTTCTCCTCTCGTAACAATTTTCCTGGATCTCGCCTTTCTCCCTTCTGGCCACGCATCATCAGTCGGGACGCATCTTGGCTGGATGCTGCAAGCTCATCTCGATCATGAACAAGTGTACGGTGCCTCTCAACCAGGGCTAGAGTAGGAGCTCGCTGTTCCTTTAGAGACTCAAGTCGCGTAATCTCACGTTCGTGGGCTTCTAGCAGCGCATCGCTGTAAACATCAGAGAAAGCCGGTGTAAATTCGAGCATCTCGTCCTCTGAGAAGTATAGCGCATCCCATAACTCTTGGAGTTTGCATCGCGCATCTTCCACGAAAAGGTGCAAGTTCTGTTGCTTGAGCTCGCTCAGTCTTGCTAATTCATCCTCAAACTCATTGATCTGTCGGATACCACAGCCACGGTTGCCGTTCAGGAACGCCTTACGTTCTGCTTCGTCAACACCAAGCTTCTCCCAAAGAGCTGCGACGGATGTCTTGAGGTCTTTGAGACGCCTTTCGCGATTCTTCTTTTCATCTGCCAGTTTGTCTCTCTTGTTGCGGAGTCTAGCTAGATCTTCTTCATGCAAACCGAGCTGCTCAGGGGCATCACGATAATACTTCACGATCGCACCATCGGTTTGAGCTTGAGGCGTACCGAGCTCGGCCCATAGCTGGATAATGTGTTCCGATATGGATTTTACTGTGTTTACACGTCGGGTGTATTCCTCGTAGACTCTGGTGAATTCGTCGTCTAGTTTATTAACGTAGGCGGGGGAAAGGTCGAAATTCGGCGGGATAGACTGATTCGGCCCGGTGGGTGGCAAAGTAATGTTTATGAATGTGGGCTCCAGGTGGGAGGAATAAGACTCGAGCGCTTGTACAAGTTCTGCAAAGTCGATCAATACAAACTGCCCACCTCAATATTTGTTTATGCGCAGTAATTCAAATCAACTTACTCTTAACTTGCTCGAATCGTTCACGGTGAAGTTTGCTAATTTGCATATGTTTCTCTTTTAGCCCCGTCAAGCATCTTGTGAGCGGGTATGTGACTCGGAGATCGTCGCTGTCGGGTGTGAAGCTGCGTGATGATCTGGGGCCATCAAGCGACGCTTCCATTTGGCGGATTAAGGTAATCAATCTTTGCGCCTCTTCGACTAGATCATTCTTCTCCTCTGTCACCTGCTTCACTTGGTTGTTCAAAGTCTCCGAGAGGGCTGCGAAGAGCTGTGGGGTTTCCCTATTAGTCTTCGTTGACCCCCCTGGTTATAGCATGGGCTCACCTCTGATTCTCTGTTTTCGCGATCATGGCTAGAAACACCAATCTCGTCGAAGAGGCCATGGAGTTGGCCGATTATAATATTAACCTGCTGGGAAAGGTAGCTCGCGTCCATCTTGCATGCGATGCTGAACAGCAGATGGCTTAAATGCCTAACTGGTTGTATTCATGAATTGTAACAAATTTTTTGTTGAGAAGGTTAGGCAGATATCGCAAGCGGTGACGCACTGGCCTTACACGCAGATTGTGGTTCGATATCACAGTCAGAGAATCTGGTCAAGTTTAAAACGAATGAATGAATCTTTTTTTTTTTCTGGTTCGGCAACGCAACCTAGAAGCTTGGTGAGGTCAGTCGGCGCATCCCAGGCGATCAAGTTACGCCAAAAAGATTTCGTGCGTTTTGCATGCGCAAGCGGCCTCGGAAAAAAAAAAAGATAAGAGTTTGTAGAGGATCAAATGCAAATGCAAATGCAAGTGATTTCGTAGGTTGATAGTAGATAAGATGATGTGTCTCTCTTTTAGAGGCCGATTGAGACGTTGTCTAAGAAGGCAATATGGAGGGGAAGATGAAGGTAAACCCATTAAGGCAGATCAACAATCGAACCACGAGTTATTATTTGCCAGTTTCTCCCTCGACGCTTCCACTTTTCATTACATGGGCTGTCACCACGGCAACTGCTCATTTTTAGCTTATGTTTAGCTCTTGTTTAGTCCAATGCGGTTGCTGCCGTTTCATATTTTGCCCCACCCCAAATCAAGATTTCTTGTGTACCCCTATCGATAAGCATCGGGTGCCTCCAATCAAAACAAATGTTAGTTTCCGAAAGGAGGCATAATGGGCATAAGCAAGCATAGGCCGGCATAAAGCAGGCATAAGCAGACTAAAAAATCCGATCCTATCACATACCTTAGAGTATGTTTGGTCCTGCGAAGAATTGCATATGGCGCATCTGCAATGCAGGCGCCGAGGCGAAGGATTGTTGCCCGCATGTCTCGGACCTGGGCCGTCTCCTATACGACCTATGCAACATATTAAGCCACAACCTTCTGGCTAAAGATAAAAAAAGAAAAGGAAAAAAAACAATCCGGTACCTATCCTACCTAGGTACTTTTTGTTTTTCTTACGATAGCCAGGTTGACATGCCTCAATCCTTGCTGTTGTTGTGTAGGTATCAAGAGCTTATTGTTTATATGAAGAAGGGAAAAAAAGTAAGACTGCATATACGTATATGTTGATCAGATTATTTCCGTATATATATCTACTAGGTAATTGTACGTCCTCCTTTAATATTAGTAGTTAAGCTCGATATGTAACTTGCCTCGACCCTGTATCTTCCCGAGACACTTCATCACATTATCCCTTCCGAGCCAAGTTTGAATTAATTGTCTTATTACCAATATATCTAGCCGAAAACGCCCTATTAAGTTTTTCAACTTCCAATATTCCAACCTTGTGGTAAGCCACATATCGGAGTTTTCGAATGAGAGGCGTGTCCGTTAGACTCCAAGCAGTAACCCCTTTTGGAAGTAAGTCTTTTCATTTAAAGATTTATCGGTTAAATCGCAATGTCTCTCTGACAGTCATGGATTATTATGTTCAGTTTCTATTTCTGGAACCATGAAGTTTTTCAGATGTTTAATAGCAACTGTAGCTAGGAGAGCTACCTAGGTAGTTAGTTGTACGGCACTATACCTTAGGTACCTACAGTACCTTATCGTAAATAATATGCTAGTGATGTGTATGGATATCGTTACTATGTGAAGGGCCTAAGGTAGAAGTTACGAAAACTTACCTAAATATACCATAACCTATAACATATGAGTCAGGGAATCTATGACATCGGACCAAAAGTTCCATGGAAATATTGTCATAAAGGTACCTAGCTCGATATATAATTTAATCGTGAGTTAGGATGGCTATATTGATTGTTGCCTGACCAGTATACAGTATAAAAAGGATTCTGTTCCTAAATCCCTAAGGCAGAAATATAAAATAAGTGATATCTCATAATCATGTGTAGCTCGCTAGGTGTCAATGGTATATAGTTGAGAAGAGCCGTTGACATTAAGTCCTAAAAAGTTACTTGAGCATGAGGTTAACGATATCTATAAATCCAGATCATAGTATGGAATGAATAAATTCGAGAGAAGAAGCTACATGGTGATTAATAACCCATTTCGTCGTCTGCTGCCTTGCGCAGTTAGTCAACGCTAGAACTACTTGAAATTGCGCTTCGTTACCATGCTCTATTCAAGTTATCTGTAAGTCTATGATATTATATATCAGTTATTGCGATCCTTGTAACTAAGCAGCAGCAAGACTCTAGCTGTTGAATGTCTGTTTGCCGCATAGCGCTTTGTAGTTCAGATGGAGGACTGAGTCCTGACAGATGCTGGGTTTCTGGATATACAATCTAACAACCCACGATTCTCTCTCCATCACCTCAACGTACAACGGTAGTGATATTCCGAAATTTAAGATCTATGGGCCATTAAATGGTCTCTTGCTGATTTTGTACGGTATTAGTCGAGTTGTTTGCGGGCGGTGAGTAGATTACGTAGCAAACCAACCGTTCTCGTTAGGACACGTTCTTCCCTACATCGTTATCAGGTACCTGCTTAAGGGCTGAATCACTGCAATAACTGAAAATATACTTTCTATCAAACTACGCGAATCATATTTTAAACGACAGTCATGTGAACCAAATAAGGGCCACGAGGGCGCGAAAATGGGCCCAACTTTTCTATATAAACCAATTTTCTCATCCTAACTCTACCAACCAGAACCTTTCTTCATCGTATTCTATCTTCCGCCAAACTGTGATACGTTTATCATGAGGATGATCAAGAAGATTCTAGGCGGCCTGGCTATGGCTGGGCTCGCCATCGCATGTCCTGACGATGCGCCAGCCAATACCACAACATCTAACAACAGGGCACCATTGCGGAATGTCGTCTATTTCGACCAGTATGCATCCCTCTCGCCTAACAGCGTTGTACTAAGCTAACAAAATTACAAGATACCACACGGCCATCATGCCCAACAAGAACGTAACGGCGGGTATCACCCACGTCATCATGGCCTTCGCCAACTCCTCTCTCTTCGTCGAGGAGACGGCAGGTGCCTACACGCCGTTCATGCCCCTCAACCAAGTCCGCGACATGTTCGACAACGGGACCCAACTCGGCATCGCGATCGGCGGGTGGGGCGACACGGCGGGCTTCTCGAAGGGGGCCGCGACGGAGGCGAGCCGCAGCGCGTACGCGAAGAACGTCGCGAAGATGATCGAGACGCACGGCTTCGACTTCGTCGACATCGACTGGGAGTACCCCGGCGGCAACGGCGCCGACTACAAGCAGACCCCGAACTCCAACAAGACTTGCGAGATCACCGCCTTTCCCCTGTTCCTGCAACAGATCAAGAACGCCATCGCCCCCAAGCAGCTCTCGATCGCCGTCCCCGCCAAGATGCAGGACACCATCGCCTACACGAGCGACCAGGCGCCGGCGATCTTCGCCGCGGTGGATATGGTCAACCTGATGTCGTACGACATGATGAACCGCCGGGACACCACGACCTCGCACCACACGTCCGTCAAGGGGGCCATCAAGGCCACGAAAATGTACCTGGACATGGGCCTGCCGCCTTCCAAGCTCAACCTCGGCTTCGCCTTCTACGCCAAGTACTTCCAGACCCCGCCCGGCGCGAACTGCACGCAGGCGGTCGGGTGTCCGGTCGTGGCGGCCGAGAATGCCGACGGCACGGACTCGGGCACCTCCGGCGCGATGACGTTTGAGAAGGCGCACGTGTTCCCCCCCGCGCCGCCGAAGGACCTGCTCGCGTCGGTGGATGGCACGTGCGGCGCGGACGCGGGCAAGAAGTGTCCCGCGGGGACGTGCTGCTCGCAGTACGGGTCGTGCGGGTCGACGGTGGAGTACTGCGGCATTGGATGCCAGCCGGCGTACGGTATCTGCTCGGCGCCGGACATCGTGGCGGCGTTCGGGAAGGCGTTGGCCAACGGGCAGGAGGATAAGGAGGAGGGCGCCATGTGGTATTGGGACGCGGAGCACAACCTGTTCTGGACCTGGGACTCGACGCCCCTCATGATCCAGAAGGTCCGCGAGATCGTGGTGCCGGAGAAGCTCGGCGGCCTGATGGCCTGGAGCTTGGGCGAGGATAGCGGCGACTGGACGAGAGTCACGAGCCTCGCGACGGCCGCGAAGGTCTTTAGTAACCCAAATCATCTCCTGGGGCCGTTGAGTAGGCGAGCGAGGAAGCCCTACGCTAGGCGTCATAGTCACCGGTTCCCACACTAGGGAGGGGTATTGAGAGGGATCTGTCCTGGAGAGGACATCGCATTCTATGATTTGCAGTATTTGGAGTTGGGGATTATCACTGATTTCATGAACTTGGGTTTAGGATGACCTAGGCAGTTACTCTGCAGCATGCTGGCCATGATTCACTTCGTGGTATAAGTTATCACCCTAACTGGCCGTACATGAATAACATTATTAGTCCCATATACTAGTAAATAACCTCTTATCTTAGCGTGACATTACTTGACAGTGAGTATTTGTAGAGAGGCGATAAATTGTACGAACGCCGTCTACCTAACCGAACGACAGCATGCTTAAACGCTTTCACAGGCCTCCTTCGTGTCCTTGACGAGGTTCCGGTACATGGCAGCTCGTTTCTCCAGGCTATAGGTACTCAACACTGTCCCTGAATGTGTTTTGACTTGGCTTGGATCCGGAGAGTGCCTCATATCTCTTAGGTTATTAGTAATTATAATCTCCAAAGTATTTCTGTTGGTGTTGTTTTAAATTTGATCTCTTGACTCCGAAAATAGAATAATTTACTTGGCAATAGTAATGTACCTATGATGTGTGAAGAAGCTCGACGGTTGTCGTATTGAATTGTTGATGTTGTAAAAGCCTGATCCAGGCCCACTTTTGTTAATGTCTAAGGTCAGTACATTCCCCCCTTTTAAGACCTAAGACCGGGTCAAAATCGGGGATATACTTTGGTACTTCCAATTTATTATTAAGGCGAATTTCATTATCGCAGCTCTAACCCAATTCTTGGGGAGCTCTCAGGTGTAAATCGCTAAACGCTACCAAAGTTGCTATATGATCAGCAACATATCAGCAACGTCACACCAAACCCTTTCTCCGATGCTCATACGGTGACGCTGCTCTTGAGCTTGCCTACTCCTGGCTAGCTGGGCAGGCTTCCGGCGACGATGCGGGAATTCATGGATTACATCCAGACGGTCTTCTATGCTGCCACCGGTTGGAACCGTGATAATAGCTACTCGTCGCTCAATGCCACATCTGATGCCCTTCTGAATTTTCCGACCCCTCGCGGCCTTCGCCTTACACTATCCTCCCTCGCAACTTCGCAATTCGCAACTTCGTACCAGCTCGGCACCCTGGGTGTTGTTGACGGCTCTTTATCGTACTTATACTCAACGGTACCCCTCAACAATGCCATCGCCCAGAGTGCGAAGATCCCCCTGCCGGATCTCTTGAGGAGTTACCGCCCACTTGCCGAATTGCCTCGCCGATCTGAGGAAGGGGGAGCGCAGTCAGAGGGAGGCTTAGTCAAAGGTGGACTTGCGTATGGGAGACTTTATCTCCCCGCATCCATGTTGGAGGCATTGGTAGTTAGGAGGGTCTCACCTACGCTACAGTTTCAACTAAGTGCTGTATCAGATCAGAAATTACGGAATGGAGGTACTATGTTAGGTATGGTGCAGTATGATGAAGGTCGTTATGCGGTTGAAGGTCTCGCATCGACGGATGGTGGTTTGCTGGGAGTTCGCGGATTATACAATTTTGGCGGTGATGTGGCCCACCTAGATACGCAAACGCAGCCTGCGACTACTAATGGGAATGGAACGGGTAATGGCGAAAGGGAGCGCATTTTTGGTCGTTTCAGCACTGGCGCTGAGCTTTATTACGGAACGCTGAACAAGTCTGGAGGGATGAGTGTTGGGACGCGCTTTGCAACGTTGCCTACGCACAAAGGTACTCCGCTCACTGCGACGATGACGGTCAATCCTTTGATGGGGACTATTAGTTGGACCTATGCAGTCATGGCCGGGAGCAATTGTTCGCTTGCGTCGAAAATGGATTTCAATGTCTATAGTTACGAAAGCGACTGGTCCGTGGGTATGGAGCTTTGGAGAAAGAGATCAACTTGGTCTATCAACCAAGAACTAGAAGACGTATCGACTTTGACGGACACCACGCCCGAGATGAATTTCCAAGAGAAAATTGAGTGGAATTTAGACGACCCCCCCTTACCCCTGGACACAGCCGAGATTTTACCACCATCTCTTCCTCCTCCTCCTCCATCTCCTCCACTACCCGAACTAGTCCCTCAGCTGAAGAAAGAAAGAAGTTTTCAAGCTAAGATGGAGTGGAGGCTAGACGATCCAGATGTGGCTTCGACAGCACCGGTCACCAATGAGGATGAGGATGAGGATGATCAGTATTCGGGCGTTCTGAAGGCGCGCCTGGACCAACATTTACGGCTTGGTCTTTTGTGGGAGGGTCGAGTCAAGTCTTTACTTTTTAGTCTTGGCAGTAATATTGACCTGCGGCGACTTGACTCGCCCTTCCGCACTCTTGGACTCGAGGTACAGTTCTCGTCATGAAGATGCCAATAAGATAAATCCCGACTATTTGAAATTCATTTTGAAACGGATAATCAGCGCATATGTATTGCAGTTCAACTCGACCGCGCCATATCATTGCTTGCTGATAGATTGGTGGCACGGTCGCAGTCGCGCCCCCAATAATACGCCTATCCAATCCTAGGGGCTGGTATATAGCTGACTTCCTTACCGAGGCATTCTTCCTCGGTAACAAACGATCCTGCAGTCGCACCATTAGCAGACGATTGGCAATCGTAGACAGATGCAAATTATAGGTCATTTTCTCTTCGGGCCTTGATACCTCTCTCGGTGGCCCCGGGCTAAATGCCTTGATGTTTCCCTACCTAAGGTATGTAGGCTGATTCGGCTAGACCCCTGATGCGTCCCTGGCGGCCCCTGGTGCATTATTAACTGACAAACACCCTTGCTGCATGCAGCGATACGACCCAGAAGGCCGGCCAGTCTAACTTGAATATCTATGGATGTTCGGACCACACATGGCGTCTCTTTAAAATCTCGCCCCGCGACACCCCATTCTACTATCACAAGGATAGCTAGCTACCTGCCTCCCACGGCAATGAATCTAAGCTTTCCCTCGACCATCAATGACAAGCTATTAGATTGTGACCGAGCTGTACGCCGAGAATGGGGCCGTCTTGGAGGAAGCTTGTTTCAAGAGACTGCTTGTCCAAGCTATTGATCTAAGTTCTCCAAACGTCGTGGTGGGGCACGAATTATTGCGGATTTCATGTGCCTCGGATTGGCTTGGTAGATGATGAGTGCGAGATTAGGGTATCATATATGATACGATGTAGATGACTCTTGATTATGGATGAATGCTAGCTCGGTCGACCTCTGAATATCTTATACCTATATAGCAGGTCTCTGCATCATAGAACTTGAAGAAACGAGACAGAACAATTGATTTCTAGGGGTTAGTATCATTTTATTCCTTGTGCTATGATAATATGTTGATTCATGACTCTTTATAAATCTTGTTACTCAGCTTGGAAGTCGGTTGATGGAGGATGTTAAGGTTGAAGTTCAGCTGCGGGGTACGTACTTTGGAGGCTGAGAACCTTGATGGCCAGCCCGGCCATCTTAGGGCAGGATCTCGGCATGAGAACCCTGATGGACAGGCTAATGCGTGGGGAATCCTCTGAAAACAAGTAACCGACGTATCACAACCCGTAAGTAAGGAAAAGGGTTAGTCATGGTAAATCTTCTTGAATCTGATTGGGTGAAACACTAAATAAGTACCTTGACCTTGTAGACAGCGCGCCCAATGAGTGAAAGGTCTTCACGATAATATATGGAATCGTACACAATGCGAGAAAATATCGCCGAGTAAATAATATTGGACCTTGAAGGCTGGGATAAAACATATTTTTTCATCTGGCTTGTGTTATGTGTTTGCGTATATTATATGTGACATGAGGTTTTAGCATACTAATTCGGCCATCAGCCTTGTCAAATGACGTTAGGTGTGTTGCGGTAATACTACATATCGCACCACACAAACGTCGGTTTTACCTGTCATCCCAGCCCGTAGTGGTGGTAATACGTTACCCTCGTCTAGCATCTACATAGTCCACATGGCAAAGCAAGGACAGTACCTATGAAACAGTAATAACAGTAACCTAAAAGTCTAAAAAGGACACCTGCATTGGTACATTCAACTGTAAAAAGCTTATTTTATACGACCCAGATAGGCGAATACATGAGATTTCCATCTATTCCGTAATGTCCTATAAAAACACCAAGCAATACTTATATCAGGTAGTACCTCTAGGTACTTAAGTTAGCCGTACCAAGCACCAAGTTAACTGACCAATGGATCGGATCTAAGTGATCCATCTTTAGATCCACTCCATGTCCTCCATATCTGGACCAGTTAGGCTACTAACCAAAACGGTCAACCAGCCCCTCAAAGCAAGGCAAAAATTCTGCTGACGTTATGTATCAACCTTTTTTTTCATTATTTTTTATAGGTGCTAGACCCGGCCCTACTGGCCATCAAGGTTCTCATTTTTCAAGATCGTGGGCACTTCCGCCGTTTCGTCTTTTTACAAAATCCCTCGCCGCCTGCCCTTGTTTGTCCACATAATACGCTCAGCTAAGCTACTGAGTACTGTGTAAATAGCGAGGACCTTAGCTGAATTAATAAAAATGTGGTACATAGTAAATTTGAAGGATGTTATTCCATTTATGTCATTCCATCCCCTTGCCATGCCATGCCATCCCATTCTCCGTCAAACCTATCAATAGACAGAAAATTATACCATACGTAATTTTCGTGATCATCCACACGGGACGTGATTCACACTCCATTTCTATTCAGCTAGACCTGAAAATTGTTGCACTCCTCAATCTGATCACCCCCTGCAGCTCATGGTCATTTGCCCACACTTGACAAAGTCCGTTCGTTGAACGCATATATGATATTCCAGGTTGCCTTCGACTAGCCCTTCGTTTACCTTACGTGGTGGGATTTACAAAACTCAATCAAGGATATCTACTTAAATCAACCTCTAAGTAGTTGCGCAGTTTCTGGAAGCAGCGCGATCTGGGTCTTCTAGAACATCAGGGAAAACGACAACCGCCAATAAAGGACCCGTGTGTTTTGCGCTGATAGGGCACGCGTTATCTTCAACACCAAATCGCATCTCAATCGCTACCGGCGTTATTGCCTTCCTTCGATACCCTGAATTTTATCACATTTATTCACACTTACGCGCTTTGAGCACGGGAAACGAAATAAAAATAAAAAGGACCTGTTCCTTTCACGAAGAATTTCCTAATAGGTAAGGTTGCTTCCCTTTTCATATATCTTAACACGCCGTTTTGCTGTTTAGTTATTTCCGTTGGTTCATTATCTGGTTGAATCCATGGAGCGGATACGTAAGAAAAAGAGCACAAAAAAAAATCGGAAGCTTGTTGGCGTGCATATGCCATCAAGGTCCTCTCCTGAACCTAAGCCTCGGACCCTAGCAAACACTAAGTTTTTTGGACATCTTTCTTCGCCTGACAAGCTCATTGTTCTTCTATCTTGTCTGAACTAACTTCAAAGGAGTTGATTTACCTTGCTGGACACTCCATTCTCTTCATATTCTCACCCCTCTCCTTCGTTTTTGCACCTGCAGAGAAATAATTTATCATCTGTATCTTCCCGCTAACTAGTCCTCAGCCCCAGGACTCTATCAACAATCTAGTCGGTATATTAATCCGGCCATCGCCTTATCTTGTTGACCCTTTTTTTCTAGCGACCAGTCAGAGATAGGTTCACTTCAAGAGGGCTGTCAGGATCTGTACATTTTTTTTTACCCCTGAGCTATCTTGGCATCTTCCCCTTCGAAGACACAGAGACAATTCTCGAAGATGTCGTTATTACATACAGCCTTAGACGCCGCTCTTCGTATACGGCAGGAAGATGGTTCTGGCGATGCGGCCCCTGAATCCGGCTTCACCGTCGAGGTCAACTGCGATACTGGTAACGAATACGACGGCCGAATGGGGGTACGCATATCCTCTATCTTTGTTATCTTGGTTGGTTCGTTACTCGGTGCGGTCCTACCCGTCGTTTTAGCCCGCGGCTCGAAAGTCAATGTGAATGGAACGGCATTCTTCATCGCAAAGTACTTTGGCTCTGGTGTCATTATTGGAACGGCGTTTATGCATCTCCTCTCTCCAGCATTCGAGGCCTTAAAATCGCCTTGTCTTCCGGATGGACCTATCAACGACTACGACTGGGCGGCTGGAATCTGTCTAATGACAGTTTTCGTCATGTTTACCATCGAACTTCTTGCGAGCCGCTTTGACTTCTTCGGCCACAACCATTCTGAAGCGGATTCGACTGACCCATCCTTGGATATCCTTAAGAAGGGAAGCCAGGTCTCACCGTCGCCAGTTCGAGATCTTGAATCAGCGAATAAGGAAAATGGAGCTGGTAATGCGACTGGCGGTTTGCCTACCGATCTTAGCTATCCCCCTGGAGGCGAAGATCATCTAGGCCACCAACGCGAACATCACGATAACGACAGCCACTCCGCTTTCGCCGCCCAAATGACAGCTCTTTTCATCCTCGAATTCGGCGTTATATTCCACAGTATCTTCATCGGCCTGACACTGGCAGTTGCTGGTGACGAATTCACGGTTTTATACGTCGTGCTCGTCTTCCATCAGACATTCGAAGGTCTGGGTCTTGGCTCGCGGTTGGCTACGGCACAGTGGCCTCGGTCTAAGGCATGGATGCCGTACGTATTGGCATTTGCCTACGCCATCAGCACCCCGATTGCCATCGCCATCGGTCTCGGAGTGCGGTCAACTCTTCAGCCGGGAAGCCCGAAGAGCCTGGTCATCAACGGTATATTCGACTCTATTAGTGCCGGCATTCTTATCTACACGGGTCTCGTCGAGTTACTCGCGCACGAGTTCATGTTTAACTCTTACATGCGCAATGCGGGGCTAAAGGTTCAGCTCTCTGCGTTAGGGTGTGTTGCACTGGGCTGTGGGCTGATGGCCGTGCTTGCGGAATGGGCTTAAGATTGGTTCGGAAGTCCGGAGGCTTCAGTCAGCGGGAGATGATAAATGAATGTATGTATGTATATTAACGACAGATCTGCTACGCTATGGGCTCTGGCCTTGGTGCTTTGTTACACCCTTGGCATACTTGTTCATACGTTTTTCCTTAAGTCGATTGGACTTTGAATGGGTCATCAACAGTACACAATGTACATAACATAGAAAGATACCTATTACCATATCGGTGTCTAATTTGCTACACATTTGCTACACAGATAGGAAATGTAAAAATGGCACTCGATCGCCAATAAAATTAATGCAACACGAGAATCATGGATAGATAGCATTTGCTACTACCAGTTGAAGCATTACTCAATCCGGGAGCTCTTACAGCAGGTAATTTATACTTAGTACCTAAACAACCTCTTTAATATATCGTTTCATCGAATAATCTTCATTACCTATAAATATTCCCGTGACGGAATTTTCGTCTTATATAGAAATATGAAACCCGGCGCACGCCACAGTGAGACGTGTCAAATTAACGTCGAGTGATTTTATCTTCTACACCACTTCCCATTTGAAAAAAGCAAACACCTCAACGTCCTAACCATTATATTGGTCATACTATAGGGCCTTCTAACAATTCACATATGATGACAACTTGATGATTTGAGGATCCTTTACCAATGGTATCCGGGATTACATTGCTTGGCGTTTACTTACTATAGGTACCTAGGTAGTATAAGTTACACATGCAGTTACGATATCGGGTTTTAAGTGTTTATGTACATGGCCCCTAGTAGTTTCCAACAGGTCCAGCAGGTCCGGAACCTCCAATGCTCTTGCCCTCCTTTTTTTTTGTGCAACTACATGAATGCGCCTTCTTATAAACCGGGCACCTGTAACGGGTAGTAACTTTATCCTACTGCCTATAAATTTCCCCCCGACGCCACCTCCCCTCTCCCTTAGCCATTCGAATCTCCTCGCCTAATCTAGGTATCCCGTTTCCATTTCTTGCCTACCTACCTACCTGGGTTAGGTAACTATTGATCTCTGCGTTCCCGTTCGTTCCGTGGCTGACTGGTAACTTTCAATATTCCAACTTTACCTCGTAATCACCAATATCCGATCTCGCCTGTCCACCCCTCTCCTGTTGTTACCTGCTGTGTGAGCTGAGTTGTGATCACTTCTAGTTGTTGAAGAGGACCCTGTTCCAGACTCGAACACCATTATCATCAACTACACACCTCTTTTTTAAAGGGGTTTATAATCAAGTCTTCTTTGATTTAAGCTTGGAAATCTAACCTTTCCTCCTGTATTTACGACGTACACATACAGTTACGCCCCGGACATTTTGACGTTCATCTCTTTTAAATTCACATATATCTCCCACCTTGACCCCAACCTCCCGCTTTAAGTACTATATCTTGCAACTAGGTGACATGGATGGAAATAACTATATCGTGGTCGCGGACCTTGGCCTCAAGCCAATACATCTGGCTTGCCTAGAGGGCGACTTTGAAGTGGTTCTCAAGCTGGTTTCTCATTCCGAAGATGTCCTCGAAACGCTCACGGAGCCAGAAATCGGCACAGAATGGGGGCTTCGTGAAACACCTATGTGAGTCCTTATTTTCAAGATTTATTTGTCATCATTACTTTAGATTCCTTTAACAACTTTCGCGCCCTGGAAGAGGAATGATAACTAAACATATCGCAGCAAGCTTGCTGCTCTTATGGGACACCTCGATATAGTCGAGTTCCTTATCGAGAAGCGCGTCAACTTGGTGTCCGACGGTCTGTATGCCTCCTCATATACTAAAGAGGAAGGCTTCGCAATGCGTAGAAGAGAGTTTTTCCTGAAGACGGCTAAAATAGGTCGGGAGCATCTTGATGCTCAGAATACGCGCAAGACTATCTGTGAACTTCTGAGTTCTCACGGCCGTCGAAGTGTCCTTAGCGCGAGTAAGTTGAAAACAAGCTTGGTTTTTAGCTTTCTTGTGGAATTTGATGGCTAATAAGGTATTGTAGTGAAAGGCCCAAGGGCTGATTTAGGCTTTCCTGAATACAGAGTAGCCAAGCAAGGAAACCAGATTGTCGTATATGCTCCGGTCCATCGAATCAAGACCGACATTTCTCTAGATAGAAGCAAGACCATCGGTGTTATTACGGCCAAGGGCAACAGTGAAGTGCTGATGGCTGCTCATAGTGGTTTTAAGCCCGGAGGCGACCGTGACGAGAAATGCCTCGACACAAAAAGGTGGAATTACATTGCACTCCATCACATTGCTGCTCTGCTTAAATTCCAATTTCCTGGAAATAAGCATGGCAATGGGAATAAACCCGCCCAGGATGAACATCGAGGCCGTGCGCATGCCGGACATGTTGAAGTTCTACTTGCGGCATGGTATGCGCTTGAGATGACTCGACAGTCAAGCGGGAATAAAGATGCAGATCAGGATTGGCTTCTCGCCAACATGCATATGCTAAAGTATGCGACGCTCGGGAATGCGCGTTCGGCTGTGATCATGATTGATTCACAGCCGTGTGGTACATGTTTGAAATTCATCAATAGAATGTTCCAATATACCGGCATACACTTTTCCGTTAGAGGCGGAATTGGTATTGGCCCAACTCTCGCAACAAAAGACGAGAGAACCGGTGCAAGATACGATACCTTTGGCGACACATTTCCAGAGTCTGATAGTGAAGAGCCTTCTGCCGTGGAGCACATGGTGCAGGGTTTAAGTCCTGTTGCCATACCACAGGCGACACGTCAACCACCCGTATGGATGCCCATAGGAGGACAAAAAGCACCACCTGTCTTCAACAGCGACGGTGGTATTATTATACCTGCTACAAATCCCTCCATGGCTATGGAGCGAGCTAAACCTACCACACCCCATCGACCGAGAATGCAATGGCCCATACCTATTCCTGAACACAGATCACGCTTCTTCGAGGATCCGTTTTCTGATATACCGTCTCGTCGACCACCGAATCATTTCGAAATACTAGCTGAATATAAAAAGAAGACACCAGTGTACGAATTCCCTGGATATGAAACCATCCAAGCAGATCGTCAGCCGCACCAGCAGGAACAGCTTCCAAAGCCCCTAATACTCTCGCTACAAACTCGAAGGCCCTCTGCAGCAGTAGAGGAAGATACTGTACTCATTGATGTAGAAGATGATAGTGACACTATCACGTACTCATCTACAAGCAGCGACAACGGAACGTGCCTTCGACGTTGTCTACCCAATCTTGACACGGGGAAAAAGGATGAAAATAAGAGCAATCCGCGACCCAACGAAACAGGGTTTTCATACTCTAGCTTTGAGCCGCTTGCCGCTTGTGAGAACAAAGGCATTGATGAAGGGGAGAACCAAAGAGGTCAGAGACGCTTTGATATCAGCTCAGAAAGCAGCGATGACGATGATTACTTTTACATTCCAAGACAAATGTCTCAGCGACCTCGTCCCGGCAACAATGACAGCCCCATCAAGGAGCAGTCAGAAGAGAGAGAGGTAGCCCCGCATCCGGTCTCAGGATTAGCCAAGCTTCAGCAGTGGCGTTACCAGCCCCAACCGCGAGCCCGCCGCCAAATCCTCCAACCGTGGCGCCATGAGGGTCAGACAGTTCAGCCATATATATATCCCAGTGGCATTGGCGCGAACCCAGTTAACACTGGGCCGAAGACCGCCGAGGAGATTTCCAAGGAAGAGCGTGAGCGGACATATGGACCTGCGGTTTAGGAACCCGATCTGTTAATTCTGTGAGCACTTGCTTCATGGACTTTGAGCAAAGCTTGGAGGGACGTTGAATGTGTGGGGGGCCTGCTCGTAGCTTGTGAAATGATGACTACAACTGATCGAATAGTCTACAGAGGGAAAATTGTAAAAGTTTGAAGGTGATTTTGCGCAGTCATAAGAAAAGGAGGTTGAAGGAGAACCAAAAATTAAAAGGAGCAGGAACATGATGAGTGATAGGGAGGACGTACACTATGCTGATTCTCACATTCGCTACTGCTTGTAATTTCGCAATTGGAATTTGGCTATCGCAGTTCATTACAGTCATTCAGTCATTTTCTACACTTTCTAGGCTATCTAGCTCTAGTTCCCTCTCAGATAATTGAGAATTAAAAAAAAAAAATAGAGTCACGCATATTCAAGACGAATAGAGTATATGTGTGTGTGCCATGGGGAAGTGCGAAAGTAAAGTTCGCAAATCAATTCATTCAGCCATTTTTTCAGACGCCGTTTCCCATTGACCAGTGCTACCTAAAACCGTAGTAGTAGTAGTAGTTGTAGTAGTAGAATCCATTTATTTTCCCTTCATGGTATCAATAATTTACTCCTCATCCTCTTCCTCCTCGGCCTCAGCGGTGGTCTGGGCAATTCCTGTTTGGGGAGTTAGCTTTCCTCGTGTGCCCCAACATTATTATACATGTACATCATGTAGAAATAGTAGTGAGAAAAGAACGATAAGGTGGGGGTTGGGTTGGGGTTGGTGGGTTTGGGGGGGTTAACGTACGGTCGAGATCCCGCTGGCCGGACTGGGTGATGCGGCGGCCGCCCTGCTCCTCGTCCTGCTCGAGGACGCCGATCTTCTCGAGGGCCTGGAGGATCTTGCGGTCGACGGAGCCGGAGCCGTCGACGTGCTTGGAGGGGCGGGTGCCGCGGTTCTTGGCGGTGCCGTGCACCTTGCGGAGGCGGCCGACGCCCACCGTCTTGCGCAGGTACACGTGGCGGGCGACGCTGGCCGCGCGCACGTAGAACCAGTCGATGTTCTGGGGGGGAAGCTCCCGCGAGGGACCGGTCTTGACGGTGTCGACCCAACCTGCAGGGAGTCGGCGTTAGCGATTTTCTTTTTTTTTTGTAGACGGAGAGAGAAGAGAGGAATGAAGAGGAGAGAGAGAAGGGGATGGACATACCGGGAATGGGCAGCTTGCCCTGTCGCTTCAAGAAGCTAGCGTACGCGTTGATGAACTTCTGCGCCTATAGTTGTGCCCAACAAGAAACCCATCAGCAAATATTCCGTCATCAGAAGTCTTGCGACCCCCTCGCGCCTGCTCCCGACGACAATGAGACGAGATTTTCCTTTTTATTTTTTGTGGTATTCTCAAATCCTGTTGCGTCTGGCATTTTTCTTATTTCGGATCCTATGCTGCTAAAAGCATATTTTTTTCTTTTTCCGTGATTTATGTAGCGCCTGTTGTTGTCGTTGTTGTCTAGAGAGAGGCGCGAGGATTGATTGCAACTAACACTGCCCTCCCCTCTTCCGCTTTTCACGGCGAGGGGGGCATGGAAAAGGTGGAAGAACCTACATCGACATCGCGAACTGAGACTCCGCCGGTCATTTTTGCGGTATTGAAATGGAGAGGATGTTGTCGGAGGGTGTTGGGTTAGTCGACGGTCTGTTTTGGCGTTCGCGCAAGAAGTTGGCTGTGTGCGGAGGAGAGGTATGATTTTACAAACTTTTTTTTTGGATGGGAATCAATTCGCTTGAGTTGGTGTTGGTGGAAGCGCAAGTTGGGTGTGGGGCATTTAGGAAAGTCTTGGCAAAGATTAGGGCTTGCCCTTTTTGCTAAGGCGAGTTGCTGCGATGACTTTACCTAAGCTCTATGAAGTGCGAAATGCGTGGGGCATGGATCCTTTGCTGACATAAGCTCACGTTTCTCAAGCCTCAATAACTTTCTGCGATGCTGGACTTCCAGTGTTCTTAGGTACCTAGGTACTTACGAACTATATTCGACCATAAACTTCTAAGACATCTACGAATACCTTCAAAGGTCGAGGCGGGTAACCTGCCGCACCAGAGGGCGACAATACTTCATCAGGTAAATTAAGTTCATGTATTCAGCAAGAAAAGTTTCTAGGACGGGTCAAATCCAACATATTTAATACGCCAACATCCCTACGACTGTTGATCATCCTTCTTTTCGTTCATATTGAAGCTATATCCAAACCTTGTTGTCGGCTCGATTCGTCTCGAGATACTCATATACCTCGTCATAATTCTTGCACACGTGCTTCGCATCCCATCCATCACTACCATCAAAGCCATCAGGGAAGGTGGTTTGCTCGCCTTCTAGCGCGACATCTCCGCAGCACATGATGCTCTGGCGGAGGTAATCGAAGCAGTGAGTTAAGTGCCAAGGCGTCTCCTGAGGTAACCGGCTGGTATCTGATGTGAGTGCTGAGTAGGCCTCAGCGATAGCATACTGCCAGGCAATGTTAGACTCACGGACGTAGAACGCGGATAGAACAGGAGGTCGGGTAGGATATTTACCAAGCAGTGAAGTTGATGAGTCATGGATGATGTGACGACGAATTGATCCGGATACGAGTTTAATCGTACTGGCAAGTTGTCATAGTCTTGTGGATTCTTGATTTCAAGGTAACCGAGGCCCTCTATTAACACGCACTCTAGGTTAGCTTATTACTCCAATCACTGACCACCTATATGGGCGTACTTACTCGGCACCAGACTTAACCACTTCTTCCGAGTCTCGTCCGAGAAGAACTCGGAAGTGTTTTCCGGCACGAAGGATGGATCCGGAGAGAATGTTGTGATCTTCTGCCCGAACTCCGGCGCGAATCCCGTTAAGTCGCCGCCTCCCTCGTAGAAGTGTTCTCTCCCATGCCGCCGAAAATCGCCTCCCAGAAGCAATAACACAATAACGACCAGTAAAAATGTGTCGATCAACCACCTATGCTCCTTGAGAACGGCGAGGAACTCGCTCTTTCCGCTCGTCCCTGTGAGTGGTGTGGATTCGTGCATATAGTCTTTCTCGTTTAAGTCAAGCGCTTCTAGGTCAACGTCCGTGCTGCTAGAGTCGTCGCGGTCGTCCTCATCACGACTGCTGAACTTGCGATACAAGTCCTTAGGTTTACGATGGTCCTTCATTTTTGCTGAACTTTATTTAATTCCTTTTTGATTGAAACCTCCTATACAGCCCAGCTGCCCGACTTGAAAGCGAAATGTATTAAATGTCGAATAAAAAGACGGGATGCCGGCCCAGTAAGTAAGAAGAGAATGAGAGAAAGAAACGTCCACGGGACGAACGAATTGAAAAATGGAAATACAGAAACCAACCAAATGAGTGTTGTAAGGTTTAGTTATTTCAAGAGAGAAATATTGAAATCAATTCTCCTGATTCGATTCTACAGATTTAAAGATCGGACGGCCGAACTTGCGACCCCAAGCGTCTCCGCGACGTTTCACGTCTCAGCGTTGCGCGGCTCACCTCCTATCGTGATCTGCGCGATCCACCAAAGACGTGTCGTATCATGTTCCTAGCGCGCTCGCCATCGGATGACATAGCCCCCTACATTATCATATGGAACGGTTCGCACCCATCAAATCGTAAATCCAATTTATGCGCCGGGTACGATATATGAAAATCATAAAAAAGACAGCAGTACCTATAATTCTAGTTACATATTCTTCCAACTCCTTTAAACTTAACCTTTCCTTATATTGGGTCCCTAGATATTATGTGTTGTACTTATATCTTCTTCTTACTTGTAGCTCATACCTACCTGGCCTAGGTATTTATTTCAACGACAACAGCAACTGCTCTCCTGGTTATGATGCTGGTTCTTATGCTGCTGCTACTGTTGATTGTACGCGACTCGGTAACTGGTCTGGACGCTATTATCATAACCCCTGGATGCTCCAAGATTATGACCGCTCGACGCTCCGGCACAGTAACTATTTATAAGCCCTCTATTATACGCATAATAGACAGCACGATCTTTCTCAGGAACATTCTGGCCTCTAGACGACTAGTTTGGTACCATTGGTCGTATTCTTGTAGCTTTTGATGTTATTCATACGCCATTTCCAGGTTCGTTTGATATCCGCTATGTTGAGCACCGGCGTATGTGGATTGAGGGAGACTAGTAGGCGAGGTCATATTAACATGGAAGCTTCGGTCTAGGTAAACCACTACACATAAACGGCGTAGTTACGCTGAGTGTGCCATGTCGTTAGAGTTGACGGTGGAAACATTAGGTACCTACCTACCTCTAGGTAGTTATTAACTCCTATTACATGGGATGACGCCGATAATTTTAAAGACGCCTATTCTAGAGAAGAAAATACGGGCTTATAAAAGATACAGCCCTCTGAAATATCTCTAGTGTTTAAGGCAATCCGTTGATAGTACCAGACTTATCAGCTTGCCTGTAAAGAGTGGTTTCATTGAGCGCCATCGTCAGCGTGTCATCCTAAGAATCCTCCGTAAAAGCTTGGTGGTCTCATAGTTGAACTATCAAGTGCTAGTTAGGCCTCGAAGTTGGATAAACAATCGATTTTCTTATGGTATATACCTCTTATTGAACGAAGGTAAAGATTAAGTCCAGTGAGGAGAAACGTATGGGAACACGGGGTTATAGGCAGGCTTCAGTTAACATGGGTACGGAGGATGCGAAATTTATTCAGATACAACCTATATATCGATCAAGGAGAAGACAGAGGTAGAGTGCTCATTGTAAACCTCCCTAGGTATGTATCTTATTTCGGATACACCGAAGTGGCAAGCCAACTAACTCATAGCTATCTTGAAGTATAACCAGAAATATTACGAAGCCTTCAAAATTACAACGAAACACCAGTAGATAAGGCGTTAGATTTGGAGTAGTTAGGTACCTTAGGTAGGTACGTATTGAACTTCCACAAGTTGGCAGTTGCCAAAATGCGTTTGTCGCGTACCATGCCGCCGCCCTAGGCGGTAAAGAATTATGGCAGGTACCAAGTGACAGAATATGGTACCTGCCCGCCCTTAAGGTTAAAAGGCCTAATAAGCAGGCTGTCTTTCACGAAACCCTGACCCGAAGCCAGTGCCAAAATGACCGTGGTCTAGTTGGTTAAGGGGACGAAGGGGACGATTTCCGAGGTTGGACTTGAGTCGGGGCCGACGAAAAGGTCTATTCGTTCAGGACGAGCGCCAGGTTAGATCTCACTTTTTTTTTGCATTCTTTTTTTTTTTACTTTTTACTTTTTCTTTTTTATATCAGTAAGTTATTTTCCTTCTTTTTTCTTTTTTTTCTTTAAAAAAAAATGTTTACGAGTCGCTTACCCCTTTCCCTAACCTCACATAGTCTTTATGAAAAGCTAGCACCATAAAAGTCAGCCTTCGTTTCGATCGCCACGATCCATGAAATAGAACGAGGTATAAGATCGGCCACCCCCATGGACTGACTGACTGACTGACTGACTTACCGCCAGGAATCAACGCCGCAGCGTACATGACCAGATTAATCGGCCGCAGGTCCTCGTCCGCCGCGTGCAACACCTTGCCTTCCCAGGCGTCCAGCACGACCTCGGTAGCCGCGTGCAGCGGCTGCGCCGGGTCGTCGACGTAGCATTTGATCCCGAGGCAGCCGCCGAACTCGCGGAACGCGAGCCGGTAGGCGTGCTGCTTCTTGCCGCCGGCGCTGATGGGGCTCTGGGCCGCGGGCAGGAACCGCGCGCGCGCGATCGCGAGGCCCTGCGACGAGAGCTCGCGGGACCAGGGCGCGTCTTTGTCGAAGTGGCTTATCCACAGGCCCATTCCTAGGTCGAGCGGGTCCCCCGAGAGATATTTCGGGTGGGTGGACACGATACGATAGTAGTGGTCGATTTCCGCGTCCAGTATCGATGGCGACGAGTGTGAGTTATCGGTGGTGCTACTCCCTTGTCGGAAGAGCTCGGCGGTTTCTCGCAATAGCTGGCACACTACCAGTCCGTCCACGTCGTCGAGGTTCCCCTTGCTGTTGACTAGCACGCGCCGCATATCCGTCGATACCTTCCACACCATACTTTCTCGATCACCCCTCCTCACCACGAAGTGCGGATGGATAGCTTTGGCTAGTTGCACTGCGAGATCGTTCCACCGTGCTTCCTTTGTCGCCAGAGCTAGCCGGTTGAGGGCGAACATCCAGAGAGTGAGGTAGTGGTGGTATTGGCCGTCGCCGTCGGGCCCCCCGGCGTCCAGCTTTCCGATCCGCAAGCCGCCCTTTAAAGGTTCCTCGTCGGTCGCGCCCGGGAGGCGCGAAGCTCCATCCCGCGTGCGACCGAGGACAGAGTGGACTGTATCCACCAGCTGTCTGGCTAGTTCCAAGTAGAGGTCCCGCGAGTGAGTGCCATCCTTCTCGCGGGACAACGTGATAAAGTTGATAACCCCAAAGGCGTCGGTCCAGAGATATCTCCCGCGGTGTCCTCCAGCCCCTGGATTTGCGGGAGGCTGCCATGATGCAGGGTCACTCGTGTCTGTAGGGTAAGGGCCGTAGACCTTTTGCATCGCATCCTCGAAGAGGTCCAGTTTCTTGGCTTTGGAGCTCATTTTATTGGTCGTCCTATACGGCGTCACTAAGGGCGTTGTTCTACAAAATGTCGAGGGCGAGAACGCATGTAATCCAAGTCGTTTCAGGGGGCGAATGCAGCTAAGTCCCTGAAGGGAAAACATCAATGGTAAGGATTAACCAAAGCATGATGAATGAAAATAGTATTGTACAGGGTAAAAGCAATCGTTCAGATCCTCAAGATGCCTTTGATTCCCCGAATGAAAGTGGTGGAGAAGCTGGTTGTTACCGCTTGTGACGCAATAATTACGGGCTGATCAGCAATAACTCTGTAATCCTCTAGGTCACATACTTGGACATCCTACCAACCTCTTTTTCATAGGTAGATTAGATACCTATTCAATAAAATATTCGCGATTGGCGTCAATAGGGTCTGAGAGCTAGGTAACAATGCATTGTCTACATTTCATCTGGTGTCTTTGTCATTGTTTATACTAAGCATCGAATATTCACTATTTCTCTTCAAGTATACCTGAACACTGTCTAAAGCTAAGTGATTGATCAAGCTTCAATGCTTTATTCTAAAACAGCAATCTTGTTTACACAACAATAATGCTGCTACATAGGTATCGTTCAAAGTGAATTGATAGAGTATCAGTAACTGTAGTATGTTATAAAGGTCAAGCAGGTATCAAGTAAGTTTCCTGCAATACGTAGGTAGTCACCATAAATTATCAAACGAAAGCAGTGCCGAACTTTCCGTCAAAAATATCATATCACTTAGCACGATCCAAGTTCGTTTTATTCGCGATGGATACCCCCAGCAAGGACCTTCTCAGTTGTCCAGTTGAAATCATTCGAAAAATAGGAAGCTATCTACCTACGCCAGCTAAACTTCTTGACTATGCCTGCATGTGCAAGAGCGTGAGCTCCGCTCTCGACCTACATGATTTTGTAAAGAGCGATACCCGGTGCCTTCAGACTCGTGAAACTGGGGAAGATGGGTTCCTTTGGTCCCACCTAAAGGGAATTTCTGAATATTATCAGCATGAGACGAGATGCTTTGGAGGTCATGAATGCCTGGCTTCATATTTTAAACTGAAACCCAGGGGATCACACGTACCATCCATCAACTGGGCAATTGAGACTGGCGCAGAAATCAGCAAGATCAAGAAGATCATCAATGTTTACTCGACTATGTACCCGAGCGCGCTTAAAGGCCTATGGTATCCAAAGCATTGCAGGGTAGACAAGAATGAAGGCCGGGGAGATGTAATCCTCGCGGATTTCCCTGCGCCCATTGTCCTAGCTGCCAAATCAGGGCGAGTTGATGTTTTACAGGCGCTCATCGAATCCGGTATTGAACTCAGGGACTGGAGTAAAATGAGATTCGTTGAGTTCAGTTTGCGCAAGAGCATGTATCATCCTATCGTAAGTATCGATGAAGAGCGATTACCGAATAATCAAGCAGGTTTGAACATATTTGCTCTTGCTTGTCGAGCCGATGAAAAAGCAGCACTGTTCATGATTAATAACGTCCTTATTAATCCGACCCTTGCGGATTTATGGTGGCCCCTTATATATGGACATATGGAGGTTCTTGAAACTCTTTTACAACACCCGGTTTTCAAGAGCGACAGGGGTCAGGAAGCTATACAGTCTGCGCTTTCAGAAATTGTTTACCATTGCTTGGAAGTTCACCTCAAGGATCTGAGGGTCATCGAGCGCCTTCTTGATAGTGTGCGTTTTCCAATACCATGGGTTTCAGCCGGATTCGTTAATAAAGAAGAATGGCTTGAAAAGGCCATGTGCAAGGTCTTGGATCATGAAGGAGAAGAGCATCTAATACAGATGCGCATGTATTTGTTTAACCTTCTGATGAAGTCCGGGAGCGATTTGACCCTTCGCATTCCCATTTGCTCAGCAAGCTGTTCGCAGTGACGGAACTCACGAAAGCTATACTGTCACAATACAAGCTGACTAAAAAAGGTGATCAACTACCTTTAAGAGACGCGCTACTAGATGAGGCCTCGAGATGGGCATGTCCTCGTACTATAGAGTTACTCAGTCATAATTTTCAGTTCTCCCCCTCCCACCTCATAGAGGTTGTTTACCAACACGCATATTCTTATATCCCCTATGAAATTCTTTATGAGGGCGATCAGGATATTCGCAACACGCTCCGGATAATCGATTTCATTATCGAATCCGGTGTTTCGGTTAACTCGAGACATCAAGGCCGGGGGCCACCGTTAAGCGGCGCGCTATTAAAACGTTCGGGCATGACGAGTACTAGCGACAATCGACGAGGGCTGAATTGCCTTGTGGCCCTTAGACTAATGCACCACGGCGCTGACCCCAAAGAGGTCGCACAGTCAGTTTATAGAGAGGTGGAATTATCGTATCTATGATGACAAATACCTAACGGATTATTGCCTCCATGCTATTCCGCATAAAAGCGACTCTGCTGAAGCAAGCCGTAAGATCTTCTCTGAGAAGGTCTGGAGCGTAGATTCGCCTCTATACCTCGACCAGGTATACGCCATGGCAGTATTGTTGAGCGGCAAGGACTTCCTCCAAAGTTCTCTAAGGGAAATGGTGAAGAGTGAAGACGAGGGTCATAAGCTGTTAATGTGGGGAATTGATCACGAAATTTGTGTCAGGTCAAATGGATTCCTGGGGTCTCCTATGCCGGATCTTTCAGGTAATTCGTGGGACTCTGAGGACTCTGAGGATATGTGGTATTAGCAAGGGCATATGTTGGCTAGTAGGATGTTTTACTATCTATATAAAGCGTAGCCAGCTCCCTTGAGGGAGGTTAGAACGTTAGTCGTTATTAATAGATCTTTATAATTGATTGCATATTATACTCTAACACTTGTTTTTATGTATAACATTTATCACCGGGCATAGCTGATATTTCTTCGGAGTGTTTATGGATGGATATCAAATAACACATAAGTGTTGAAAAGTAATAACGTCCCCTAAGGCGATAATTTCCCGGACAAGAGATCTTAGGATCAAGCTCAATTCTTTACGTCTTGCAACCCCAAGGCACGATAAGTACCATGGTACATAGAGAAGTAGAAGGCATAGGAAAAGTTATCTTAAGCATCTTTATTAATATTACTATGCTGGCTGATTCTGTGGAATAACTATGAGACACGTGGTTTTGCGTTCTGTCTCAGCCTTCGCTCCTATGATTTGCGCTTCATCCTCGAGCTCCGTCCGGTTTCCAGCCAGGCGGGGCAAGTTCCACGCCATCTGGGACGAAACCCGGGGCCACTATGATATTGTAGATTAGCTTATGAGAAGTCTACAGAGAGATACGTAGGACACAAGAATAGGTCAGGTTAGGTTGGTAGGTTGGTTCCTTACCGGTAGTACCGACTAGAGTCCATTCGCCGCTCGAAAGCGCGCTCTGCCACGTGCCCTTCGGGATGACCACCTGCGGCTGCTCGTTGTTGAAGACGTCTGGCCCGAGCACCACGTCGACGGGGGGCTTGCCGTCGTTGTCCGAGAGCGACAGGGTCAGCGGCGCGCCGGCGTAGAAGTGCCAGACCTCGACCGCGTCGACCCGGTGCCAGTAGGACGACCCCGCCGCGCCCTCGAGCAGGTAGTAGATGGCGGTGCTGGCGGATCGGGTGCCGTTGCTCGAGGCCCTCGTGACGGAGTCGGCGTCCTCAAAGGTCTGCACGTAGTAGCCCTTCTCCTCGTTGGGGATGAGGTTGAGCTGTGAGACGACCTCCTGAGCGCTGCGCTGGCTTATCGGGGTTGATGGCTTGTAGTGTAAACCGGCAGCGCGAGCTCCTATCGCGCTTACGAGCAACAGGCCCAATGGTCTGGTGAGCCCCGAAGTAAAATGCATTTTGCGATGGCCTGGTAGCTGGAAATGCACGGTGCTTAAGAGAAAAGAAACAAGAAAGTTTGATGGGGACGAGAGATGAGATGATGGGATGATATAATATAGTAAGTAATATGTAAATATTAGAAATAATAGCATTGCTGACAATTAAAGTGAAGAGTGCCGCAATGCTGACAGTGACCGTGCACTCACAAGGTTAAGGATCACCAATGCTCCTATTGGACATATATACAGCAATCGTCTTCAGGATTTATTTATAATCTAAACTGTTATAGGAAACGAGGAACCCATACGAACTTCTCTTTTCATCATAGTTGGTATTTCGTGACATTTGATATTCGGACCTGCCAAGTACCAGTAATAGCGGTGGCCATGTTAAGAGTCGTGGAACACTCGACGAGATTATCTATAAATACAGGAAAGCGCTTGTAAGTGATCGGTTATATTATCCACACAAGATTTGTAACTAGCGCAGTGAATCTTAGATCTGCTTCGTTTTCATTGCTCTCCATAATCGCCATGGGAGTTTCCAACTACTGGTTACCGTAAAGGGGTCGAAATTCTTGGCTTCAAGCCGCATCAGGTAATCGTTAGCTGGAATGCTTTCCAACAGGACATTAAACCCCCGTCGGAGGTCTCGCTTTGTGTCTTCATCTCCATGGGAGCCTAACGGGTATTCGTGTTGCTCTTCGCCGTGGTGCTCATATTCATGGCCGGGACTTTGCCCTGCGTTAAGGTTTTTCAACATCTCTCTTGCGGTGATGAGGTGATCGTTTGCCCGGGTCGCGACTTTGAAGATAGCATCTTGGAAACCTTCAGCACGAGGACCGTTTCGGTAGACATCTTCCTCCTTTAGACCCGTCTCTGCCATGACGTCTAGCGGTAGCAACAAAACTGGGTTCCTACCGCTGCCGACACTGGCGCCATCGGGTGATTTAACAGGCGGTGAAGGGGCTGCTAAAAAGGGGACACCTCGAAGGATAGCCACAATACCACATGCTTTTCCAATGTGACTAGCTAGATGGTCCATGTGCATCGAATTAATAGAGAGTGCTGCTAGATTTGAATACATCAGGGTTGAGTAAGTATTCTCCGCATACTCCTCCAACGAAGATAGACTGGTGAACGGTCTATTATCCATATATTGCTCTCGAGTATTAATCAGACGTAACAGCCAGAACTTGATAGAGCTTGGATTGCCACCCATCTCCTCGAGATCCGTTATGACCTTGTAAAGTAAGGTCATAATAGGCTCTTTTGGAGGCTTGCCGGCGAAAGTGTCATTGACAGCATCTCGCCAGAATTGCATCCTCATCAAACCAATGGTGGGGTTTGATACAAGCTCTGGAAGCCGGACCAGCTCAAGATTAAAAGCTCGCAAGGCATCATAAGCATCCTGGCGGTGTTTGGGTAGTATATTCCGAATCAAGTAAGAATTATAGTCAGACTGTCTATTTCAATTAGCCTCGTGAATCTGAAGCATCCTGCTCCAAAAAGGAAAGAGAAAAAGAAACAAGAGAACCTCGCCAAAGATCCTACCTCAGCTGCGCGACACAATATTGTCTTGCCTTATCTACATCGACATCGGTTACATAAGATCTTTTTGAAGATCGTAACTGATGCCTAGGCCATCGTAGGCCTGGACGTGCTCGGGTCACACGATACATAAGAAGTCAAAATTATACCAATCGATCCATTGTATTAGTTAGTAGGTTAGGTTAGGTACCTGTTATTGAATCGCGAAACGCTTTGACTACGTGGATTTTTTACTGGAGCTACAAAAACTTTGGCGTAGCATAAAAATGATATCATGCTGCCGGATTGTGGGGCTTTCTATTTTTTTTTGGACTTTAATAGATTAAAACGCAATCACGTGATTACACGCGTTAAAAGAAGTCGCGTCTCGATCCCATTAAAGGTAACCTACCAATCGGGAAGTTTTCGCCGAAGCGCGTTTCTGTGCTTGCCATCTGTCGTACGTCGTAATGGAAATTGTTGTGGACGAAAGATAATCGTTACTTCCGATGCTTTCCTGATCTTGTGTTACTGCAATTTCTGCGCTTTATATACACTAGTCCTATTTGTCCTTTATTCGCCAAACTTTTACTATATCCTTATCCGTGATACCTTTTACGTTCGATGTTCCCTTAGCCAACAACCCACTGCTTATACTTCTTAATTCGCTACGAACGACTCCAATGAATACGCAATGAGCATAGAAGATTCGGGAGAACCCCCCGCTAAAAAGAGGAGGTTTTTCGCCGACCCAGAAGATGAGGATATTTCGAGCCAGCAATGTTTACAGGGGACGTTACCTCTCGTAGAGAAGACCATCGACCATGTTTCCAATCAAGTGTCAACGACAAGCGCATCTGGTGCGCATCCCACGGAACCTACATCTACAACGGATCAAGCGATGATATTTGACGAGAACACGTTCCAAAGCATTGTGGGCGACAGTATCGATTCCGAGGCATTGAAAACTATCGGCGAAAAATGCGGGAACGACCTTGAACGGGCTGTCAATATGTATTTTGATGGTACATGGAAGAAGTTTCGCTCTCAACCATCCAAAAACAAGACAGCAGCACTTTTCCTACCTCGAAATTCCTCAAGCAGTGTATCCGATAATTCTAAGGAACCCGGCCCCCCGCCAGCACAACCCCAATTATTACAGTACATGCCCGATAGTCGCTACATAGGCGCATTCGGTGTTGAAGGGTGGGCTACTCGAAGTGGAACGAACTTATTAAAACACGGAGATGTCGTTAAGATCGAGCGCCAGAAGATTCAGCTACCAGGCGCGTCAATAAAGACAAAGGGCAAGGGGAACTCGCCACTACCTGTTCGAGTGAATTCGGCTGCCGCTAGACGTGTTGACGTTATCGTGAGGTTTACGGATTCTCGGGGAACTGAGATTGGACGGCTGGCTAAAGAAACGGCAAACTGGGTATCTTCTCTTATGGACCAGAAGGTCTGTAGGTTCGAAGGTAGCTGTGTTTACGCCCCGGAGAGATTAAGGACCAATGACACCGTATTCCTGCAATTGCGGTGCTTTTTAAAGAAGTCCGCTTTCGAGAGCACAGGTTTTCAAATGTCTGACAACCGGTCAACTGGTCTTTTCGAGGAAAAAGAAACTGGTGAGGAGCGGAACCTACGCTTACGACAAGTAGCTCTTGTGCGATTGTTTCAAGAGATCAATCTCACGCCCTCGAGAGGCAATGCGGCCGCAGCTAGAAGCGCGCGGCAAGGTCTCCTTAATGCTGCTGAGATGGCCGAGAAAAATAGCAATGATACTTCTAAATCTACAAATCCTGGTTCGTCGCCACCGTCGGAAGATGCTGAAGATGGCCAAGAACTTGAGCAAGATCAGCTTGATGCCCTGTATCGAAAAGCTCAATCATTTGATTTCAACACGCCTGAGGCTGAACCAGCCGAATCCTTCAATATGACACTTCGTCCGTATCAGAAACAGTCGCTGTATTGGATGTTAGCTAAAGAGAAAGATCGGAAGAATGAGGTTCGCGGAACGTCGATGCACCCTTTATGGGAAGAGTACGCCTGGCCAACAAAGGATGTGGACGATCAAGAGGTCCCTCAAGTTGACGGCCAACCTAACTTCTATATGAACCCGTACTCAGGCGAGATGTCATTAGAATTTCCCGTTCAAGAGCAACATTGCTTGGGTGGCATTCTTGCTGATGAGATGGGTCTCGGTAAGACAATTCAAATGCTTAGTCTTATCCATTCGCACAAGTCCGAAGCAGCAATGCGGAGTGCGGACACATCCCTTGGCTCTGTCAGCGACCTGCGGAAGCTTTCTTCTAGGTTTGGTATGCTTCCCGCGCCTAAGACCACCCTTGTTATTGCTCCGATGTCACTGCTTTCACAATGGCAAAGTGAGGCAGAAAATGCATCCAAAGAGGGCACGCTAAAGTCCTTTGTCTATTATGGCACAGAAAAAATTAATAATCTCCAAGCCCTTTGCTGTGATGCTAATATTGCCTCCGCCCCTGATATCGTAATTACGAGTTATGGTGTAGTTCTTTCAGAATTTACTCAAATCGCTTCCAAGGCAGGCAATAGAGATTTGCACAATGGCCTGTTTTCGTTGGACTTTTTTCGAATTATCATCGACGAAGCCCATACTATTAAGAACCGCCAGTCGAAGACTGCAAAAGCTTGCTACGAACTTTCGGCTACACACCGTTGGGTTCTTACGGGAACCCCCATCGTAAATCGCTTAGAGGATTTATTTAGTTTAGTCAGGTTTCTTAGGGTTGAACCGTGGAACAACTTTTCCTACTGGCGAACATTTATTACCGTTCCATTCGAGTCCAAAGATTTCGTGCGTGCCCTTGATGTGGTGCAAACAGTACTAGAGCCCTTGGTGATGAGAAGAACGAAAGACATGAAGACGCCCGAGGGACAACCGTAAGTTATAACATCATGTACCCACTCATACCATTCGAGGGTTTAATACTGACCTTGTCTATCTAGTCTTGTTCCCCTACCCCCAAAATCAATGGAAATTGTCGAGGTTGAACTCTCCAAGGCCGAGCGAGATGTTTATGATTACGTCTTTACTAAAGCGCAACGTACGTTGTCTGCCAATGTCGAGAAGGGCACGGTCATGAAAGCCTACACCACCATCTTCGCTCAAATCCTCCGTCTACGGCAGACGTGCTGTCACCCAATCTTGGTAAGGAACCGAGATATTGTCACTGAAGAGGAAGCCGCCGAAGCAGAAGCGGATGCAGCCGCAGGGTTTAGCGACGACATGGACCTCCAATCCCTAATAGAGCGGTTCACGGCAACTACGGGCGATGAGAAGGATGCTAATGCCTTTGGCGCTCATGTCCTTCAGCACATTCGGGACGAGGCGGTAAATGAATGCCCTATCTGCTCAGAGGAGCCAATGATTGAGCAGACGGTCACCGGCTGCTGGCACTCTGCTTGTAAGAAATGCCTGCTAGATTTCATAAAGCATAACACGGATCGGCACCAAGTGCCAAAATGCTTCAATTGTCGCGAACCTATTAACAGTCGCGATCTTTTCGAAGTGGTTCGGGAGGATGATGATGACCCTGAGAAGATACAAGCTTCGCCCAAGATTAGATTGCAGCGCTTAGGCTCAAACGAGTCTTCGTCAAAAGTGGTGTCGCTGATGAAACACCTCCGTGAGCTGCGCAAGGAGCACCCGCGCATGAAATCGGTCGTCTTCAGCCAGTTCACGTCCTTCATATCGCTCATCGAGCCGGCGCTCGCCAAGGCCAACATGCGGTTCCTCCGGCTCGACGGCTCGACGAACCAGAAGGCGCGCTCGGCCGTCCTGAACGAGTTCCGGGAGTCGGGCAAGTTCACCGTCCTGCTGCTGAGCCTGCGGGCCGGCGGCGTCGGCCTCAACCTCACCCAGGCCAAGCGCGTCTTCATGATGGACCCCTGGTGGAGCTTCGCCGTCGAGGCCCAGGCTATCGATCGCGTCCACAGGATGGGTCAGGACGAAGAGGTCAAGGTCTACAGGTTCATCGTCAAGGACAGCGTTGAGGAGCGCATGCTGAAGGTCCAGGATAGGAAGAAGTTCATGTGAGTGTTTCCCTTTATCTTTGGGTCGTTTTTATTGTTATAAGGTACCTAGGTAGGTACCTAAGGTGTGGTATCACTTGCTAACATATTACTTTCCTTTTCTAGTGCTACTTCGCTGGGCATGATGAGCGATGAGGAAAAGAGACTCCAGAGAGTCGAGGATATTAAGGAATTGTTAAGCTGATGTGGATAGAGTGAAGGTTGTGGAGTTGGGATGGATTGAATTTCGTCCCGGTCTACCCTAGGTATGGCGAAGTATTTACCTATCTTAGGTACCTACCTAGGTACCTGGTATATTGTAGAATAGGCATAACTCGGCGTTGCCTTTAGTACAAACATAAGAACGTCCGGTTCGCGATGGATCCTGGAAGCTTTTGGGGATCAGCTATAAGCATAAGTAGCGCTAGCTTTAACCCAGGATCCTTCATGTAACTTTACAAGCTATAGAAGTCATAAACATGGCACAACGCGTAAAATATCTAATGATACGAATGATTGAAAATCAACGCAACGGTCAATTCAAAGGCGTTATATAGCCTCTTCAGAGTGAGAGGTACTTTAGATATCAAAGCACGTCCGGTTCTACTCGTGTATTCTAAGCCCCTACCCCTCTTTAAACCAGCCAGCCTCTGTCATCTGTTCCGCAGTTACCATTGACATTGACATTGACATTGACACCAACATTTCCAAAGATTTCCATGACCCAATCTTTGCTAGCCGGTTTACTCACCTCGATAACCCCAATCATCGTTGACAAGTCGACGCTATCGCCATCCATCATACATAGCTCTTCGTTACAACGTTTAACATACAGCAGCTCCATATATCGTAACTCATTTCTTAGCCTATTCCACGAGGCCACTACAGTCAAGGTAACCTGCCGCTATACTCTGATAAACAAAGAGAACAAATTCCAAGGTGCGCATGTAGTAGACACGTCACGGAGGAGAGTGCCGCTCGGCAGACGAAGCATTGCTGCTAGAATCGCTGATCTCCTCGACGACGCCGCTGCGATCGAGGGAGAGCTTCTCGTACTCTCCGAGGAGGTAATCGAGAGTGTTCCTGCTGGGATCTCCGGCGTCCTTGTCGCGGGTGAGGATGGGGGCGACCCACTGGGCCTGGACGTACTGCGTCATGAGAGGCATGTCGTCGTCGCGGGGGCCCTGGTTGGAGAAGAGGTGGGTGCGCACGAGGTCGAGGTCGTTGGCTTTCATGCGGTCGCGCAGGATCCGGTACACGAGCACGGCGATGTGGTAGTTGTGCCCTTGGTCGTACAGGCCCTTGGCACACAGGATCAGCGTCGACCGCAGCGACTCGATGTCGGCGGGGGGCGAGAGCGCGGCTATGGCTGGGGGCACCGGCATGCCGGATTTGTCGATCTTTTGTAACGTCGCGTCGCCCAGGAACAGCAGCCAGTGCATGATCAGCGGGTCGTAGCCCTCGAAGCTGTGGCGCAGGTAGTATAGCCGGAGGAGTGTCTCGAGACGTACTTCGGCGTGCGTGATTATGTTGTGCCACGTGAGGTCTAACGTAAACCCGGGTTGCCTGAGGAAGCGAATGAGCGTGATCATGTTGCCGTAGTACTCGATGCTAAGAATCTAACGGTTAGAAATGCTAGGGCATACAGACCTGCATCTACATATCCATATGTATGATAATAGGTAAAGGGGACGGAGACCTGGCTTACTGGATTTTAATATGATCTGGGAATACGATCTTCGTAGGCGATAAAACGTCGGGAAGGTTAACGAACCAGTTGTCCAGCCGGGACTTACACTCGAGCGCCTTCTCAACACTAATGCAAGGCGCTTTGCCCTCCTCGAATAATTCCAGCGCCATTTGGTTCATTAGGTGCCGCAGTTCGAAATTTGCTTTGATAAGGTGGCCCAGGTCTACTGAGTGCAGCCTAGGGCTCATCGGATATCGAATCCAGATCTCGCCGTAAAATTTTGGGTCGGTCACAGGGTCTGGCAGCGGGAATTCGGGGGCTTTCTTGAGATGGGGCGGCGCGGAGAAGTAGAAACGCTGCCAGCTATATCCGATTAGCAGAGCATAAAAGCGTTAGGGGGGGTTATTTCTTCTACATACGCTTGCCAGGTATAGATCCCCCAGGCTGTGAAAGCTCGAACTCTTCGCAGCGATTGGTCGTCCGTACCGACGCGGGCACTAAACAGATCCATCTCCTCCGCCATGGCCATCGCCTGCAGAAGGTAAGACGTGCCAACCTTATCCATGGCCGTAGTGGTAGATACGATGCCGAGTAATATAGCGGCCTGGATTGTGGGTAGGCTACCAGTATTCCTCCGGCTCTCAACTTCCCAGAGTCTTTTCGCTTCGGCCATGAACCGGTAACCGAGAGTCTGGGGAACCCAGAACTTATTACGATCCGGGATCTCTCGACACATGTGCTGGATACCAAATGGTCAGTCGGTGGTATCAACTACGATCCGGTCTACTAGACTTACACATGCAGCGGCAAGCGCGGCGTTAACTAGTAAAGATGAGCAGAAATCGGTTCGCCCCGAAATCATGTCTTTGATGAAAGGTTCGATATGAAAAGCTGCAGTCCAAGGGTGCTGGTATAATACGTAGGAAGTGAGCAATCTTCTCAGTAAATGGTTGTCCGACGACACGCTAGTCCATTTGGACACGTTTACATCGTCGAAACTGGGTTCGACAACCTGAGCCGCATGATAGGGCTTGAGGTATCTCTCGTCGCCGTACCCTTCACGTTGAGTTTCAGTTTCAAATCCATGAGTAGGAGGGGCACGAAACGTAGTCTCATAAACAAATGACCGTAGGTAGAGGTTGTCTGACATGAGGATGTAGGAAGGCATATCGCGAATATATGGGAATTCGTACCGACGACGAGCTTCAGGGGCTAGGGAAAGCTGTATGAGGAGATCCCCATCCCTTGCATGACGCAGGATAGAATTAACATCATCACCCGTCCGGATTCTCCGAAGGATCTCGAGGGTTTCGGTTTCGGATTTTGTCTTGAGCAGACCGAATAATTCCTCGTAGGGGGTTATTCGGTTTTGTAATTCATGGTGTTTCCTCTTCAGGGCCTGGGAGTGAGTCTCTGCAGGAGCCGTAGCGTATCGGCATTCGGATCCGTGTCTCAGGCAGAGGCTACACTTTGGGCGCTCAGCGTTACACTGCGAGAAAGCAAGGGGGTGGTTAGTCGTGATACATTACACGAGATCGTCCCGGGTATTGGTGATGTGATTACTTTTGACTTCCTCTTCCGACATGCCTCGCACGCGGCTGTAACCTGTCTCCTCCCTTTAGATCCAGAACCTGCCGAGGCACCGTGACCTGAACTACCTGCCGGGGCCGGTGCAAGTGGAACAAGACGACGTCTCTTATTAGAAGCTGAACCAGCTGGTGGTGTTTCCTGCTCCATGACAAGTGGATGTTTTTTTTCTGTAATATGTAATGTATGAGTGAGTTGACAAAGCCAGCCACTCCACCCAAAATTCAAAATGTTTACAAGTATGTTAGGTACGGTACTTGAGGTACTTAAGAGGTAGGTTATCTACCTCCTAAAGGTTAGGTACCTACCTGTAGGTATGTAATCAGCGGAGTTTTTTCCGGCAAACTGTCCGCAGGGGAAACCACGACGATGCTACAGGTAATGTATAGGTAAGTACCTCTACGGCGTGATTTACTCTACGAGATACTTTATCCAAGCAGGCTGGGCCTACCCTTGGGGGGCCATAGCAAGCCCATGGAAGCCATGGGTTAGCACTACCTGCCCTGCATATAGCTGAGCACCCCCCCCCCCAGGACTATAGCCTAGCCACTTTAGGTATAGAGTACTACCAAGTCTCCACAACCTAACCGTCTTTTCCTACGATTATTCCGTAGTTCCTTGTGTAACCTATACTAGTTCGACACTAATCGGTAATCTCAATGTTTTTTGTTATTTCAGGATTTTGACACTTCTAAAATCGCTCAAGAGTTGGAGAAGGTTGGTGCTTCGTAGTAAGTACTAGTAGTATACTCGAGTTATTAACTGCAGTGCAGGTAACTTAGGTATGCTAGAGAGCCATCTGGTATCCAATCATTTTCAAAGAAACTGCTAAAAATGGTATAAAGTGGGTCTTCTCAACGATTTGAATAGCCTCAATTATGGATCTCTGGCAACCAACAAACGGGAAGAAACTGTGCTACATTAGGTTAAGGTTAAGTTAGGTTAGGTACTTTGTAGCTACAAAACAAACCAAGCAGCTTTACTAAGTCATTACATAGTATATAATTAGTTGAGTTCTCTGAACAGCTGCAAGTTTTATTCTACCGCATAATAGGTAGTTTGGTTAATATAAGACAATGGACTAGGTAAATCTAATTGAATAGAGACCGCTACTAATAAAACAATTAGCATGTTTTTATTAAGATAGTATCAAACAACTATTATGAGGTAGAGCTATAAGCCAGTGAAATTTTCATTTCAAGAGAGATCAAATACTCTTAAGCTACCTAGCAATGATACAATCTTCATCGGCCTTTTGTTACCTTCGGTGGCCATGGTAGCAGACTGGTAGTGGTTAATCTTACTCACGTATCGAAAAAAGAGGTTGGTGTGTTCCATTATAATGATAATATTCAATTTTAAACCAATTTTAGAACCTAACTATAATCATTTTACTTCTAACTATATACTTTTTCTCTTCTGGCTTCTTATAGTGTGATTGCCTACATAACAACAATATTAATAGTTTGCCCGAGTCAATACTCATCGTGCTGTGTTGTCCTTATGAAACCAACACCCAAGATAGTTACTAGATGAGATGATTTCATACTGGGACTAGCAATAGAAGTATAGCTGGATTATGCCTTTCAGAATATGCTCATTTGCCTATTATTTGTGCTAGGCGACCTGCGCAAGGCCTGCCTTCTGAAAAAGGGATGCCCCGCGCTACAAAATTACAGAAAATCGAGCTCAGAGGTGTTTGCCAGGTTCAAAAAGACCACCTATCAGTATACACGAGTGCCAATAACCTCCAGCTGCTTTTGCATATAGGTAGTATGTGTTATTTTGCTCTAGTCTTTTTCCTTTGGCCTGGCGCCATTGTATTTCATTTAACAATTGTGCTTCACTATCCGAAACTTAAGGCTTACTTCATTGCTTCAGACGTACAGTACATATATAAATAGGTACCCGAAGCTGGGTATGAACTTTGCCGACTAGGTACTAATCACCATAGTTGAGCTATATACCTATCTAAAGGCATTGCACTCAATGGAGTATAAACTTGAAGCCAAAGTAAAATTGTAGTGGTCCCTAAGTATTAAGTCCATAGACACCTACTGTCACGTCGCAGAGCATGAGGTAGGAAAACAACCTCGTTGTTCCGCAAAGAACTCTAACTACAGTAGCTTTGAAGTCAAAGCTATATACGAAGCTACTCCTTTGTTCCAAGGAGTCTCAAGTGAGACTCCTGACACCTACCTCGGGTGAAGAGCAGGCAAGGAACATCAATCTCCTTACAATGCACTGGAAATAGTGGATAGTGTTAGTAAATAAGGCCATAATTCCCCAGATATCTGTTCATAGATGGTAGTGTCACCTCCCCTATGGTATATACTCGGCGTTCCACTTCTTTCAGTTGGGCAGGAGTGCAGATGTGAACTGCCACAGATTGAAAGGCAACAAAATACTTTTTCGAGTATATAAACAGTACCTAGCACTGCTACCTAGCTCTTATGTAACTCTGCGAGATAAATTTGATGACGAGGGTATTTATTATTATACAAAAACTACCTACCTTCCAGGCGAAGTGACATATCAAGAGACAAAAAGGTATAGGCCAATATATGTAAGAGCCTCGGCACGCTGGTGACAGCTTGTGTACCATGCTGTACTCACTTACCCGTTGTATGGATCACATCTGTGAGTAATCAACCCAGCCTCTTATCTCACATTACTCTTACGAAATTAGGAAGGCAAATCGAGAAGTCACATTAGCAAGGGCCTTAGAGTAAACCAGTGCAGCAGACCCTCTTCTTAAACCTACCCGTATGGGGCTTCCCGCCAAGCATACTCATGGCTTACAAAACCTGGCCTCTATAGGCAAACCCGTATCCCAAGATCGTGAGAGCTGCCTAGCTAGGGCTAGTCAGTCCAGTCGATGGAGTCGATATGGGAAGTTTCCCGAATCGGGGTTCTAGACTCCGGAGGCGGGGAGGCGATTGGTTGGCGACATCCCCGGCTTTTTGGACACCGACGGAACCCGTATCGTGTCTTACAAGATCGGCATCGAGGAGGCTGGCTATACCTTGGTGTTACCTACGGCGACTGCATATCGCACGTAGGTATCTCTGTTGGAACTGCTGCCGCTACTAGATAATAACTAGTAAGGTACATCGGGTTCTTCGCACGCCTCGTTCTGGAGGCTGAATGATCGTCGGTGATCGAAATCCCGAAGAGATAACACCTACATGTCTGTACTGTTGCTCTGTAGCTACACACTCCAAGAGGGGAATTCGGCCCTTTCTGGTTATCTTATTCTCGAGATTCTGTTGCATCGTGGATGACGAGCACTTGTTAGCCGCTATTTGATCGCGACCTAGGCCGTAGTGTGCTTTTAATACGAATGCACGTAAGGATGGCGTGCGTGCGCAAGAGATATAGGTAGTCGTCTAAACTCTTGGCCCTGTTGTACATAGTATGTAGGGAGGTATCTCTCGTCTCCAACCCCTCCCTCTCTCTCTTACCCACTCGTCCGGATTCCGATATCAACCTTGTCAACGAAGGAAAACAGTCACGCAGTCACGCAAGTCACGAAAGCAGAGAGCCGCCAAGAGCCTCCATTGGCGTGGGGACGAGCGGCATTCCTCCTGCCTCTCTCGGCAATTGATAGACATGTGCGGCAAACAGCCAACCCTATTAATCCTGGAGTGTTCTATACTTCCTATGCTATAATCACTAAAAGACGGCTGCCGATTGGACGGCGCCTCGACGTGGGTACGGGGCTGGGCAAAAACAACAAGGGACCGGCTTTCCTCAGCACTACTATGCAAATGGCAATTCTTTTTGAACCGTTCTGGCCGTCTCCATCCGTCTATACCAAACGGTGGCGTAATTGGGCGCCAAGGTCTAGGCGCAGGCCAAAGTGCCGGGGGTTAGTCCAGAATCCGAACTCATGCCGAGCTGCTCTACATATTAAATCGTCCACCCACCTACCCCTTTGGGTATATTGGGAATGCTACGACAGTATCTACGCTCATGATGCCATTTCCCCCAAGACGAACATCCTCGTCGATATGTGGTCGTGCGTATTGGCATCGACGGCTTCTCGATCCGAGCTACCTTATCGCCGTAGCCCTCACGGATGAGTACTTAAGGGCGAGTCAGGGCGAAGTCAGCTTTGAACTTGGTCTCTCCCCCCTTCTTCTTCTGCGTCTTCATTGCTCGGATACAAGCCGAGAGGATCTGTAAATCGTAGTGTAGAAACGTGGGGAACAGACGTCAAGCAGAATGAAGTACTCTCTGAACGCAATCGCCCTCGCGGCGCTCTCCAGCTTCGCGGCCGGAAAGGAGTTACCGCCCGACGACAAGCTGGCGGCGGAGATCTTCGACAGCGGTTTGCGACACGAGCACATCATGTCGACCAAGATGGTATGGATTACTTCACTAGCCTAACGTACCTCCTAATGTTGAGTAGAGAGGAGCTCATGCTAACTTGAACCCGCAGGCGTACTGGGACAGCCGAAGAGAGCAAGGTCTTTTCGACTCTACCCGATACAAGAGCATGGATGCCTCCGTTGACGTGGTCCCCTGCGTGAATGGAATCGCTAAGCTCCACGCCGGCGACCCGCTCTACACGTTCAAGTGCAGCAAGCTCGACCTATACGACTTCAAGTCGCACGTGGACCTCGGCAGCAACAACGGCGAAGGTGCCGGCTCGTGGGGCTGGACCAGCCCGGACGGACGCGAGTTCGTGGCCATCGCGCAGTCCGACGGCGCGGCGTTCGCCGAGATCAGCCCCGAGGGAAAGCTCATCTACCTCGGCCGGCTGCCGCAGTACCCCACCGCCCAGCCCTCGCTGTGGCGCGAGATCAAGGGCTACAAGAGCTACATCGTCATCGGTAGCGAGGCCGTCAACCACGGCATCCAGGTCTTCGACATGTCCAAGCTGCTGGACGTCGACCCCGCCAAGCCCGTCACCTTCAACAACAAAAACGACATCTCCCACTTCAGCGGCCTGCCCACCGGCCGCTCCCACACCGTCCAGACCAACGAGGAGGTCGGGTACGCCGTCGCCTCGGGCGCGCAGCCGCGCAACTCCGCCTGCGCGTCCGGCCTCATCTTCATCGACCTGTCGGACCTGTCCAACCTGACATCCCCGGGATGCGCGGCGGCGGACGGCTACGTGCACGATGCGCAGTGCCTGATCTACCGGGGGCCGGACGAGAAGTACGTGGGGGAGGACATTTGCTACGGGTACAACGAGGACACGCTGACGATCTACAACGTGACGAACAAGGCGCGGCCGTCGATCATCTCACGGACGTCGTACGAGGGCGCGAGCTACACGCACCAGGGGTGGGTGCTGGACACGCAGTGGCAGCAGTACCTGGTGCTGGACGACGAGTACGACGAGTACGACGGGGCGGGGCTGGGCGCGGCGGGGTACCCGATCACGTACATCTGGGACATCTCGTCGCTGGAGGCGCCACGGCAGACGGGGTACTACCAGGCGTCGCGCAAGGGCATCGACCACAACCAGTTCGTGCACGGGGACTACGTGTACCAGAGCAACTACGGCGGCGGCCTGCACATCCTCGACATCTCCTCCATCCCGTCCGACCCCACCGGCAAGAGCGTCTCCGAGGTCGCCTACTTCGACATCTACCCCGAGGACGACGACGTCGAGGGCGGCGGCCAGATCGAGTTCCAGGGCACCTGGTCTCACTACCCGTACTTCAAGAGCGGTTACATCCTGATCAACACCATCGAGCGTGGTGCCTACGTCGTTAAGCTATCTTCGTAAGGAGACAGATCCTTAGAATAGCTCTCATCTCATCCCATCTTATTTGTGATGAAGTTAAAAGAGTACTCGGGAAAACTGAGATATAGTAGCTGAATAGACATGAATTGATGAAATACCTCTCATAGGAAACCTAGTGGTTTGATCAATACTTGTGAATACTTGTGATAATACAGTACCGTAGAATATGAGCGCCGTCTACCTAACCTATACTACACCTTAGCCATGCATATTCACATTATAGAATTAAGAATCCCGTTTCCCCTGCCCCGGAGTGACACTCGACACCTCCTCCCCCTCCTTCTTCCTCTGCAACAAATAATCCCCACCCCGCCACGCCTTATACACCCCATACAACCCCTGAAACGGGCGAACATCGCGCAGCGCCGCCGGCATCCTGGACCCCTCCGCAGCCCTCCTCTTCGCGCCCTCGTCAACCTTGACCTTGTCGTACACGCTCGGCAGGTGCGCGGCGCGGTACCTCTCGCGCACGGCGTCGTACGCGCGCCTGTCGTACGCGCTCCAGAACTCCTCCTCCGTGTAGTACGCCTGCGCGTACAGCGTCTTGTTGCCGCCTAGCTCGTGGACCTTCGTTTCGATCGCGCGGTTGCGGCGCACTAGCTCCCGGTAATCGTCGTTGCCGCCGGGCCCCGGCCCCCAGATGCCGAAGTTGAGCATGAACTCGGGATAGTCCGGGTCGGCGAAGCCCGCGTGCAGCCCGTGCGCCGCGTCGGGCGTCGCGCGCCGCAGACGCAGCGGGCACAGCCAGATCGGGTAGATGTTCAGGGCCCGGTCGGCCCAGTCGGAGAAGCCGTCCGCGGCGTCGAAGGGCACGCACACGTCCTGGATTATATACGTGTCTGACAAGCGGCTCTTGTGCAGGGCGTGGTACATCACGCGGGCGTGCATATACCGATCCAGCACGAAGCGCGTGATTCGGTTGAAGGGCACGAAGAAATACTTGTACGCGTACCGGGCTACCCAGAAGCCGCCGCGATCCCACCGGAACAGGTAATCATTTAACGGAATGTAGTCAACGACCGGGTTATCCGCTTTCCTGGCTCGCTTCTGGACGTCTAAGTAGAACCACGGGTCGCTCCGTCGCAAGTACCGTCTAGGCTTGGAACCTACGGGTATGCTATCGACTAGACGGCCAGCACAGACGACGGCCGAAGTGGGAGAAAAGACAATAGCGTCGAGATACTCGACAGCCGGATTCTCCAGCTGCTCCTGGATCTTCTTCCTCGCATCCGGAAAGCTTCCGGCGGGATAATGCGTCAGCTCGACGAAGGCCTTCGCATCTCTGAGCTGGACCTCCAAAAGCGTGACGACGCCGACGGTCCCGAAGCCCGACGCGGCGCCCCAGAAGAGGTCTGGTTTCTCGAACTTGGACGCGCGCGCGACTTCTCCGTCGGGCAGGACTATTTCGATCCAGTTGATGGTGGAATCGAAGGCGCCGTGGCGGCACGAGCTGCTCTCGCCGGCCGAGCCGCTGAACCCGCCGGCGACGGTAATCCCCGGGAACTCCATGACCACTAGCGGGACCAGCCCGGCGCTTCCGGTCGCGTCCAGGAGACTATCCATAGCGACGTTCGGCTCCACCAGTGCCGTTTTATTGGCTTTATCAACTCTCAGAACATGGGTTAATTTGCTGGTGTCAACCGTGTTGTCGCTGTTCTTCTCCGAGGTGCGAGTGCTGTTTGTCGAGCCATGGTAGACCCGGAAGGGCCGGCGTTGCGCATAGAACTCTTGCAATCTCTTGGATATAGATGCTACGGCATCGTTGTGAGCGTCCATTATGAGTGACACTTTTAATGTATGAAATATGACCTGGTTTAAATTGATCACATAATGAACGCGTTGGCATGGGAAAACAATAAGTGAGTGAGCGTGGCTTAGACTAACGGTTGGCGGGCAGCTGCTACGCACTCGTGTTGTGTTGTATATTTCTATAGCAACCTACTGACATGTGAGTCGTGCTAGTTATACCCCCAAGGTAAGAAATCATAAGAGGGCAACTTGCATAATGATTAAAAGTATGTAAAAGAAAAATATAAATAATGTTTCGGTTCTAGTCCCATCGTCGTTAACAAACTTTGAGAAATGTTTGAGGTGCGACGATATCCGGCGGTTATTACGCTACCTACCTAGGCAGTTCACTATCCCAGGAGAGATTTTTATGTTTCTCCCCGACAGACCCAGTAGGCTAGATTTGTAAGTTGTATAAATCGTCTCTGATATTCCATCTATCCTGCATCGACTATTTTGATCCGAACTTTCTATACGCCTGACACCAGTCCAGGACTTTGTATATGCATTGGGTATCATTTGCATTATGCGCCGTTTAAGCAGACGCCTTCTTTGTAAATTACCAGTTCAACCTATAATATCAAAGATAATTATTAAAAAAAAAAAAAAAAAAAAAAAAAACAAAAAACACGAAGGCTCGTATGGGGTTCGTCCGGCGGTTTTGCTTAGATGGTGATCTAATTTTGACTACGTGCTCTTTTGAGCGTCATGGCACGTGCCCGCGCCCTCTTCGCTTGCTGCTTCTTCTTCCTGATGATATTCACGTGGTATCGCTGGCGGAACCTGACCAACCAAGCAAATATCGTGTCACGCATCAGGATTAAGATTGTCGCTGCCACAACAGGAATTGCAATGTACCAGCTATTTTTTTTTCGTTAGCTAAACCTTTTTATAAGAATTCTTGCCAAGGGGTGAACTTACAACTGATTAACAGAACCCTGTATCGCATCAAACTGGTTGAAATTCTGGCCAAAGTATCCAGTGATGAAGGTTAACGGCAAGAATATGATGGTAGCGGTGGTCAACTGCTTCATACTCTCATTTTGGTTGGTTGAGATGGTATTGAAAGTGAGGTTAATCATATGATCAGCCAACTCTTTAATCTGGTTGAGACCTTCCGTGAGGAGCACGCAATGATCGTACTAGAATATGTGAATTAGCAATCGAGTAGGAAAAGGGTCAAAAATGAACCCATATGGGTCGTGTCCATCGGAAATGGCAGCCAAAGGGAAGAGCTTCGAAATGTAGCATTTCGAGGAGAAACTTACCACATCGCCCAAGTAGGTATAAGCCATCGGTGAAATGATGACGACTCCACTAGGATTTTGCAATTCTCTTGCCGTGGCCTCCGGGCTCAGCTTTGTCTTATGGTCCCGGAGCGCACTGACGAGTGACTGGATCGGGTTGATAAGACTATACAACTTGCTAACTTCAGATATCACGATGTAGAGGAATTTGGTGTCGGTGACCTTGGGGCTAATGAAGAAGTCAAGTTCCAGATCTTCAATAACATCCCGATAACATGACGTGACCGGTATGGCCATGTCGATTATCGCATCAATGATGGCCTGCATAACCATTGATGCGTCGCAAGACTTCCTCAGGATGGTGGTGGGGCTTGCTAATCGAGACAAGATAGGCTTTTCCACGTCGTCAGCCGACTGCTCAAAGAACGCGATCACCGTGTTATCCGAAGTAATAAACATAGCAACCTGCTCCGCAGTGACTGCTACTCCTCTAGACACCAGAGCCGAGTTCTTCTCCATATATTCCGTTCGCGCAGAGTTTGGCGAAGCATGGAACCTCTGTAGTGTCCGCAGTGTGTTTGGGTTAAACACATTGGAGAGATTCGTGGGCTGATGCGTAAACCTTCGAATTGGTCTCGGCATCTGCATTGCGCCACTCTCCAGCATGGTCTCGCCTTTCGCCATATGTCCCGATATATGTCCCGATTGTCTATAGAACCATCCTCCAAGCCCCTTGCTTTCCCTCCTAACGCTCTTTTCATCATCGCTGCTCTCGTTGTCGCTGCTGTCATCCTCTACTATGCGGACCAGCTTCTGACAGGTAAGAAGGATGAAAGCGTGGTTGGCATACCTTGAGAAACATAGCGATTAGCCGCCAGATTTAAATCTAGTAGAATAACAGTCACTTACCAATCGGCTTTGGTGCGATTCTTGGTATTCATGATATCTTCGATGGCTAGACTATGGAGGCCTTTATATTTACCTAGGGCCTGAATAACATCCCATGATAAACCATTGACGTTGATCCATCGACATTTGACCCAATCAGGCTGTGGCTTCTGTACGAAGTCGATGAGTTCACGATTGTCCAACTCATGTACCTCCAAATTGTCTTGCGAGAAATCGACAACGGTAATCTGACACTCGGCATGGAGAGTCGGTCTCGTCTCTTGACCACCATCTGGCTTCGAAGGGTCAACACCTGGTTCAGCACCTGGTTTCCATCCTGGTTCATTCTCGAACTCGTCGAAATCTTCCACAGTCCGGAACGTATTCGATCTAGTCATACGTCGTCTGAATGGAGAGAGGGGAGAGGTGGGAGAGATGGGCGAGGCGTGAGGATTACTCTCGCCAGATTGCTGAGGAGTCGTGATCTTAACATGCGAACTCCGGTGAGAACCTGTTCGACCTCGTGGAACCTCCAAAGGCGCGGAAGCCGAAGTGCCTGGATTTGTGTCGAGATTGTGCATAGACATTGTTGTTCCCTTGGGACTGATGTCGGGCATATCGTACGGTACATCGGGGAACTTCTCCATGGCCGTGCTGTCAGAAGACCGTGACATTCCGTAAGACAAGGACTAATTGCCCTTTCAATAAGCTAAATGGGGTACAGATCAACAGAAAGAGTTGGAATAATAATACTGCGATGGAAAGAAACCGTTAGGACGACACATTAGGACGACACATTAGGACGACATTTACTAGACCAATTCTCTGGGATAGGTACAATTAAAAAAAGAAAAAAAAGAAAAAGAAAAAAAAGAAAAAGAAAAAAGTCGTGCCCCAGTGCGCGCGTTTTGCAAATTGCTGTCAATGACAACCCTACCAGTCTGAAACGTGCAGCTGAGAAATTGGGGGAATACTCACCACCAAACGATTTAATTACTGACAGATACCTAGAACTCCTATACAATCACGACGAAGGAGTTGGTGAACTGACCGAAGAGAGATATGAGATACTAGTACTAGGTAAGAATTCCCATATACACATTCGATGTCCACGCCGTTGTAGGAATATCTCACGAATGCACACATATATATTTTAAGAATGTTGAAGGTGTGTTTGAATACGATGGTTGGTGATTGCTGGGTTGCTAAAAAGGTAGGTAAATCCTCCCCCCCTCCCCACTTGCACCCGCACCTGCAGGCTTGGAGCTTGGAATAGGCTACCTTACCTGTTTCCCGACGGTTTCCACAACGCGACGTCAGGGGGTCACTTAGGTACCTACCGGTAGCAGTTGGAAAGGAAATGACGCTATTGGGTATCGGGTAGGTAGGAGGTATCGACCTTGCCTTGTGCCAACGCATTTACTTTAGGTCCCTGTCCCTGCCTATCTCATGTAGCAGAACAAAAATAGCCCAGGATTAGGACGTTCTAGACTCCGATCAAGCTTTCGTACCAGGTATTCATGTACCTAGGTACTATTATAAAGTTTTTCTCTAATGATTCACGCACCTAACCTGACATTTGTCTCCAAACTACCTACCAGGTAAGCTATAGTAATTGGGGTAAAGCTAATTGATATATGACGTAGTGGCGTTTTTCAAACAGCAGCTCTTTACTTCACATGCCCAGTTTGAATCATGCAAACACCATTGACTCTTATCAAATCAAGTCATTTACTATACAATCAAGTTACCTACCTAAGTAATTACCTACATAAAATATAGGCAGGTATTCTCCAATTTACAATACCTTACTCCCCAAAGTCGTACGTACCTCAGTAATAGATACCTGTAGGTACCTACCTAGGTCTAGGTAGCTAGCTACCATGGATGGATATGAAGCTCGTCGGCTTGAAAATATTAAACGCAATGAAGCGCTCGTGAAAGATCTAGGGATCCAGAATAATACAATAATCTCCCCAAGAAAAGGAAAACAAAAAACCGGGAACCAGAATCAATCCCCTGCAAAACGTCGCAAATTGTATATCAACCCCCCCACGCGGTCATCGGCCCGTATCGCCAACGCCAACGCCAATGTCAATACCTTATCAAAGCAGCCCACCACTCCTAAACACGTCCACGATGAATCAGATTCGTCCGGTAGTCGGCCTCGTAAAGGCCAGGCGAAGAAACCCGGCCCCAACACAATAGCACCTAAACTCCCCAGTCCAGAACCAGATCCTAGCCCGGACGTCGAGTCCCTAATTGCGAAATGGTCGTCGTGGACGCTCTCCGCCTCTCCCCCAACACGCGACGAGGAAGGAACCTACCACTTCGAATCGCATCCCGAATTTACCCCTAACAAGTGCCCCGAGGATATCATCCGCGAGGGGGCTTTCGGGGGACTTACTGGCGTCCGTATTACTCCCGACGTCTCCGCACTACCATCCGCGACGACTGGAAAGAGCTACCGTCGGAATGGACCGACGGTATCGACGTGGAGATGTATCTGACTAGCGAGAAGGCTGACTCGGAGGCCAACAAGTACGGCGTCATCTGCGGGCAGAGCATCGAGGAGTGGGAAGCTAAGGGGTGGATCGTGCACGAGTACGACGTGCGCGGCTGGTTCCAGTGGTACTGCCGGTTCTGGCTAGGACGCCGCTGTCCGGACGACAACCGCCAGGTGAAGAGGTGGAAGGGGTGCGTGGGAGAAACAGGGAGATTCCGCAGATCTCTTCTTAGGAAGTACGTGCAGAATGGCGTACGCACCGTAACTGACGAGGGTGATGGAGATCAGAAGGGCGAGGTAAGTCTCGTGCTACACCAGACATGCCATCATTGGGCTTGGGAACCTAGACAGGAGGTCCTAGACCGGTTTTGGGCGGGGAGTAAATAGTTCGCCTAATAATCCATGATATCTTGGATATCTGTGTTGAGAGTTGTAAGAACAATGTGAACTCTAGGTACCTGATATGCAGCTGCTAGGTAGTGGTAGAAGTTATCTCTGGGAAAAAAGTGAGTTCTTGATTAATCTTCAATATTATTTCAATCCATTTCTTCCCTTCCGAACCTACTCTTCGTAACCGTACGTTAGGAAGCTACTTGCTAACCACCCATTCTGTGCGTTAAATTCATCGAAAAAAGTCGATCCATGGAGCACCTTATAATTCGCCATCTCTCCACAGCCTACTGTAGAGTTCCCGTCGCATTCGTGATTCCCACCCTGGCCAAGCAGACCAGCTATACGCATTCCCACATCCCGACCTTCAAACCAAGCCCCGTGTAAGAACCCATAGTACTGCGCCGAGGTGGCCTCGCCGGCGAACCAAAGCCGGTCGACGTTGGCTCGAAGGTTTTGGTGCTTCTCTAACGTCATGCCTACCGGCCAATTGCTATAAGAACCGTAGGCCCATCTTGGGAATAATTATCAGCACCCCATATCTCTAAATCAGACGTTTCTTACTCACTCTTCTGTGCTCCATCGCGGATAGTGAAAGTCGATAGGGTCAGGGATCTCCTTGTCCGGAAACATCTTCCTAAGCACCTCCATGACCTCGGCCTTCGTCTCCTCGTCGGACTGCTGCTCGACCCTGTACGACTGGCCGTCGACCACCGTCACGAAGATGATGTTGGACTCTTCCATGAAGCCCGGGGCGGAAAGCGACTGCCAGACGGGGTAGTAGCCCCGGGACTTGTCGTCGGCGTACAGGAAGAATTGCGTGTTCCGATCCCAGAAGGTCTCGTTGAATTGCAAGAAGATCTTGGTGTACGTTCCCATCTGGAATTGCTCGATGGCTTCGCGCTTCCAGCGCGGCAACGGCGGGTCGAATTCCACTACTTCGTTTTGCAACACACCTAGCGAAAAGGTTGCGACGGCATCTGTGATTCTTAAATTAGTAGTCGTCGTTATAATAGAAGGCATAATGCTCCGGGTGCCAGCAAAGCTTTAGGAATGTCTGACTTACGCTGAGCTTCGATGCACCCGCCATCTTGCAGCTGCACAACCACGCCTTCAGGGCCGTACGAGATCGTCTTTACCGTAGTCTCAAGCAGAAGCCGCGGATCCTCCTCCTCAAGGAACTCGCGCGCTTCCCCGACGACGAAAGTGTTAAAGCCTCTCTGATCCCACACGAAGTTGTTCTCGTCGCTGAACTGGTAAAAAGTCAAATTATACCCCGTGACGCCGAAAAGCAGCCCGCTCTGCTCGGGCGGCCAGGCGGTTTCCCAATCCCACTCCCACCACTCGAGGGCCTGCGCGCGCATGTCCTTCCTCGGCTTCCAGCCCGCGACGCCGAAGCCCGCGCGCACGCTCGTGTCCTCGAGGTTCTCCGTGAGGATGCGTCCGGCGTCCCGCTCGACCGTCGCGTAGGCGTTTTCGAAGGTCTCGAACAGGTCGCGGAAGTCGGCGACGCCGGCCCTGTCGTACGTCAGGATGGAGCTGTAGTTCGAGTACGTGTTGTCCAGCCCGTACTTCTTCGCCAGCGTCCAGATGGGGTTCTCCGGCCCGCCTTCGGAGCCTAGCCCCTGCACCCAGTTCGCGCCCAGCTCGATCACGTAGGGAGTTCCGTCGGGTTTTGATCCGAAATTGGTATGAGCCACTGTATTTCAGCATTTTTTTTTAGAGTCAGCACATCTATATCTTTTTTTCCTTTTGTCATACATAAGAAGCAAGAGAAGATTTCCAACAACTCGTCCCCTTTACCAGTTCTGCCTGATTGTAAGAAAAAAAAAAGAATAAGAAAAATCAAAACTTACCGCGACCGCCAATATAGTTGTTGCGATCAACAATTAAGAAATCCGAAATCGACGCATTCGATAGCGCTTGAGCGGCCGTGATACCGGCAACTCCCGCCCCGAGTATCGCAACTGTTGTCTTGCGACACTCGATCTCGTCGTTTGCTGCCCGCGTCACCACCCTAGCAACAACACCCTCGAGAGGTGCTGCAAGGGCACAAAAAGCGGCGAAAAGCCGTCGGTTCAACAGTTTCATCGTGATACGCTTGCTTTTTTTCCCGGGATTTATTAGTTGCGTTCGAGGAACGTTGTTGAATAAGGTAGTTCAAGACTTACATCGATGCGAATTGTAATCAATCAAGGTACCTACAAATTTATATATCTGGGAGGTAGTTAGTTAGTGAACCTTGATTCCTATTTTTCTATCAATTGACAAATCACAACGACATCACTGATTATCACAACAACATCCTGCCCTTGCCATCCACCCCCCTGTGGCTGATAAGGCGGGAAGAGCCGATCTAACTGCAGCCGGCCTGGGGGAGCTGGAACCGTCTCACCCGAAGGATCTGCATTGCCCGCTCAGGTGTGATAACGATGGGCTCGGCGTGCAGAACCACTAAGCGGCATCCAGCAGCCCGAGGGGTCGCATCGCGATACAAATCTGCCAGCCCGGTTGATTTACCGGTGTGAGGAGACAGCTGGGCCGGGCAGCCTTTTTTCGCGAACTGTGACGTTTTATTTTTCTACTCAACGCGATACGCGCCCGGTCTCTAAGGGGAATTTCATACACCACAAGGCCGGCATTTAATATAAAAATTCAGCTTTGCTCCGCGCGAAGAAATGGTCATGGGAAACGACATGCGTAGTATCCCGGAGGCCGAGGAGACCCGGAAAAAAAGAAAAAAGGTAACGAAACCTTAGATGAGATGATGGCGTCACGATCGCATCGTCTGCTGCTGTACGCGCAACGACGGGCGACTGCACAGCGTAGTGCGAGCCTATGTAGGTCGTTACACGTTTATCGTTTTGAATATCCTAAGTACCTACCTAACCTAATGTGAATAGTATAAAAGGAGGTAGCTAGCTTATAAGAAGTACGCAAATCGAGACCGCTCCAGATTCTCATGGTTGTGACAGTTAATAAGTGCCCGGCTACCCCGCGGCTGATATGTACTATAGTCGGCTTAATAGAAGTAGTAAGTAACACGTAAGGTTAGTAGAAGTAAGAAAACAAGTTCCCCTCTTAATGCCAAAAGAAAAACATCTTTAGTAGGTACATATATCTCACGTTAAATCCAAAGCTCCAGCGCGGTTCTGGAGAGACTTATGTTAAAGAAACGTTCGTGTCGTTGAGCTGCTAAAACTCTAAGATACCTAGCTTGAAACCCTCATTTTATTGACATTAAACTTTGTGTGTGTGTGTGTGTGTGTTCGTCATAGCTCCTCGATGCCCAAGCCATCGTCTTTCTCACTTTGTTGCTCAGTCGCCCAGAGCTGGGGTGGCTGGGGTGGCAGGTCCTTCCAGTAATTAGAGCGGCCGAGGATAGAGGAGAAGTTCACGCAGCTGGGGTTGTAATGATCTTCGACGTTTCCGAAGGGCCACATCGCTACGAAGCACAGCTCGTCCGGCTGGCAGCGGCCGCATTCCTTCCACTCCGGCCACGCTAGTGTTTCTATTAGGTCGCGGATAATCTGCCTTGCTTTTTCCACGGCCAACCGCTTGTCGGCATCAGGGTCTTCGACCACAAGCTCCCGCACCTTGAAAAGCGCCGTGCAGATCATGGCAGTGGTTTGCTCGACCGCGGCGTATATGAGCTCATCCTCTAATGTTCGCCCGTGCGCGGATTGGAGGTAGAAATTTGCGCAGCGTTTCCGCGCAGCTAAGAAGCCGTCGTCGGGCTCTGCATAATCGATGAAGATGTTTAGGAGGCCATTTATATCGTTTCTTATGATTTCGATCGAGTTCGTCTGGGCAAGAAAGGGCAACCGTTTGGAATATCGAGCAACGATCATATCTGTTACTCCCTGCCAACCTACGGGGTATTTCCGGGACGATACCGATCGTGCAACCGCGTCGCCAACGTGTTCCCGCACAACATCTATTTCTGCATCGCTAGCTTGCACTAATCTGGGTAGATCCGGCCTCTCTGGATTCGGGTTTGTCAAATTGATCGGGTAGAAGAAACCGGAGACCATTGAGGAATAATCAAGTATGACGCGCGACGAACCGATGCCCTGGTACCGTTGAGCAGCTGCCCTCGCCCACTCAAATACCATGAGTTGCACGTCATCCTGTTCACTGGGGTCGTCTGGCTTCGGCCGTCGGTTGGCCGATAGGAGCCTTAGGCCATTCGTGAAATCGCAATATATAATCTCGAACCCAGGTTCCATACGTATAAATCCGTCAATTTTCCACTTCCGAGCCAGCGCACATAAGCCATCCGCCCTTCCCCAGTCGTCAAGCACGGATCGGCTTCTGTTGGTTGCTAGCAAGATATCCTGGGTATCAATTGTACCCATTTGCGTCTTTCCGGCCGCCATACCATCGATATAAAGGACATTCAGAGGTCGTGCAGCCTGGTAAATGTGCAAGTGGCCCCCATCGGGGTAGGGGATGCATACTGGTTTCCAGGGTTTGTCCGGTGGTGGTGGATGTCGCATAACGAACTGTGAGGAATCCGAGCCGGGATTCCTATCACCGTCATCCGGGAGTTTGATCTGACAGCGAGAGAAGGCTTCCGCGTGCTCGATTTCGAATGCAAGCCATTCAAACCCCTTAGGTACCTCTGTGGTGCCAGTTCCATGATATAAGATCACACCCTCGGGTATGACTCCGGGGAATACTGACATCCCATTGTGATGTATAGCGGAACCAAATTCTCGCATCGCATTGTGAAGGGCGTTGAATATTTGCGGCCCGTTCTCGCGGGCGCTGTCGAGGCTTGGGCCGAATCCATCCGATGAAGCCGCGTTGCTAAGAGCAAACGAGGTTGTTGTAAATGCCAGGGTTGTAAGCCGGCATATCCGGGTAGGAATCATGATGACTACCTTTCAGTAACTGGAGTTCCTCGGCTCAACTAGAAAGAAATAAAGAAGAAACGAAAAAAAAAAAAAAAAGAATTTATCATACTCCAAACAGATACAAAATAAATATAAAATATATCGCTTACCGCCTCTCCATGACCCCCTCCAACTGGTAGGCTGCTTCTAACATGAAATTACATAGAATGTATGTACTTAGCATGCATCACACAATACGAGGTACTTTCTTATCAGATTTTGTCACATTATTTTAGAACGAAGACGCGTACACGTATCTATAAGTGGGTAATTATGTTGTGTTTGAGTCCAATCATTTGCTATGTTAGGTATCATTTAGAGGTATCATTTAGCACGACTTACATAAATGTAATAAATATCTCAACAAGAATTAATTATGCCTTAAGTAGTATTTCGTTTTCATCGATAAGTGCCTCTTTCTTAAGGCATCTAACTAAACTTAACCAAGCCGAACTAGTAACTAATATTATCCTGTAAAGCCCATGAAGACCCAAAAAATCTATAGCGATCCCCCTTTTTATCGGGCGGCCCATCCCCACAAATTATCAAATGCATGCTTAGACTTCGCAACTATGAACTTCGCTAGTTCACGATGACCTTTCTTATCCTCCTCAGGAGCTTCCCATATCTTTGTGGAATTTCTTATTTGATCGCTGTGCCAAATCTAGATATTCTTGCCGCTCGGCCTCGGTGCCGCCAAATGTGCTAACGAACCCGGCGTATTTTAGGAGAATGACGTTGAGTAAAATCCGGCACATCCTTCCATTCCCATCGCCGAAGGGGTGGATACAGACTAGCCGGTAACAATATCTGCTTGCAAGATCGAAGGGGTCGACGGCCTTGCTCTCCTCTACAGTAAACATGTCTTTCTGTAGATCTTCTACCATCTCAGCCATGTATCGGGGGACGGCAGAAGAGCGTATGAAGATGGATTTTTTCTTCATGTCGTTGCCGTGTCGTGCTGCGATCTCCCAGGTTCTGTACACCCCAGGCTGCCCTGCCTCCTCCGGTAAAACTTTCCCAGCACACAATATGCCGTGGATTTCTCGAAGAAGGCTCTCTGTGATTGGTTCACTGCCCATTACAACGTGATTAATGGCATAATTGAGAGCTTTGGCGTGGTTGATGACTTCCTGTCGGCTTAGCGTAATATCTTCGGGCGAGCTCGGCCGCTTCAGCGCAATCAGTGCGGCTCGTCCTTCTTCATACTCCGGGGTTCCCGCTTCGACTTCGGCTCGAACTTGTTGGCCTCGAAAGATGGCCCGGCACAAATTATCCGTTACGTTGAAGTCCGATCCAGTGACTTCGATGAACTTCGAAGAGAAGACGAACTCAACGAGACTATCTTCGAACTTTGACCAGAACTCCCCGGCTTCACTCGTAAGGGCGGTAGATCTAGCCCGAACCGACTGAATGATTAGTGCAGGATCAGTCGGAAAACCCTGCTTGGCTGTTTCATCGCTTATATATTATGAGCAGCGAATAGTTAAGTTGATCAACTCGGAATTCCCTTTGATGCTCAGCCATCTTGGCCACCCCTTGCTCATCGATACCTCTAACTTTGAAGCCATTTTCTTTTTAGTGAACCTAGGGAGAAGAAGAAAAGGATGATGTAGAAGAGTGGCAATGTGGAAAATTTAAAGATAAAAGCGTGTAAGCTTTTCTGAACTTGGCCGTACCTGGCCTGCAATTTGTAGGGTTTATGAGTGCTTCGTACGAGAGTGCCTTCCATCCTCGCTGACGAGGACACACGTCTTATATACGGTGGGCTAGATGAACTAACTCACTGCGAGTTAACCTGAGCTATAGTAAGAAAGAAAGTTAAAGCTTAAAAAGCTAGTGTGATGTAGCGTGTTTAAGTAACAGTCAGGTATGCCGGTGGTGGTTATCATATACAGAGTGAGTGTGAGGGCCATGTCAGCTCTTTCGAGGGAGATTAGCAGGCCAGGTGCTTGCTAGAGCTCTACAATAGATACCATACAGGTATGCCTCTGACACCCACTCTGTATACGACATCTATTACGGGCGTAACCTGACATATACCCCTTGGCTAGTAAAGCGCTATCAATTATCCTGACAACTTAAATGTACTCCCCCCCCCCATTATAAAAGGTAACCCTATGTCCTGAACCGTAGGGGAGAAAAGAGGAAACATCATTATAAGGAGTCTAAGCTTACCATCCATCAATATTTCGTCCTTTGGCACCCTCTGCTGATGCCAGAAGAAACTCAACCAGATCAAAACACCGTTTCGCAACCCAGTAGACAAAAGAGTGATACGATGGCGACTCGATATTTCTCTATGGAGGAATCACAGAAACGACATGTAATACTGACCGAGCTGTATAATACAAGCCGAGATTTATATCAAGCTCTGATGGGGAGTATTTTTGAAGGGAAGAGCAAGTCTGGCTCATTGTACCGCCAATTTCAAAATGGGTATACACGTTACATCATCTGGGCTCATGATTACGGTGCTCAGGACGGGGAGCTGGATAACCAGCTCAGAAGCGCTCGACGACTTCGCAATTTGACCATTAAGGTACTAATTAGAATAGGCTCTATACTTGTACATGGTATGTTTACCTATCATCAGAGTGAGGTTGAATTTGAGCTAAGCGTCATAGTATATGGGATGCATGAACCCATAAAAGCTGATAGCAAATTATGGGACCTGTGCATCAACGTTTTAGCAGCAATGCAGAGGGCTTTATACGAATTCCTTCTGGATTTCGATCGTTCAGACGGCGAAAGTGATACAAGTGACGACGAAGACCTAATCGTTGACGGCGAAGGTTTTGATGACCACGACGAGCTGTTGCAGCATGCTACGGAAGAGTTGTTGACGGAGATTGGATATCTATCAGATATGGGACCAATGTTCGAAGAGCCCATACCCGACCATGCTACTGAAGAGCAACCATCCATCAGTATATATGGCACAGGAGATCCCATGGAATACTTTGTCTATAAAGTTATGGAGAGATTCCCGAAGTGCGGCTATGAATTAGCCAACACGTTAGGTAAAGCTAACTGGAATTCAACAATGAGCTCAGTAGCAAAGCGACAGACTGTCTTGGATAATCCAGACAGTGAAGCGACGGATTTGGCTATTCGGACTAGTCTGGCCACTAGGTCGCACGGAGATTCACATTTACCTATAGGTTCTGATAAGGCTACTCTTTTATCCTACCTTGACAATGTGACCAATAGAGCAATGATACCACCATTAACAAGGGGAATAGGAGCTAGCCAGTTGTTTCGCTGCATCACATGTGGAAAGAACTTGGAGAAACAAGGTGTTAAATCCTGGAAGTAAGCTTACAAATTCTCACCCCCACTGTCATGGTATTTATCTACTCACATGCCTACCTGAATGGTATAGGAGACATCTTTTGGCTGATCTTCAGCCTTGGGTTTGTTTCCAGGCTTCATGCTCATGTAACTCTACATTTGCGAACCGGGAAGAATGGGTGGAACATCTCTATCGACAACAACAAGACCATCCAGAATGGGACGATAAGACATGCCCCTTATGTCAAGCTATCATTGCTGATGGTGGCCGTGCGGCACTTTCGCATATGGCGCGACATCTAGAAGAAGTATCACTGGCGTTATATGTACTCCATCACTTTGAGAGTAGTTATGATGACGACGATGGAAGTGCCGAAATCTTTGAACTTCCAAGGATTGAGTTTAAATGGAATTGAATTCGATAGCGAGTTTTCCGATCCATCTTCAACTGGAATATCTATGTCTACTCAAGAGGAAGACAGCACTTCGTATACCAGAGCAGACGAAGGCCAAGTAAAAACAGGCCATTCGTCTTCTGCTGATAATGCTAATAAGGGGATCTTTGGGAAGGTATTGGGGGGTTTGTTTCCGTCCCAACCCAACATGCATCCCACTCCGTTATGGACTTGTGTACGTATTCATTTTCATTGTTCTTACATCTTAGCTGTGGAGATATTAACCTCTACAGTGTGCTTGTGGATTCGGACCAATGGCAGTATTGTCCACTCCGTCGTGCGTGGTGTGCCATGTCCATCATCTCTGTCCACATTGTCCGACGAGTGAAACCCCATAATAAAAGGGGCAGCCTAACGCTCAAACGCCTATTTTTGAAGAGAAAAAAAAGGGGGGAAGGGGGTCGGGGTTTATGAGAAGAGAAGATAGAAAGGAGTGTAATTTAATCTGCAGTTCTACAATGTCGAGAATGTCACTAGTCACATCTTCAGAAAAATGAAAGCCGCTTGCGCGAATTATAATGCAAATGGAATCTCGAATTACTTATGGTGGCTCTTAACCACTATCTGCCTAAGAATGCTATTGCGGTAAACGAGCTGAATGTTGATGCCGACCACAATTTGGCGTATAATAGGTAATAAGATCTATGTTATATTTACATCCTACCTACCATGACTGGATCAATTACTTACTCAATAACCTTACCAATCGACTCGGCGGACAATCCTGCCAGAGGTCTTGTCCCGTCCCCACAACGTCATCGTCTGCCCTTCAGCACACTTGACCCCAGCCGCCATCTGCATGACCGTAGACCACGCACCGGAAGCGCACTGCTGGAAGACGGTTCCGCCGATGCAGTTGAACATCCCTTCGGAAGTGCAGGGTCCCGTGAGACCTCCGGAGGGAGGAGGCGTCCCGGGGCTCGCTGGGGCACTACCCGCCGGAGCCGCGGAACTAACTGGCACAGCACTGGTAGGACTGGCAGCTGCAGAACTAGCCGCGGCGCTTGTTGCGGGGCTAGACGCGGGAGGAGCTGCGGAAGCGACGGGGGAACTGACTACGGGTACTACCGGGGAGGTTGGGGAGGGAGCAGCAGTGCTACTACCGCCAGCATCGCCTCCAGGGGAAACAGTAATGAAATTGTTACCGGAAGAAGCGCTTGAAGCGGGAGGGGCACTGGGAGCAGGAGAAGCGCTGCTTGGTGGGGCGGCAGAGCTTAGGGGAGCGTTGCCGTTGCCGCCGCCCGCACCAGTGCTAGGGGTGCCTGGGTCCGCAGGAGCTCCGCTGTCGCCGGATGACGTGCCAGCCTTAGCACCCTTGGGAACACAGTTGTCGCCCTGGACCTTGGCGAACTTGCTGTTTGCGCCCGGACGAATGACGTTCGGGCCGGGGTCGGGGTACTGGGGGTCGGTGCTGGGCTCCGTCTTGCACGAGTTGATGTCGGCGAGGTTACCTACGAAGAGCTCGGGGAACTGGCCGTCGCGGGGGAGGATTTCCATGGTCTCGTTATCGGAGCGCTTGGAATTGCCGCCCGTGACCGTGATGGGCGCGCAGTTCATGTAGTACTCGGGCTGGCCCGCGAGCTTGCTGATCCAGGTCCAGGAGAAGACGTATTTGCCAGGCGCTACGCCGTCCGGGATCTTGAAGTCATATGTATCAGGGCCTTGGCCGGACTTGCTTGGGCAGCCACCTTCGATAGAAAGGATAACTTGCCAAGACGTCGACGCGCTGGGTTGAGGGTCTTTGGTGATTGCCAACTGACAACTTCCACCTCCGTGGACTGCTGAACCCTTGAACGATAGGGATTGGGTCTCCCCAACCGCCATCGTATTGTCGAGGCCAGACGTCGAGTAGAAGGTAGCCGGATCGCCCTTCAACTTGCAGGGAAAGTTACCTGAAGTCAGAGGAGAGTTGTCAAGGTCAGGGCCTCCGAACGGCTTCGGGGTCTGCATGATCATGTGGCCGCTAGAAACGGCGAGGAGTTGGGCCATGGCGGCCATGACCGAATAGTGCTTTGTCAACATTATGGCGATTTTTTAAATTTGGCGTTTGCGAATACGCAGTGAAAAGTACCAGACTACTGTTGGTGTATACCGAGGCCAGCTCGCTTGTAAATGATATGCGGTGTCGATAGATATTGATACAAGAAAGATGAGATGGTTCGCACAAATTGACTTCGAGGTAAGACATGGTCCAGGGCCTCTTATACCTTTTCAGAGACAGTCAAAGTTCTAGAACAAAACGTACATTGCTGTTGTCCTGCATAAAGCATGGCATACAAAGGCTTTTCTAGAACTAACTACGCGGGAAACAAGGGGCAACAACTACCATGAATCGGCATTGTTCCAAAGTATAAGGATTAACCTACCAGAAACTTTGAGACGTTGCGAGTCTAAACACAAAGATATTGTTCATGTGCTTATGAACATGGTGTTTCTCAAGTTACCTCTCATTCGGTTATTGTATCTAGACTTAACAAGAACAAACCTAGCCCACCATAGGATTACCGAGCTACCAACAGTATAATGAAGTGCACAAATCTCATATGACACGATGAATTCTATGGTAGCAACTTTTTTCCAAAGGTTAACTAGGTGCTTTCGACAAGGCTTTCTCCACCGAGATATTAGAGAGTTTAACTAAAACAGGGTTCCTCGATTTTAAAGGGATATGTTTATAATATTTCTGAACCGATAAAGATATTGAAATACATTGAAGTATATTCTACATCAAAAGCTTTCACATCGTGAGTCTAAGATAAAGTAATAGGGGATTGGTGTATTTGACTGAGGCGCTGCCCCTTTTTCAGACTTGCGTAAATGAATAACATAGAGGAATATCTGATATAGATTTAATATGCAATAGGAGAGTACGCACCTATGCCAAGATATTTACGTAAATAGTGAGGTAAGTGCAGTGTAACATAATTGTTACGCATGATAACGTCATGGGATCAAGTTGTGGGGCAGCTAACTTCCTATCCCGGGGGCCTTATCAGGGATCTTATCAGGGTCCTCGCAGCTTTAAAGGGTCTCCGGATTGCATTGTACCCAGGTACCTAAGCTTCAACAAAAACATCTACAACTATCCATAATCATAACAAGCTATATCTATCATCGCGTTCAAAGCATCATCTTCAAATGAATCGCGACCGATATGGTAAGTGTATTCTCGTCTTAAATGTTACCTAGTGATCTGTACTTGGGTCGAAACGCATGTCGCATACGACGACCACCGGCCATATCAACGCCCTTTAGCTATCTAGGTACGAATTAGAGCTGACTGTAGCCTTCGTGATCCAGGCTAGTTCAACGACACCTCTCCTCGCCGACGACCGTCGAAATAGCGATGGTGATTGCGACTCGAGAAACGACTCAGAAGATAATCTACGCGGACAATCTATAGCTACGCGGGTTGGACGGTCATGGCATAGTAGATTACGAGAGATCCTGCTATTTGTCTGGGCCCTTCTCGCGACCGCTGGAGTAATAGTTCTCGCCGTTTGGGTATCGCATCAACAACAAACGTCGTCCGCAAAGCCTGCCGGCAAGCGAAATTTAATCTTCATGGTCTCTGATGGTATGGGCCCTGCCTCGCTATCTCTGACTCGTGGTTTCAGGCAATATACCGAAGGCCTCGAGTACGGCGACACCCTCACCCTCGATAAGCACTTTTGGGGTAGCAGTCGGACGCGGAGTAGCTCATCCTTAGTTACGGACTCTGCTGCTGGAGCGACTGCATTTAGTTGTGGAAAGAAAAGCTATAATGGCGCCATTTCGATGCTACCTGATTCAACTCCCTGCGGGACTGTTCTCGAAGCTGCTAAAAAGGCCGGATACAAGACTGGACTGGTTGTTACAACGGATATCACTGATGCAACCCCCGCTTGTTTTGCCAGCCACGTCCATGTACGTCAACAAAACGACGATATTGCGGTTCAAGAAGTCGGAAACGGACCTCTTGGTCGTGTGGTAGATTTAATGTTTGGAGGCGGACGGTGCCATTTCCTTCCCAACGGAACCGATGGCGGATGCCGTGCAGATAACATCGATGTGATAGAAATGGCTAAGAAAGATTATGGTTGGAATTATATCAATGACCGGCCAGGATTTGATGAGTTCTGGGAAGGTAAAAAGGAGGTCCCGCTTCCGATATTGGGACTTTTTGCTCCAACAGACATTCCATTTGAGCTCGACAGGCGTAACATGAACGATATCTACCCCAGTCTGAGCGAAATGGCCAAGACAGCTTTAAGAGCTCTGGAAAAGGCTACAGAGGGCAGTGAGCAAGGATTCTTTTTGATGATCGAGGGCAGCAGAATCGACCACGCTGGTCATGAAAACGACCCGGCCGCACAAGTGCGCGAGGTCCTCGAATATGACAAGACATTCAAAGCCGTATTGGACTTTTTGGACGAGAGCGAGACTCCGGGCGTCCTAGTTGCTACCAGTGATCATGAGACAGGTGGATTATCAGTAGCACTACGTTAGTATATCCTTTCCTCAAGACCAGTGGGAACCGTCACTAATTTTACTTCCAGAGGTGAATGCCGACTATCCGCAATACTTATGGTACCCTGCCGTATTAGCGAATGCGTCATCGTCTTCAGAATATCTTGCTCATCGCCTTCAAGGGCACCTGGCACAAACCCCCGACCATTCCGTCGCTAAACTAAAGAAGTATATTAATGAGGAACTTGTCAAGCCTGGCCTTGGTATCCATGACGCCTCCGAAGAAGAGCTCACGACGTTGGCTTCAAGACCAGAGCTGGCACAGTATTCGTTTGCCCACATGATTAGCATTCGTGCACAGATCGGATGGAGCACTCACGGCCACTCCGCCGTAGATGTTAATATCTACAGCTCCGGTGGTCCCGGGACAGAAGCGATTCGGGGCAACGTGGAGAATACCGACGTAGGGAAATATCTGAGGGAATATCTTAATGTCGACGTGGATGCGATCACGAAAGAATTGAATGAGAAGTTGGGTTCGAAGCGAACTTTTGGAATCAGTCACGATATCGCCGCCGATGGTGCTGGCGAGGACCATTGGGCAGCTCATGAGAAGATGGAGGCTCAGCGTTTTGGTTATTAGATGAGGCCGTAATATTTTGGTTCATGCAAATGTTTAGTATTGAGTTTGGGAGTTATAGAAATTGTATTTTGGGATAGGGGTTATCATACATACACTGAATGCATAGGAGGTACCTAGGTAGATAAGGTAGATAAATATAGCGAATGAAGAATCGATACTCACTTGCAAGAAATACTAAAGATTTCAATGATAAAGATTGTTGTTACAATAGCGTAGCAATAAAGTATTACGATACGGTTGAACAAACTTCCCCAGGAACATGTAGGTAACCTTCAACGCTCTACCATAAACCACACGGATGTTTCGCCATCCCGTGGGAAACATGTGGTATACGTAAGGTAAACACGTCGGGTATCAACAGAATGCCCATGCTTGGTTTGGTTCGTATTACTTCACGTTGCCGAACTCCAGAAGGGGTTCCTGAGAAGTATCACCTACCTTAGTAGGGCTGTTTGCTTTCTTGGGTGGATGTTGGGAGTGAGGCTTATCAGATTTGATAGATACCTACCTACCTAAGGTAGGTACCTAGTAGGGAAATAGCAACAGCAACTTCATCGAGTGGAGAGTACCTAACCTAATGGATACCTTAGGTGCCAGGTATGTAAGAGGTTGCTGGTAGTCTTAGTTTAGATATCTGGTATGATTATATCGTGGAAGGAAGACTGACCTCCGTTATACCACAAGGGGCTATCTAAGTTACTATTGTGTATTACTGTGAGGGAGTTGAGTTGTAAGTTATGTGGTACCCGTAAATCCTACGATGTGCTTAGAAGACCACATGATGTGGGTGATGCTATATCCACAAGGCTGTAAGCGTCTAGGTCCCTTAATTTCTGAATTCATAAGGCCAGGTAGGTGGGTGCTCATCGTTAGAGCAACACTCGAAAACAAACAGATACAGTACTCTTCTTTCTAGTCTTAGTTATCCCTAGTAGTGTGTTACTAGATAGGCGGGCCTGTACGGAAAAGTACCTACTTGTAGACAATTGACTAGTCTCTACTGGTGTTTGTCTCTACGTTTGCGAGATGGTGGCTTAAAGAAGGAAGCGATCTCGTAAGGTTGAGGGGGGAGAGGGAAGATTAGGTACCGACGGACGCCGTCGTATGGACGGAGTAAGATTGAGATACGACGCATTTGCCCGATGGAAGTGGAAGCTGCCTAGATGCGTTTCTCTTCTCACAGCTCTACTATGTTACCTATACCCGTTTGTTCTAACATATACGACCCATCTTCTGATGGCAAGCACTACGTCTGACGGATCACTGCAGGCATAGCTGAAGACTTGACTCCTTGACCAACTGATCCATCTTTCATACATCGCCCTCGCACATATAAGGATCCCTCCCAGAGCACCTCAACTCCAGCAGGCAGCAACAAAGCTCGCCCGTGGCACCTTTCATCAACAACCCCTTTGATCCAGCAGACCTGACATTCTCTACCCTTTTTATACCACACAACACATAGTTCTTCGGTGGTCCTTCAAACCGTTAACAAAAAGGCATCGAGTCCCCAGGTTCTTAACCTCCTCTTCATCCCCTGCGAGCACGACTATTGCATCCCATTTCCACCCGAACCACCAATAAGAAAAAAAAAAAGAAAAAAAGAATCAACCACCAAACAATGTGCAAATACATGCTCGTCACCTACCGGTGCGCGCACACCGCGTTCCTCGCCGGCCCCAACTGCGCCACCGTGCTCAAGCAGCTATGCCGGATCCACCAGCCCGAGGCCTGGACGCGCAGAGGCCGTAAGATCGTCCCTTTCGACTGGCCTGATAGTTGCCTGCCGGGGGACGACAACATAGTGCCCGTATCTTCCGACAGATGTTGCGGCTGGGAGTGCACGAACACGTTCGCCCGGACACAGCACGAAGGCGATGAACTGGTGGCTTCCCCTGGTGCTCGAGGTGCCTCTCCGGCTAACAGCGTCGCCGTAGCGTCACCGGTTAGCTCTCGAGGGAACAAGTACCGAAGTCCACGTCCCGAGCACCAGGCTCCTAGCTACCACGCCAAAGACGACTGCCATGCCGGCCATTATGACGGCTCGAGCCCCTTCTCGGGTTCTCAAGCCTTGTGCGATTATGTAGCTATTAATGCTGCCGCATTTGCCCAGAACAAGAATAATGTTGAAGCACTAGAATCAATAAGCACTCAAGCGACCTTAGACAGGGAGGAAGCTGTCACGAAGAGAGCCCGATCAGTGAAGGAGAGAGAAACAAGAATGGCGGAGGAAGCAAGGACATTAGGAATGCCAAACGCGCAGTACGGGGTTCCCAGGATAGGAGTAGGCTGGAGAGAGGGGGAGGATGAAATGAAGATCGTAGGAAACTGGTGTACGGTTTTTAACTAACAATCTGGCATAAGGCGTTGAAAATAATAGAATATGGAATCATGATAGACTGACGGGTTTTGCTTTCCCATTTTTGTTGATTAATCAGTCTAATAACAAGCCCTTTGTTGTGTATATTCCCATTATTACCTAGTGAACCGAACCCCCGCCCCTCCCCTGCTTGCGAACTGAAACACCCGCATCGAATCGTTTACTATACAATGAGATTACTCGAGAAGTTCAGTTCTATACCTATTACTAATCGGAAAAATCAGAAAAGTCCGTCTCGTGTAGCTCATCTGGATCCATAAAATAGACAATCTCAAGCCGACCCTTGGGGTGTTTTATGAAGTGGTTTTGTAGCCGATCGTATTCAGATTCGGAGAATTTATACTCGCTTAGCTGGTTCAAGATATCTACTTTGATACCTGTTCGGTCCGGAATCATAAGCGCATAGCCAAACTCATATAGGGCATCGAAGCTAAACCGAGTGATGGAATTGATGCAAAGTACTTTGAGCTTGGGAATGTTACTTAAAGGAACCAACACATCATCATCTGAGAGCTCGCCGCTGAAGCTAAATTCAGATAGATTTGGCAATGCCGCTGCGATGCGTCCTACTTCCTCCTTAGTGAGATGTACTTGCATTAAATTCAGCGACGCCATGTTTGTGAGCTGGCAAATTGAGTCTACTAATGGTGGCTTTGCTTCCATTAGCAAGTAGGCGGCGCTATCGTGTAAACCAAGCGTTAGAGACTCCAAATGCTCTTGAAGGCCAAGCGCAGTCCAGGTAGCGGTATCCTCAGGCTCCGTTCCCGAATGAATAGATAATATGGACAAAGACGTGAGGCGTATGTCGGGCGAGTTTAAAACATCTTTGATTACCGGATGAAAACCAATAACATGCGAGAAACTTAGATCTCGAAGAGATTTGCATTTGCAGATCCATGTCGAAACCTCATTAACCATGTTATCGGGGTATTTCGATAGGTCCACTAGGTTGTACAAGTCGTTTTCGATCAGAAGTTTCTCTAGGGATGTACAGGCTGGAAACGAGTTAAGAGCTTGCATGGCCGGCGGTGTAAGATTTCGAAGTACAAGACTCCGAAGAGATGCTGCGTGGGAATTTAGTGCTGTCAGTGCAATTTTCCCGATTGAATTCTGGCTTATTACTTCAAAGCTGCGGAGACTATTGGGACGTAGCGTTCGAAAGAAAGCAGCCAAATCATCGTCTGCAGTCGAGCTCACATCTGTTACTTATTAGCACTATCTTCGTAAACTAGCACGCTGCACTTTTGTGATGGGCGTTCATTAAAAGGATAATACGGGCCGGGGGCTACTGAAGACATACTATGGAGGGGTTAGCAATTCATGACCATAAAATCTGCCAACAGGTAAGAAAGAAGAAAGGGGATGATAGAATATCTCAGCATACCAGTAGAAACAGGTTAAATCGACGAAGGATGGACAATATTCAGAAATGGCTCTGGCTGCTTCAACGCCGAGAACTGATCCATCCCGGATGCGCAACGAGGTAAGGGTTCCAATCCGTGATATCCAGGTTGGTAATATATCGTAAGGAATAGATGTGCCTTCCAGATGTGCCAAAGATACAGCGGTTCCCATGTCATCTGCTAGCCTCTTTATGCATTTTGTAATGGAATCCGCACACTTAACCATCGTAGCTTTGATGTCTATAGATGGCGGCCTAGCGTCTTCAGCTTCCGCATACAGGCCTTGTCCTTTTTGCAGGACAAGAAACTGCTCCATTGGGCCTTCGAGGAACATATCTCGAGCATGATTGTCTCGGTCAATATCTTGAAGGCAGTCTTCGAGGTTACCGAACGACAAAGAGCGAACATAGATACAATACGGATACACAGTCTTTTTAATACTTGAGAGGATTATGGACCTCCATAATTGCAAGCATTCTGACATGTAGACAGGATAACCCGTGCTCACGGGAGAATATTCTTGGATACTTTATGTGACGAAATTATTAGTTCTTCTTCTTCTTGTTTGAAACTTTCCAAACGTCCAATAAACCCACCGATATATCTGCTCCAATGCAATGCTGGCAATTCGTCGGCTAACGAGGGCGCAATTGAATAGAGTCCTAAAGTCACGACGCGCGGCAAGTTCTTCGCATAATAATAGAAAAATCTCCTGGGGGAGAGCTGAGGAATCCATTTTTGATTCGATTAGGCAAGGTATGATCGTCTACAACATTGAAAAGGATAGAAAGGTTCAAGTTTGAGGGTTAGGTACCGCAAAGGTGTAGAATGCTAGAATATACGTTGGGCGATTTCGTTATAATAAGGTAAAATACATGGACTCGCAATGGACCTCTTACAAAGCTACATGTACATAGTGTCCCTGCTTTAGAACTACTACCCACACTGTATATCATTTATCAAATATTCATACTGTATTGTATTGTACAGTACTTACTATTATATCATACTCCAGCAGGGAAAGCTTGTATAGATTAGGTACCGAAAAACAGCTTGAGCCAACTTTTATTAATACTGTATTACACAGATACCCCGCGACGCGCTTGGGTAAGCTCGAACGCGACTTAGCTCAGTTTCCTTAAACCGACGTGGGGAAAGAGCTGGGAAAGCGACATCCGATAACTGAATTTCTAGCTGCTTTTAATGCTGTATCAAGAACATCAATCAATTATTATGAATGGTCTTTCTTACCAAAGCCATTTGACATAGCCTGAAATATAACGACTCCTAAAAATTTACATTAACTGTCTCTCCAAGATATTATTATATACAATAACGGAGCAACTTTCCTTCGGGTGGCAATGGCTGTATTAAATTTCACATTAAGCGAAGAAGGGGTCAGCCGTTTTAGAGACGCATTGGCGTGTCTTAATAAATTCAGTGACGAGGTTTCACTGGAGGCGAAGAAAGACAAAGTAAGCTTTATTCTCGTCTTGCTCCGGTTACTGTCTTTACTAAAGTTTCGGCAAATAGCTAGTCTTTACTACTCTAAATCCTTCCAAGACGGCGTATTTGTCTTTCTCCTTCGTGGCAAAACGCTTCTTTTCAAGATACCATTTTGAAGGTGTCCCTCAGAATCGAGAGAAGTTCTTTTGCAAACTACATAATCGAGTATGTTACTTACTCACTCCATATACGTACCAGGTACCTAAGCTATTGTTTCTCGTCTCTTACATGCGTATTTCTAGGCTCTGCTCTCCATCTTTAGGGCTAGAAGTGGCGACCCTTTGCATGATAGGGAAAAAGACACCATCATTGACCATTGCGATGTGGCAATAGTAGATGAGCCTGACAAGAAAAGCCGGTTCATAGCTAAAATAGTATTCCGCAATGGTAAATAATCCGCTAATAACGATATCGGTATCCAAGTGGCCTAGCTGATAGCAAGTAGGCATAACTACCAAGTACCGGCTGCCATTTGAGCTGACGCCTCCGGTCCACGGCAAGTTTAATGGAAGTGAAGCTTCTAACCATTGGTCCATACCAGCTCAGTCCTTGCGTCAAATCATGGAATATTTTGGCCCCGGCATAGAATATCTCGATTTTCATTCTGAGGACGACGACACCGTCAATTTTACATGTTTCACTGAAAAGGTTAAGAATGGCGAGGAAGTCCTAAAGAAACCCCTTCACACGTCTATTGCCGTAGAGCGGGATGAATTCGAGGACTTCGAGGTTCACGAGGATAAACTGCATATCGTCATTAGCGTAAAAGATTTCAGGGCAATTATCCAGCATGCAAACTCCCTCGGCAGTCAAATCATGGCATTATATTCCGTACCAACTAAACCACTGCTACTCAAGTACGAGGGCGATGGGATTCAATGTGAATTCCTTTTGATGACTGTCGGCGAAAGGGGAGCGCCCGGACAGAAGTCCAAGAAGAACCGCAGTGGCGCTAAAGGACCAAGACCGCCACAACTTGAAGCTGCAACTAGCAGGGCTGCATCGCATGCGCCGACACCAGTACCAAGGATGGCCCCTCAGCCGCAAGCACCGCGACCCGAGCTTGTGCCTTCTCTCAGACCATCAATTACCCGACCATCTCAGCGACCACCTCCGGCCACATTTGAGTCCGAGTCGCTCTTTGTGCCCCAGGACGACGAAGGTCAATGGGATCCCGTGAATGTTGGCGAAGAGGACGAGGAAGAGAACGCCCGATTGGAATGGGATATGAGGGACGACTTCGTAAGTATCGCTTTTGACCATGACCCTCACGTTACCCTGGCTAATTGACTGCAGCATGGACCAGCAACGAATACGAGGACCATGATGACAAGCCGGAACACTCGGGATTTTACTTCCAACGATGCTTCCGAGGATGTCCTCTCTCACTTTGAACCAACTCAACGCCTCTCGCAAGTTCGTAAGTTCGGACTTTTCGACGATTAGAGGCCTGCAAGATAGCATCACTTTTATGCTCGTCGCGGCTAGAGTTTTGATGTCGAAGCTCTAGCTATCTACCTGGTACGAACATGTACCAGAAGTCTAACCATAGAAGTTAGTAAATTAAAGAAATAACCCATCTGCTGTGATATTAATCCAACTTGTAGCACACCCAGCTCCGATGGTCGTAATCTGAGATCCCTCTGGTAAATGTTTCAATGACGCGAGCACGTTCCATCGCCCTTTGACATCGCCAAATTTCTCGGTTTGTGGTCCGCAATTTCCATGCTCTCCCCAACCCCACGATAATACGTCTCCATCTTCAGTCACTGTGAGAATATGCTCGCTGCCAGCAACGATGCGGTCCAGTTTTGGTAATCCCGGAGGTGGCAACTGTCCGTGATCATTTCGACCCCATGCGATTACCGTACCATTTCGCTGTAAAATATAAATGCCTCCCCAGCTTGCACTGATCATATTCCAATCGGGTATTTCAGCAGGAGCGGCACTTTTCAGTTCCCATTTGTCTGCCCCCAGCACAAGTATCCGGCCATCACCAGGCTCGCTGATGAGACAAGTTGTATATTGACAACAGACGGCCTTAGCCACCTTGAAGGGAGTACCGCCAAGTTTATGCGGGTGGCGTACTACACCCTTGGAATCAGTTGCGTCGCCCAGATCTCCAAGCTGGCCCTTGCGCCCGTTACCCCAACCATAGACATCTCCATTGTCCAATACAGCAACAATATGTCTAAAGCCTGCAGCTAGATTTTGAATCTCAGTGCCGGATGGGGGGAAGTCTTTGAGTAGAGTCGGACGTAAATCAGATCCCGAACTTATAGCAGTAGCTCCTACGTCAGGGACCCCGCATACATACACTTGTGTAGCTTTGTTACAGCCGTCTCTAACCACGAATACAGACGCATCCCATGTGCAAGCAACGTGAGCAACGGGGCCGAGATTTTCAGAAGTAGAGAGGATTAGTTCCTGAAACCTCGATGCTTTCGTATCCTTAGCATCTTCCACGATCCCACAGGCGCCGCTCGAAGGGTCTCCGGCCCAGAAAGCCTTCCCTAGTTCCGTAACTAAGATTGTGTGGTTTCCCCCTGCTGCGATCGCCACAACGGGGTCCTTGGGGACTTCATTCGCAAATTCGACTTGCTTCGGAACTGATACGTCCTCTTGGTGGCCTATCCCGAGCTGGCCGGAACCGTTGGAGCCGAGTGCGAAGAGACCTTCCATGATGGCTTATACACGGCTTAAAGCCTCTTTCACTCGCGTATTTCCCGAATATGACACTATTTCATGTAGTTTGACGCAGCATGGATTCTTCCAGTTTGGATATTCAATTCTTGAAGGAATGAAATGTGGCTATGTGGCTGAAACTAGTATCATGTACTAGTCATAAGCCACAGTTGTCTCGGACCATATGTATCCAGTTCCGAGCTCAAATGCCCCCACATAATTAGGTGCAGTGGATCCATATGGGTCCAAGCTTAAGCTCCACCCAAATTCTGGAATCTTTAAAAACTTTGACAGAAAATTTTTTATCTCTTCTTCGTGTTTCTCATCGCCATTTTTTTTTTTCAACCAGATTTCACTACCCGCCTCGACCTACCGGTTTGGAAAGTTCGAGTTGCTTACGCTGAGATCCAGCATGTAATGGCTCTGTTCTAGAATCTTTCATTCAGGTGGTCAATTCTGGTAGGAGAAATCGGTACGATATACCATGGCGACGGACAAGAGCTCCCGCGTGCCGCCCGGCATGGAGACGTTCATCGTCGGTATCATTGGTATGGGCGATATGGGGAAGATGTACGCGCGGAGGCTTAGCGATGCTGGTTGGAGGTAAGAAATCGTTGGCTCGACTGCTATGTTTGTTGTCGCGCCTAAGCCTCCGTGAATCCAATTTCGTAAGTCGCTTTTTCGATTCTACAAATCTTCTTATCCTTTCGCAAATGATGACTTGAGTGCATTTGGCTCGAGCATTGCCCTCGGCTTCCAGGCGATCATTCTGATTCCTGGGAGTCGTTGGCTTTCCATGATGTAAATTCTCAGCTACCTTTTCAATTTTTGTCTGAAGCGCTTTTACAATATCGCATTTTTATCTGGCACACTTTACCAATGTCCATAAGCTAACATGCGATGTTATAGGTTTTATTAAGTGACAGTACCATACGTAATCCCATACGTACTAACTATCAATGTTGGTAGAGTAATGGCTTGCGACAAGGAAGATCAGTATGAGAGTCTGCGTGAAGAGTTTTCAAGTCGGGTACATATTATATAGTTGTCCATTCTCAGAAGGAATCCATGCTGAGAGGTTTCCAGACCAATATACAAATACTCCGAAATGGCCATCTTGTATCTCGCGCGAGTGACTATATCATCTACAGCGTAGAAGCTGCGGCGATTGGCCGTGTCGTCGCCGAATATGGCCCTTGTATGATGTCTTAATGCATACCTAATATACCGTTTGAACATAACTTACCAAGTATATGCAGCAACGAAGCTTGGTGCCATCGTAGGTGGGCAAACATCATGTAAAGACCCTGAGATTAAGGCTTTCGAGGATCACCTCCCGGCGGATGTGGACATAGTTTCTTGTCATTCACTCCACGGCCCCAAAGTCGATACGACAAATCAGCCATTAGTATTATTACTCCTGTCACACTTACCCAAGTGGCGCCGCTTACCATGAAATTAGGTCCTTATTAGACACCGGGCTTCTGAAGAGTCCTTTAACAAAGTCGAGACCGTCCTCCGATGCTTAAACTCGACGCACGTGTACCTCTCAGCTCACGAACATGACCGCATCACAGCAGACACGCAGGCCGTTACGCACGCGGCGTTCCTGAGCATGGGCAAGGCGTGGCACTCGATGCGGCAGTTCCCCTGGGAGACCGCGCGGTACGTCGGCGGGATCGAGAACGTCAAGATCAACCTCACGCTGCGCATCTACAGCCAGAAGTGGCACGTGTACGCGGGCCTCGCGATCCTGAACCCGGAGGCGCGCAAGCAGATCAACCAGTACGCCAAGAGCGTCACGGAGCTGTACAAGCTCATGCTCGGCGGACACCTGGCCGAGCTGCGCGCACGCGTGCTCGCCGCCAAGGAAAAGGTCTTCGGCAAGGAGCACGAGCCCAAGTGGGCGGACAAGCCGCTGCTCAAGGACGAGGTGCTGGACCAGTTCGTGCTGGGAGGGGCTCGGTCGGAGCAGGAGCGCCAGCAGCCGCTGCCCAACAACCACCTTAGCCTGCTGGCGATGGTGGACTGCTGGAGCGCGCTGGGCATCGTGCCGTACGACCACATGATCTGCAGCACGCCGCTGTTCCGGCTCTGGCTCGGCGTCACGGAGCACCTGTTCCGGGACGCGGGGCGGCTGGACGAGGCGCTGCGGATCGCGGTCGAGGACAACACGTTCCGCAGCGACGACCTCGAGTTCACGTTCGCCGCGCGCGGGTGGGCCGAGTGCGTCGGCCTCGGCCACTTCGAGACCTGGAAGGAGCGCTTCGTCGTCACCCAGAAGTTCTTCGAACCGAGGTTCCCCGGCGCTATTGAGGTCGGGAACGCGATGGTGAAGGCGGTGCTGGAGAGTACGAAGGACTAAGGGGGAAATGGGGAAGCGGGGGAGGGTTTAAGTTGTTTATCCTCGGGTGGTGTGGATTTTCGAGTTGGTTAAGGGGGGTTTTGCGTATGCATTCATATGGAGATATTGATCATTATGGTTGTGCCGTTGTATAGTACCATCGGGACGGGTAGTTCAACTGTCAATATTGCGGCTACTTAAGTACCTATATAGGAGGTACCTAACCTAATATATATGAACAATGCGAGGTTAAGTTTCTATAGTGAAGTATCCTTTTATTGTCCACCGACGACCTTACAATTCCCATACATTAATTTATTGCCTTTTGGTGATATGGTTATTCTCAGACAAACCGCTCAGCCAAAAGTGTATTTCTTGTTGGCAAAATTGCTATTACAGTCTATCTGACCCATCAGCGGCATACTCATAGCTACCTTAGGTTAGGTACCTTTAAAGATCTCATTATAGTATATAGCCCCTAGTTTCGGTCCAGTATTATCTTAAGTTGCACATAAGTTATGATCCCTCTCAAGAAACATCCGTCATATCACAAAAATCGAAGGAAGCAAGCAGATGGAGGTGGGGTATAATTTCTCCTACTTGTTAGGGGTAGAGTTAATTCTACATCATGTAGGTCTTTCGGACTATCACGAATTCACATATCAATTAGTAATTACCTGTAAGGCATAAAAGCGCCGAGGTTAGGTTAGGAGATAGATATCCCCGAATTTGGAGACATCGTCTTTGAATATGTTAGATGCAACTCCTTGTAAACTCCTTGTAAGCACCCTTCCATGTGCCTTGCAGTACCTGCACTTAAACTGCACGTCAGTGAAGGAGACGCTATTAGAGCCTTCCTGACTGGTGACGGGATGCCCGGGTTTGAAAATTATCGTCGGTAGAGCTTAGGGAATCATGTTTCTATCTTATCACGCTGCCGCGAATTGCCCAAAATGGTAGCTCATTGTATGATCAGCGCAAGTATAGCAATTTCGACAACCCACTGCTACCCTGGTGTTCCTGATAAAGCGGGTCAACTGTTTAACGTTGCAGGTCATTTGTCGTGAGCTCATCTTCCGCTCGCTTGACTATTTCCGTCGCCAACTATTTCTTTCTCTTAAACTGTCTTGCTGTAACGTAGTGATGTAGATATGAGACCCCCCGTTGTGTTACGTCCTCCTTGATCGGGAAACCCTGCCAAGACCGGAGATCATCGGCCGATGCACGACTCCACATCTCCGGACCCCCTGGGGTCAGATGTAGTGACAGCAAGGCTCCTTGCCCGTTATCACGCCGACTTACTCTTTTACGCGTGCGCTATGCCCTACGAGGTTCTTTCTATCTCCGGAAGCGACTGTAACTATAATTTATACCCTGTCTAGATATTTGGTCACAGGCTTTCTTAACGTATCCCTCCTATCCGCTATTGATAGCTGAGGAGCAGTAGGTGCTCTTTACAATTTCCCCCAGGACGTGACATATGCAGAGTTCCTCGTGAAACCGTTGGTTGATCAATAATGTTATTTTAAGATTTCGATTATAAGAAAGATAGTCCCGAGCACTTTCCAAGTATGTTAATGAGCGACAGTGAAAACAGCGCGCTGATAGTAAGCTACAGGGGAACTTGGTATATTGCCTGTTTTCTATGAGCATTATGACTATTGATCCTTGTGATACATGTAACGTCTCCTGACATAGCGATAACGATGGCATGGCACCAACGTGTAGACAAAATCACGATATATATAGCTACGCTGCATTCTCGAGAGGGCTTCAGTAGACCATTATGATACCATCAAGTCTCTCCTTTATCCTTCATTCTAAACACTCTTTTGGAAATCGCTACACACTGCCTAGAGCAGATTGTCTACTTCTTGTATATATTTATTTTCTGCACATATCTTCTATCTTACCAACATGCGTTCTGCTTCTATATATAGTTACCTCGGCCTTATGCTCGGTGCAGTAATGGCTCTTCCTCATGGTCTCACAGCCCGTCAGGGGTCGGGCGCCCAGAGCGTCGTCTACTGGGGCCAGAATGGCGGTGGCACCATCGAAAACAACGACCTCTCGACTTACTGTACTGACGACTCTGGCATCGACATTATTGTTCTAGCTTTCTTATACTCGTGGGGCAGCGGGAGTGACATACCTTCTGGCACTGTCGGCCAGTCGTGCTTTATTAGCAACTCAGGCGAAGGACAGAACTGCGAAAACCTGTCATCGGCTATTAAAACATGCCAATCGACCGGGATCAAGGTTATCCTATCCCTAGGCGGCGCTACTGCTTCATACTCCCTTTCCTCCCAAGAACAGGCGGAATCGATTGGGGACTACCTCTGGCAGGCCTACGGAAAATCAGGAAACTCGACGGTGCAGCGGCCCTTCGGCGACGTCGTGATCGACGGTTTCGACTTCGACCTAGAAGTCAACCGGGGCAGCGAGTACTACCCGTCCATGATCGCGAAGCTGCGCAGCAACTTCGCGTCGGACTCCTCCTCGCGCACGTACTACATCACGGGGGCGCCGCAGTGCCCGATCCCGGAGCCGAACATGGGCGTGATCATCGGCAACTCGACGTTCGACTACCTGTGGCCGCAGTTCTACAACAACAACAATTACACGTACCCGTGCGCGCTGCCCGTCAACGGCAACGCGCCCTTCAACTACGACCAGTGGGTCGAGTGGACGGCCGACACACCCTCCGCCGACGCCAAGATCTTCATCGGCGTGCCTGCCGCGCCGCTGGCTGCGAACGGCGCGCCCACGGGCGAGACGTACTACGCTACCCCCGAGCAGCTTGCGGATATTGTCGAGGATAAGAAGAGCAACCCTAGGTTTGGAGGCGTGATGATGTGGAGCGCTGGCTTTTCGGACTCCAATGTAAATAATGGCTGCACTTACGCCCAGGAGGTCCACAGCATCTTGGAGTCTGGTTCTCCTTGCTAAGCGCTACTACGCTTTCTCAATCTTTCTCTGTGTATATTTCTGGGTGGTTATTTATGATGGAGAGGAGTGGTTGGATATTTCTATGTATATATGACCGAAGACGATGTTTTACTTATCGCCGATGTATATTTAAATCACGATTGAACATGATCCATATTATTATTAAATAACCGAGTCTACTAGGCAGTTGAGAACTACCTAGCTAAGCTACCTACCTTGCGTTATAAGTCCCTATTATTATATATTAGCCACTCTATTACTCCCCGAAGAGTTTGTTGGATACCTTTCGATTATCTCATATCTTGTATCTTAAGCAATTAACTCCACGACAGACAGCAATTGGGAAACAAACGAGGACTCCGGAGATACTCCTAGACTTTATTGGTGTTTCGAAGACCTTGACTTGTATATAGGTTTACGAAAGTATCTCAAGGATAGGAGTGTAGGCTAATACAACCATTGAGGATGGAGGGAGGGAGGATTTCAATTGTATAACCTTGACATATTAAACAGGCTTATTTACTCATTATAGTAATTAATAGGTCTCGATTGTCGGTATCAAAAAGTGATTGAGAATTTGAGCGATTACATGCGCTCCGTCGTTGTTATTCTCTATGATGTTCCGTGAGAGGTAGATAAAGGCCTCCACCTATAATGTAATATAGTTTCATAAATTCTAACAGATTTATCATGCAAATTCGTTACTTACCTGTTAAACTTGATTTTAACAGTGTAGAAATTGAAAATATGTTAAATACTATTACAAAAGCCACAATGTAGTGTAACTATCCCCTTATAGTTATCTAGGTATCTAGGTATTTAGGTGTGTCACCAGATATAGTCGCTTGTATAGAAATCGAAAAGAGTAAGATGCAATCAAAAGACAGCTAGTTAATACTCGCTACATTCGCGAAACTCTTTTAGGAGGCGTATGTGTTATTATCATGCGACTAGGCTACAATGCATGATCTGTTCATACACACATACGTTGCCAAAGGGGAATATGACGGGGGAAACGACGAGGATCATTCGATAGGCGAGGCGACTTATAGCTCGATGCCTCGGCAGCAGGTGGAAGACCCCAACCCGACCCCGCCGTGCGAATCACGGCTTTAACGGACAGGGTTCGCATTCATTCCCTTATTCGTTCGTCGTTTCCTTTATTTTAAACCGACTCTTTCATTTTCTTCCTCGGATAACTCATACGCTTACTTTCGTTCTTACTAATCCACTCATTATTTATTTCTCAAGATTAGTATGAATCGGTGGATTTTAAGCAAGTATACCTAGAGATAAGTTAGGCAGGAGGTATATATAAAAGCTACCTCCTATAGCAGGTACCTAACCCAGCCTTATCTCCTCCTCTCTTTAAATAGGAGGCACCTCCAGGTAAAAAATTGGCAAGGTAACACAAGACACAAGACACAAGACACCACACATCAAATCAAATCACATCACATCACATTATGACGAGCGCAGACGCCGCAAACGAGCAAAAAGCCCCCGTAATCATCGTGGGCGGCGGTCTAGCGGGGCTAGTAGCCGCGTTCGAGCTCTCGCAGCGGGGCGTGCGCACGATAATCGTGGACCAGGAGGGGGAGCAGAACCTAGGCGGGCAGGCGTTCTGGTCGCTAGGCGGGATCTTCTGCGTGGACTCGGCGGAGCAGCGGCGCATGGGCATCAAGGACAGCCGGAAGCTGGCGCTGCGCGACTGGCTCGGGTCCGCGCGCTTCGACCGCCCCGACGGCCAGGACGTCTGGCCCCGCCGCTGGGCCGAGGCCTTCGTCGACTTCGCTGCCGGCGGCATGGAGAAGTACCTCAAGGACCGCGGCGCCAGCTTCCTCGCCATGGTCGGTTGGGCCGAGCGGGGGGATGGCACCGCCGACGGCCATGGGAATTCGGTCCCTAGGTTCCATATTACTTGGGGTGCGGGGCCAGAGGTCGTGCGCGTGTTTGCTGAGCCCGTCCAGGAGGCGGCGAAAAAGGGCATTGTGGAGTTTAAGTTTAGGCATAGGGTGGACGAGCTAGTTGTCGACGAAAATGGCAGGGCATCCGGGGTTCGGGGACGTATCCTGAAGGAAGATCCATCACCCCGAGGAGTAAAAACTACGAGAGAAGAAGTGGGTGACTTTGAGCTCCATGGCGCGGCGGTGCTTGTTTCGTCCGGAGGTATCGGAGGTAATGTGGAAGCGGTAAAGAAAGCGTGGCCTGTCGATCGCCTTGGCCCAAAGGTACCGCAGAACTTCGTCATCGGTGTTCCGGCGCACGTCGATGGTCGGATGGTAGGGATCGCGGAGGCGGCTGGTGCGAATTTCATCAATCGCGATAGGATGTGGGTGAGTACCTAATCTAATATTTAGTCTCTTCTTCCCACCCTGAAAATACCTACTATAATTACTGACGCCTCAATGTAGCATTATACCGAGGGCTTACAGAACTGGGATCCAATCTGGCCAGACCACGGAATCCGCGTCCTACCGGCGCCCTCGTCGCTCTGGCTAGACGCAACCGGGAAAAGGCTTCCGCCATTCCTCTTCCCGGGGTGCGACACGTTAGCAACGCTAAAGTACATATGCAGCACCGGGTACGACTACACCTGGTTCATCCTCAACCAGACGATCATCGCGCGGGAATTCGCGCTGTCCGGGTCGGAGCAGAACCCGGACCTGACGGAGAAGAGCATCTGGCAGGTGTTCAAGAACCGGGTGTTCAGCTCGAAGGGGACGGCGAACGTGCAGAGCTTCCAGAAGCACGGCAAGGACTTCGTCGTGCGGGACAACCTCGAGGACCTGGTCGCGGGGATGAACGAGATCGCGAAATCCGTCGGGGGGCCGGTGCTCGACCCCAAGGCCATCCGGGAGGTCGTCGAGACGCGCGACGACCAGTTCGTCAACGGCTACTGCAAGGACGCGCAGGCCATGGCCATCCGCAACGGCCGCGGGTACTGGCCCGACCTCCGCCGCGTGGCGGCGCCCCACCAGATCCTCGACCCGAAGCACGGCCCGCTCATCGCCGTCCACATGAACCTGCTGACGCGGAAGACGCTCGGCGGGCTGGAGACGAATCTCGAGAGCAACGTGATGAAGCCGGACGGCGAGAAGTTCCCGGGCCTGTACGCCGCGGGCGAAGCGGCTGGGTTCGGCGGCGGTGGTGTGCACGGATATAACTCGCTCGAGGGCACGTTCCTCGGCGGGTGTATATTCTCGGGGAGGGCCGCTGGAAGGGCGATTGCCGACGAGATACTTGGGCCTGCTTGAGCGTAGCAGCTTTGATTTTGAGATGTGAATTAAAATGTAAATTATTCGGTCCAAAGGCATGATATGGAACGGTTCTTACTGGTAACGAATGAATAAACAAAATGAATGCACGTATTATATTAGGTATAGGTGCTTATATGCCTCAAATGTGTAGATTTCATTAGGAGAGGCTTAGGTCTTCAAATTGACCGTGGTGTTTGACGGACTTGTGTATTTCTTACTATGAAGAAATGCAGTCTACAAGAGGTAGTGAGTAAGAGGTGAGAAATAAACAGGAAAGTTGGATTTTGAAGTCTGACGAGCTATGTAAATACTGATATGTCTGGGAGGAATAAATACACGATAGAGATGAATACCTATGTAAAATAGGTGAATGATATAACCGATAATATTTTCAATTGCGCTCTATTTACTTTTCCTCTTTTACAAAAGGGCCCTTCCGGGCCTACCAGAAGCGCATCCTCCAACCTGGATGCAACTATCCTACGGTAGGGTACCTCCCAGATATCTAGTCTAGTTCCGAGTTCGAGTTCTAATAACCCCGCTCCTTGCTCACGCGGTTCATGAACTCCTTGCCCTCGGCCAAGTTGCGCAGGTTGATGTCGAGGATATCCAGCAGGCGGCGGTTGTAGCTGGTCGAGTTGCCGCTGACGTGCGGGGTGATGATGACGTTCTTCGCGTCCCAGAGCGGGTGGTCCCTGGGCAGGGGCTCCGGGTCCGTGACGTCGAGGGCGGCGCCGCGGATCCACTCCTCGTTGAGCGCGACCACGAGGTCGTCCGTCTTGACCACGGCCCCCCGCCCGATGTTGCTGACGAACGTGCGCTTCTTCCGCAGGAGCTGCAGCTGCGGCGCCCCGATCAGCCCTTGCGTCTGGGGCGTTAGCGGGACCGCGAGAACGAGGAGGTCGAGGTCCGCGGAGAGGAACTCGTTGATCTCTTCGGGCGTTGTCCCCGAGTACCATTTCGATGGCAGGGTTCCGTCCGGGTCGCCTAGGCCCGGGACGATGTACGAGTGGTCACGACGAGACTCGGGCGTGGGTCTGGGTCTGTTCGTGTACGCGTACACTTCCATGCCAATAGCTTTGGCTATCCGTGCCACTTGTCTTCCGATGCTTCCATATCCAAGAATACCACTAGGTATTATTGTCAGCACTTATAACTAAAAGTCAATTACCTAGGTAATCCAAGAGCCAGAACTTACACTCGTTGGCTGACGGCGTCTTGGGTATCCGAGTCATTATAACTATGCTCCCATCTGTGCGCCTTCTGATGTTCAAGGAAAGTGGGAACTACGAGCAACATAATTAGAACTTTCAGTATGATCATGCTCGGAATACTTACTATTGTGCTGGAAAGCGAGGTATGTACTAATAACCCATTCCGCGATTTGCGGCCTGGCGTTGCGGGCGTTGCGGCGTTAGTATTAGCCTTGGCAAGCCCCCCGAGTATAGCTGATGTTGTACTACAGCGGCACGAGACATGATGGAACTTACGGGTGAACGCCATTGGCGGTGCAAAAAGCAACGTCGGTATCGGTAAATAGAGGATTGTTCAATATATAGTTCGCCCCCGCGCTCTGGAGCTGAACCAGCTGTAACTTGGGCGCCTGCTCTCTGGTAGGGAACCTAGGACCGATGAGAAGGATGGTGACGGTTTTCCAGTCTTCGGGCGTGATATTGGGCGGGAGGTCCGGCTTGCTCCATGTATCCCAACGGATATGGAATACTTTCAGGCCGGGATAGGTCTTGCGCAAGCCATCGACGTAGCCCGCAGGAGGGTCCCACGGCACAATCAGCAAGATCTTGTGTCCCGCCAGATCCTTATTCGTCGCATTCGTCGCATTTGTAGCCATCTTAGCTGCGGGGGTGCCTGAGGGGTTTTCAATCAGGACGTTTCTCATATTTGGGGAGTTTCTTTTTTTCTTAATAATAATTTATTCTGAGAAGAAGGGCTTTTTGATTTTGTTTGTAGTTAAATGCTATTATCTTCTATGGTGTTTTGAGATCGTTGGAGTTGTCATACCGTGTCACGGTCAATTCCCCCGCCTTATACGGCTGTCGACTTCGGTCGGGGCAATGGCGTAATCGGGGTATTCGTACTGTACAATACCAAAGGAGTAACCAGGTGAAGCACAAAACTCCTTTTTGGCTAAAGTTGGATCAATTGAACGTGACAATCGATTATATAAATCATTGGAAATATTGACTTGATTTCTAATTGGTGCAGGGGTACGGATCTTAGCTCTCTTATATGAGTTATGATTATAACCAATAACTCGACAGTTAGGTACCCAATCAATGAATCCCCTCATGTTTAGTCTTACAAATATCCATCTTCACATAGAGATAGCTGATAAAGATGTAAGATAACTGATATAACTATAGATACTTTAGGTTAGGTAGGTACGGTACTTAAGCTATAAAGTAGAATTATATACTGACTCCTGAACACAAGAAGTAGTCGAATATAAATACCTCTCGATCTAGATAACTGGTGGATTCGAAAATTAAATAAGCAGTCTTAGCATTGCGGTTTTACTAACCTTTCTAAACAATCAAGAGATATTCAAGAGACAACAAGCTATAAATGACTAATGTTATATATTGAATTACTCTTGAAAAGATACTCTATATAGAAATAAAATTTCCATAAAATTTCCGATTTTCTTTAAACAGCTATTTAAAGTGTATGAGATTATTTCGTTTGCAGGTAGCTGCTTATTTTAGGTAATTTTCGAATCCACCAGCTAGCTGGAATGTTCCGGGACGTTACATAATTTTGGTGCCTGAGCTCGCCTAACTGTCGGGATGCGGCGCAGCAAGCCTTACCATCGAGTCTTGCATTCAATTCAATAAGGCTACGGTCAAAATCTCTTCTGCCACCCCTCCCTGAGGGGGCTCAATCCGAGAGAGATCTTAGCGAATATCTTCTGCTTATATGATGTTATGATTTATTTATTATAATATATAATATATAAATAATTTCTTCCCTCGGGCCTCGTCGGCTTTTCTATTCATTATGTTGATCCTCACGGATTTGCCCCCGGAGATTCTCCGCCGGGTCATCGAGGAGTCCATGCCCGAGGGCTTCGAGAAGTTCATGCTAACCTGCCGCTACGTCTACGAATGCGGCAGGTCCCTAATCGATAAACACGCCACGTATATCCGGGAAAACCGCTACCTCAACTTCGAGGGCATTGCGGATTACGTCCCCATCGTCACTTGGATGTATAGCGTCGTGAATGACCCCGTGGTCGCGAGATATGTCTGGCACGTCGATTTTTGCCAGCGCCGGAGGGGCCCGGACGCGATCTACCCGCGCAAGCGGCTGAACGGAGATCCCGTGGCTATGAGCCGCCTGAGGGAGTTTATCGTGGAATCGCCGTACTTGCGCCGGGCTGGCGTAGACCGCGAAGAGTGGGCGAGGGTTATCCTATCTAAAGTCGAGACCCTCGACACCGAGGAGCGCGATAAATATTTCGTATTTATGGGTCCGTTTCTATTCACGCTTTTCCCGAACCTCAAATCCTTCATGTTTTCGCCGCCCCTCAGCGTTCGACATGCTATGGAATTCCCGGCTACCTCCACCCGGCACCTGGATTACTATCCGCAAGCGCAACGCGTGATGGAGACAATCACTCGGATGATAGAAGAGAATGCCGATGGGGCCTCCCTCGGGCAGTTGGCCCAGGTGTGGATCCGGGACCTCGAAAACAACAACGAAAAGATGGACTTGCGCGCCTTGCTATCTTTTTTCACAGCACCAGATCCTAAAGCCCTGTATCTTACTAATTGTGAGGATTATGGCATCGGCCCCATTTTCTTAGGATACCACCGCAACTCCTTAGATATGAGCTTGGGCTTGCGCAAACTTGTATTAGAACACAGTTACGTGGATAGCGAGGCTATATCGTTCCTGCTATCCCGTACTCCTTACTTGGAGTCGTTCAGGTTTAGTTACGTGTCGAAGAATAATAGTAGACCTGCGTTGGATCGCTGGGATGTGGCCGCTTTTATCGCTGGTATAGGGAAAAACGTGGGCCAGCACCTGGAGGAGCTTATTGTAACCCTGGAGTACCTTGACGGTCACGTAACCAACGGGGTCACCTCCATGAAAGAGTTCGTAACTCTCAAGCGGCTTGACCTTGACGTCCGGGCGTTCCACACCCCCGCCATCCAGACGTGGGCGAAAAAGGTGTTACCAGGCGAGGATGTGATGCGAGAAATTCCGCTGGAGGCGTTCGAGGCCATCCCGCGGCTTGTTAAGATCCTACCGCCTTCGCTAGAAGAAGTAAACCTCTTTGCGGACAACGATAAGTATAGGTACAACCCGGAGATCGTGAAGAGGCTGTTAGATGACTTCGCAGTCGACCGGTGGACCTTCCTGCCCAACCTGGAGATCTTCGGGCTATGGTGTAAGTTCTCGGGGTTGAAGAGACAGGACAAAATCGACCTGTGGCACTACGCCCGATCGAAGCGCATCACCTGCAACTTTAATTTCAATGATGAATCGGCCTGGAAGTCCTTCCTCGCAAGCCGCTGTACCACCCACCATTACCTCTCGCCCTCCCCTTTCCCCACAATCGACGTTTTTGCAAACTTAACAGACTGATCTCGACAGGGTGTTTTGGACGTACACGAAGCCTCGTTTTTACGAATTATGTAAATATTAATTGTTTAATTTTTAAATCTTATTTTTGCCATATCATACCATGTATTCATTATCTACCTCTACATACAACTTTGTCTTATTCAAAGTCCGCCGGCAAATATCAGGTTATCTTTACAGTAGTTAATCGCATTAATAGCTTGTTTTACTCTGCAATTAATACGAGCATCAACGTTCACAAATGATATAGCGATCATGAAGTATTGGAGTTGCAATTATTTTCTGATTATATTGATTATCATGTTGCCTTTTTTGCGGCATTATGTTGAATGGGTATGTCTACCTGCCGTCTAGAACATGCGGCTCCCTCGAACTCCTGTTGCCATGCGCTTTGCTGGTGCGCGGCAAAAACATCCCGCCTTCCTATAAAACCTCGCCCAATGCAAAAAATAGCTAACAATCCGCTAAAGCATCGCTTATGGGGTATAATTTTTTTTTCTCCTCGCAACACAAGACAAATGACAGAAAAGAAAACAACCCAGCACTATTTTTTCCTCAACTTATTCAACAGCGAACATCGTCTAAATATGCCATGCCGGCGGTCGGACGTATCCTAACGTGCGGCCTCGTCAGCCCCCGCACTCGACGGTGTTTGCTCTTCGTATATTGGACTCTGGGCCCTGCTCCCGACATCGTGACTCCGTCGATTTAGCGTCAAATCCTCGACGCTGTCAATGCTCTCGTAGGGAATGTCGCACGAGTAAGACGGGGGCGAAGGCGGGACATCTTGGTAGATTGGAGGTGCCTCGTTATCCCAGCTGACACCTAAGCCGGCTCTCTCCGTTATCACGACTCCGAAGTGCATGCGCAATATACGTGCAACTCCGGTCGGCGTGATATGCTTGGGATGAGCGGTAGGTGCGTATTCCTGTACAACCACCATCTCCACAACCAGCTGGTGTGTAATTTGAGTGCCATCTTCGCTCTTCATATCACACACGGTTTTCGCGCTAGGTGCAAGCTGGTATTGAACTTCCATTTCGATGCTCCCAGACGGTGAGTAGTCTGCCTTCCAGCCGCTGTGCATATCTGCATGCGCTATCGTACGTGAGTCGCTACGCTTCGAACCCTTCTTCATCGGCAAGCCGGTTTCCGGGTCCTTTGGCGAGTGCTTCTCGCATGCAGGTGCGACGGTTTCCATATTTTCCTCTAGCTTCCACGAAAGTCTTTTCAGCTTCCAATACTCTACGGTCTTGACATCGGGGTTGTGCTTGACAATGCCGTCAAGACGTAGGGTGAATGTGTTAGTGCTAAGGGGATGTATGACTTGGGTAAAGTGCACACTAGCAGCGATGTTGGTTGGTGGGAAAATGCGAATGCTGTGATGGGGTAGGTCTGGTACTTGAACTGATCGTTTGACTTCAATATTTTTCGTGAGCTTGATGGTGGGCCCTGTTCGGGGTGTTGCTTCCGCAAAGAAGTCATATCGAATGGCAACAACCGAGTTGTCTGTTGTCGCAGGCAGATGCCCATCTAATAAAACAGAGAAGGGAAATTCGTGCACGCCTGAAAACGACATGTTAGTGATGTGTCAATGGCTGAAAATAGCAAGGTCGTGTGTACTTACGCTTAGATAAAACTGTTGGTTCGCTCAGGAGCGTCCAAGACTTGAGCTCGGTTGTTTGATTCGAGCATTGCTGGCAATGACCTGCAAACGGTCTCTTCTGTATGACGCGAATATTTAACGTGGCGGTGAAGTGATCAACTTCGAAACCGTCCTCCTTGACGTCAAGTAATAATTGGCCGGAAACCAATGCGCCTGTGCTGTTCTCCGGCTCGCCGTGCATGACAACGGGTGGCGACTCAATTTTCCAGTCTAGGGACGCATTGGGATTTTGTGGTGGTTCCTTTGACGATTTGGAACCGCCAAGATGTAAACTGGGAAAGCTCAGACGATGGTGATTATGAGAGTCCTTGTGCTTAAGAGGTTCGGCCATCTTTGCCGGAAGTGCGGCGGGAATTAAGGATTGAGTATGATCGACGGCGGCTTCGAGTACCGAAGATATGGCTGGCCGTTCTCTTGAGGCGGATCGCGAGTTGGGATTACTCCTCCGCTGTACGGAAGCCTTAATGCTGTGAATACTATCGTTTGAAGACCTAAAAAAGTCTACAACCCGATGTGGCATTTTGACCAAATTGTTTTAGGTCACTTAGACCTGTGGATCCTCCTACGTTGTGTGACTTTCCTTGCGTCTTTATAGCGTCGTCAGAGTAGTTTCAGAGGATTGAGGTAGGAACGATTGCGATTCGCTTGCCGCTCAATGCCGATAAATCTAAGGTAGAACCTGAATCCTGAACCGGAACTTGGACCTGAACTTGGCACTAATGCATCCGGGTGGCGGTCACCTCTTTCTTCTCTTTCTTTGTGCGCCGTGAAATTCTGGGTAACGCCGAGAAATCTGGGGAATAATGCCTAAAGTTCAGGGCGATGGCGTAATGTAACCCAATCTCAAGAATTAAAAAAAGAATTAAAAAAAGTATGAAGTCGGCTTATAAGTGTGCAGTGACAGTAGAGACCAGCTGTCTGCCAAACGCAACTAGGATCTTATATGTAGTAAATCGGTAACCGAACGGCTTTTCGTCGAATTTCGATCCTCTTCTTCTTAATCTTCTTTAGCTCGATACGACTAATGTCGTCAATGTCGTTCTCGTCCTTGGAAAGAAAATGTATGTATGATTTTCTAGTGCCGGAGCTTTGCGTCCGTTTTTGGAATATATGGGATTCGTTGAGCGGCTGTGATTGGCCAGGATGATGTCCGCATGTATTATGTATACGCCACGAACAACTTGGGATGACACGGCAACGAGGTAAGAGGCTGAAGAATAACTAACGACGGCCTTAGATATCGTATGGTCTTTTTTTTATAGCCCGATTGATTCAAACTCGTCGTAAACTTGTGCGGCGCTGTTATGTACCTAGGTAGCCAGCTGGGTGGTTCGTATAGGTGATACGGGTGGTGCGTGTAAGTGGTTTAAAAAGCGTTGTCGAATTTCGGGTCACTTCGCTTTGTCGACGCTTACGTCTTCTTTTGCAGTTATATTTTAATACCAGCAATAAAGTTTCCATCTTGGTGTAAGATGGCGGATGGCCAAGACGTTATGTAGTTATGAAGCTGGCGCAATCAAAGCCTTACTTCACATCATGCTTTTGCCCAGAGCTTTCCATCAAGTAATTATGTGTCATGGAATTGAGACGGACTGGGCCCGGCCCCTTGTAGTGACTAGTTACAGCGCAAACTCTACAAGTTACAGAGGACAAGGCCCTCAAGCTCCTCCACTAGGTTGCAGCGCTCACAGGGGGTCCCTCAGCACGTTTTCAAGCACGTATTCAAGCGCTGGTGACTGATTTGTCTCCCTTCGGGCGTTTCTTTTTTCTTTTTTCTTTTTTTTCCTTTGACGCCTTTTCTCGGTCCAATCCTTTTAAAGTCTCTTGTACACGTTCAACTACCAACTGCCAACAACCCCTTGGCGAAACTGAATTTTACGTAAGCGGAGACCTTGAAGGCCTTACAGACTCGGCTAGATTTAAGGGGTTTTTTAGAAGCACTACTAATAAGTAGTAGGTACCTATTTTATGGGCAAAAGGGGGCGCCAACTACAACTAATATTTGGTTAAATTTCCCACACAGTCGGCCCTAGCTGGTTAAAAAAAAAAAAAAAAAAAAAAAAAAAAAATCGTACAAGATTTATTTTACACACCTTACTATGTACCAAAGGTAAATACCTACCTTACACCTCCATCCACAAACTCAAAACGCGGCGGATGCCCCGCAGTCAGCCCTGCGCACAATACGGGGTCGAACACGTACTTGCAGACATACAACACCTTATAAGGTTAGCTGAGGAAACAGAGCAGCTGATGCAATTCTTACCATGTCACGGACAATCTAGGATCAAGTAATACTACTATTTCAACTACTGACAATGACGCCTTCGTCGGACGTTTTGATACAATGGGGAACTAACACACCGCCGCATTAACTCATGAACTTGATTCATCCCTCTTGGCTCGTTTGGGAAAGAGACAACGCTTTGTGGATGGTGGAATCCTTGACTGTTTACTACTACCATAGGTAATGAATGTATTGTACCGTGACCCACTTGATCGAAGCCATCGTGAAAACCCGATGAACGTATGATGGTTGCTAGAACCACTAGAGAGTCATAGCAAAGCCACGACCCGATGGGTTGTGGACCGTGTTACTCGATCGTTACCCTATGATATCCACAGCGGCGCGTCCGTTTGCCAAATCGGGCCCCGGCGGAAGTGGGCGAAAGGCCTGGAAGAGGTCCGAACCAGGTTCTAGAAAAGAACAAGGAAAAAGGAAAACAACGGCAATAGAGATCGATCAACTTCAAATCTGAGTGTCTTCCCCCTGACCAACCTTTTTTCGACATAGACTTGTGGAACTTGATGGAACGTGTAACTCCAGATGTCTCTATGCAATAACAGGTACTTTGTAACATTGTATCTACCTTAGGTAGGTACCTTCAACTTCAAAAAACTTTGAGCTGGACGATTCTGTCCAATCCAACTCATCCCGTAGATCCACAACTTGTCACCATGAGGTACTAGGTTAGGTAGTGTAACAACGGTACGTAGTACATCTATTTTTAAGCTGTGTAACAGCCGCTTCGTGACCACAGGAAAATTATTTTTTCCCTTTCAATTAAAATTAATGCGGCGGGGCTCGCCGAACTCGAGTTAAATTGTGTAGTGTATCCTAAAAGACCCACCTGGTCACAACTCCTGAAATATTTTCACTTGTATAAATTTTCTCTTAGCCGTCTCAACTCTCCACCATATCCACCATATCCACCCTCGCCAACTAAATTTTCATGTCTATGTGGATATTAGATCCCACTATTTTTTGTGAGCCGCAACTTGCCGCCGATCTATTGATGGGAAAAAGACTTTTCCCTAGGTGACGGCGAAATGGAAATGGATTTTTTTTTTTTTCTTTTTTTGTTCGTGTGTTCACGATGCTTCGTGGCGGCTGTTCGATTCCCTTTCTCTTCGGCATAGTTGCTATGGAGACATCGCTTGTCATGGGCTCGCACGGGTCTTGAGTACCCAATCGTCAACATCGATTTTAGATCAACGGCCCTACAAGACGGGAAGGTGATGCCAAGGGTGATCCATTCCAATTTCTTGACCTAACAAGGACCTAACACTAAGTATACGTATTTTATGGTCAAAATGAGATCGATGACTAACAAGGTACAATTAGGAGGCGGCGGCGACAATGTTACGTCCTCAATAATAGGTTTTACGAGTTACGTAAAACCTTGTCCTTATTCGAAATGCAATATACCCCGGGTAGACAATGTTTGAGGAAATCCCTCACTTGAATATTTTTACTACTTCATCTATTGTTCCGGTACATACAAACTGATCGTTGCTAGAATTTTGACAGTGAAGCCAAAGAACCCTCCTGCCTAGACCGCAATCGCCTTTGCGGGGGGCGGGGAACGCGTTCCCGCTCAAAGCTTGTAAGTCGATCCGATGGGACCGAACTTGATGTTGCTGTACGTAACCTTGGCATTTCTAAATTTTTCACGGACTTGCTCGGGCTTGCTGCCGTCGACATCGCATTCTCCGCGAGCAACTCCCGGCTCAGACGGATCGCGATCAAGGGGATATCTCTGACCATCCAGCCAAAGCATGTTGGCATATGCCTGTCAAAATGTCAATTTATACTCTAGGGGAAAAAAGAAAAAAAAAAGGAAAGGGAGGCGGTATATTGCACTTACATCATCCCAAACAGACATAACCAAGACCATGGGCTTGCCCGTAGCTTCACCCATCTTTGTTAAACCGCCCATCTCGTCGAATCGCTTGGTGGAATTGAAGACGTCTGCAGCAGCATCTATTTACAAAGGCTGAGCGTTAGCGATATTCGTCCTATAGTAAGTGCTGCAATTATTTGGATAAAACATACCACAGAAGCTGGCGTCGATCTTGCTGCCATCAGATACATATTTAGACTTGGGGACTTCAAACTTCTTGCCGTCTTGGATGAAGTATTGCGAAATGCTGTCTAGAGACGTGCCTGAGCCGTGGAATTGGGTCACGACGGTGAACTTCCTGCTAGTATCTATGGTCTTTCCCTTGCCATAAAAGCCGGTGTTACCGTGACGGAACGGGTTCAAGTCGCATCCATCAGGATCACAGCTGCCTGCATATCGGTTGTCGGAGTATGTACCACCGCAGTCGGTCGTCTCGCAGACGAAGTATCCATCCTTCTGGCATGGGTGAGGTGTCAACGCGAAAGACATGCTGTTAGCCTCCCAGAGGTCCATTTCAGCACAGCAGGCCCCTTTGTTACCGACACCAGAGTTCTGGTCTGTCGTCGACGGTACCCAACCTTCGGAATTAGCCTAGAAGAATCGTACAGTTAGTCAATACTCTGTTTGGATACTGGGATTGCTTGAACATAGCCTACCTTTCCACTAATCCACTTGAGATCTCGAGCGCATTGGGAGTCGCAGTATCCGGTACCATACTTCGCACCAGCCTTATTGGTGGGGTAGCGTGCCTTTCCGCCGTCCTCGTCCATAGAGACGAAGTATACGGCGCCATTTATGCCACAACCAAGGTCAGCATTCTCAACGTCGAAAGCGATTTCGTTGCCATTGGCCGTGAACGTCTGGTACTTGTCTGCACCGTTCATGAGGTATAGACGAGATCCGATGTTAGTGCCGTATTGGTGGTCATTTCGGAACTTCAGAGTCACAGCATTGCCGGAGGTAGTCACACCGTATGTGCCCGAGTAATCCGCACCCTCGATGGCGCAGTTCTTGGTGCAAGTATCAGCATCCGGACATACGGTTGTGTCCCACTCATTTCCGGTGTAGCAGTTCTGGTAACCATTTACCACGTGAGTCCATCGCCAGTTGGAGTCAATAACGACCTCACCGTTGACACTGGTGCACTGGCCTGCTGCGGTACAGCGTTGCCAGGTAACCTTGGGATGCGTCTCAGCGGTCTGCGTGCCGACTTGCTGGGCACGGCCTAAGGTCAGCAGAGTCGCCAAAGAGGCGACAGTAGCTTTGTTGTGCATCTTAAGGAAAGAGATCTAGCAAACGGTAGGTGATATGCTGGGCCGGTGTGTTGGGGAGGAAGTTCAACGCTCGTGGCTGGCTTGCTTGAAATTCCAATTTGAAAATGACGCGATGAAGCTGCCCTTTTATTTCCATCGCGAACGCAGCTACGCCTGGATAGCCAATGCATTTACATGGGCCAATGCAAGACTAGATTGTAAACAATCTTGTACAAGAGGGGAAACACATTCCATGGCCCAGAGTCTTGAGCGAAGATGGCAAATCAGATTCAAGTTCCTTAAGCGCGACTTCACAACTTGGCTAGGGACTGAATTCAATTGAAGATAGCAAGCAAAGACTGGGAATCCACACCTTCCACGCGCAGTTCCTCTTCGGCTCAGACGGGCCGGATTCACGAAGACTGCGGATTAAAATTAGCATTGGGTGGGCGGATGGAGAAAATCTTCAGAAATCATTGACTATGGCAGCTCGAAAATTCCATGGCGCCTTCTTAACGCCCAGTCATATGATGATAATTAGAATGTGGGCTGCAGAAACATCAGATCTCAGCATGCACCTCGGATTATGAGAGCGGCTTCTCGATTCATCAAAATCGGACCAAATACATGATACCCAGGCTCCGCCAGTAGTTATTTCATAATGTGAACTTATTCTCATTACTTTAGTAAGTTATACTTTATTTGCAATATTAAACTTTAAGGTCCTAGAACGGACGAAGGTTCATCACCAGATTTTGTAACGGTTGATCTTCTCTAAGATTGGTGAAGATCAGCGTACCCAGTAACCTGGATTTCACGCTCCATCCCGTCCGTTACTGGGATATAGATTGAGAATCTACTTAACACATGCAATCTGACGCGGGAAGCAGACCGGGTATCCTTTCCGGTTGTTTCTTCATACCGAAATCTTATCTTCATAAGGCTAGCCTCCAACCTTTTCCCCACGCGGGCTTTCCCCAAGTGCCCGCCTCGTTCGTTCTTCTTCGTTCCCGCCCCTCTAGGTACTCCAAACTCCTCCAACAAGCTTCTTGACTAACCCCCTTGGAAACTAGCTTTCTGTAATGCCGGACCCTTCAATTCCGCGATGGGACACCCTAATTAGGATAATGCCGAGGACTTGGGCGCCAAATCGATTACTCCGCAGAACGAGCGGGCAAAACCTCACGATAGGAGACTTTGCTCTGGGCAGAGCCTAGGCCAAGACAGCCCCGTCGATGCGAAAAGGATCATATTATACCACCTACCTCTTCAATGATATAGGTGATGCAGGAAACTCCTGCTTAGTCGCCAATGTTTCTTTCCTCGTCCCGTCTGCGTTAGGTAGACGGGAAGCGGTCCCGGCGTTGGCGCTAAGGCATCACTACCAACAGACCAGCACCACAAATCCGCACAGGCCTACTATACCAAGAAACGCTTGTTGTCGACTTCGTGGTACGATGAGGCGACTAGCTAGTATGTAACGAGTATGGGCGCGGCCTCATACCTACCTACATAGTAGGTATACAACGTCCGAACGTCATGTGTCTTAATTCGAGCTCTTCACATTGGACCATACGAGACCGTTTCCGGCTCCCACCGCCGTCGCGTTTCAATAGGTAGGTAGGTAGGTAGTGTAGTTCCACCTAAAGAGGAGAAATTCTCCACATGGTTTACTTCGTCTCGTCCGATGTATGCGCGCGTCATCATTGAAGCGTTAGACGGAGGGAGGCGCTGGGCGAATATAAAAACCCTCTCTTGGAAGAAAAACTTGTTTTCCTAGGGAATGTCAGGCTTATCCTAGATCTAAATTACTAGCACTCGAATATATATCTTTACGAAGAGCTCGTATACATAGGTACCTACCTGTTGACGTTCTTGTACGACAGAACTGGCACGTGGCTGTTAAAAGATCGGTAACGTGGTACGGCAGGCGATCTGGGAAAGACACGTGTTTGGCAGGCATATTTTATTTATTTTAAATTTCCAGGCCCTTTTCTTATATTAAGTACCTCATGTTAGGTACCTAGTGACTTAGCCGGCCACACCTATACCCATTTTGAAGCAGGGATGATAAACACATTTCAAGCATAAGTGAGGTAGCTTACAATTTTAGTATGTGATCATCGATCGAGAGCGAAAAGCGTTTTTGAGCCGAAGTCCTATATTCTCAATAACTGAGAACGACAAAGGCATGTGTATTTGTATCTTGAAGGCAAATTTGATGGTTTCGAAAAGTGTAGGTACCTTAGGTACTTAATGCTCTATCTTATGACTCAATTCGCTACCTCCCATGGGGAAATATAAATATGTGCTTGTACCTGCAGCTTGCGGGAATAGTCGTACCGGGTATTTTGGTAGCATCGATAAAAAAAACATTTATTAAGCTCGTTCCTCTGTTAATACCAGGTTTTCTACATTGATATAACTTACCTAGTATGAGAGTGTCTAAGTTACTTTCCTATGAAATAGCTTCCTTGTTTTGTTTAGTTCATGCGTACCGAATGATGGGATGGAACATGATTGGTTGTTAAGGTATATTACCTTAGGTACCTACCTCCTAAGGTAGCCTTACAGGGCTATTATCGATAGTGTTCGATTGCGGGGTGGAGTGGGGGGCTTCTAACTTGAACTTTGAAGGAAACGTGGTAAGTTCATTGTGGCTTGACATAACAAGAAAAGCATCAAAAAAGTGGCGTGTTCTCTGATACTTCATGTTCCTATTAACACTTTGAAATACCATAATAAAATGATATAGTTGATATAATAATAGTCAAGAGGAATAGAATTTATTTATTTATTTATTATTGTTGCTATTAGTTGTGAAATTTATTGTTGAAAGACAATGTGCTTGTATAAGTTACTGTGTAGATGTTCTTCTACAAACGCAGTTATAAGGTTAGGAGGTAGGTACGGTTATGACGATGTCCTGCGGCTGCGGCTGCGGCTGCCCCGAGCTCGCCCGTGTTAGGTATTACTCATTGACCGACCGACTTCTTGATGACTCGACCTCGACAAAATTTAAAAAAATAAATTTACTCAAAACAAATAATCTTTACCTACCTGTTTCAACTTCACCTGTTCCCTCATCTGTATCTATTATTGATACTCCATAGCGTATTCAACACCTGTACATATAATTATTCTCCCATAGTCACTCTCAATGATCATTCGAATATACTAAAACTAATAATAACAACTCCACTTGCGAGTCTCGAAATAGCGGCAAACATGACGAGTAAAGGCGCGAAACAGTTGCCGCATGAACGGCGAAAAGGGGAAGCTGTATGTCCAACTTTGCACATTTATCATGTAGTTAATTGAAATATAATCGGCTGACCTCGCTCTTAGGCCCTAAGCGACTTTGCTGAGTTCGTTGAAAGGCAACAAGCGTTGCGCTATCCGAGCGCCAAAGGTGCCAACCATGTTGAGCACCACGAAGAGCTCGATATTCTCGACTCTCTCAATTTAGGCGACTCTGAACCCCAGGTACCATTGCGCAACCTCCTCCTTGCCCCTTCCGACGACACAACAGCCCAACAGAAGCTTTCCGAATACATTAACGAACGACTCCTGGAAGGTCATGGCGAGGCAGTCTTCGATTTGGGGTTCGAGAATAACGGTGAATCAATGCGCCTTACCCGTGACGAGTGGGACATCGCATTGGATCGATTAAAAGGAACAGCCAAAAAGACGAGTGCGGATTGCGACGTATTGCTTACAAAGAATGTTGGCGGCGACGTCGAAGCCGAGTCAACAACTGCAGGGAATCAGAGCAAAGACACAGACTGCACTGGGAAAATATTAATACGGCAGAATCCTCCGACAATAGAGCAGGTTATCGAAACGAGAATAGCTGTTGTTGGTAATGGTAAGTTAACTTGACTTTTACATTCAAAATAAGGTAACTCTACGGACGACCATACTAAAGCTTACATACAGTTGACGCCGGGAAAAGTTCCATGCTTGGGGTCTTAGTTAAAGGAGATCTCGATGACGGGAGAGGTAAGGCACGTGTCAATCTCTTTCGTCATAAACACGAGATCGAGACCGGCCGCACAAGTTCCGTCGGGATGGAAATCATGGGTTTCGATACAATGGGAAATGTGATTACATCCGACACCCCTGGGAGTAAGTAATAGGAAGCCCACTATACCCTTATACCCCTATTCTACTATTCCCCTATTCCGCTCTCGCTGTTAACTGTGCTACAGGAAAACTGTCATGGGAAGAAATTGGGAAACGGAGCGCTAAAGTAATCACATTTACTGACTTAGCTGGCCACGAACGTTATCTGCGGACTACAGTCTTCGGTCTGCTGTCTAGTAGCCCCAATTATTGTCTGCTTATGGTCGCTGCAAATAATGGGTTAATCGGTATGAGTAAAGAACACCTTGGTATAGCCTTGGCCTTGAATGTTCCGATCATGGTTGTGGTCACCAAAATTGATATATGTCCTCCGAATATTCTGGAACAAACCATCCAACAAATCACCAAAATTCTGAAATCACCAGCGGCACGGAAAATGCCCATATTCATCAACAATCGCGAAGAGTGTATCAACACCGCAACCCAGTTTGTCAGTCAGCGAATATGTCCCATATTCCAGGTTTCCAATGTCACCGGCGAGAATCTTAATCTCGTTCGCACATTCTTAAATATCCTTCCGCATCACGGACGGTATGACTCGGACGCTCCTTTCGAGTTCCACGTTAATGATACCTTCTCCGTTCCTTTCGTTGGTACGGTAGTAAGCGGTATTATCAAGTCAGGGGTAGTACATGCCGGTGACAGCGTCCTAATTGGTCCGGACTCGTTGGGTCAGTTTACTCAAACTAGTATTCGGTCCATCGAGCGAAAAAGAATCGGTGTGCCAGCAGCGTCTGCTGGCCAATCCGCTAGTTTTGCATTGAAGAAAGTACGTCGGAAAGACGTCAGGAAGGGAATGGTGGTCTTACCAAAAGTCGAAGGCCAGCCACTTCCTAAAGTCTACCGAGAGTTTGTCGCCGAAGTCTTAATTCTCTCGCATGCAACCACAATCAAAACAAAGTATCAGGCTATGCTTCACGTTGGACCGGTCTCGCAGACCTGTGCGATAATTGATGTCGATCGCCCCTTCATACGGACTGGTGACAGAGCGACTGTAGCATTCCGGTTCGTCCTGCGGCCAGAATACCTGGCCCCGGGCGATCGACTTCTATTTCGCGAAGGGCGCACTAAAGGCTTGGGTATTGTCAAATCAGTAGGGTACGATCCCAAGAAACCCCTAATGGCTAGCCAGTCGGATGGTAGTGCCGCGCAAGAGCCTGATGAGAACCAGGGCTCCACAGGAAGAGGCATTGCGTCGTCTGCGGGTGTGAGGGTTGGCGCTTAGAATCAATCATAAGACCTAACTAGCGGTCCTCGCTGCAGAACTATGCTCATCTGGGGAGGTCGCACTATAGTGTAAGAGCTGGGGTTATCTCTGGGGAGTTTCAAACGAAGTCATTATTAAGATCCGTCTCGTTATCAGTTCACATAATGCTTTAAGAAGATAAGAAGGGATGCATCAGGGTTACCAGCGGAGTTGGGCGTTTTACTACGGGGGTTTGGGGGAGCGTAATGGTTCACCCTAGATACCCTCAGACATTTATCTTATTGTACTTAACTTATTTCTAGCATGGAACATATCCAATCGTTTGCATAGGGGTTTACCTATAACCTCGTTTCTACTACTCCTCTCTGACGTTTTCCGGCGTCGCTTGATAGTAGGTAGAAGCTAGACCATTAGGTCATTTCGTATTAACAACACTACCTAGGTAGGTACCTTATGTGAAGGCGTTAATATCGTGAGCTAGGGATGTAAAACGTCTATACCACAATGCATATTCTTGGATGTCACTTACGTATACACGGACGCCTGTTTTAGTGTGGAGCTTCAAGGAAGAGGCTCAAGATTTTATATAATCCACGGAGACTTAATTGCAATAGGCATTTAACATGCTATGTCCTTTTACTCCTATTGGACCACAAAATGGTAAAAGACTATAATAGGAAATAGCCCACCTTAAACCGGGAATATAAAAAAAATATTTCGGAGACTTTTTTCGTAAGCGGCTCAAGGATGGTCCGGGTATGCTACGTCAAGGAGTAATGGGGGAGAAGCCTCGGCCTTTTGCTAAGAGAACTAAACTTCGGCATTCCCAAAACCTTGGTATCTCGAAGGCTTCGGATTCTACGAGGAGCCCGTTGAGCCCGTTGAGCCCGTCGTCTCTATAACACTGTATCTCCTTCCCTGCCTGCCTCCCTACGCGTCCGGAAGGACAGCCGGGGCTTGGCTTGGCGCCCTTTTCTCGTTTACGGCGAAGAAGGTAAAGACGAAGGGTTTATATGATCACTAATCAAGATAGTGGAATCGAGTTACTTACATAAATGACGCGACAGATGGAGTTTTTGGTCAACCAATAGATTAGGTAGATATGAGGCTATCGTGGATTGATAAATGCCTAACTGGGGTTTAGACTGCCGGCTTGTGCTTGCGTGCACCGGGACTTGCGAGCGCCGGGACCAAGGCATAAATCCCCTAGGTACTTGTATTGTGCGCCACGAGCGGGTGATCGACCGCTGGGATCATGATTTGGCCTACCTAGCTTAGACGTGAAGACCAGCTCGGAAACTACGGCCGGTTATTGGCTGAGACCTGTTCGTCGAAACAAGGCCATGCGTATACGATGGCGGGAGCGGTCCAGGCCTTGTCGAACTATGAATAAACTCTAGGTACCTACCTGTTAGTTGCCTCATGGTAGCGGGGGTTACTATCCTCTGTGGGTAGGCAGGTTAATGCGTCGAGACATGGTTCTTGGGATTGGTAATAAAGTATGCTGCATTGCCGTTGAAGAATTGCTCATGATGGCTCATAATGACTTGTCAGCATTGGGTGCCCTGATTTCCGGTATATATAACCTTGGGGTATCTCCAGTTTCTGGGTGGTATGAAAGGTTCTGATCAAGAGAAAGCAGAGACTTGACTGTAGTAAGACCTCTGGCACTCATAGTTCACCATGGTGTCTGTTTTCCAAATCCCGGATCATATCAATATCCCCCTTATAGGGGCTGCATGTGTAAGTGACAGACCCTTCAGTCCTAAGTTCTAGTCGGAAGCTTCAACATTAATGGTTGTCCTTATACTTACATTGTAACTACCTAGGCAACCCTCTACATCGTATGGACTCTATTTTACCGACTCTTCTTAGATCCTTTACGCGACATCCCAGGGCCATTTCTTTGGCGCTACACCAGTCTGCCGCGGCTTTACCACGTGGTAAAAGGCGATCTGCACACCAAGGTTCGAGAACTCCATGATCAATACGGACCAATCATTCGAACTACGCCTTACGAAGTTATCTTTAACGACCCCCAAGCGTGGAAAGATATATACGGCCACCGAGTGGGCGATGCATCAGAAATCGAAAAATGGATGCGTAAGTAAACTTCCTGAACTCTTGTTTCCATATTGTGACTCTTAAAGGTGTCTTTTTACCTATCTCTAGCCTACAGGACAGTTTACTAAAGGCAAATGAGATACTATATAACTCTGCCCTTCACATCTGTGACTACAACTATGACTACCTGTTATAGTTGAACGAAACTAAAACATATGCAAACGCTAACTAGGTGCTTATAGCGTTCTACAAACCGAACACCGACCTACCTGACAACCTTCTCATTTGTGACAGAGCGGATCATAGTGTGATTCGTCGGCAGCTTTCGCACGCGTTCTCTGACAAGTCGATGCGAGAGCAAGAAGAGCTGATCAAGGGATACGTGGAATTATTGATAAAACGATTACACGAGAACGCAGACAATGGCAAAGCTCCCCTCAATATGCGCGAGTGGTATAATTGGACGACATTCGACGTCATTGGCGACTTGGGCTTTGGAAGCTCGTTTGGCTGCTTGGAAAACTCGGGCGTATGTGACCCTCCACACCATCCATCTCCTCAACGCCATCCTCAACTACTTAACATAACCTTCAGTCATCTCACTTCAGGGGAAATTTTACTGACTTATCATATGTAGTACCACCCTTGGATCAAGCTCATCACATCTACCTTCCGGGAGAACTCCATATTCCAAACCCTGGGCCACCTCGGCTTGAACCCGCTAGTCAAGTATCTCTTCCGCTGGAACGTGATGGCCAAGAACAACAAGGACAGCCTCAACCTGGTCGCCGAGACGCTGGACGAGCGGATCAAATCCGGCCGCGAAAGACCGGACCTGATCGACTCCCTGGTCAAGAAGAAGGACGATCTGGGCTTGGACTTCGGCAAGCTCGTCTCCAACGCCAACTTGTTGATCGTCGCGGGCTCGGAAACCACCGCCACCCTGCTCTGCGGCGCGACGTACCTCTTGACTACTAACCCGCACGCGCTCGCTAAGGTGACTGAGGAGGTGCGCAGTAGTTTCAGTAGTGATGAAGAGATCACGCTCACGTCCGTTGGAAAATTGCGCTAGTAAGTGTCTTTATCCATTGGTGCCCTCTCCTATTAGCCAGTCCAGCATCGTATCGATCACTGATACAGAGGAACAAAAAAAATAGTATGCTCGCGTGTCTCAACGAGTCTCTGCGACAGTACCCCCCGGTCACTAGCGATCTGCCCAGGCGCATACCCAAAGGAGGCGCCACTATCGTAGGGAAATTCCTCCCCGAAGGCGTGAGTTTTACCTACCTAATTTACCTACATGCCAACCTGCCTACCATTGCGTGTGATCACTACCTTAGGTAACCTACCTTAAGCATATATTTATACTAACCTCTTTCTCTCAATTCCCTTGCCGCAGACTATATGTTCGATCTTCCAGTGGGCCATCAACTACGACCGGCGGTGGTGGAAGGACCCGTACCGATTCGCGCCGGAGAGGTGGCTGGACGACCCGGAATACGTGCACGACCGGCGGGACGCCATGCAGCCGTTCAGTCACGGCCCGCGGAACTGTATCGGGAAGAAGTAAGTTCCAAGCCATCTAGATCACATCCAGCCCATTTACCTACCTACCTACCTAACCTAAGTACCAAAGAGTTCTTCTGCCATCATATTACCTAGGAAGGCAGACTGTGTGTGAATGGGGATGATGTATTGAGTGCTGACGCATGGTGTTGCATTAGTCTGGCGTACGCGGAGATGCGCCTCATCCTCGCCAAGATCCTGTTCAACTTCGACATGGCGCTCGACGAGTCCTCGCGCAACTGGACCGAGGACCAGCGGTCCTTTACCGTGTGGGAAAAGCCGCCGCTGTACGTCTACTTGACGCCCCGTTTCCAAGAGATCGGGGTGGGAGGTAAATAATCCAGTTACACATAGGCCAATACCCATTGCGAATGAACCCCCTAGGTACCTAAGGGAAGGTTGGCTCAGGGTAGATAGGTAGGTATAACCGGATGGACATGATGGACATGGCTAAGACTGGGGGTGTTCTCGAACAGCAATTCGTACAGCTTAGGTGTGGTTTGGACAAGCACGACAGGGGAACTAACTAAATTGTATATTGAACTCGGGCTATTGAATGAGCTCGAGTAGGAGGTATTGTTTCGCATAACAACACAGGCGAATTCTTGGATTCCTATACCTTAGGTACCTCCTACCTACCTATGTTTATTGTCAGGGGTATAGGGCAAAAGGGCGGATAGGGGCACCAGGCCCACTAGGATAGGTGTATATAAGGAGCACGCTGCTCCCTCGAAGGTGCTTCGAGGGACAAGCGCTAACAGATCACTACTCTACACTGCATACTTGATACTCTACGTGCTACTGCTCCGTATTCACTCGATGTACGGACATACATCACGGGATCCCTCTAACATTTATATTCGTACGCTACTTAAATGGATATGCCCATGCAGAATCAAGGAGCTTTAACGAAAGTCTTCACCTTGAATATACTAGTTATCGAATACACTAATCTGACGGTGGAGTATAGGTGGTAACATAATATATAAGCAGAATTGATGTGTATGAGAGGTAGTTCTTTATAAGTGAGCAGTAGGTATTATGCTTCTAAAACAATTCAATAGGAGTCCTGTAGTTAGTATGAATTAATTATAGGGTTTAACAAGTGTGTGTGTATTGTCTATTTAAAAGAAAAGATTTTTTTTCTTTTTTTTCTTTACAAACAATCACTCAACACTGAAGAAGAGCAAGGGAGCCACATCCGTGGCTCATGAGTGGCACACTCACAGGTTTGTTAGATACAGGAGACGAAGATATCACTGTCATACATGCTTCCGTAACCTATCTTGGGCCTGTGGGATGGCCTTGCATCAGCTAAAACGACTTTACTAAACTAGAGAGTTTAGTGTTATTGTATAAATGAATAAATGAATAAATGATGGTATTTAAATATGCAGGAAAACATATTGGGTTTAAGGGATAACACGCTCAAAATCTCACGGTATTCGCGTGCAACCCCCCCTTTATTTTACTTGCATGACTTGAAAATTATCATCAACGATGTCACGGTTCTAGAAGTCTTCAAACTTAATATAGTTGAAATTTTCGATTCATTGTACATTTGGTACACTCATCCATCTCGTCTAGCCGTTATCGCATCATCCAAACCGCCTGTATCGAAACTTTTTATATACACGGTAGAAGATTTATATCAAAACAAAAAAAAATATTATCGTAACACCTCTTTCACCCAATTTGAAAACTCCATTTGTTTGTTTATTCGCTTGTTTGTTTGGACACCAGTCCCCGTCTATTTGCTCGTGTCGACGACGTACCGACCGGCGATCTTGCCGGCCTTCAGCAGGTCGAACACCTCTTGCAGCTTGCTGAGGCCGACGACCTTGTAAGGCGAGGAGACCAGCCCTCTCCGGAAGAAGTCGATGGCCTCGGCGGTGTCCTGGCGGTTGCCGACGTAGCTGCCCTTGATGTTGATCATGCGCACAACGGTGTCGAAGACGGGCGCCTTGAGGTATGCGCCTGCGGGCATGCCGACGGCGACGATGGAGCCGCGGCTGCGCACGTACTCGCTAGCCTGTTGGAAGGGGCCCTCGCTGACGGCGAGCAGCAGGACGGCGTGGGGACCGAAGCCGTCGGGCGTGGCGGCCTTGACGTCTGCCACCACGTTCTTGCTCTTGGTGAAGTCGATGTAGTCCTCGGACCCGAGCGACTTGCAGAGCTGGCCCTTCTCTTCACCGCCGTCGATGGCGATGGTGTGCAGGCCCATGGCCTTGGCGTACTGGATGGCCAAGCTGCCCAGACCACCTCCGGCACCGACGATGGCGACCTGCTGACCGGGCCTGGCGCCGGATTCCTTCAGCGCCTTGTACACCGTCAGACCAGCGCACAGGATGGGCGAAACAGCCTCGAGGCTGACCTCCTTCGGGATCCTGGCGACGTGAGCCGCCTTGCCGATGGCGTACTGTTGGAAGCTACCGTCTACCGTGTAACCGGACAACAAGGCGTCGGGGCACAGCGATTCATCAGACGCCTGGCAGAACGAGCAAGTCAAGCACGATCCGTTCAGCCACTTGATACCGGCGTAGTCTCCAAGCTCGATGTCGCGGACGAGCTCACCACGAGCAACGACAATACCAGCGCCTTCGTGCCCACCGACGAAGGGCATCTTGGTGGGAAGGGGCCAGTCGCCATTTAGGGCGTGCAAGTCTGTGTGGCAGACACCAGAGTACTTGATGTTGATGAGAACCTCATCAGGTCCTGGCTTGGGGACAGGAATCTTCTTGTATACGACGGCTATTGGATGTTGAGTCAGTCACTGAATTAAGTAAGGCGGTCTATAAATAGAGGGGCGTTATGGTTTTTTTTATGTTAGGGTAGTAATGGAGGTTACTACTTACGTCCGCCGGTCTTTTCGCAGACCTGGGCCCATTGTTCAGTCGGGATTTCAAAAGTCGTCATTTTTCTTTTTTGAGGACTCGTTAAGACGAATGATCGAGGTCGAAATGATAATGATGGTGATGATGATGAGATGAAGGGTGTTGTTGGTCTAAGTTTCGGAAGTCTATTCAACTTATATCTAAATTGTCTGATGATGATGATGGATTTGAGAGTGTTTGAGGCGACTTCCATGATGGTATAAATAAGCTTTTCATTGTTACGATTCAGAGTTCACATCTTAAATTAAGTAGCATCGGCCAATAGAGCTCGCGCCCGCCCGCGCAGCGTGTCGTTGATCTCTCCTTGCGGTGGCATGCTTAACGTCACCTTACCCCTCTCATGACTTTGCACCACAGTAATACAATGGGTCTCCTAGGGGAATCCATACCGGCGTACTAGGAATTCTTAGAACGAGAAACGGGATACTAGAACGGGATCCTTGTTGCCGGACGAATCTAGAGTTCTAGCTAGGCCGTATCCAAGAGTATTCAAAATACGGAGTAGCCCGGGCCAAGGTGGAAGTTGGTTGAGTGAGTTGGTTGAGTTGGTTAGTACGGCGTACATAGTAAGGATGGGATCGCCGCAGAAGACCAGTTTAAGATGTGAGCATGTCAGGTGGTTCACTTGCTTATGTGCAGATTGTGGTACCGGGCGGAGCAAACGGACCAAGCCGCACCACTAAACGCGAGAGAAGTTATTTTTCTTTGTCCGTGATAGTCATCATAGCCCCCCTTGGTTAACTTGGTAACTTGGTAACCCCTTAGTTAGCCCCTTGGTTAGCCCCTTGGTATAGGTAGTCTCTTGGTAGCGCTGCATAAACAACAACAATAGCGTCGAGCCTTCGGCCGCGCGGAACTCCGCCATTCCCCCGTGTCGATTCCGCTTCAAGTCTTTGGGGTGCATATTGCATCCCTACAATTACTACCTAATTCGTAACTTGCAGGATTCAAACGCGGGGAAGTTGGGGAAAGACGTTCGCTAAAACCATCCTTTGGTCCCATTCCCATTCTCATTGGATTATTTACCATGCAGATCTCAGGGTGTTGCAGCGTAATTAGTTCTGATACTTTTGTTACTTTGGTGGTTTTGTTTTTTCGTTCAACCAAACCTTCCCCAAAGTTTCTGCAGAGTCGAGGCCAAGATTGAAAGCTCTAGACTCGGTGGAATTTTATGGAATTTTCAGGTTGATCATATGATTTTGTCCAAATGGGGTGACGGAAGCGACAGGGGTTTGTCTTATAGCAGCTGTTGTACCTATCTAGCACCTATCTAGCACCTATCTAGCCCTTATCTAGCAGCAAAATAAGGGGACAAGCTGTGGGCAACTATGTTGTCACTGTCAGCCCACATCCTTTTAAGCGGAGACGGACCCCTTCTTACTATGTAATGCTCAATTCCGATAACAACTTCTCGACTCACTTTCTCGACTTTCTCATATCCGGTGGAATGGAAGTGGATGCTGCATCATGTGGCATGTGGCATTTTTGTTCCCTCTTTCAGCTGAGGACATTCTATATTCGTGTTAGGTCCAACCCATCCCAACCAAATCCCAGCTCATCTTCAAATCGGTCTATTATTATACGATATATACCGAGAGCGCATATATCGCATCTAGAAAAAAGTCGGGCATGTGAGGTACTTTACGTTTACCTATTACATACTATTCTCACATGCGCACTTACATACGCACGGATGCGCGTACGGCAATTGTCAAAGTTGTAAGTGCTATACTCAATTGAAATAGACGATAACGTCCTTGCGACTATGTGATATCAAAGATGCATATATTTCTGGAAGTAATCGAAATCTATTGTTTACCTGGTCAATATAAAAATATAACCAGTATCATCATCATGCATAGATTGCCCATACCTTGGTACCCGAGACAATCTCATACAAGCATCTTGGCACGGTGCGATATCTAGATCTCTTCCTTTTTTTTTTTTTTTTTTTTTTTCTTTCTATCTTTCTTTCAACAAGCATAAAATTGTATGGCGTAATGGTCACGGCCGGAACGGCCCTATTAATTCAGCTCTTATAGAAGCCTCGCTCCATGTCCAATCCCATTCCATAGATAACCCTGACTAATCTCGGAGATGGCACCATGCACCGAGATCTCGGTGCTGTACCCACATTTCAAGCTTCGTGCTCGTGCTTGTGGTTACACTTTCATCTCACCAGATCTCATGACAGTATCGTCCTTTACAAAAACAACAAACTACCCTATATTAATCATTATTAAAATATATATACAAAAAAAAATTATCTACACCTATATCCACTCCCAACAACTCTATACATGTATAATAGAAAGTATTATGTATACGATGAACATCTCATTATCTGTTCATATCCGAAAAAAAAGTAATACCTAAAAATAGATCCCGAGATGATCCTATGTCCCTCATAGGTATTTCTTCAACCGTCCAACGTCTGGTGTAGAACATTGACGCGGTAGCTCTCGCTACGAATCATCAACTCCTCATGCGTACCCTTTTCGACACACCGTCCGTCCTCGATCATGAAAATCACATCCGCGCGTCGGATCGTATGTAGTCGGTGTGCGATAGCCACCACCGTTATACCCCTCGTTGCCTTTTCTAACCCATCCTGTAAAAGCCTCTCTGACTCTGCATCTAGGGCACTCGTCGATTCGTCCAGGAGTAGTAGCCTCGGCTTACGTACTAAGGCTCTCGCGATGGAGAGACGCTGTTTCTGACCGCCAGAAAGCTGGCCCCCACTGGGACCGCATTGCGTGTTGTAGCCATCGGGTAGAGTCATAATAGTATCATGAATATTGGCTAATTTGCATGCCTCCTCAATGTCTGCATCTGATGGTTCTGTTCCTGGGCGAGCACCAAGCCCCACGTTAAATCGGATGCTACCATCGAATAGGACGCTATCCTGAGGAACCAGACCGATATCGTCTCGAAATATGGGCTCTTTCCTAGCGGATATGTCCATGCCGTCGACTTCGATCACTCCTGACCCCACGCTGTACATGCGTTCTAGTAAGGATATGACTGTCGATTTTCCGGCTCCACTAGGCCCAACGAGAGCGCAGAATTGACCTGGGCGAATGTCGATATCGAGACCTTTTAATACCTGTCGATTCGGCCGCGCGGGGTATGAGAATTTGACTTGCTTGAAGCTTACCGCAAGGCCCTTGGAATTTGATGCTGCTGCTGTTTTCTTTGACTCGACAGCCGCCTCCGGATCGTGGTAATTTACCCGCTTGGCCAATAAAGTTTTTGACGAGCTCAAGTCGATAAGATCGAAAATTCGTCCTATTGCTCTCCCCGCTCTCGTTATTTCAGGGGCGAGGGTAAACAATTGGCCCCAAAGCTGCGCACTTACCAGAAGAGATATAAGTACGATGAAAAATTCTACTTGTGTATAATGGCTTTCGATGATCTGCTTGGCTCCCCACCAATAGATGAAGGCATAGATAAGGTTTGACAAGCTGAATGCGATCGCGAGGAATAAGTTGGCCCATAAGCTTGAGCGCGTCATCTCCTTTCGCGGCGCCGACAGGGAGCGCCGGTATGTGCCAAGAACTTCCTGCTCTAGCGATAGCGCCGCAACAGTCTTGATCGAGTTTACAGCCTCAACAGTAATGCTCACCGATTTGGCAAACGCTTGTTCGTGGCGCGCTGCGAAACGACTAAGGATGCGAGCTTGCATTATTCCTGAGCCAAGCATAAGCGGTACTGTTGCAAGACAAACTATTGCTATTTTCCAGGCGATTATGAGCGTCAGGATGACCGCGGCGATGAAATTGACACAGATAGAGAACATCGTCCCTATTATGGAGCCTGTTAGACCCTCGACGGCCGCTGAGTCGCTCGTGATATACGATAGTAACGTCGAAGGGGAGCGATTCTCAGATTGATGCCACTGTAGATCTTGTTCAAATAGCGAGCGGAAAGAAAGAACTCTGATTTTATAGAGCATCTTTTGCGCGATCAAGCCAAACGCCGACCAGCTCACCGCATTGGCGAAAAACTCGATTATGGCAAGCACGAAAAACATGAGGCCAAAGAATCTACCCGCTGCTAGAATAGCATCCTCAGAATTGCAGGGGCTTAAGGCACCGATCGTGTTGCCGAATATCAATGCCGACCCGGAATATGTCCCACCAACAACGATAGCAGCGAAGAATGCAACAAACACCCAGAGAAGATATGGTCGAGTTATTGCCACTATGCTCTTAATCGTAGCCCATGTCGGCCTGGACTGGTCAGATACTTTCACTTCCTTTTCCACATCTCCTTCAATTTCGGGGACGGCTATTTCGCATGCCTTTTCGTTTTCCACATTCTCGATGGTGAGGGTTCGGGATACTTCCACCATATCTATGTCAGAACGGGCCGGGTCCTTTGTTATGCTTCCCTTCGTGGTGCTCATACTTGAAGTTTCCGATCCCATATTCTGCAATCGGACAAGGGCTGCATAATCGCCATCTCTGGCGAGAAGGTCAAGGTGATGGCCCTGTTCTATCACTTTTCCATTGCGCATAACAACAATATTGTCGGCATTTTTGACAGTCGCTAGACGATGCGCAATTGATATTACCGTTCTGCCCATAGAAGCCTTGTCAATAGCACTTTGGATACGCTGTTCACTAGCTGAATCGAGAGAAGAGGTCGCTTCGTCTAAAACCAGGATCTTGGGGTCTTTGACGAGGGCTCTTGCTAATGCTACGCGCTGCTTTTGTCCGCCACTTAGCAAGTCGCCGTTGGGACCAACAATCGTACCAAATCCGTATTCTAGATTCCCAAGGAAAGTCTCAGCGTCAGCAAGGGTCGCTGCTCGTTGGGCCATCTTCACAATTTCAAGAGTCAGGTCGCCATATGACTCGGCAGCAGTAACTATATCTTGCCCGCCTCGCACCGCCTCTGCTACTTCCGACAACTGTGTACCAAGAAGGATAGGTTGTAGGGGGGCATGCTCTGGGCGAGGAGAGTTCACCAAACCGAGGGCTATGTTCTCCAAAACTGATCGATCCAAAAGTAAGGGATCCTGTTGAACAAGTCCAATAAAGCTTCGCAATTGGCGCACATTGACGTCGCGGATATCTCGGCCATCCACATATACGGTACCTTGGTCAGGGTCGTATAGTCGAGTTAGCAAACCGGCAATTGTCGATTTTCCACTACCGGATAGACCAACAATTGCGGTTTGCTGGCCTGCTGGGAAGTGAAGCGTCACGCCTTGAATTACGGGAACGTCGGGACGAGACGGGTACGTAAAGCTCACATTTTCTAGTGCAACATCACCCGAGAATGTCTCAAATTCGTCGCCCTGCAAAGGAAGAGTTCCGTCGATTTTGGAATGCCGATCGATATCCTTCTTGAGTTTCTCCAGCGCGGCTGTAGCAGACCCGAAGATCTGCAGGTATGGCGATATCTGACTGATAACAATGGAAGCTAAAATTCCGGCATGAGAAAAAAGTTACGATAGTTGGGCCCAAAGATCTTACCGTCAACCAAGAGGAATATGATGGTGTATGTTGTACCAATTGTCACTCCCTCCGTACGGCCAGCAACAACATCAGCTATGGTTTGACTGCCCTGCCAGTACGCCAACCCACTTGCCGAGAAAGCTATGAAATATAGCAGGCCAGATTGTACAGCAGTTGCGATAGCTTTTTTGACACCATTATTTTTGGCTATGACGAGCTCATTGGCGAATTTCTCTTCAAGGCGGTTATTAGCCCTGAACGCATGTACAACCATCAGATTTGACAAACTCTCCAAGGCGATAGACGATGCGGAAGCAACATATTGCGACGCTAGGCCCGAGAATTTACCAATAAAGTGGCCACCAACAAGGGACATCAGCATGAACGCAGGAACCAGCGATACTAGAATACCGGCTAGTTTGGCGTCCTTAATGAAGGCCACGACATAGGAAGTGATGAACATTGCGAGTGAGCCCATGTAAACGCCAACCTTTTCGGATGTACCACTTTTGATGGTAGCTATGTCGGCGCTCAGGCGCGAAGAGACCTCCCCAGCTGGTAGTTTGTCGAAAAATGACACCTCCTGGCGTAACAAGGAACGGAAGTAACGCTCTCGTAGCCGGTGAGCAAGCCGATCGCCAAAAAGATTCCAGCACACAGTGTATATGTAAACAAGCGCAAGCTGCGCCAGGGCGCAGGCCATTACCAGCAACACCTTCTGATTAACATCGGATTGATAGTCCTCGGGAGAGGTTGCTTGTTCTCCCGCACATGTTGCCGAGTTGAGGTCGTCCAATAGTTGACCGAAGAGTATACCGAGAAGCGGGAACGGTATTCCGGCAGCGATCGAAGAAATGGTGCCAACTATCAGTAACGAAATGTCAATCGCGCTCGGTTCGGCGTAGGTTAAGAGCTGGAAGTATCGAAAGAACCCTCGTACTCCCTCCATGGTCGATTAGCTCATTAACGACAGTATGAGAACGGTTGACGGATAGCTTACATATGATGCCTTTGAAGCTACTCTACGGACAACAGCATCCTTGGCTTTTCCGTTGGAGCTCGAATCATGGTTCTGAGGCGCGTCACCCATTGTGACGAAATCCTTAGACGTCTGTGATCTTTATTGCCTGAATCACGAAACTCCTAACATATTCAGCATAACAAGAATTTTTTTCTCCTTTATTATCCCCCCCGAAGCGAATAGACCCAATTGGATCCATCTTTTTTTTTTTTACTCCTCGCCGGCATCCGGAAGCACGATGCGCCGTAGTAAATGTCAATACAACCTCATCCATGCCGAGACGTGGCTAGATGGAACCAAGAACGGACCCCATAAGTTCAACCTTGAAAAAAGTGCCTTCTCATTTCGGAGACTCTGCATCGGTATATAGATTTTATGATGTAACACTAACTCCAAAGTACAAAAGATACAATGTTGTACATGGAGAGAATGATTGGGATTCCCTTGCGTCCGAGGAACGGGGTCTAAAAGGGTTCTGAAAGGGTCGAGGAGCATGATCAACAGCCACTAAACAACCACTAAACCTTGAGTGGTAGGACAACGCTGTTTTTGGGTCTTGGCATGCAGCATCTGATAAGATCATTGTAAGCCAAGCCAAGATTACTGGTGGATCATGCTTTGTTTTAAATTGTTACTTGAGTTATCTGATGGCGCTAGAGAATAGTTCGGCCCACAGGGACAACACATCATTATTCAGGCAGCTTGGGGGGGTTGGTTTTGGTTTTAGCACTTATTACTCTGCTACTTTTGGGCATTTTTCAGGCCTTTTTTTTTTTTTTTTTTTTTTTTTTTTTTTGTGGTGGGTGGTAGTTATCACTCACACCCGTTTTACCAGACACGCAGGACGTTGCGAAACAATACTAGGATTAGGATTCAATCTGCCCTACCCAAGGCTCGGATCGCCCTGTGCGACTTGACTTGTTTCAATCAGCTTGGTTGTCTGATGGCTTGCTCTGTATTCTGTAAAACCTCAAGATTTCCTACTTATTATTCATTTCTTGTGTTGTACGAGCAACATACTTATAGACTTGAAGCGCCCGTGGCTAAGCCACTCTGAGTCAAAAGTTGCGCGAATATATCATATCCCCTTAACCACCCCCCCACGTCTTTGCCCTGTCTCGGGTGAAGCTGAGAGGTTCCATCAGCTGACAGGGTGGCCTGATGACCGACATCCACTACCTAGAATCCTGGGCGAATGCCTAAGGTTAGGCATATTGCAACGATAGATATTAACGTGGTACTGTCAATTATTTTAACTGAAAAGTTTTTTTTGTTTCATCCTGGAGTCGATATCTATGTCAAAACTTCATCGACGTCTTCCCCCGTCGAACAACATGGAAGAAGACACGATAGCTAGCCAGGCGCCGCTGCTAGGTCGGGAATCTAGTAGCGATGATGGTGGCCATACTCGGAGGGATTCATACGGGTCTACTTCTAGCAAAGATGATGTGGTAGTCAATGTCGACTCGACGGATGACGGACTAAATATCAATATTCAAGATGGCGTCAGGCAGGCCGATGCTATCAATCAAGTTTGGTCGAAAGCTGTCCTATTTTTGGCATATTTCTTGTGAGTCGTGATTCGTAACAGCAAATAATAACAGCGCATTCTGCGAATCGATATCGCAGTTTATTTTGGCTGATCGTTTGTCGCATTGTGTATAGCATTTTCCTATGCTCGTTTGCGAATACCCTTCAGTACCAGGTCATGTCGAACCTGCAGCCCTACGTCGTCAGCGAGTTCAGCGCGCACTCCCTAATCCCCACCATCGGAATCATAGCGTCCATCATGAGCGGCGTTCTAAAGTTGCCCATAGCCAAGCTAATCGACTCCTGGGGCCGCCCGCAAGGTCTTGCCTGCATGATCGCGCTCGCGACCCTAGGTCTCGTACTCATGGCCGCGAGCCGGAGCGTCCGGACGTACGCCGCCGCCGAGGTCATCTACCAGGTGGGCATCAGCGGGTTCACATACGTCCTCGACATCATCATCGCCGACACGTCGTCGCTCAAGGACCGGATCCTCGCGTTCGCCTTTAACGCCTCGCCCACCTTGATTACTACGTTCCTCGGCCCCGTGGTGGCCAACGCGTTCCTCCAGGGGAGCGGTTGGAGGTGGGCGTTTGGACTTTCGGCGTCTTTGTTCGTCGTGCTCTCCCTGCCGGTGCTGTCCATTTTAATCCTCAACGCGCGGAAAGCGAGGAAGCTAGGCCTGCTTTCGGAGCGCGCTAGGAGTGGCCCGTGGACTACGGCGAAATTACGCCAAGGATTGATCGATTTCGACGGTATGTTCTTGACAACTAAATCTATGCGTGCATGGTCTGCCGGTCTAACATTTGGCAGCTTTAGGGATGTTCCTTGCCGCCGCCGGCTTAACTCTAATCTTGGTCCCGTTTTCCCTGCACGGCTCCGCGGTCAACAGCGTGGTTGCTATTACGCCCTTATTCGGCGTCCCGTTTCTCGTCGCGTTTGCCGTTCACGAGCGTACAACGAAGCGGCCGTTCGTGCGATTCTCGCTCTTGTGTTCCCGTAACGTAGCGGGGGCTTTCTTATTATCTATCATTATCTTCATTGCTTATTTTGCATGGGACGGCTATTATACATCTTATTTACAGGTTGTTCATAATTTAACCGTCCAGCAAGCTGGCTACATTGGCCATATTTACGGTCTTGGATCATGTATCTGGGCCGTGGTAGTCGGGTACCTGATTAGACGGACAGACAGGTTCAAGTGGCTTGCTTTGGCTGCCCTACCGGTGCATCTTCTGGGCGGCGCCTTGATGATTGTTTTCCGGCAGCCCGACACGAACATCGTGTGGGTCATCATGTGCCAGATACTCATCACCATCGGAGGCAGCACGCTCGTCATGTGCGAGCAGATCGCGGTGATGGCCATCGCGGACCACTCGGACCTGGCGTCCATCATGGCGATCCTCGGCCTGGCGTACTACACGGGCTCGGCGATCGGCAGCTCGCTCAGCGGCGCCATCTGGAACACGACCCTCCCCGTCGAGCTCGCCAGGCTGCTGCCCGAGGTGCCCCCCGACGAGCTGGCCCTCATCGGCTCCGACCTCAAGAGGCAGCTGAGCTACCCGGTGGGCAGCGCGATGCGCACCGCGATCGTCACCGCGTACGGCGTCGCCCAGACCCGCATGTGCATCGCCGGCACCCTCATATCGCTTTTTGAGATTCTCGCCGTGGGCGTGTGGCAGGATGTTAGGGTTAGCCAGTCCAAGCAGGTCAAGGGAACTGTGCTTTGATTTTGAGTAGTTGGAATGATGATGATGACGATGATGATGTGAGTTGTGTTGTGTTGAGTTGAGTTGTGCATTAGAATTGGGCATATCTGGCGACTTGAGCGTGTTACATACCAGGTACCTGTACACAGGCGTTAGTGAGTTTGCGTAGATAGGTACCTGTCTTATTAGGTACCTAAGGTATATCTAAAGCGTAGCATTTATGATAGAAGCATGCATGTATTTAGAGCTATATACACCATTTAAAAAATATCATCAACGAAACTGGTTTTTCTTGTTTTTCTTCCATAGGTACAGCGTGCATAGAGACTAAGAGAGTGCTTGATCAGCTCCACAATAATAGAATAGAATCTATCTCAGGTTAATAAGGGAAGACATTGAAAAATCGGCTAGGTATGTGAATGGATACAAATGTACAATATACGAAAGATACCTATGGTAGACATCGAGGTACATCGAAAGGTATCAGCATGTATACTGCAACAGAAGTATGTACAACGCTTCCCCCCCTGGTAAGGCAGGCAGGCATGTCAGTCCAAAAGAGGGTCGTAATAATTTGGCAGCGTTTCACTACTTGAACGGTAGCGTTGTGCACTCCGATCTCGCACGAAGATGCACGATTCAACGGTACAAGCCGGGGAGCTGCGGTGATGGTAATGGTGATGATGATGATTTGATCTTATCAGATCCGCTGATTAGATTTTTTTTTTCTTTGATCAAATTTTCCCTCGCCGTTCCCTGTCTGACCCACCGTCTAATGTACAATACAACATAATACGTGGAAGCAGGGCCCAACGAAGACCAAATTACTACTTACTACACGCATGGTTTACAAGGATGGACGGCGTTTATTTTATTTTTTTCTTCTCCCCGTCTCTCTTTTCTTTCTTGGTTCGTTACGTATTCCAGGGAATTGGACTCGATGGGGTTCCATCAGCCCGCTTACCGGGTATTTTATAATAACTTGGGTCCTTTTTTTCATAAACGAACTAGTTAAAGGTACCTGGCCTGGTAGGCCGTTTTACGTACAAGTACTACTATCTATCATGGAGCCCGCCGCATTAGACGTGGACGTAGTCATAGGCTTCGGTAGAATTTCGCGAAGACGTAGCTTTGGGGAGTAAATACTAGAATGGGATAGATACTCCGGCTATTCCATGCTTAAGAGGGGGGCTGCTTATGAGTTACTAATTTGTTTATTGTTTTTCGTTGGATGTTAGTATATCTCTATATTCTCACTGTGAAGACATCAGACTTTACCACCTCCTATGTCAGTATGATACTTACCGCGGCATAATAGACATGTTTAGATTTTGAAGTTTTAGGAGAGGCAAAAGAATTGAAGAACTACGGGCTTGGTCAAAAGCCTCCTCTGTTACTAGAAGCCTCTTCTGTTGCTAAGCGGTAGCCCCCTCCGTCACCGATATCATCCCGTGTCGGTAATTCCGCGTCGACACCTACGCAAAGTCTACGCATAGTATCCCTTCATACTAGGGGAGAGGACTATTCAGCTGAAATATTCAGTTATTTCCTTTCCCAATAGTCATCTCAAAATGGCGGCACAGTCGACCCCTTCGGCAACACCAAATCCTCAGTTTCAGAGGCAACCGATGTCTTACTTAGAAGGCCCGGTAGATCCCCCGTTAGTGGATTTAACTCTGGGTGAACTTTTGGATCTCCAATGTCAACACCACGGCAGTCGAGAATGCATCGTCACGCCCTGGACTGGTGCCCGGTGGACGTACAATGAGCTTAACCAGCAAAGCTCTCAGCTGGCAAGGACTCTGCTTTCGCTCGGAATAGGCGTCGGAGACCGCGTTGGTATTATGGCTGGTAATTGCGAGCAATACGCTGCGGTATTCTTCGCTGTAGCACGTATTGGAGCCATATTGGTGATATTGAACAACACATACACGCCAACGGAAGCAATGCACGCGTTGAAATTCTCAGGTAAGCTGCTATTACGCATTTTTAAAGCTTCGCTGATCTTCTAAATCCTCGTTTAGCATCAAAAATATTCTTCACTACGAAGAAAATTGGGAAGTTGAGCAATGCCAAGTTGTTGGCAGAACTGGCTAAGGAGAAGGAGGGTCCCAACGTTGTGATCCTGAGAGGGGAGTCGGGGTCATACCCGACATACGCAGATCTCATCAAGCAAGGACGATCGGCAAGCAATAGCAATGTTAACCGCGTTGCGAAGAAGGTTCTTGCGCATAATGTTTGCAATCTGCAATTCACGAGTGGTACCACAGGTCTGCCAAAGGCCGCCATGTTGACGCACCATAACATCGTCAATAACGCTCGCTTCATCGGCGATCGTATGCGGTTCACTCCTGATGATATTCTCTGTTGCCCACCGCCAATGTTCCACTGCTTCGGCCTCGTGCTCGGCATGATGGCCGTCATAACCCACGGGGCCAAAATCGTGTACCCCGAGGAGACATTCGACGCGGCCGCCGTCCTGCGCGCCATCTCGGACGAGCGGTGCACGGCAGTTCACGGGGTACCTGCTATGTTCGATACCCTATTTAGCCTTCCCTTCCCTCCTAATTTCGACTGCACGAATCTGCGCACGGGAATCATCGCCGGCGCCCCCGTGCCCCGTTATCTCATGGAGCTGCTAGTCGAGCGCTTCGGCATGACCGAGTTCACCAGCAGCTACGGGCTAACCGAGGCCAGCCCGACGTGCTTCAACGCGTTCACGGACGACGCGATCGAGAAGCGGCTGACGACGGTGGGCACGCTGATGCCGCACGCGCGGGCCAAGATCGTCGACCACGACGGGCAGACGGTGCCGCTGGGGGCGCGCGGCGAGCTGTGCATCGCGGGGTATCAGCTGCAGGCCGGGTACTGGAACAACTCGGAGAAGACGGCGGAGGTGATGCAGCGGGACGCGGAAGGGGTGCTGTGGCTGCGGACGGGCGACGAGGCGGTGTTCGACGAGCAGGGGTACTGCAGCATCACGGGCCGGTTCAAGGACATCATCATCCGCGGCGGCGAGAACATCTACCCGCTGGAGATCGAGGAGCGGCTACTAGCGCACCCAGCCATAGCGCGAGCCGTGGTTACAGGGCTGAAAGACGCGCATTACGGAGAGGTGGTCGGCGCGTTCTTGCAGCTGGCTGACGAGTGGAAGACGGCGGCGAGAAAGGAAGGGGATGGGGAAGATAATAATAAACCGAGCGATCAGCAGGTGCGTGAGTGGGTGCAGCAGAAGCTGGGTCGGCATAAGGCACCGACGCACGTGTTCTGGCTAGGCGAGGATGGCGTGCCGGCCGATATCCCGCTCACGGGCAGTGGGAAGGTGAAGAAATTCGAGATGGCGCGATTTGGGGAGGAGATCTTGAGGAAGAGACGTTTGGAGAAGCTGTAGGGAGAGTTAAAAGTTGGACTATAAAGAAGTTTTGGATTTAACCAGGTACCTAACCTAAGTTACATTAATAAATTTATTTAAAGTTTAGAGATAGAGCAGGTTATCTTAGGGCCTAGATAATTTGGTATTAAGATGAATAGAGATCACTGTATTTTTGGTGTAACCTGAGACTTCCAATCTTTACTATAACATCCTCGACTTATCGATAAGCACTCGCACAGCCAAGACAACTGTGAGTGTGCCACTCATGAGCCAATCTGTTTTAACTTTCCCCTATTCTTCGCAGTTCGTGTCGACACTTTTACGCTGCATTTTCTTGTGAAATTAACTCGTTTAAGACTATAATTGCGAACCGTGGAACTTTCGAGTCTATTCGTAACAACGGACTATGCAAACTCGATCTGAGTCTTACCGCCTTGTTCTCCATATTATCGGTACACGATGTACCGAACCGTCGGGTCACCTCATCCAAATTGCGTAATGAAAGAATCCTTGTGATGGAATAATATGTAGCCGTATTCGCGACCCAGTTGGATTTATTCCGCTTCGCCATTACGACGCTGGGGTTACTACTCTACTCTCATTTGTGGAGAAGACGATGATACTACCTTTTACACCGTACGAGCCTGGCGAGCCTCCTCACCTGTACTTCCTCTTACGGGTTTGCTCTCGTGTTGCTGTGCCGCCCGGCCGCTCATCGTGAGCAAACTTTTTTTCTACTTTTTACTTATTTTCCCGCTCGTCTACCGGAAATGGAAGTTTGCGGTCCCCATCTTTGGCGACGTGCACTGATTTTACCCCACAATACCCCAACATGGCCTTACATCATATGGCCCGAGGCCCGGGGGTTTTCTTTGTATAGGGACAAGGTCGAGCCTAGGCGTATCGTCCGCGGTGTAACTTAAACCACATAAATACCTAAGCTAAGTTCCTCGATGCTTAGTTAGTAATAATTTCCCGTGCCTTACTTCCCTCTTCCATCTTCCCATTGGGACTCTGCTAGGTACTGGCAATGAGGTCGTCACTGTTTCTAGTCGCGACTCAAGCTCTGCTGAGCTATGCTTTCAGCAGCGGTGGACGGCCTGATACGCTAATACGGGACTTTGCCGAGAAACGGAACGCTGCGCAGGATATTGTCACTTGGGACAAGCACTCGCTTTTTGTCAACGGCGAGAGAGTGTTGATCTTTAGTGGCGAGTTCCATCCATTCAGGCTACCTGTGCCATCACTCTGGATCGACGTCTTAGAAAAAGTCAAAGCTCTGGGCTTCAACTGCGTCTCCTTCTACGTGGACTGGGCTCTCTTGGAAGGGAAGCCTGGTGAGTTCTCTGCCGAGGGTGTTTTCGACCTTAAGCCTTTCTTCGATGCTGCTCAGAAGGTTGGGCTTTACCTCATCGCTAGGCCCGGCCCTTATATCAATGCCGAGGTCAGCGGCGGTGGCTTCCCTGGTTGGCTCCAGCGAGTTCGCGGTCTTCTGAGGAGTAGCGCGCCGGACTACCTTAATGCGACGGATAACTACATGTCCCATATCGGAAAGATAATTGCAGACGCTCAAATCACGAATGGTGGGCCGGTGATATTATTCCAACCGGAGAATGAGTACTCGGGTGCCGGCGATTATACGCCTTTCCCGGACGGCTCATATATGGAATATGTCTTACAACAGGCGCGGGATGCTGGAATAGTCGTTCCTTTTATAAACAACGACGCGAGCCCCGGGGGTCACAATGCTCCCGGAACCGGCGAGGGTGAAGTCGACATCTATGGACACGATGGTTATCCCCTAGGGTTCGACTGCGCACATCCGACTGTTTGGCCCAAAGGAAATTTGCCTACGAATTATCGAAGCAATCATCTCGAGCAGAGCCCGTCGACACCCTACTCGATAGTACGTATAAGAAATGACTTATTGTTATCCCAACTCGCTCCTTCTTAATTTTTCGGCCACATTGTCTAATTATTCTTTGCTGATGTTTATTTAGGTTGAATTCCAAGCCGGTTCATTTGATCCCTGGGGAGGTTGGGGCTTCGAGCAAGTAGGTTTTAACATCACCAACGACACTGACAAACGAGCTTAGCCGTTTGCTGTAAAGCTGAATGGGATCGTAGAAAATCCATCTCCGAACATTAGTCTAACAATTGTATAGTGCAGTGAGCTTGTGAATCACGAGTTTCAGCGAGTCTTCTACAAGAATAACTATGCGGCGGTAAGAATGGAAACCCCCGAGACATGCAATGTAGTCACCGCAAGCGTACGGCTTAGCTGACATATACAGGGTGTGACGATAAATAATCTTTACATGATTTATGGTGGCACAAATTGGGGTAACCTCGGGCACCCCGGCGGATATACCTCATATGACTATGGAAGTGTCATTAAGGAGGACCGAACCATCACACGGGAGAAGTACTCGGAGTTAAAACTTCAAGCAACGTTCTTACAATCCAGTCCTAGCTATCTTACAGCAACTCCTGGAAAGAGTTCGAATAACGTCTACAGTGATAACCCTGATATCACTATTACACCGATACTATCAAACAGCACAGATGATGCCTCTTTCTTCGTGGTCAGACATACTAATTACTCGAGCTTTGAATCGACGAAATACAAGGTAAAACTACCAACGTCTCAAGGCACCCTTACAATTCCTCGAGCAAATCAGTCGTTAAGTCTCCATGGCCGAGATTCGAAAGTAATAGTTACCGATTACGATGTTCAAGGCAGTCGGTTACTTTACTCGACAGCCGACGTATTCACACATTTGAAGCAAGGAAACCAAACGATTCTTATACTTTATGCCGGACCGAATGAGCACAATGAATTTGCGATCGAAAAGCCGTGGAATGACCAAGTCAAGCAAGTTGAAGGTGATCAATCGTACAGTATCACAAGCAGCGACTCCAAGTTCCTGACCATAAACTGGGCCACGCCTAATAAACGATCTATCGTCCATATCGGCGATAACCTCTTTGTCTATCTACTTAGTAAGTCTATCGTGCAATATCCGTTTCTAGCGCTAACCATCTTTAGATCGCAACACGGCATACAAGTATTGGCTTACGGATATTGAGGATACGAACGAAAAGGTGGTTATTAATGGGCCCTACCTTGTGCGTTCTGCCTCTTTGAAGGATAATGAGCTACACATCAAAGCCGACTTCAACGAGTCCACAACTGTTGAAGTATTAGGCGTTTCAGGGACCAAGGTCTTCATAAACGGCGCAGAGACTTCAACAGAGTCATCAGTCTTCGCGACGACTGCCAATATTTCCGTCAATAGCCCTTCTTTTACTATTCCGAAACTGGAAGATCTCGAATGGAAGTACATAGACTCGCTCCCAGAGATCCAGGAGGGATATGATGATTCACTATGGACAAAAGCAGATCATAAATCCACAGATAATACCTACCAGCCCCTCTTTGCTCCTGTTTCGACTTACTCATCTGATTATGGTTTCCACACTGGAGTACTCCTATACCGAGGCCATTTCAAGGCTACTGGAAATGAAGGAAACTTTTCGCTGTGGACACAAGGTGGGAGCGGTTTTGCTGTGTCGGTATGGCTCGACGACCACCTTCTCTCATCGTTCGGCGGAAATCCAGCAAACGCAAGCTATCAAGGCAAATATGATGTCACTGGCGTTGGACTTGAAGCTGGAACAGAGCATGTTTTCACCGTGGTCGTAGAGAACATGGGATTAAGCGAGAACTGGATTATTGCTGATGAAATGAAGCAGCCTCGGGGAATCCTGGGGTGGAGGCTAGAGACTTCCAAGGCTACTAATACGCCCATCAGCTGGAAGCTAACAGGCAATCTTGGTGGCGAAGATTACCTGGATCGCGTCCGTGGCCCGTTGAATGAAGGTGGGTTATTTATTGAGCGCCAAGGCTACCACCTCCCAGGCGCGCCAACTGAATCATGGGTATCTCACTCTCCGCTAGAAGGCATCGGTCTACCGGGAATTGCTTTCTACTCGACTTCCTTCGACCTTGATCTACCTTCTGACGAATGGGATATTCCGCTGGCATTCTCTTTTTCCAACGATACTGCCACCTCCGGTGTCTACCGGGCTCAGCTATACGTAAATGGTTGGCAATTTGGCAAGCTAAGCAGCAATATCGGTCCGCAGACGGTATTCCCTGTGCCGGAGGGTATCCTCAATTACCACGGCACAAACTATGTCGGCATCTCGTTATGGGCTCTCGAACAAGGCGGTGCCAAGATTCCTAAACTTGAACTCGTGGCTGGAACGCCGGTACTGACGGCAAGAGAGGAAGTTAGGCTCGTGGATAGCCCCGGCTGGAAAAAGAGGGAGGGTGCTTATTAACGAGAAAATGCAGTGATAAAATGTACGTCTGCTATTTACGAATTTAATAATATCGAATAATATTTTATATGAAATATTGCACAATTCTGCGAATTACGTAGGTTAGGTTAGGTTAGGTGCTTGATCAACCTCGCCCCCTTTTTTATTATGTGCGCAACTGCTTCATAAACGAACACGAATGATTTATAACTATCGCAATTATAAGCTGTACAAGATGATTAGATCATAGAAAAGTTAAAATAGTAAGAGTTTACTCTCTGCCGAGAGGTTTCGGCTCCGGCACATGATCTATAGTACCACCAAGTTCCAACGTCCACATCTGGGCAGGGATTTCGGGGATTTCCGACCCGTAGAAGAAGTTATTCGGGAACCCGATGTCGAACGGGATCGCCGACTCGATCTCCTTGATATCCTCCGCGGACAGCTTGATCTTCAGCGCCTCGATGTTGCCCTTGAGATGCTCGACCGTGCGGCCGCCGACGATGGGGAACACGTACGGCACCTTGCTGAAGACGTAGGCCTGGGCGATGCTCGTGACGAGCGTGCCCTTGCGGTCCGCGATCGTCTCGAGCACCCGGCTGACCTTGACGTCGTTCTCGGTGGCCTCGTTCTTGCGCCCCGCGGCCGCGCCCTTCTTCCGCTGCTCCTCCGTCTTGAACTTCCCGCTGCCCAGCACGCCCCACGGCGCGATCCCCATGCCCTCCGCCCGGCACATCGGGATGATGTCCCGCTCGAGGTCCCGCGACCCCGCGTTCCATCGCCCCTGGTACACGCTGAACGGCCGCAGCCCGTTCTGCCGCGCGTACTCGTTCGCTTTGCTGACCACCCACGCCGGCGTGTCGCTGATGCCGAGGTATAGCACCTTGCCGGCGGCTACGAGGTGGTTGAGGGATTGCATCAGCTCGGGGATGCTGGTGGAGAAGTCCCACCAGTGCACGTATAGCTGGGGGGGAAAGGTTAGCCATGCGCATGCACATACGCATACATCCGCATCTAGAGGTAGGTACCTAATTACAATAGGAGGTAGGTAGGGATCTAAGCTTAACGGAGGTAAGAAAAAAAAAGGTGTCAGACTAACCAAGTCGATATAACTAGTCTGCAGCTTCTCCAAGCTGGCGTGGACGGAGGTGTGCAGGCTCTTGGAGCCGTTCCCGGTGAAGTTGATCATGATCTCGCCGTCGTCGCGGCGGGTGCCGGAGCGGAAGTTGGTGGTGAACTTGGTGGCGAGGACGATCTCGTCGCGGTTGCCGCGCCGCTTCATCCAGGCGCCGAGGCGCTTCTCCGACTCCTCGAACTGGTAGTTGTTCGACGTGTCGATGAAGTTGCCCCCCTGGTCGTAGAAGTAGTCGAGGATTTCCTCGGTGGTTTTCTCGTCGCACTCGCCCACTGGACGTTGTCGTTAGTGTTAATAGAGTAGGGACCTAGGTTAGGTGGGCAATCATTGCCGTTATCACTTACTGTAGTCTTTCCAAGCGTCTCCGAAATTCATCGCACCTAGGCATAGGGGGCTGACGCGGACTGATGCGGTAGGGGAAAGGAGACGGTAGCGGCCTAGAGGGGACTTGGCCGGAGGGGCCGGTGGTAGAGCTGTGCTAGCAGACATTTTGTACGAATCTCGGTGATGACGAGTGATGATGAGTGAAAGTGAAGATCGCACGGGTATTAATCGAGGGTGATCTGGGCTCAGAACACTTTTACCATAGAGTGCGACAACTGCTCCTCTATATATACTCATGAAGTACTGCCGAGCAAGTATCTTTGAACTAATATTACAAAGCAAGGCTGCATAAATCAAGCCAATGCCTCCATCGGCGATGGTTTCATTTGCTGAGAAATCGAATACGTGGTAACATACCTGATTCTAGGAGATAGGTATTATCCACGAATGGGCCTAGTGCTAACGCCGGCCAAAATGGCCGTCATATTGATGATCAAGGAAGCCGCAAGCAATTTGTTAAGAGCCCCTTTTGACCAACGGCAGGATATCCATATCATGCAAATCGCATATGAGCAAGCGACCATCCAAGATGTGGATTTAATATGGGTATATTGCGTTACATCTTGTAGACATTATATAGTAAGTGGCAAGACTATAGGATGTAAGTCGTTCGTCTATTGGAAAATGTTCCCTTTTCCTATTTCCACGATGCGTTAGATCCGGACTTAGGGCTAGTCTCCGGAAGTGGAGTAAGGTTCGAATCTCCAGATACTACCTAAGGTAGTGAGACCTTGGCAGAAACTCAAGATTCAAGCGGGACAGTAAGGTAACAAAGACAAGCAGGCCATCGTACGACTCTTCTAAGTTCCTTCGACGATGCACGCATCGAAGATCGTGCTTACCTACTAGGGAGGTAGGAGGTAGGAGGTAGGCTTCTAGTTGCAGGGTGCATAGGCGAATTCCTGTAGAGAAGCTATCAACCAGCGCGAGGATATCCATGGTCTCGGTTTTACAGAGCTGGGATTCGATGTACTAGCAACTCCCTAATTGTGAAAAGCTGTAACTTTGTTTATTAACCTCCAGAATTTTCTTCTTCTAACGCCGACAAATTTATCGGTGATAGGTCAAATACGAGCGATGAAGACAGAAGAATAGTAGAATTAATAATAGCGACCATGCTTTATTCCTATGGCTGATTTGTCTTGTTCTATTTATCGTGGTATCGTATATCAATGTCACGGTACTGTCCTTATAGGTGGAGATAGCATCGTCAACCCCTCAAGTTGACATGGATCTACCTTTTGGTAGTGCAGTAGTTTAATAGCTATCTTCTGAATCCTTACAACCAAAGTTGTAATAGGAAGCATCCCAAGTTATGATATACCTATTAAGTTCCTTTATGTAGGGCTGAACTGTTTGCTTTTTGATTTGCGGGCTCGGACTTGATCCCTACTTCATCAAACCTTCGACCTACAGTTATTCAGCCCGTTCTTTCCATCATAACATGTAGCCGCTATGTTTTCGATGCTATCGTCTATCGAGGAGTAAGGATAGCTAGCCTACTAGCATTTGAAATAACTGATGTTTCTTTCCGGCGAAGCGTCTAAGTATTCGGAATTATCAGGTAACGATAATATGCGGTCGTACGATTATCTAAGGTTTCATCGCATCCACGGCTTTAGATGATAGGCCAGAACGCCGTCACACCTGCCTCATATCTAGTATTACATCTAACCAACACCGATAATCTATATGGAGATCCTATCTTAATCTACGACCTGCTTACAGGCGCTTTGAGTCATAGTAGTTATCATTGCCTATCGGATTTAGGTGATGGGCGACCTGTATTTCCGCGATTGAGGAGGGCTTAATACGTAAAGGGTTACACCCGGGAAATCGATCGATTTTCAATTTGAATTTAACTTCGCCACTTCAACTCTTTTGGAAATCAACACCTACACCTGCCACGTTCGCATTCGAAAATGTCTTCCCCAGTGTGGCTAATCACAGGCGCCTCCAATGGCCTAGGCCTCTCGTTCTGCCTCCGCGCCCTGAAAGCCGGACACAAAGTCATCGGCGCCATGCGCAACCTGACGCGAGCTGCCGAAGCCGTCAAGGCCATCGAGAGCCAAGGGGGACAGGTGATGCAGCTGGATATGACGGAGTCCCAAAGCAGCATAAAAGAGAAGGTCCAGGCAGCGGAGAAGATCTATGGGAAAATCGACGTTTTGGTAAATAACGCGGGATACTCGCTTCTCGGACCACTTTCAGAGTTCACGTACGTCTCTTCGTCTTGAATAGGTACTGTTCTGGTTATGCTGTGCGCCGTGTTTGCTAACAGGTGGACTTAGCGAGAAAGAAGTTACTACCCAGATGCAGACGAATTTCTTCGGCCCGCTATATGCAATCCAGGTCAGATTTTTATTTTTTATTTTTTATTTTTTTTTGCAAGTCTATGGGCGGGGTTGCATTCTTTAGCCGGTTGACGTTGTGTTTTCGTTGATACTCCCGAAAAAAAGGGGGGAAGGGATGGGGTAAGCCTAGCGGCGGAGAAAACGATCGCTAACTCCGCGTAAAGGCCGTGCTTCCAGGAATGCGGGCCCGCAAGTCGGGTACCATCGTCAACATCAGCAGCATAGCGGGGCAAGACGCCCTCCCCACCTGCTCCCTATACGCCGGCAGCAAGTTCGCTCTCGAAGGGCTCAGCGAGTCGCTGTCGCGCGAGGTCGCCGGGTTTGGCATCGACGTGCTAATAGTGGAGCCCGGGGCTTTCCGGACGAACTTCCTCAGGGGCTCGGTGGCGAACGAGAAGGGCCTGCCCGAGCACGAGAAGGACACGCCTGTCGGCAAGACGATGCAGAAGTTCAACCAGCTCCAAGGTGCCCAGAGGGGCGACCCGGATAAGCTAGCCGATCGCGTCTTCGAGGTCGTGACGGGCGAAGGGGAGGCTGGCGCGCTGAAGGGCAAGATCTTGAGATTGCCGCTCGGGAAGGACTGTCTGGACCGGCTTGATGCCAAGATTTCGAGGTTGAAGAGCGACGTGGAAGCGTCTCGGACTGTGGCTGAGAGTACGGATTTATAAGGTCTAGGAAAGCGTGCGAGTATCCATGTCTTAAGGTACCTATGGAAAAGGAGATCTAGATTCACCGGATTTCCATGTCACGATAATGAATGAACTGAGGAGCTCGGGAGGATGTGGGTAATACCAGATAGATTAGTTACCTATAATTCAACGCGTTGTGTCATTGTAAATACTATTTAACGCCTATGCTAAGTTCTTTTTTGTTCTTTTTCTTTTTTCTTTTCAATGACGGAAATATTCTGAGTAATGCTATTCCCAGTTTGCGAGTCTTCTATCATCGCGACAGGGGCCTCTATTTACGCCGAGAAACCAGTGCATGTATCGTCCGCGAAGCCCAGGTAAATCGGGCTGTCCCGCATGGAATCCACGCCGTAGGTACTCATCGACCGTCAGTGACGGATCGCCGCCGTCTACCCTCGTCGTAACCCTTTTTTATCATTTTTCTAGTTATGTCAATGCTGCGTCGTGACAACTACCATCCTTAATAACCCTGGTGGGACTATTCCTTGTGGCTATCATATCCGAGTCTATATGTGTATAGCAGCTTCTCCGTTTATGGTCGGATTTTTATCCCAAGTGGAACCAAGTCGCTATTACTCATAAGCAGATAACATGAGCAAGTTTCTTGTGCTGTATTCTAATGTTGGGAGAGAGTCTAACGTTAGGGGACGGAGGAAGCTAATGCAAGGATATTCCTAAGGAGATTCGGGTTTCTTGTCTCCTTTCTTCTGTAACTCTTTCTTGCACATGTCGAGTGCGATCTGGCAGTTCATGAGCTCGTCGAGCTCTTCTAGAGACATTATCTTCTTGTCGTCCTCGGGCTCCAGCATGCTTAGGCGCTCGCTGAGCATTCTGACCGTGATCTCGGTGTTCTGGTCTCGGGTTTGGATCCAGGACAAGAGCTTGTACGTGAGTGCGTGGCTGCGGCTCCACCACAGGACCTGCTCTGCCACGCGGTATACCAGGGTTCGCTGGTGTTCTACCTGGGGGTCGATGTACGCGCTTAGCAACTGCTGCTCCTCGGCATTGAGCATGTTCACGCCTTTATCTAGGCATAAATCGAAGAATCGGCGGATGGGGTCCTGGCCCATTCCTTCTAGAATGGCTTCTGTACGGGTCATGAAAGGTTGTTCCAAGGGTGTGCGGGGTCTCTTTGGTTTCTGGAACGGGCTTGGACCTAGGTGTTTGTTCTTTCTCCAGGGAGGAGTCTTCCCGGTAGGACGGGGTTCTGGTAAACGCTCTCCCGGCGATTTATCAGGAAGCATTCTGCGATCCCGTTTTCTCATGTGTCGCCGTTGCTGAACAGGACCATTTGTAGGCGTCTGAATTCGAGGCGACGGGGTTATATTCCGTAACGCGCTATCATTGCGATTCGGGTATCTCGACGGGGAAGGAAGGCCCTGAGGAGACGGGACGCAGAAAGGTGCCTGTCCCGAAGCACTCGGCGACGAAGACAGCGCAAAAGCTGCTGGTGTAAAGACAGGCGAAGAAGACGAACACTGTGTGGGATTCGCATAGCCATGGCTGACTGCTGGCATGCAAGGCGTCGATTGCTGGAGTTGAGGTGCGACTGGAGGCTTTGGGGGCATACCCCAGCTGTTATAAGGCCGAAGCTTGGGGTTAGGGACCGGCGGCTTGGGCGGGAGTGAAAGATCGGGACCATCCATCGTAAAATATGCGATGATGTGACGATAGTGAAGTTAAGAAATTTCAATGCATATTATTGTCGATCAAAAGACGCGCAGAGCACTTTCTGTTACGCGAGTAATATATAGAATGCAGGAGAAAGGTTTGGTGCCGCTATCACCACCTAGGTTGCCGCAGGCCCCTCATGAAATTCCAGGGAAAGAAATGGCCGCACACCGCACAAAGCGATACTGCCATATGGCTGTCGATATTAGCGAGTAGGGAATACCTGAAATCTATCTAGGCCCTATCTATTTAGGATGCATCTTCCTGATTCGACCTAAATTTGGCATCTCTGCTAAAATAAATTATTCTAATTTGACCGAGTACTCGAGATCATATCAGTAGAAGCCCAAATCATTGCACTATTGTTAGAACGTTCCTATTAAACTGTCCATGATGATATTATAATCTAAATTTGAATCCAGGGACATTTGCAACTTCTTTGTCAGCTCCTGGAATACCTAGCCAACACTGGGTGAGTCTGGAAGGTGTGACAAGGAATTTGCAAACTCAAAACATAAAATTCAGTACTTGCCTATGCATACTACAGGCATTCTTCGTCCTGACGTAGAGTCCTAACGGCAAAAATGTCCTGTTCTGCAGGTGGCTTACTGAGTTGCAACAAACATTACTGACACGAGGAAGACGACCTATGTATGATGTAAAGTGGTAGTTATTTAATATGATATCTAGTATAACCCACGCTAGAAATGTACTGCTTGGGGAAGAAGTGGCTCATTGGAAATACTTTCATTCCAATGCCATTACGAAGATTTAATCGACTTTTGTGGGTACCTAGTTACGGCTCTGGGTGAACGGTGGTAACTCGTGCGTGACAGAGAAAGCAAGATAATAAATAATAAGGAAAAAAGAGAGAAATGCTTGCATATATTAAGGTAGAGGTTCTCATTGCTGTCAGGGGTATGAGGCACTAGTACGGATAGGGCCTTACGGCCCACTAGGATAGTGTATATAGGGAGCACGCTGCTCCCTCGAAGGTGCTTCAAAGGGCAAGCGTTAATAGATCACTACTATACACTACATACTTGATATTCTATGTGCTACTGCTTCTAGTATTCACTCCATGTACGACATACATCACGGGATCCCTCTGACAATTGCTTATAATATCTTGCAAAGTGATTAGATGTCAAATCGTGAATGAAGACAATCAAGATGAGGACGCGTGTAAAGTTTCCTTGATGTGCTACGCACTAATGTACGGAATAGACAACTTGGGTTACAAGTTCCAGATGTTCTTTTCATGGTATTAGGTAGTAATTAATGAAGCCGTGTATGTGAGCTTGTTCACCGTGTGCTCCACAAAAGGGGTTCCGTTCGCCGGCCACTTGGGCGTCAAAGATCCACTCTAAGCCGGTCGGCAGTATGCACGGAAGGATGCACGGAAGGATGGTGGGGTAGACGGTAGTCGTGGATGAGGCTCACTCCTTTAATACGGGATAAATATGGAGAATATATTATGATTGTTTACATAATACATCTTACAAGGAGGTTTAAGCAGTATTCAACGAATGATTCAGCAACTTCTCATTACACCCTTCTTTAGGGCAATACTAGTCTCAAGATATTTTACTAAAAAATACGCACTGTTTTAATTTATTATGAAGCACATATTTGGCGTGGACACATAGGCCTTCCGTTGAATCCTTATTGAAAGGCCACAAGGATAGGTAACTTCTACTAACACAAGAAATGTACCTATGTAGCAACACTTTGAAGCATATATTAGGTGTTAGTTGCACATTTCTCATTCATAGTCCAGGCGTATTGAGGAAGCTCCTACCTTTATGCTGATAGTCGGAATATTTACTTGTCTTGTTACCATTACCTATGTTGAATGCAAATAATTGACAAGTGTGTGTGTATTGTCTATGCAAAGAAAAGATTTTTTACAATCACTCAACACTCAACTGCAGAAGAGCCATGTCCATGGCTCATGAGTGACACACTCACAATAATCCGCACTCACAATATCAGGTACCTAAAGCAGGTTGATAATTGCCAGGTGTCAGGAGCGGATGGATCGGAAAGTAGAACGATTACGAAATAAATGATTACCGTACGAATATCATAGCTCTTTTACATGGACTTCAGCGCACGATATCCCTAGCCAACAGGGATAAACTAGTACAAGAGTGATGCTAACGTTACTATGTATTATAGATATAAACTATGCTAGCTCAAACGGAGTAGACTAACTTTGAAAGGCATAAAAAGTTATGAATACCTATAATGTACTCCCGTCCATATGGGTATAAATAATATGCTAGGAGGTACCTAACCTCGGAAGATATGTACCTGGGCAAGTATCTGTACTTGCTTCTCAGTTTCATCGCCGATATCGGTCCGATAATTACTTATCAGATCCGTGTTAGCCCCATAGTACTTCTCGGGGCGCGCCATTAAATTCCCAGCTAAATTTTTTATCTGATCCGCCGTTAGCCGTGGCAACACAATTACCAAATTTCAACCTGGCAACCCAAGACCTCGTTCTTCTAAACCCATCCACTTAAAGTTATCTGATCCGCTTCTGCAGACCGCCAAGAACCACCGTCTCGGTTCGCTACCACCCAACCCCCAGTAGAAACAGTACGCAATCTTCCCAATCTCCGCAAGTCCCTCTCACGCTACCTAGGTCATCTCTCGCCGGCATGGCAGGATGTCGGGGTGGGCTGGCTAACGGCTTGAGACACGTTGACGTTGACCGCGCGATCCCTTGCATTAGCGTGTAAAAAAAAAAAGTTTTGAGAGTGGTATTCGAGAACTTATGCGGACATGGAAAGTGGGAATGAAGGACTTCGGGAAGGTCTGTCGATAAACCTTGGAACTATTAGACAAAGTATTGTACTTCAGAGTACTTTGGCTTATGACAATGGGGTTTTATCCTCCTACGGAAGAGCAAATCGCTTTCTGACTGGGGTGCTGGCGGAATATCTCGGTAAACTAATGAACTGCTCCATATGTTTCTGCTTGTACACTGATCTGCTGGTTCAGGAAGGTGAAGAGCTACGAATTTTCACTGTTAATAGGAAATTTCCTTTCTAGTCCTTATTTTTCAAGTAATCAAGTACTCTCCAAGAGAAATATTAGAAAAAACACCAATTGATACACATTGGATAGGTACCCAATCATATCTGTAAATTACATTACCATTCCCTTCCTCAGCAATGGCGACACCCTCTACGACCGAGCCAGTGCTCAAGCTCCCACATCCGTACCTTACGCCCTACGATCTTGTTACGACCTCACGTCCCTCGAGCTCTACTCCTTGGTTCCAAGTCAAACACCATGAAAATGCCTCCAATGAACCAAAGGCAAAGACGAAACCGTTACCCGAACCTCTCGATAACGACACACTCTTCTTCACCGAGCCCACCGATCTCAAATCGAGCGAGCGACCGCCCGAGTCGAATAATACACCATGGGGTCGGGCTCGCCGCTCTCCCAGCTCAATCTTTACCTGGGACGTAGAGACTCCTCCCACATTAGCACAGGCATGGCTCGTCATCTACGTACTGTTCACGCTCCGACCGTCAGCAGAAGGAATCCGGCTCACGCTTGAGGGGCCCGGCCGGGAAGCTCTCGCGGCACAGCTTAAAGCCGTCCTCCTGGCCATCGACCACCCCACGGCCGCAGGCCTCAGCGACGAGCTCCTCGTCCTGCGCAGCACATTCTGGCAAGGCGCGGGCTCGCCCTTCGGACCGCGCAGCGCCTGGGTGCCCGACTCGAGCAGCGACCCCAAGGACAACGGAAACTTCCTGCCGAAGCCGCTCTCCGCGTACCCGCTCACGCCGCTGCAGCACGCCATGACGTCCGAGGCCAGCGGCTCGCCGGCGTGGCACCCGCGGCGGCCCGCGAAGCCGCGCCCGGGCTCGGTCGTGTACAGCCGGTGGATCCCGCACCTGCGCGAGACGTTCAGCATGGTCGCGCTCGACTGGGAGGACCCGGAGCACCTGGGCCTGTTCCACAGCTGGCAGAACGACCCGCGCGTGTCGCAGGGCTGGAACGAGACCGGCTCGCTCGACCAGCACCGCGAGTATCTGCGGCGCGCGCACGTCGATCCCCACCAGATCACGCTCCTGGCCGCGTTCGACGATACCTTTTTCGCGTACTTTGAGGTTTACTGGGCTAAGGTACGTGGCATATATATATCTCTCTCTCAACGAGACTTTACTAGGAGAAAAAGAAGAATAAAAAAAACATCATATTTGCGTGTTCAAATGCTAATCGTTGTCTTGTTATTCCTACCTACAGGAAGACCGACTAGGCGCGTACTACTCGGCGGGGGACTTCGACCGGGGGCGGCACTCGCTGGTGGGGGACGTGCGGTTCCGGGGGCCGCACCGGGTGACGGCGTGGTGGTCGAGCCTGATGCACTACCTTTTCCTGGACGACCCGCGCACGATGCACGTGGTGGGCGAGCCCAAGTACACCAACAGCTCCGTGCTCGCGTACGACCTCGTGCACGGCTTCGGCCTCGACAAGTTCGTCGACCTCCCCCACAAGCGCTCCGCCTTCGTCCGCTGCTCCCGCGAGCGCTTCTTCCAGCTCGCGCCTCTCGCCGAGAGCGAGAAGGTCGTCGGCGGTACGCTCGTCGGGTTGCTCCCGAAGTTGTAGGATTTATGAGAGACGTCGTCACGTGGGATGGCGTCGTGGATGGAAGAAGGGGGGTGAAAGAAAATTTTGGGGCTTGATTAATTAGGTATCTTAGGTACCTCTATATTTATCGTTTTTGAGGGGGTGGCAATGACATAAGTAATTCATTTATTTCCTATTTACTGACGGAGAACTGTTCATATTACTATCATATACACCTGCGATATACCAAATACATATTTATCAAATACTTTACAATGTATTATTCGAATAAGAACTGTGCTCATTAATATCTAATTAACAAGAACTGCCCGTCTGTCTACTTTACTTTACACGTGTGGTGCGGTCTAATCCCAGCATCCGCAGGAACTCGTGTTTCCAACCGTCAAAATCATTTTACCCCAGGACCCCCCAATGAACGCCGATAACACCCCACTCGAACCAAAGCGTGCAGCCGTATTTTATTTCCGTCATATTCATGCCTTGGTACCACCAAGTCGAAGATGATCCCAAACAACTATTTCAGGATTTCGTTAGCTTTTGATTTACAAGATTTTTTATATTCGAAGAATCAACTCACTCCTGAAGCCTAGGTCCTCCTCGAAGAACCACTCCATCACTTGTTTTCCGTGCTTCATGCCTTCTCCGCCGTATGAGAGCGCGTTCTTGCCTACCGCGAGGCCGATCATGGGCGGAACCTCGGCTAGTTCGTTAAACACGGGTTCTTTGCCTTGTATGTCCTGCAGCATGAGTTGGTGGATGTTCAACCCCGCATAGCGGCCCTGGTGCATCGCCGAGCCGCATCGCCTGATGCCTGACCAGTTGATCAGATCCCCGACGGCAAAGTGGGACTCGGCGTTGGCGACCTTGTCCGAAGAGAGCTGCAGAGTTGGCCGGACGTTGACATAGCGGTCCTCAGTAAGCGCATCTTCGGGCAGATAGGTGGTTGACGGCACGCTGTGGGAGATGGCCATGACGACTTGGCTTGCGATCATTTTGTGGCCGTTTTCGAATTCTACCTCGAATACCTCGGTGCCATCTTCGTTCTTCACGGGCGTCTTGCTCTTCAACCGGTGGTTCAAGAGGACGTCGACGCCGGCTTGTTCCGTCAGGTCTAGCGCGCAGTCCTTGACGTTATCAGGGAGAGGCTCGGCCGATAGCAGCTTAGCTCGGGAGTGTGCCAGCGTAACCTTGACGTTGGGCTGAACCTCTTTCAGCTCAGCAGCCATCTCAATACCCACAGCACCTATTTTCGCATTAGCAAGGGTTGAAAGGAGATGTATTAGAAGTAAGCCAACTGACCTCCGCCAACAATTAACACTGGTGCGGTGCTGTTAGTTATGGCATCGATGTGTCGACGGGTCTCTTCGAGATAATCCTTTCTCCTAGTCGATTGCGGCACTGCAGGCCAGGCACGTCGGAGTCCAGAAGAGGCAACGAAGAAGTCGTACCCCTGGTCCCGTTCTGCTTGTTCTGGCTGTTCAATAATTGTCGCTATCTTGTTCTCGCAGTCGACCTTGCTGACAGTACCATGGACGAACCTCACGTCTGGTCTCTGCAGCACAGGGATATCTTTGAAGTTTACCCAAGCCTTCTCAGCGTAGCTATTCGACGCGAAAGCAAGAGGTGAACCAATTACATGGTCTACGAAATTACCAGTTAGTTGGTGTAATTAGGATGTAAGGGTTCTACATACAGAAGCCATCGCGCTCATCGACAATGGTGATCTCGACTGGGATAGGAGACTCGATAGTGTCGCATTTTTCGAGGAGGTTGACAGCCACAGCTAGGCCGCCGTAGCAGCCACCGGCAATCAGAATTTTATAAGGGTTGGCGTGAGTGCGCACGCCGTTGGAGATAGCAAGATGGGAAGCCATTGCGAATCTTGTTATCGGAGAATTGATTGCAGTGAAGTGGAACTTTGGAGCAGCTGCGGTTGCGGCCAACGAGGAGAGAATGCAAGAATGTTTTAAAGAGCGAGTTGAGAATCTAGCAACAGAGCCGTTCAAGTGATGAAAGCAAATGGCAATTGTTGAGCGCCGCAACATCAATCTTTATGATTTTCCTTTTCTCTTCTCTTCCTTTTCTACCTTCGAACTCGAGACGGCAAGCTGCGTAATAAATTGAGCGGAGGAAGTATGAATGAAAAGGAGAGTGATTCAAGGATCAGCCAAGTGCCAATGTCAGCTTCTCAGTACACGGAACAGGGTTTGGAATAATAGGATGATAGGCGAAAGAGACATTTAAAGAGTCAAGAAAAGTATCGACGAGGCAAAAGAAATTAAACATGGAAGAAATTCGTAAGTAACAGGCCCAACCCTAGTCAATATGTACCGAATGTATCAAGACAGATGAAATAGGTACACTTGGGGAATTACGGGAATTAGGCCCAGGTACTTTAGATCTATACTACCTAGTGTACCATCACTGGAACTGGGGCTCCATTTTGTTCCGTAGCGAATGCCAAGGAGGACACATGATCCTTTTATATCAGGGACGTAAAAAGTTACATCTCATACCGTGTGAGTCTCTATCGCAAGAGGTAACTAACAACCTAGTAATATATTTAAACCTATTAGTTTCTCAATTCCCTTCCTACCTAACATTCCAAGCCTAGTGAATTGTCATTATACTATAATTATAATATTCTTTTCTTCTTCTTTTTTTTCTTTTTTTTCTTTTTTATGAAGGATGCGGGAATGCCAGCTTCGGTTAGTATGGCATTATTGCTAGATATGGATAATGTGTCCGGTCTAGTTTCGATGTTTCAATTTTTGACTAGATCTGATAAGAGCGAAAAAAAGGAAAGAAAAAGCGGTGATCACGTCAATGCCCCGCCGATATAGTGGGTACCAAGTTATCAGATCCGCAGCTTGCAGGGGTTCGTCGTGAGAGCTAGCTGCGAAACCGGCTTTGAGTTCGGCCAATGTGATCCGAGGATTGAAAGTCTAGATACCTCGGAGTACCTTTACTCGTACTCGTATGTACATCGCAGTATATTGTGGTACCTAAGGTACCTCAATGTGTAAGGGCTATGTATTTATGTATTCCTTCACACCAAATTTGCCAATCTTTAGGTACTTACCTCTCATCTTTTCGCCGGATCAGCTTTACCCGGATGACCTGATGAAATTCTTGTGGGAATTGACTAAATACCATTTAGGTTATATTGTAAGATTATGTTCTTGGTGTTTTGAATACTATTGTCGTTGACATGCCGTCGGTGCCGGCATGTCTCCGTAGCCGCATCTAGCCGACATTGGATAAGAACTAAAGCGAACATTAACATCGATGAACTATATCAAGATCGTGTCACAGGCATTCAGAAGGCTTACATAGAGACTTAAACACCAGGTATAAGTAAGAGGTACCTAGCGGTGAAATACGAGGGAAGTGACTGCGAGAATATACACTGCAGTGAGAATCTGTTGTTCTGCCTGTTGATTCCTTAAGGCTTCTAACGTCATCAACATATCAAGCTAAGAGCCTCATTTACCGTTTTTAGCGGCGAACTATATCCGATCCCCCGGTAACCAACCGCCTGGCCTACTACATTCAAGATGCAGTTAAATAGGTGCATATTTTTCAACCCTTTCATAGATAAACGGTCTATAATCGGTATAGTATAGGATTATTATTTCTTAACTAAGACGCTCCATATAGTCTTTTAACTAACGCCGAAGAGATATCACTTAGTTCAATATTGTCAAGTGAGAGAGAGACAGAAGCACATAATCCACTTATATCAACAAATCAAAACCTCCAAAAAGGCCAAGAGAGCTACACGATTATAGGAATAGTAGAGTAAAGACTAACCAATCAGACTTAAACGGGCCATATACCTGGGGACATGTAGTGTACTACTATGTATGAGTGTGTCACTCATGGATTAGACTGGAATAGCAATTGTGCCAACATGAAGAAACCCCCCTTTTGGCACAGTGATTTGTTTCTGAGGACATGTGTAGAGACTCGAGAACCATGTCGCCTGGCTTCCATCCTCTTACATGCTATGTGCTCTGTCTTCTTTGGCACTCTAGCCGTCTCATACGATGTATGTGAGCGATGTCGAGCGATGCCGGGCGAAATATTCCGGACTACCGGGAAGGAGATAAACGTCAAGCATTCTGATAACTATTACGAATTAAAACGGTCAGGGAAGACATGCCCTATGTGTAATCTATTTCTAATGTATCTGGATCCGTGGTGGCAAATTCGGATCTGTACATACCACCGTACATGGTAAAGACAGAGCATCGTACACTTCGTTTTACTATTTCTTATGTGAATTCGAGTCTGGATTATGGGCGTCCAGAGAAGAGTGTGGGGACACCGAGACAGCAATTGGTGGATTGATTGGAGATTGCGAGATGGTGTATAACGACGAGGATCTTCTATTTTATTTCCTTCGGATTCCTCCCGAGGGCGTGGGTTTGGTTCAAAGGTCTGTCGAAATTGATACCAATACCTTTGAGAGGGCTGGCGCAGGAATGGTTAATGGAAGGTTCGCCGAGAAACTTGATATTCATGCTATCACCATCATCAAGTATGATAATGATAGATTGAGCAGGTGCTGTGAGAGCCGGTTCCTATACACCTCTCGTTGCCAACCCCTATATGTAACCCCACCTCGACTATTCATACACAATCCCTACACTAGGTTTAAATATAATTCACATAAGGTCTACCCGATTGCCGCATCTATGAAGATGCAAGACGAAAGGAAATATTACCATTAGATATTTTAGGGTTATTATCCTGATAATCCCAACCCTAATTTCCCGGTTATTTACCTATATTAAATCACCTGATGCGTTAGCGTAAGGATTAACTTCAAGGTATAGAAGCTAACTCAAAGTCCCGAAAACATGTAGGGCCTAAAATATACTTTCAGTACCCCTCTAATGGCTTTTTTGAGAGTTTTCCTCTGATTATTTCGCACTCACTCTGTGAAGTATCCTTTATTTTGTGCCTTGCTGTACTAGCCGCAGCCTGCTACGCTCAGGATGTCCGAATCTCTCATAACACGCTGCAAAGTCGCCGTGACCGCTTCGTTTAGCGAGAAGCCTATGCAAAGTTAGCCGTATCAATTGTAGTTCTTTAGGTGGTACTCGGATGGCGCGCAGTCCCAGTCCTCTGTAACAAGTCCAGCGTGTTTTCAATCCACCACCCTTTCAAGAGTCCTGTTTAGGTTCTCTCATTAATTTGCTTGGGATAAGTCAGGGTGGGCAGCTCCTCTATGCTGGATTTTGCCCCTTTCTTTGCTTCTTTATCCGCAGCCTTGTTTCCTGGAATGCCCATATGTCCTGGGGACCACTGAACTGACCAGCCCTCTAGTTCCGCCATGGCGGACTTGAAGTTTAGTACATCCTTCTGTGTGCAGTCCGGTGGGTGCCCGACCAAGCATTGGATAGCCGCGGTGTTGTCGATGCAGAAGTGGAAGGTTCCTGGTGGGCGAGTAACTGCCCATTTGGCGGCCTCCGAGGCTGCTCTAATCTCGGCATCGAGGACTTCTGCTTGTCTCATTGTCCCGTGTGCTCGGCCGACGATTTGGGCGTTAGAGTATGCGAGCCATCCCCATCCCGTTTCGCGTCCTTTCGACCCATCTGAGTATATCACTGTGTGTTCTGGTGGAATGCCGCCCAGCCAGGCGTAGTGGATATTCTGCCCCAATCTCTTATTACTAAGGACTGATGGGAGGGGGTGTAGTGCGTCAAGTTTGCGGGGTTTTGGGGGTCGGAGGGAGCCTCTCAGGCGTAGTTGTTCCACGAGTACCTCAGCGGGGGGTATTGCCGCTTCTCTATGGAGGATTGCAACTTTTGTCGTTCGCCAGACCAGGAGCACGGCTCTCGCTGCCAACTTCAGGGCTGAGTCCATTATTTCCAGGGGCCTTTCTTGTGCTTGTGCTGACTGTTTTTCTCCTGAATTTTGCCGCGGGTTTGAATAGTCCGAGCTACCATGCGTCCGCGCCGAAGGCCACTTATGGTACGATATATGCTGCCACTTTTTTTTTGGCTATGATGGCTGGCAGAGCGACGCTGTGTACTTTGTTGAGATGTTGAAGGAGTGTGCTGACTTCATAGCTTTTCTGGCCCAGAATTTTGCGTGTGAAAGGAAGGTGAGCTTGGAGTCGGAGTAGACTCCCAGCCATCTCATTGCTTCTCGCGTAGGGTTGTTACGTGGTTACTCATCTGGACGGTGTCGTCCCTGTGGCCGCATTTGTAGAAGTGTATGAGCTCGTGCTTCGCGGGGTCGAAGCTTATCGCATTATCCCCACCCTATTTAAGAGTGCCTCTTACATCTTCGGCCAGAAGTCGTGTCATTAACTACCGGCTGGGGTTACAGGGCTCAGCCGACTTTTTGCACTTTTTTTTCTTTCTCCATTTGGCAACCAAGCATTAGGTATGTTTGTTCATTCAACCCTACCTATTTCCCTCTTTAAACCACCACCCGTCCACACCTCTCTCCCCTCCCCTATCTAGTGTTAGACATGGATAAGGTAGTACTAGTTTTCCAAAGTAGATAAACGTATCATTAAATATCGTCTATGGATATTGCCTAAGGGCTTGTGAGACGCGCTTAGAAGCTTAAAACTTATAGCGATGTGCTTAATGTGAAAGCTGTCGTCATCAGCAGTATCCAAGGTTTTAAGGGGATTATAAAGGGGTCATATATGGCATTCCACAAAACTTAGTATTTTGGAAACTATATCTTGGGTTGACTGGATTCTTTCAGCACGTCGTGCGTAGGATGAAACAGTCGCTAAACTATCGCATGTCAGAGGCTTGGCAAGATAATACAATATAATGTGTCTCACATGGCACTGCTCTTGGGTTGTATCTCGTCAATTTTGTTTACTATTTATGCTTTGTTAACCGCCCATGTAATCCTTCCAATTTTATGTCGACAGAAGCTCTCTCTCCGGACTCATCTAAGCTTTAACTACCTAATTTCGCCTACTGGTAATTCTAATATTACGGTATTTTCCGTGAGAGGTCCTTGTACATGAAGATGTCAGCGTCAATCACTTAAGTTGACATCGTTTTACCTCTTGGCAGTGTACCGGTTTGATAGGCAGGTTATTTTCCAGCCCTTGCATCTAGTCTCAGGATTACCTAGGTAGTTTAGAGACTCGACGAAACCTCCTGAGACCTTTTTCGTATACAAAATCCGCGCCAAGTCATTCGACCATATTTTAAGTTAAGCTTTGCGCTTTCGATGCCTATAGAGCGTTTCCGTTTAATGTCACCAATTTGTGTTTGTTATGTAAGGTTCCATGATATTTGTCAGGATTCTAGAGTCATATCCTCCTAACTCAGACTCGAAGCCAGTCATAACACTATCCCAGTCTTGCTGCGCCATGGGGAAACCATAATCAAAGTTGGTTGGAAGCGCAGGGTTATGCGTTTCAGAGCCGTCGGTTGGGCGGATAAAAGACAGATCAGCATTAGGACTTTGCTCTTGATACTCCTTGAGCTGCAGTGAGGCTTCGTTGGAATTTGACACTAAGGTCGTAGCGATACGATACAATCTTTGGCAAGCATCATAAACTTTTCGAGCAGTCAAAGAATCTGCCGCCGGGGGCTCCAAAACTGATAGGACTGAGGAGAGTAGAGCTAGGTCTGCACTTGAAGATGTAGCTATAGCATTTCCAGCCAGGACGAGGAAAGGTGCGAATGGCACCAATGATAGAACCCTGTTCGAAGACGTTAAAATTAAAGCAATAACCATTTTAAGGTTGAACTTACACATTCAGAAACATGGACCACCCGAAAGCGTTTTTTTGTAGCATATACTTCCCCGCTTCCACAACTTTGGATAGCGCGGTCCGTGCAGCGCCTACGCACTCGTCGGAGCACTGGAGTGGGTGTGGCTGTAGAGAACGAGGTGGGAGTATCCTATACACAATGGTAAGGAGGCAGTACATCTTGATATCGAGCAATACCCCGGCAGCGAAATACAATTTCTCCCAGATTGGATCGTCCTCATGTATCTAGTACTTAGCGTTAGCAATAGACCGCAAGTAAGAACACATGAATCCATACAGCTGCAACGACCTCCTTAATTCTCAGGAGTCTATTAGCAAATTCCTCAGCATATTCGATACGAGTTTGCTGTGGAGCACGCAGTGCTGATGCAGAAAATAATTTCTGCTGTATCTCCCCTGCAACTATGGAGTAATCAACAAGACCACCATATACCCTATTGGAGTTAGCAGTATCAGTCAGTTAAGTAGGGGAGCAACATACCGGCCTGGCATAAGACGAAAATAATAGTCCGCGTTGACTGGATAGCAGTTTTCCACATCATAATGGTGGATAACAGGTGTTCTCCCACAGGTCAAAGCTAACCCTTTGTCCCACACATAAGTATGCCAAAATATGGTACTTTGCCGAGATTCGAGGTCATTTTTTGGATTTATAGGTAGACGATGATAGCCCAAATCTAGGCACGCCCTGGCGGCGGCAACCACTAATCTCCATGCAATCGCACTATGACCTTCTTTGATATAGAAGGTTCCCTGGCTAGTTAGAGCTACCCCTGAGCTTGAGTGGCTGGAGCACTTGCACTTACAAGAAGAACTAAGGCGCGACACGATTCCATCGACGGTTCCGAGCATAGACGGAGACCTTGCATTGCTGTTTCGGCATTTCTCTTCATTTCCCTGTTGTGAAAACGCAACGCATCAACGGTTGTGTCTATGCTTTTGCAATCATCTTCGCTGACGCCAAGGAAAATATAGTAGAGGCCAACGTTAACGCAGATCCATTTCCAAATTGAAATTGGCTCGATTGCGAAGTAGACGTCGCGGCAGAGGTCAATGAACTCATCTTCCTTGAATGTCGGAACATCGACGAAGAATCGTTGCTTGGATGATTTACTCATACGTAGAACCTTAAGAACAAGATCTATTGGCGGGAGTGGAAGGTCACGAATTTGCGGGTCGTATTGTTGAGAGGACTCAGGAGCTAGGGGGTCTGGCGTGGCATTTATACCTGTATCTACATCGTGAAGCAACTGGGCAACCCTCTGCGGGGATACTATCGAGGAAGTATCTAAAGATTCTACGTTAGTGGGATCCGGAGCTGTGAAGTTCGTTCCTAGTGTATCCTCGACTATATGAGCATGTGATAAGAAGGAAGGATCGCCGATATAGCCTTCATTGGCGCCTGATAAAGTAGGGACCTGTTCATCAATCATAGGTGGAGGAGTATGATGTGCACTCTCTGTAGAGGCTGCGGTTGAACTAGGTCCAGGGCTCCTGCTTAACAGTAGTGTCTGAAGCATTTCTTTGACATCGCCAAGTTGGCGACTGACATCTTGTACGGCCTCATCATATTTTGAGGATAGGAGAACGCGTTGTCGTTTCTCAGTTGCCCGATGAGTTGTGCGACAAAGAACGTTGAGCGTTCTGCAACTCGCGCATGGCGACCTTCTATCGCATTTTGTCTATTTAAGAAAATAGTCAATAAATAAGATAAATATTATGTCATGTTTTGAGTTAGTAACGTTGGGCGTACTTTTCGAGATTTACAATTATCGCACTAAGAGAACATTACATAATGTTAGCAAGGAGGTCGCTAAGTTATCAGCTATAAGAAGGCTTCAAACAAAGTAAAAATGGTAAAAAAAGACTGTATTAGTTTAAGGAATTTAGGATTGCGGAATTCTTACCGCTGGTCTCCGTTCTAAAGGAATACCGTTTTCTGTTTGTTCCATTTTTTAAAAAAAGAAAAAGTTGCAACCCCTATTCCGTGATTGAGGCGGCAAACGGAAAAGGGGATATTGGATTAGTTCCCAAAACCCCGGCTCCGGGTGTTACTTTACATTTGGTCGGATCCCGAGGCCCCCGACCATTCACGTCAAAATTGATTAGTAACAACTGGTTGCCTCCAAGGTAAGACGTGGCTGAGCAAAATGACGATGACTTCAATGTCGGGATAAGCATCTAAGCCACAGAGAGCCCCATACAATTTTATTTTCACAAATTGTGAAGGCAGTTCCGACACATACAGCAATTCCCAATTTGAAATGTAACCCCGGCTGCCCGGGCTGCCGGGTTACTTTAGAGGTAAATATTAGTTTAATGTGGAATCGGACTCTACTACTAGCTGCCCCAATTTAATAATAACAAATAACAATTCTGTAACCAAATAAATCGAAGAAAAAATACCTTGGTAGGACCAACGCGTCCGCCTCTATCCTCTCTCAAAGCTCCAATGAACATTTCAGAAACAATTAAAAGAACGGTTCACCCATAATCCAATCCTCTTTCTAGGACTTGCATCATGCCACTCTAGAAATCTTAAAACCTCCGGGGATGCGCTTCTGGAACACTTCGGTAGGGTCATATTTTGCGGCGACATCCCGCATGTGCTGAATATTCTCGGCGCCATAGGTCGCAAGGGGGTCCTGGATGGATTCCGCGTAGTTCAGGTAAATGAAGTCCAGGTCTCCGTTCAACGACTTTGAGATTTCTTTAACCTGCGCTGTTAGCATAGCCACCTCTGCTTTTGCTATGGCTAAATCCTTGTCGTCGGAGTTAACTGCGACACCGGCGGTGAACATGATGGCGTTGCCCCCGAGACTTTCTAGTCCGAGCATGTTACCACCTTTCTGCTGGGCAATAGTCGCCATATAAGAAGGAATAGGCTGGAAGAAAACCATCGTCGTGAACTTCTTTGGGTCGATGAGATTGCTGAGCCGCTTAATGAAATCTTCGTGAAGTTCAACGGTCTGACGGAGTATTTGTGGATTGTTGCGGAAAGTCAACGTTGTTCCGACATTCCTAAGCTCTGTTAACCATCTAACTCACCCCGCTACTCATCAAACAGGCCTAAAATGGGAAACATACTTGGTACCACCGACTAGCTGGGCGCCATTGGCAGCTTCTGCCATGTTCTGGACAGTGGCGGCCTTGGATAGGGCTGGGAGACTTCTAACTTTGTCGAAGGCTGAAGTTGCATTGCCATCTCCCTGTGTGTTAACGTAAATCGTACTAACAAGTGTCTCGGGGATAATCGAAGCGTTATGGCTCCAAAAGGTAAAAAAGGCATTGTCGGCGAAAGACTGGTCTTGATTGGCATATCCGACCACGGCATCAATGACGGAATCCGAATAGTTCAATCTCATGGTGCGTTTTTCATAGTACAGATCTCGCGTCGGGAAGGCTTCTATGTCGTATCGCGTGACGATGCCGTAGTTGCTACTGCCACCCTTGAGAGCTCGCCATAAGTCCGAATTCGCTGTGCTGTTGGCGTTGATGACAGTGCCATTGGCCAGCACGACCTCGAAGTTCTTGACAGTGTCGCAGCCAAATCCCACCCTTCCCGAGAAGAAGGAGTTACCACCTCCTAGGAGAAAGCCACCAACACCAACATCACCGTCTCTACCCCCTGTTACGACCACACCAGCCTCCTGCAAGTCTGCATACACGTTGCGCCATCGGCCTCCTGGTTGGATCTTGGCGAGTTTGGTCTCCGGATCGTAGGTCGACGAATTCATCATTGTCAAGTCGATAGTCACGCCATTGGCAATGTTATTACTTCCGGGGAAGCCGTGTCCGCCGCTGCGCACGGCGATGTGCCAATCGCCTCCGCCGTTGTTGGCCTTAACCAGTGCCGTTAATGCCGTAGCTACTTCCTCGGTGTTATGTGGTAAAACAAGGCAGCTGGGTCTCAGACGGGCGTTTTCCGAATACCAAGACTGTATCTGAGGCTCGTAACCTGCGTCTGTCGCGAAAAGTAGTCGGTCCCCAAGGCCTGCTTCTCTCAGAGCATCGCACTGGATAGTGTAAGAAGTTGGGTCAGGTTTATATCGTTATGATCTCTGCAAGCTTCTGTGCTTACCGGTACAATTCCACTGCTGTTCGATACTAGTTCGTAATTAGCGTCCTTGGGAACAAGTGAAGGAGGATCCCAAGATAATTCGGAGGCAGCTGTGAGCCTGCCAGCCAAGGCTACGACGCCAATGTAAGCTCTCAACATGACGAGTGATTTAAGCAGTTTGGCTCTTTTTGCACGAAACTAGGATATCTGGAACATGTGTCTTTTCAACAAGACAAGATCTAAAGTGATTCCCGCTTATATATATTTATATTATCTACCACTTCATCTTAACCCAATAAACCATTTCACCCCTAGCATCGATACATTTCCTATGGTTGGGTCATTTAGAGACGCTGATGATGCCACAATAGCATCCATTTGCCAGGTATCCACTGTGCTGAAGCTCCTATTATGGATGCCTGTCGGGACCCTAGGGATCCGAGGCGTTTAAGAGCCGATGTCCCGGACTAGGGAATGCTGCGACTATGCTATGCCTTCACATTCGCTGTCTAAGGGAATTTTGATGTATGCGGTTCACTGAGGTGCCTAGGTACCTGCCTATCTACCTCTGATCCATTTCGTTTCTCTTTTCTCTTTCCCTTTTCCCCTTTATCAACACCTCGAATTGATCATCGAAACATGGTTGTTCGAGCATTGTTTTCATCGTGCTTTTCTCTTTCACGCGCGATGGAGTGTATTTTTGACAGGTCAATGATTGTTAATTACAAGCGTAACTACGAGTGTGACTACCTGGGTAGGTACCTAAAGTAACGAAGAGAAAAAGAACAGCGTAAAGCATATATCGCAGTATTTGGCGATTTCGAAGGGATCCCTACTATGATTAATTAGCTGAGCTGTATATAAAATGATCTCCTGTAGACTACTAGCTTAGATCTCTTTTCTTTCTTAATTAACCGTTATATTACCTCTAAGATCTCCTTTCACTTTACGTGACAGTATAGAAATTGGAGCCCTAAGAATCCTCCTCTTTGCTGACGCCTTGTTCGCCCATCCCTATTCCTATGGCTTCGGCTTCAATTTCACTATTTCCGTTGTCGTTATTCTCACTATCCTCGTCGTCTTCGCTGATAGGTTCATATTCATTTCCTAATCCGCTAAAGCTATGGTCCGGGTGCACTATATCTCTCGAACGATAGCATTTGAAGCATAAGCCGAAGTTAGGGCACTCATTACAGCAGTAATACACTCCAATCAGACACTACGGTTGATTATTAGCGAAGTTCGTTGAGGGGACACGGAGCTACTTACTGTTAGACATGCGTCACAGAACCATTCACAACCCTCTAGTTGGCCTTTTCTTGTTGCCCGTGACGTCCTATCCCATCTTGGTCGAAGTTTACCTGTCAATGGCTTACGACCCTTTCCCTCCAAGACGTCGATAATTTCTCTCGGTAATCCGCAGAACTTAGCAAGTTTCAACGCGTTCCAGGTTCTGTCTAGCCCCGATCCAGAAACCTGTAATTCCGCTCCTCTCTCTAGCAGTTCCTCTATGATTTCCAATCTTTGGAACTCGAATAACGTTTCTGTCTGCCATCGTGGACAGATGCGCAAAGCCCAAAGTAATGGTGTCCACCCGTCGATATCCTTCTGATCGACGAGTTGTTCGGCCTTGCCTTCATCGAGAACATATCGGACCAGGTCCAAAGATCCACTAAGGACAGCAAAGTGAAGCGAGCCTCTTTGCATGCTGTCGCGATCGAGTAACTGAGCTCCATGCTGACGAAGTAGCTCAACTCTCTCTCTAGAGCGGTATAAGGCGAAGTGTATCGGCTTTCTGCCCATGGCATCAGAGACATTGACGTCCACACCCTCGCCATTGATTATAAGCTTCATAATATCAATGTTGGAGTTCAGAGAAGCTAAATTGAGGGATACTCCCCACAATGGACCTGATTGATTGATATCTACCCTGTTAGGGGCATCGTTGATGAGATATGTAATAATCTTGTCCTTTTCGTCGTCTTGATTACGATATAATGTTGCCTGTAGAGGAGATTGCTCTATCCCAGGACAAGTGATATTAACATCAGCATCGTGTTCACACAGAAGCTTTACCATGTCCAAGGATGACCAGAAACATGCTTGAATCAACGGACCGCCATACTGACCGCACTGAATATCTATCTTGGCTCCTTTTGATAGTAGATATTTAGCTGCCCCTATATGGCCTTTCATGGCTAATCTGCAAAGAGGCGTGAGACCGTATCCGTCTATGCTTTCAATGTTTGAGCCTCTGTTGACAAGAAGCTTGATAATAGAAAACCCGTCTTCTGGATTTAGGATCCCTGCAGCAACGCTTAGAGACGACTTTCCCTGTGTACTTTCGCTACCTTCTAAGGATATGCCATATTCTAATAGCATTCTAACAATTGTAGGATTTTTGGTGGAAACGGCACGATCTAATTCTAAACGCCCCTCGTCTGGTGACTTTCGGGGGTCGGTTTCGGCATCGAGGAGGAGCCTTACGGATCCTTCGTTATTATTGTCAAGTGCTGAGAGGAGGGCATTTTGTTTCGACTCTATACTAGGTTCGAATTCCAGATGGACCTTTATAGTATCCCCAAAGCCATTACTGGCAGCAATATCTAGCGGCGTGAATTTTGTCGTAGTTTTCGCGTTCACATCCGCTCCGGCTTCAAGGAGCATGCGTGAAATCTCAGCGCTGTCGTAAGCTGCATGAAGGGGGCTCCATTGTTCACCATCACTACATATTGTGATGCTGGCCCCATTCTCAATTAGTAGCCGGACAATTTCTATGCGTTGGAAATATGCCGCGAAATAGAGAGGTGTTCCCCCGCCGAAACGGTTGTCAATATCGGCTCCAATATGAATAAGATGTCGTACGCAGTCCTCCCTGTTATTCACCACAGCCCTATGGAAGCAAAATTTCAATATTTCATCCTTGAAAGTAAGCTTAGAGGCTAAGCTAACTATGTGTTCAAACACAGGGAGCTTGCTTCCATGTAGAAATACAAACTCGATAAATGACTTCAAATTTGTCTCCGAGAGCGCTCCGTCTACTGTTAGCAACTGTTCAAAAAGCGGATCAAGCTCTCTTTCGATCGTTCGAGAAACTTTTGACCTATAGTCCTCTTCCTCCGGATTAATTGACCCCTTAATACAGCTCATCAGTATTTGGCCACACTTAATATGCCTTGTTGTGATGACTTCGTCCAGCATAGCTATGACAAGCTCGCTTTTCAGTCCAGCAAGTTCCGGCCTCTTCAAGATGACGTTGAAATTGGAAAACTTTCCAAATTTGATGGTGATATCGAGCAAATTCTTGTAATCCTGTTTCATATCGGGCTGACTACGCTCAACAGCCGCATTTAGCAGAAGTGTAACTGCATGAGGGCTGGAATATTTGCAAGCAAGTTGCAACGAAGTCCAAATGTCTGCGTGAGAAACCACAAGATCATTCTTAATAATGATCTCGATGACTTCGTATTTATTTCTTGCGCATGCATGCTGAAGGACGGATATGCAATGACTGATGGTATCCGGAACTCCTTTCTGTTTCGCTAGCGGGATCAACTTTTCCACCGTTATAATGTGATTCAATGAAGCAGCTCGACACAGCAATTTGTATGGATCGTTGATCATCTTGGGGGTTGTTAACGCGAAATCTATCAGCCCTGATATGATCTGCTCGTCTCCTGAGTGGAAAGCTGCCAGAATTGTACTATCCAGTATTTCAATCTTTTGAAATGGTAGGTTTAGTAGATGCTGTACTACTTCTCGTTGGCCTGCTTTCGAGGCGTATTCAAGTAGCTTAACCAGCTCGTGGTCCTTCAAAGTAGCCAATACCCCAGTACTGGAGAAGTTTAGGAGAGCGCTTAAACCATGTATCGCAAAGATATACTCTGGACGGACGCTTGGTTGATGGATATGGGAGAGTGGGTTTGCCAGAGCCCAATATAACTTAGCCCAGGTAGCTTGCAATTCCTGATCTTTCAAGAATTCTTGAATCTGGGGGTTAGTTGAGCACCATTCTATCCCCGACAGTACCGCATGGCGAGGCCAATATTGTACAGCATAGGCAAGGAAGTGATGTCTTAAAATTAGACCATTTTCTTCTGTTTGAAGTTCAGCTGTTGATAAATCCCGACCTCTTGAGGAGGTTATATACTTTAGACACAGATTCATAATCTCTTGATGATCATGCTCACGAGTTTCTTCGTGTCCGGTTCTGCGTAGGGACTTGGATAGGATGCTAGGAATAAACGGGTGCGCAAAGCCAACTTCGTTCCCTTGTGGTTCGAGCAAGCCGCATGACAGTAAAGTAATGCCCTCGGGCGGACGGCAGTTTGTGGTAATGCTACCTTCCTTCGCTTGGCCTATCCCAGAAACTATCCAAATGTCTTGAAACTCCGTAATAGTCAAGGGTCTGACAGCATGAAGCACTAAACGGAGGATCCTTGCGATCTCCCTTTCTGGCACAAGTATGGAGTCTGATAATTTCGAGGCATTTTTGCGGTGTGACATCGGTAGGTTTAGAAAATAGTTTGAAGTCACTGGTCAGCAAGGTTAAGTCAGAAGTTCTAAGCCACCCCAGGACGACTTTGCATAGTTTCTTGTCTTTGCTAAACTTCTGCAAGAGGTCGTCAATCCGTGCCGCAATTCCGTAAGTGTTCGGACGCTCTTTAATCAGCCGTATAAGCGCTAACTCTTGTTCGAAGTCCTTAGTTATCTCTTTGGTTGTCTGGATAGGCAAATCGATTTCAATATGGCCCGACCCATGAAAATTTTCGGGAAGACTAATACGTGCCCACTTCAAGCAGCAGTCTTGTTTCGTAGGTTCATCTGCATGTGTTGCAAGGATCCTGAAGTTTATCTCGCATTCGTTGGCCAATTCATTAAACATGTCCACCAAGCGCTCATAAGAGGCAACATTTTCGTCAAAGTTGCTGAGGACACACGTAATGCCATGGCCATGGGAGTCGAGTAGCAGCAGGATTTCATGAAACAAGGAAAATAAATCTTCCAAGGTAAAGGTACCGAACACTGAATATCTCTCATGCCAACTTGTAAAGGCATTAGAGAATAGTGTCTCTTGGTCGCCATACCGGAGCTGAGCGATAAGCTGACCCAAAAAAGAGTACAGCACTGCCTCCGCTGTGCCATACCGACGGTCCAAGAGCGAAAATGCGAAGTAGAGCCAAACAACATCGGCGCCTTCTATACGTTTATCACCAAGATGGGAGAACATTGTGTTACCTACCGAAGCTGCAGTATCTCGCGATTGACACTGAACTAAGAGGTAGGTCGGTGATTGTTTGGTTTTCCAATCTAAGAATGCTTTATCATCCAATATTTTCTCTAGCCACAGCGAATTGCAGAGCATTAATTCAGGGGTAGCCGGGGGTGGTGCTTGTAACGTGAGTTCCCAAATATGTCTCCTGATGTCCTGGTCTTTCGAAATATGAGTTAGGGAGATCGTTTAATACACACACACACACACACACACACAAAAAAAAAAAAAAAAAAACCCTTTGCTTGCAGATGAATTGACGGTTGATGTTACTTACCACGTAATAAGTCCGGCTTTAATAGTTTTACTATGTGTTCAAAGGCATCATCTCGTGATAGTAGTTCGCTATGTGTCGACGGCTTTATGACATAGGTGGCTTCAGATGGACGCAAGTTCATCAGCCCGGGTTCATCAAAAACCTTGAAACTGTTAGAAGCTTTGCTGGGATTTATGAGATAGGTTTAAAGGTTAAAACTAACGCATGTCGACTGGTTCTCATGGATGGAACACACATTTATGGTTGTTGCAGCCATTGAGATACTTAAATCTCGAAAATGACTACCGGCCTCAGCTATTAAATCGGGTAGGAACCCCGCGAGTTCCCATGCATATTCTTCTGTTGAGTTCGTTGAATGGCTATTCTGGAGTAGCTTAACAAGACCTTCCCGTAGCTTAGTAAGGTTGGTATATTCGTGTGGACATCCAAGATATACCTGCAATAGATTCAATATGAGCACTTAAGTACGATGGACGTCATCAATGGATTTTCTTACTATCGTGCTGACTGAGAAGAAGACACTCCCGTACTTTCCAAGGCGTTGATATGCATACACAAGCGCCTAAGTTGAAGATAGATTTAGATTAGGCATATGCTTAGGGAGATGAAATGTACTGACATTCTTGATCAGGATGCCGCCAACATCATGTCCTATAAGCACCATACCCCTAGTCTATAATAACAGGGGAGCTCAGTCAGAGATGTAATTATATTGAGCGATATGCTACAGTACCTTTGGGTCTTCCCTAAAGCTCAGTAGATTATCGAGGAGCCTCAAGGTCTCGGCCTTTGCACCTTCGGGAGTGAAAACGGTCTCAAATCGTTTTCTCTTGGCGTAATTGAATATAGAGACCCGACAGCCAGGGTAATCATTGGGAAGCCGACGGAGAATCCAGCTATCATCATTGAGAATTGGTTTAGAGTCGTCCTCAGCTTCGTCTCGAAATTCAGTCAACCCGTGTACGAACACGAAGCTAAGAAGATAGAGTCAGTGCGTTCGCTATCCTTGATGAGTGGGTATTGAACGACAAACTCACTCAATAGAGGGTTCTATAGATGGATCAACTACAACTTCCAAGTCCATTGCTAAATAATACACACTGTCATTGTTTTGCAATCTCGTGGGAATTCTGGTTGGGTAAGTCAAGCAAGCAACTTTGAGAGGTTGCCGAATAATTAATCCCGTAATGATGGGAGCTAGTTTACCTTAGATACCTACCTTAGGTAGGTACTTAGCCTAAGGTAGAGAATAGTATCTTCGGGCTTACATCATGATGGGCGGAATATACCGATATCGATCAGAATATGCATACCTAGGTACCGTAAGTTAGCCTAAGTTGGGTATCTACGCAAGCAGTCGACAATTCCTTCCATACCAACAAGTGACCAAGCGAACGTAAACATTAATTGGCCCTCCACATGTCTGATAGCATTGCTAATGAAAAAGGTCTCCATATCGATGCGTTATTAGTACGGCTGTCAGCAAGTCAGAATCTGCAAGCCGGCTATCAATATTACCTTAATTAAACTATGATTGGACAAGGTCAATTATCTGTGGTATTACGGATTTCAATTACCTAGGTAGGTAGGTAGGTAGCTTCAACTATAGTATTCAAGTCATTCTATCTTACATATAATGCACAAAATTCCCTCAAGTTACACCATAGAAGCAGGCTGGCAGGCTCATGTCCATTTCTGGTCTCGGTCCTTGGTAGTCTTTGATAAGATAGTTGTGACTGTGACATCCGAAAGGCCCTCCAACCTTACCATCCCAAGCTCATCTGTGTTGTGTTCGTTTTGTGAGTCATTAATAGCATTCTGTGCCGGGTCGAAGTTGACAGGATCGTCCTTGGGGTCCGATTTCAGACAAGATTGCACGGATGTAAGCCAAGATGGCGTAACTTTCATGGTGAAGTGCGCTTGAAAGTGTGACATATCTTCGCGCCTTAGCCGAATGGCAGCCTGCATGGAGGTTGGTACACCGGTTTTTCCTGTCTGATTCTCTCTTAGAATCCATTGCACTCTATTAGGTTTACCCCAATTTCGGCTTTTCTCCTTGAAGCCTTGAACTTTCGTCATGTCCACCGCCTCCTTATCCACTGTCTTCTCCCGTTTGAGCTCCGCATTTAATATGCCTGTGACTGGCTCGCTGACCTGCAGAACGCCTGCATGAACGACTGTCTCATGCTGCGACTTATAATCAAGAGTAAAGTAACCGTCTGGGTAGATTTCTTCAACAATAGGAGTGGGGTCTCCCTTAGCCTTGGGCGAAAAGGTTATCTCTATTTCAACCTTCTTGATTCGATGCCCGTTTTCACATGATTCAAACCGAAAGTGGGGGACAATTATCGAACAAAGGTCATCATTGTCGGTTGAGAAGTATCCATGAATGATGTCTTTCAAATAACAGCTTGCAGAAACAAGGCCTCCTCTAGAAATCACATCTTGCCGTTGCTCATTTGGATAATTTGGATCGTTCTCTGTGCGAAAGTTTGCGTCTGTGCCTGCTTCTTCATGGAAACTGAAGTCGAGAGTACGAGAAGGAACCCCATACTCTTCCATAGTTTCCAATGTTGCTTTTAGGCTCTAGGTATTACTGTGCAATATTCGTTTGTGCTAGGGACTTTTGTTGATATGTACGATCTTACGTTGATAGCAATAGCTATGAGTAAATGAAGACCATTATATAATTTGTCCGGCGTTGTTCGTAGGTACTCATGACCAGACCGAAATAACAGCCCGCTTTCTATTATTTCCTTAGGAAGTAGTTCGCCGGTGCTTATGTGGCGATTATTGATTCTATACATAATACAACCCACCTTAGGCCCCTATGCAGATGCAGGGCTTTTGTGTTACCCGAAGGTGGCCTCATGTTGCGATACATATGTACCCCTAGGTAAGGTAGGTATGTAACCAACTGGAAGTACGCACCACTGACCAGTCCTGCATGGGCTTAATTGGTCATTTTCAATATTATCATAATATATGTTATAATTATTGACTTTTGCTATGGCGTATCTGTTTTTAGAGCCTTTTCTTGTCTTTAAGAAGCAAATCGTGGGTTTGTTATTCATATCTCTTTGACACTACAATCCAACGAAGAACACGACACCACTAGATAATATATCAGTAACATCAAATTTGATAGCTCAGACCAAGACTACACTCGCATGACCATGGACCAAGATACCGAGACAGGTCCCTCGGAGGACTTTGACATCTCTGACGGGAGCGACGAAGCCGATGTGGACGAGACGGCGATGCGCAAGTTGAAAGAGATTCAGCTAAGCATTTCCGACAAGAACTTGAATCTACAGCCAAGGGACGCACTTTTAAAGTTCCTAAATGACAAAGGATATATGGACTATGTAACATACGATCCTGGATATGATAGGGAAAACCTACTCCATTCCATGGCGCAGTCCGAGGCAAGCAGTGAGCTAGTCAAGTATCTCATAGAAGAGGCCCCTAACCTCATGGACGGAGTAAACATTTCTGGACTCCGTCCCCTTTCCATCGCAATTAAACGCAAAAATAATGAATTCATTACGGCCGTTCTGGAAAGTTATTCTGCGAACCAAAATGGTCTAGCAGACCTATTGGACCAAGGTGGAGATAAAGAGAACTGTATTCATGAGGCTATCATTAGTGGCTTAGACCCAGACCTGGTTACAAGATTGATACTGCAGGCACACTCGGATACCCTGGAAGCTCCGAATGGCGCTGGCATGACACCTTTGCATCTGGCTGTGGATTACCGAAAATGTATAAAAGGGCAGTTTGATGTCGTGCGTGCCCTTTTGGAGAGGAATGATGCTGGCCTGGATAAAGTTGGCGGCAAACCTGACTTCATGTCGGTTTATCGATATCATACACAACACAAGCCGAGAGTATCGAATAAACAAGAGCCAAATGGTCGCTCCTTCGGCAATAAGGAGATTCTCCTTATGAATGACGGTTTGAACAACCCACTTGTTGGAAAGGGTAAATATCCTAAGAATATTGCATTAAACGAAGAAGAAAGTGCGAAACGTAGGGAATATAAACAGGTGTCTATTCCCAACAAAGCTGGGGAGACGAATCCATCTCTGCGAATCAAACCGGAACCTACCTCTCATTTGAGGAGAGTGTCAACTTCGTTGATATACAAAACCCCACAACAATCGGCAGATTTACAGCCCATGGCATTACTTAATGTACAACCTCCTCTCCTCGAACACATGAAAAGCGCCGATGAAGGACGGAGAATGGGAAACGCAGATCTGACAGATGCTCGACGTCCTGGGGGTGACCCAAAGAGAAAGCCACGAACAAAAAAATATTTGCAGCGTAACAAACAAGAAGCTATCTTGGATACGGAAACAGCGGCCAAGATAGATAAGGAGCTAAAACTCCATTATCTTAGATCTATATTCGAACAATATAATCAAGCTCAGACCACAGTTCACACGGACCAGCCTTCAAGGGCACGAAGAAATCACGATACTGCGGTCCAGTTTTTGTATGGCGACAATAAGAAAAGTAAGTATCCAAGTGTCCATCCTGTCATTTTAGGGGAAAATATTTAACTCACAAATTTACATCGCAGATATGCATATATGTTTCAGCTTTCTCCAAGGACCATCGAAGATGAGCGCAACGAAGTTTGAATTAACCTACCAAGGATTCAATTTCGATTCCGTGTTGCAATACGTAGCTTTCCGTCAGGTCCAATTCACGAAACCGCAGAAACCTCTCAGAAGAAATGATGCAGTTCATAAACCCCCCGAAGCCATTGCTGGCAATGGCCGAAGAGATATGGAAGTGCCATTCGAGTGGCTATATCAAGCTAAAGGAGTGCGCAATATTATAAAAGTGATAGTTGACGATCTCGAAAGTCCTTCTCATAGCGACGAGTCAATAGAGACAGCTCTGAAACGATTCGATATCGAGATACTGGACTGGCGAAAGATTGACCTGTGCCCTGAAACAATATGCAATTCGTGCAAGAATCTACGGGTATTACATCTTTGGTGGAGCGGGAATAATGCAATGTTGCGAGCGTGGAGTGAACCAGATGGACTGGTGAAGTTGCAACAACTGAAGGCAATCCACCTTCACCAAACACAGGTAACATAAAAACCCGTTCATACATGGAACATTAAATTTACTGAAAATCCAATTATCTATTAGGACTTAGATTCCGAACTTTGGACACAAAAGAAAGTCGAGCAGTTTAGGGAGAGACTCAAGAAGGCTCGCGACGCCCAGAATAAGGATAGAGTTGGGAAAGATAGGTTCCCGGATATTCATGTTCCCCCTCCACTCAGGACAACTACTATAAACGAAAGACATCACGGCGACTTAACACCCGAAACCGACCCCAAAGTGCAACGCAAGACACACAATTGGCTCCATATCATGGATACTTTTGCGGACGGTATTGCGAAATTTACTCCTCACCGCGAGGGTAGTTCCGCTGCCAATTTACCCGAGAAACTAAGGAATGATGTCACCGTCGCTCTGATTGATGATGGGGTCCAATTTGGACATGAGTCGCTTCAAGGAAAAATCATAGACGGCTGGAGCTTTGACGACGGATACGATGGAGCAGACTTGCCAGGAGCCAGAAAGCCGTTCCACGAGTCACAAACAGGACATGGGACTCTGATGGCCAATATGATTTGCAGAGTCTGTCCGGCCGCAAAGATATTTGTTTGTAGGCTCAAAGTCGTCTCGGGGAATGGCTCAAAGTCTCACTTCACAGCAGAAAGTGCAGCCGAGGTAAGCGACCAAGAGCAGTTATAACTACATATGGAAAGACTATTACTAATTACGACCGCTACATAGGCAGTTGAGTACTGTGCAACACGTGGGTTTGACATCATTTCGATTTCGTGGACAGTGATGAACACGATAGAGGCGAGACAGGCAGCACATGATAAGAATCCTGACGGCAAAAGTCCCACTGAGAGGATTGATGACGCTTTAAGCCGCGCCTATCGTAACGGCGCTCTTATATTCTGCGCTGCCCCAGACGAAGGGTTAATTACAAGCATCGAATTCCACAAGTACTACCCCGTGGGTTGCCCAGGCCTTTCAACCAAAATATTCAAGATCGGTGCCGCCACGGCGAATAACGTGGGGCATAGCCAAACGGGAGAAGTGGGGCAAATTGATTTTATCCTTCCTGGACACGAAGTAACCGAGAGAGATGAAGGGATAGATGTTGAGAAGAATAGCCCGAAAACAGGGTCATCCATTGCCACTGCATTGGCGGCAGGGCTAGCGGCTCTGGTAATCCACTGTGTGCGGCTAGCAGCAATCGAAACATATCAAAAGAGGCAGTCCGGCGAAGAAGGGGAACGCAACACAACCACCAACAAGACATTGGATGCCAATTCAATAACGGAGGGATCCCTTAATGCCGTGAAAAAACCTGAAGCCATGAAGAGGATCTTTGAACACATTCCTGGCGGTAGTCAGGACTCATCTAAGTTCTTGGAGGTTAATTCTACTTTCGGTGATCTTGGCAAGTTTCTTTGCGATACAGAGAATTCGACTGATTCGAAACTGGGCAAAATTGCTTACCTTGCTCGAGACTTTGTCGGCTGGGCTAGATGAATGTTGGGTCTCAGATATAGGTTAGATTCTCCGTTAACTTAGGTACCTAGCTAGGTGCCTATCTATTTTTGAACTACATTATTCCTTTCTGCATTGACCTTTTACCTATATTTGGTACCTACAAGTACACTTAATAGGGCCCCTCAAAGACGCCGCGTACGCCAAATGTTACCTAACTTTAGGAAGCTTACTTGATGACACAGCATGGGTCTAATCCAGGAATAACCTCCTTGCCAATATATAACACTAGTAGTAGACGAAGTCATACTAAATCGTTGGATCTAATAGTATATACCCCTGCCATGTTTTGACTTGATGCACTATTGCTGGCCTCTTCCTATCTTTAACAACTACATAGTGTCGCGAGGTAGACCAAAAAATATTTCTTACCCAGGTACCTAAGGTAAACAACTTTAGATGTCTCTGGGGACAAGAGCTAGGTACACATACAAACACCTCCTTTGTCTTTCCTATCGGACAGGTTCTTTGTCTCTTATGTCCGTCATGTAGTACCTGACACCTAGGTTATCCCTATATGTATACGATGTTATCAAATTATGCTGTGTATGACTTTACCAAGTACCATTTGTAAGCAACCAGTATTCTTACTGATTTAGCCATGCTTGAACCTCTGTTGCCCGTTAGGAGTTGATAGGAGCACTCACGACAGTTGGCCTCACTAATTACCCCTATTTTGCTACGACCAATATATGGCTCTATCTTACAAGACAGTCTATGACTGTGGATCCCCAGCAACCCAGGCAACCATTTTGTAAAGAGGCAGTCACTACTTGCATTTACGCATATATAAAATAGCTAGATCCTAATCCTGTAATCCTAATAATAAAACAACAACAATGTCACCACTTTTCTAGGGAATCACATGACTAGATGTCCAGATGACATCTCTTATGCCCGACTTTAGGAAGGATGTTGTGTCGGAGTGTAGTAAGAAGGATTACTCAAATAGGAAATTCTCGCTTAACGAATTGGGAAGACTAAAAGTGGAGTAAAACTTAACCAATTAGAAAAATGAATGAAAATGGAAAGATACATTGGTACTTGCCTAATGTACTGACTATGACATCCTCCTAAAGTCGGGCTCTTGTGGTCCCCTACACGGGGGGCCCTCGGTTTAACTTAATTTCTTAGGTGCCTGTATTGTTTAAATCGGATCTTTCTTTATTCTTAGGCTTACTACATTAGATATGGCATTTCCATTCGCGGATCATATCGTCAATAAACCAAGAAAACAACAAGTTATTATAGGTTCTCTTATAAAGGTTAATACTACGTAATGGAGGTTAACGATTAAGCTCAGATACAAGTGAAAATTTGTCGTAGATTTGTCTATTCTAGGCATCAACGAACGTAAGTACCTAATCTAAGGTATCTTAGGCAAGTACAATGCTCCTATCATATGAGGTAGCAACGCCGTATCTAAGGAAGTAACTACCTCTCTAGTGCACCTTCCCAAAAGTAATTTCAATAGAAACACCGTTCCCGTAGCTACCACAACTTCTGCAATTGTGCCTAATCTCGCCGCCTTGTGCAAGAATATTTAAAGAAAGCTTTCCCCGTCCTTTTCCTTCCCCCCAAATCTTTTTTTTTTTCACCATCCTTATTATTATTCCCAAACACTTCTATTTCTCAAAGCCTGAACGGGTCGGCTTAGTAACAACACTGTACTACGCGTTCCACCGCATGGTTGCGTGGTGGTGAGAGATCTCATCACCACTGGTCTCGAAGTACCTACTTACCTTAGGTATTCGTACCTGATACCAATTATTTTATTATCAGGTACAGTACCTAGGTATTTAGCCATACCTAAAAACATTACATGGGACGGCAACATGCAGCTACGTGCTGCTCAGGTAAGTAATCAATCGTACTTCCTCGCCCGGCTCTGGTTTGGGACCATTTCTCATATTCCTTCCGCAGAACATTTCCACTATCCCGAAAAGTCCAAGCTGAGGTATGCCGCTACATAATGCCGTCATGTCGGGTTATGAGCCACGAATAAGGTCTAGGAGGACTTTTAGTAAGTAGCACTCTAAGGTTTCTTCTATATTTACTATCACTTGTCTTAATGCTAACCGAATACTTAGTGCCCTACGTCCAATAGGTCTTCTGTTTGTGAGAATTATTGGCGGGTAAATCACCACAACTCTATTATTTATTTATTTGGTGCAGACCGGTAGAGTTAGTTCTTTCAACGGTAAGCATACCACACCTATCTGAATAGGCACCCCATAAAGAGGCAGCTGGCTAATTTAGATTGCGCATATACAGGGACCCTGGCCTTGTATCCTAAAAGCATGCTCCGAAAAGCATATCCGGGGTATCCGATAGGTCCAAAGATTGGCATAAGATGTGCAAACTCGTAAACGGGGCCCACTGTATTGGCAAGGGCAAATGTCCTGTAAGTGAAAACTTGCTTTAACTCTCTCTCACTCACTTTCTTTTATTCCTTTTTATTTCTTTTTCTTCCTATTTTTTTTATACGTCCAACCAAACTAATCACATGAATTAGCACGTGATGGAAATACTCCCCTTCCTCCTCAGTCGATGTGGAGTCCTGCTTCCTGGGGGCATGATGAACCGTCGCGACAAGTGCAAACCAGCTCAAACTTGCCCTTGACTTGGAGTTTGTCTGGCCGGCACACCTTGAAGGAGCGTATTAGATACTGAAGGTTTGTGGTCCTAAATTTGTTCTTATAGCTTATCTAATCTATTGCCTAGATGATAACGAAACTACTAATTCTATTACCAAGGTGTTAATTATATCACCTATTATTAAGCTCGACACCTCCATCATAAGGTCCCCTCACATCCACCTTACTGGGCAGAGCCATTATAGAGCCTAAGTATGGCAATAGCTTCACTTGCCCTATGGTATAACAGACGCTGCGGTTTGCCTGTTCTGGCAGATAATACAACTCGTCTATGCCATTTGGTTCCCGGTTTCAATCCGGCTATCAATCCGGAGGGAACTGTGAGAGACGACGCAGCACACCACAAAATAGGAAACCCATTCTCATAAAGACACTTTGGAACTCCATGATAAACACAGACTTTCCAACAAAGACTATGCTAAGTAAAGCATTATATACATACCCAGACTGAACGTATTTCAACTACCTATCCTTGCCGCTGAATACTTGCCACCTACCTGTACTTAGTTAGCATTTGACATTAAACAACCTATTGTCACGTTTCCACCACTACCTGATTTTCAACGATTCTGAGTTCCATGATTGCCAATATTAACTTGAAACCATAATACCTCTTTTTGTTTGACTTTGCGGGCACTGTTTCGATGAATGCGCTTCAGACGTTTACTTTATGACGACACAACTTCCAGCTCTAACTGTACAGTGCTTACATAATACATGACGAGTAAATTTATAAAGGGGGGAGTATGTGACAGGGGTTAGTTCTGCTGGGATAATCACTCACGAAGATCAACTCATATTCAGATACCAAGCTCCAGTATGACTTGTACTTGAAATAAAAAATATATATTTGCGTTGACTGTAATTTATGAAGTTTATTCAATCAGGCTTTAAACCACAATCGAGATGTGTTTTCTTCACGATTCCAAGGGTTGAAACAAGGGGTATATTAACATGACCACCATACGCTTGTACCTGCAATTTAGCAAGCAGCAAGAAAGCTTAAATACAACTCAACAAGTTCAATACCGGCGAGGAATACTGTGTTGCATACACATTTTACTCCCATCTATATACAATTTCTTTTTTCCTTTTTTGGGGCTAAACTGTAAGATCACATTTATCCCAGGACAGACTTTGAAAGCTCCTCACTAAGCTCGTAACACCTGTTCCGCAGGTACTACCCCTTTTGCTCCCTGAAATTATAACTTTCAAGAGAAATTGGGGGAATACTACGTCGCACATACGTCTCAATCAGAATTCCATATCTCCCTCAATGTACACAAGATTTAGCATGCCTGATTGACTACTCCTACAACTCCGTTATCCCTCAACACCGCCGCTAACATACCCGCGCTTTTTGGGTCACACCCATCAGGCAGTCCACGTAGTTCATATACACATATCTGTTTTCATAAATATCCCAGTCGCTCAACTATTTGTGGGCCAGTACGGCCTGGCGAGTAACCGCCCTGCACCTTTTCTATACTTGATATAGATCCGAGTAGGATCTATAAACCTCGCACAAGCTATTGCCGCTTTTGATGATCGGCCAAACGTGGTCCGACTACAAACGCCCTCAGGGGCTACGGTCTAACATGGTCCATCTCTAATTGTTTTTCTTCCCGTACCTCACCAAGCGCGTTTGCTTCGGCGGCCTGTCTCTGAAGTAGCCTCAAACCAGCGGCGGGGTGTAAAATCATGCCGAGAGTATCAGTCGTGTGTCATACCATAATACCATGATCCCTTCAAGTCTTTTTATACTTCGAATATCGAAGTAACGTTACTGTAAAGATGTACAAAAGTAAATGGGCCTCGTAGAAAAAAACAACCATACGCCATTATTTCAAATTTCCATACTAAACTCGCCTTTTTCGTCATTGGGTATTCGAGTCTCAAATGCATTGCATGAACTCGTTCGGGATTGTTGTATCAAGCCAGCTCGTCGGAATTGGAAAGTTCGTCGATGCGCAACACTCTCCACGTTTTTATTGGGTGCACCATTGTGGAAGAAATGTTTCATTGGGTGCATCCCAGGGGATGTAGGTTCATAGGTTCTTCCCCATTTCCACAGCTCAATCGAAAGCAACTATAACAGGCACAAGAAGGAGCCACGAGCCACGAGCCACTTGCGGCAGTCCGGTAACGAAGATCCACCTTTAGAGTCCGGGTTCTTGTGTTACCCGAAGGGTGACCTCACGTTGCGTTTAATGCTCAGCAGAGAATAGTTGATAGATCCCTATCTCCACCACAGATGAGATATGATTAATTCTCATAAGACAGAGAAATTTTATAGGAACATAAATTTGGCGAATTGTCGTGTTAGGTAGACAGGCATCCTTGGATTGGTGGGGCGTCTGGAATACACCTCGAAGGTCCAAAGATCGGGTTTGGACAGCTAACATCTGCGGCGTGTGCAGGACTTAGGTTTCATACCTACTCACTGGCAATAATTGATTTGTCGGCACGCGACGCCATGAAGTTAGCATGGCTTTCAAGACAATTCGCCATCAAATGAAGAACTAATAATCAGTTAGTAAATAACGCTCCCAAGTTGACCGGTTGGAAATTGGTTGCTTACCCGGCCATATAGCAGACTTGTCAAGCATATATGCCGTGGCTCTGAGGATTTTTGCAGCATATCCGCCATAGTTGTCCATCTGAAGACGGGAATCGATGCCACCGTTGACAGCGCCACTTACAATATCCATATTCATCCTCATTTGAGCACTTGAAAGAAGCTCTTGGATTTTATGGATAAGCTTGACGTCTTCGTCCTCGAGGAGCATAATAGCCGGAACGCCTCCCATGTCTACCTCATTCTTTCCAAGCACGCCGAGATATCGCCCGACGCGATCCTGGAGAGTAGCGACCCACTCAGCCAGAACTTGCGCACAGTCGAAGGAACACATCGCTGACTGTATTGGAAGTTCACGGCTAGTGAACTCGGCATAGTTGACTCCTAGTTTGTCAGACATGGATAGAGAGTCAGCGGCATAGAAAGCCGCCTTGCGAAGATGCTTTTCCCGTCGAGTTATCGCCCGGCTGTTTGATTCGTGGCCTTGGAATAGTTGTGGCACCAAGGGCGAGGGGAATTTCATAGCGGAAAATTCGGGAGACGACGACTGTGTTGGAGGTGAATCAACGAAAATTGAGCTCGCGGCGGAAGCGTCAGATGGGTCGGTCCCCGATTCTGCGTTGGAAGACGGAGAATGTTCTGCATGCTGGACGACCTCAGTACCGCGAGAGAGTTCATCGGCTAGGCCATCCCAGTCTCGCTGCCAAAACTTCTCTTTGGTTCGGGACATGTTGACGAATAGTCGTATATAAGCCAAATCAAGGAGCGGAATCGAATCGGCGGAGAGAGGACCCATTCCAAATGGATTCGGACGTTCTAGGCTGTGATGCGGATTACTTGCCCAGGCTGACTGCCATGCCTTCAATGCTGGCTCAATATGACGGTGCATTTTTTCAGTTTCTTCATTCGTCCACATCTTGTTGTGGTGACGTTGGCGTGTTTCCCAAATATAATTATGGAGCGCATTAATCAACACCAAACAACCGAGCGTGCTAGGTTTAAGCTCACTCGGTGGAATATCATTGAACTGAACCGCCGAATTCATGTGCTGCCCATTGCCAAATGCTAGTTTTTGCTGCTTTTCATTAGTACGGAGCAACTCACTTAGAGCTTCGTGAAAAGTCGTTTTATTATGTCCAGCAGCTCGTACACCACCCTTCAACTGAAAAGCGGCGGCGCTCTCAGCTGCAAAGAACTCTTCATCACAAGGAAGATCAAGTGTTATTTCGGAATTTGTCAGTGCCGGTGTGTGGTTGTAAGCAGTCACAAGGAGACTAGAAAGTATGAAAATGACGTAGAGGGTGCGCTTCCGCTCCTCCATGGTTTTCCATCTCAACCATTCGGCTTGCTCTTCTGTTTCAGCCTTAATACCCCCATTCCAGTTACCCTCCGCATCGTTCATTTGAATTTCTCGAATATCCATTGAATCCAGCTTCAGTGGTCGAAACAGACCAGCAGCTTGAGCAAGGCTTACCAAGGCGGTAGAATGGGTCGAGGCAATATCATTCGCCGTCTTGTCGCCGCAATTGTGTCCATACACGACATTGAGAAGCATTGCTTGCACTAGCCATAGTGGCGTATGGATAGAGGATTCTGGCCCTTGAGATCCCTGGTCAGATGATGGAGTCCGTCGGAAATCAGCCTTCCGCATGTCAGCTTTCCTTCGCTCTTCTAAGTATAACTGGATCATCTTCTTTGCCATCTCGAACAGCTCCTTCGATTGAGAACGCTCCATTTCATATAGTGCACCAATGGCAGCCATCGATAAAACGAGGCATCCACTACCACCAACAATGTTCGTCCTCCCGTTACTTGGGCTAGGCATATCAAATGAAAGTGTGGGGATATGAAGGAATGGGAGGTGGGGATGAAAGTAACGGAAATAACTTGTAACGTATCGTTGCAAATCTTGCGTACTTGGTAAATTCTTTGCACTTTCAGGTGCATTGTCTGGAGTATTGGGGAACTGCGGTGACATAGGAGAATTGGGTGACGTGAAAGAGTATTTGCGGCCGTTAAACGGGCCGCACAGAGACAGTGCGCTAACAATGGCATTCCGCGTAGTGTCCGTGATCGTCGAGACAGGGGAATGGGATTGGTGGGTACCACTGAGCGAAGTGGATGACTCTGGTTCGGTGCTGAAGCTGAGGGATTGGTTCAGGTTATGCGTGGTTAAGCCCGGCATTACCGAAGGACTAAGGGAACTCATGGATGGGGGCGGTGTTGAGAAATAGATATCGTTAATATTCTTTTGAGATGAAGGCCGGGGTGAAACTGATGCTCCGTTTAGCATATCCGGGAACACTGTACCATTCATTTCCATAGAGAAGGGTGTCGTAACCTGTGGAGGACCCATAAGTGCCGGCTGCCACATGGAGTTGGACGTAGATGCTATAGTTGTGGGGTTAGAGCCATCAAGCATCACATCACTAATGCCACTCTGACTTGTAGTGCTCATTGCGGAGGGGGAAGAACCGTCAACAGCATTCTCAGCTGAGTGGTTAAACGACATCTGATGCTCGAACCCTGTCAACCAGTCAAAACTGTCGTCAATGTGTTGGCTAGGAGTAGACATATCCATCGCAGTACCGAACGGAGATGTAGGATCCAGAGACATGGAATGGGGAGATTCGTTGTAGTGAAGGGCGTTCGGGTTAATGGTTGAGCCGGGCTGCCCGAATACCATACTCTCAAAGTCATATTCCGGCTGAAACGGCAAGGGAGGTGCCGTGCGCAGGCCAGAGTTAAAATCTATATTAATGCTGTGCGTCTCTAACTTCGGGAGCCCATGGTTCATGCCTCTATGGCCCATAACTGACGACATGCCCCCGAAGTGGTCTATGTTATGTAGCGGCAATCCCACAAGACTCTGGTGGCGGCTATGAGTTGGAGGCATGTGATGCTGTTGAGTCCTCGCAACCTGGGCATTCGCAGCCGCGATCATATGCATATGGTTCCCATCCACATGGCTGATGGTGTTTGCGCGAGGTCGCATCGAGGCATTATTAGCGGCGGCGGCGGCGGCTGCTGAAGCATTTGCATTAGCGACGCTGTTCTTTCGAGCTCGGCTCTGAGCCGTAGCAGTACTGCTAGTGCTTTCACGGCGATTTCTAGGCCGCGATGAAGGCGTCGTAGTCTGGTGAAGCTTCTGCTGGTGCCGCAGAAGCAAATCTCGGCGAGCAAAGCATCTTGTGCATTCTGGGCACTCAAACGGTTTCTCCTTAGTATGGGAACGTTCGTGACGTTTCAGATGTTCCAATCGGGCAAATGAGCGTTGACAAGTAGCACAAACGTGAGGCCGAGGTTTATCGGTTTTTGGCGGAGGGAAAGAAGCAGGAGCAGGAGCAGGAGCAGGAGTAGCAGTAGCAGTATTCACCGTGATTGACGAAGCTTTTATGTATAAAATCAATGTTAGTAAAATGAGCCAGTTCGATCACATCGGTGGCTTCGAGATTGACAGTATAGGTGGCTTAGTATAATGAAGTCCAAATCAACAGCGGGCGTTGCTGGCGGCCGCGGAAGCTAGTTAAGAAGATGGGGATTGGAGGGGATGGAGGGGCAACGGGGAGCTGCTTTTTGGGGGTGAGAAAGAGGGCCATACCGGAGTCATCGTTACTAGCATTGTTCCCTGAGACTGCAGCGGGCGGCGACGGGTCGGACATGACTGAATAAAAAAAGAGGAATAAGAAGAAGAGGAGATATTCCAACCGTCGACTACCGTTGAACTCTTGGGAGGGTTTATGGAATTGAAAACGAGCAGATATGTTCCTTGGGGCAGAACCGACGGCAGGGCGGGAATTGAGGTTGGGTGTAAGTGGGAGGAAAGTCGAGTGAGCGATTGATCGTTGATTGAGTGTGTGGTTGTGTGGTGGGGAGGTTTTAGAGTGGGAGGACGACGCCTGGGAAGGAATTAGACCGGTGGATTGGCTAATACTGGGAAGGTTAGGCGCACAGTACCTAGTGGGTAGACAAGTAATAAGTAAGTCGGGTACCTGAAGTATACTCGGGGTATGGGAAAGTATGGAGGGGCAGAAATCCAGAAAATATCAGAGAGCCAGAGCTTCGAAGGAAGCTACCTTAGCAGCTTAGGTAAAGGAAGCTTGGGTCTTCCTATCGATTATTGTATAATTCCTTGTAACATTATCTATGATACAACCTCACAGCCGTACTGTGTACTTACTAGTAAGTAAGCCAGTTTTTTTTTTTGGGTATTGGGTTTTGTATAAATGATTGGTTAGATAGGTACCAGATACCTACTAGGTATCTACCCAAGCTGCTAGGCTGCTACCTAGACTGTTGGTATGTACCTAGGTTGATACGAGGTTAGGTACCTAGGTCTAGGTAGGTATTGTATGATGTCTGCTATATTCAATTCAATGCATGAAAGAAACAAAATCCCAAATTGGACAAGATAAATCAAAGGTCAGCAGATAGAAAGTAAAATAAAGAACGAAAAGCATAAATGTGAGAAGTAATTCTACGTAACGAATTAAAATTTCAAGGTGTAAAACAAAAGGGCAAGGCAATGAGAAGTCTCTACCCGGAGCCTTAAACAAATCCGAACCGGGTCTCGCGGTCAGGTTCAGTTAAGTATTACATGGTTAGGTACTACTAACATAATTACAAGTCTCATAATATTGAAGGTAAAACGCCGGTTCTTTTGCCACAGTGTGATTTCATCGCTCTTCCCCATTCGAGATTCAAAGGCAGGTACGGTACCATGGCAGTATGGTAAAGTTTAACGACGTTGGCAATATGAAATCAACTTAACAGGTCACTTGATACGGATAAAATTGCAGGTAGTACCACTAAACTGAGTACCTGTATACTTCCTTTAGGCGATTCTGCGTGGGCTGATCTTGGGCAAGGGCAAGCTGTTAGTTCCAGGGCATCTTGCCCACTGACAGGGGACCTTTTGACAGGGGTACGCTGGTCTGCATTAGATCTAATTGGTCCGTGCTAGTAGAACCGCCGGAGCCAAGCCCACAACGGGGAGTGGGTTATGGTCACAAGATTCAAATCTATATAATGTATACTATACTTAGATTTGAAGTATCTTTAAAGCCGACCAAAACCAGAGGCAACTGATTTTTGCTTGCTTTCAGTCTACATAGTACCTAAATGTACTCAATTTACTTTGTAGAGTCGGGTTGCATTCAAAGCCTGTTCCATTTCCCAATGCTCGGCTGTCGTTTTCGCACCACTTGTCTGCCCGTCTGGTTATCGAACATATTCGGATCGCGAATTGTGACATTCATCTTGAATTGTTTTACTACAATACACCACTTCTTCTCGTCTAATTAATGGCCATTCAAATATGTTATCGCAACACGTCAAAGCAGGCTACTGATATCTATCAGGTATCCAGTATTTATTCATCTTTGTTCTTGTTACTTCAGACCCTTCTTTTTTTTGGCGAGCCAATGGGCTGATCTTTAGAGAGCTACCTATACCGCAAGCTGGCTGCGGAGCGAACTCGGCGAAATGGAGCCTAGCAACATTGGGTATCCCGTCTGAATTTGTTCCTGTTTTGAAGTCAAGCCTCTTCAGGGCTTTAGCAGCCTTCATGTGTGAAGGACCCTTGGAGGGGCAAGTGCATGTCATGATGGGTCTTGGATTGTTCGTGGCTTGGTCAATCCTAAAGCAGGCAGATCTGGTGTCTGACGGTTCTCTTCGGTTTGTTAGCGGCCTGCAGGCACATCATCGTATCTTGCCTCTCAGCCAGTCTGGTGCCATCTATATCTGCACCATGCTCGTCTATCCACTGGTGCTTATGCATTCTAGAACGCATACTGTACGTACGCACATGTACGTATGTACACTATCACCTGCGATAACTGCGGATGAGTCGATCGAAGTTTTGCGATCCCGGCGGTCTTACATGAAGCATAGGAATACTACCTGCTTTCGCGGATGAGGCTTGATTGGCTTATGAAGCTCCTTTTCGGTATGACTATGCTTCGAGATGCTTGTATGTACCCAGCCAAGCGCTATCCACGCAGACGTCCTATCATTAATGCTGCATAAAAAGCTTCACACCATGGGAAAACCATAGAAGTACATAGTATATCACATAATTACGTAGCACATGTCGTTATTACATAGTATATCTAATATGTTCGCCGCAGGGGTTCTGGGCACGAACCAATAGCGCTCTCCGGATATATAAAACGTCGTGTTAGCAACGGCAGTCTAAGTACCTACATATCTACTGTACTTACCTCATATTTCGTAGTTAGGTAGATTACCTGAAAACTAAAAAGGGTCTTGTTTCGAATTTTAAGAAGCAGGAAGCAAATTGCTTAATGATTTAACAACGTCTTTTTGATATTCCTCTACATAATAGACTAAACTTACCACGTTATTTTCAAATCTATTATCAATATGATGGAGGGTACGTGCCTCTTTAGACAGCCCGGACAGCTCACATACGTAACCTTAAGAGCTAGGTAGTCTTACCATTTTTCTACATACGTAGTAGGTACTAGGTATGTAGGTAGTAACAACGAGTTTGCTTCTCGAACTAGGGGTGCCCTTTAATGCGATGGACTAAAAATGGCAGGCAAAGCTAAGAGATGTAGGCTGCTGCAAATCTGTACCTATCTGGGTTAATTGTATTAATTGTATGTATGCGTTAATTGTATGCGCATATAGTAGGTACATGTAAGCTGTAAGTTGGGTACTTGGGTACCAAACATATCTGTCTATATCTGGCCCCACTTGTTAACCCTCGGGTCGTAACAGCGCGCTGTAGCCGCCGAAGATCGCAGCTTGCAGCCACCAGCCCAAAAATGCCCACCTTACATGTAGGTACCTGGTATAATAAAGTACGAAAGTACAATACATTCAACATCGTGCATTCATCTCAATATCGTCCCTGAATATCGAACATATGATTAATATTACGTGCAGACATCTCGAATCTCGCCACGATGCATCGTACATATTAGTAGGGCAAACAAAATATTTATTTTTACAACGGTTTCTTTTCCAATAATTCGATGGTGATCAGAGAATGTGTTGATCCAGACCAAAGATCGTTTGATATTCCAGTAGTGTATTGACTTGGTACAGGTTGGTATACAATTTCCACCACCTACTGTGGCTATGAGGTACTAGTAAGTTCGATGATGAGCTTTACGGATAGTAACTGGTCGTGCGACTCGGCTAGGCCGTCGACGGGCAGCCTAGAACAAATCTAGACTTTGTCGCATCTTCCAACAGTCGGGAAAACGTGGCATGACAAACCAAATAACTGCCTAACGTACTTACCTAAGGCATATGAATCTTCCCAGCATATATCAAGAATGCATCTATGAATATCTTTGCAATAAGGTAAGGTTATGATGTTCTTTATCGCATTCGTTAATTTCTTCTGACAGCTACATATTGCCTATAAAATCCTTTCCCGGTAAGTTGATAGGAAAACTGATAGGAAAACTGATAGGAACTTCACCTGGTGGTCCAAGCCAATAGTCAAGGTAACCTTCCATCTAGGTTAAGTCAGTCTAAGTTCGGGATGCGTAACTGAAGTGTATGAAATAAGGTAGGATTGGCTACCTCTTCCCAAGCCAAGAAATCCTTGGCCGCCCACATACGATGCATATGAACAATGTAGCCTTCTCTTTTTCTTCAATTCCATAATATCATCTCGTCGGATTCGCTACATCTCCTTAAAGCACGATACCGATGACTTACTTTCCTCATTCTCGTTGTTCGTTGTCACATACATCATTGACATTTGGAATGCTTCTAGATATTCTTAGTTACGCAAGCCATCGTTGTACCCGGCAGAGGACCGGAGGTAGCATCTTATTATCGGGGTGCTCAGGTTCGACTAGTCGAGCCACTTAAGGGCAGCGGTAGATCCTTAAAGAAAACAACCTTTGGGGTATTGACGGCTTAAAAGTAATCATGCATACCACATTCATTGTCTAGGTACAACATTTGTCCGTTGGTTACAACGCTCTAGCCAAGATCCAGACAAAGCAAGGGGGTCCAAAGTTACATGGATAGTACGAATACGCCTATAGCAACTATGAGCATCGGCTCTGAAGATGGTAACAAGTAGAAATAGAAATATCGCTTCTCGATACTCCCAAGATAAATAGGTAGGGCTCAGATCAACACTATCAATTCAATCTAACACAAGAGCCGCCTCAAACGACGTATCCCCACCTATATACGCAACTGGATACTAGATAAGTGACAACGCCCAAGATTCAGCTTCAGCTAAAATACAGGCCAATACAGTAACTAGTAGTTTTAACCAATAAATCATCAAGACCACCTCGTTTGGAATCGGGTCTCCGACTCCGGCTATATTAAACGAACGATAAACAGTATAATACTTGAGTCGCTGAGGTTCGAAATTCCTCAACATCGCCTGTTCAAATCTGCTTACAAAAATTCGACTAAACTCCTTCTGTAGTGTCACCTTGCCCGAATTTGAGACTCCTGGTCCTCGTAAGGATCGCGACCGCGTCATGCCGTGTACAGTATGGGGGGCTAACTCTTTTCCGTACTTCTAACGAATCACACTCTACAATTGACCTTCACCTTACCCTTCACCATAACGCCATCTCACACCGCAAGAACTTGATGTTTTAATTGCAATAATTAGACTTGGTTATTCCCTGCTTCTGAGCTCTTTTACTTATAGAGAGACACTCTACTTGCCTTAGTAGTACCTCAAAGATCTTTACATGAACTTTATCAGGTGACGCGTTTATGCATCTAATAAGCCTTAATGATGAGTCGTCCGCGCCAGTTATGTTGTTGTCTCCCTCAATCTTATTGGACAACAACCCGCAATCAGCCAGTGCCTCTACATTAGCAATTTCGAGTGCAGCCGGGGAAGTTGGGGGAAAGCCTACCGAAATCGAGCGTCTTAACACCATATTATATAGTAGTTGTAGCTGTTTCGGAGCTATTATATTATTCATATTAGGATGCCATCTATTACCGTAGCAGGGCTTCCAATCGGTATGCGTCCATCTTGCGGATACCCGGAGAGGTCGTCTCCCGGTGCTTCGGCATCTGGGGAAAACATGCAAAGTGTCCTCCCCATAACCCCAAAATTTCTCCAAAAACCCACATTGGGGTCAGATCAGCGTCTCGGACGAGACCCTTAGGAGCGATGGAGCAGTCTAGCCCACCAAGACACTAATGAAGGCCGTTCTACCGCATAGCACCTTGATCTAGGTTTTTATCTGCTACCATTTTGAGTGAGCTCCGGTGGCCAACATCCTACGGCCCTACTAGGTTCGGCACTATCGACACCGCTTTATAACTAAAACGTCAAAGGCGAAAGGTGCGGGAAGTCAAGAGGACAGAACTCTAGGGTTCGACGATACAGAAGCTATTGTTTGTGGGCCACTTTGACATGTATATAGGCCTCGACATGTAGCTCTAGTATTTGATGTTAAAGCTAAAACAATGAGATTCGCCCATTAGTATAACTACCCAAACTCAAATGCAAAAACCTGCTGCTATGTTCAAAAGGGTTGGTCCTTAATACCCTGAAGTTAGATTAAGGCTTGGCCATTATCCCGATATGTGACTTCATGCATCTTTTATGGGTTACGCAAGATTCACATAGTTATGAAACATAAAAGTCGCCTTGACAAGCAGTGACAGAAGCTTGTCATACAAGATATTTACAGCTTAAGCTATAGCTATGATGATACGGGTTAATTGACCTCAATTTGAAAAGAAATCAGATGTTACGTATTGTACCTTCGGTAGATACATGCTCTATGAAGACGCGTAGCCACCTAAATAGGATCACAGGGGTAGCTCCATAGGCCATATACATCATGCAATCCATTACTTCGCGCCTCTTGAACCCAAACGTTAGCTATGTACGGTCAACCATCGATTAGCTTGTCAATGACTGAACAAACCCTCCGCAGCGAGGTGCCTACCCTTGTTTTCCCCAGACTTTCCCACAAGCAACATAGCGCACCGTACTTCAATGTTGCAGGGAGCTACCCAGAGAGCAAGGGTGGGTGGGATGCCTTTCTAAGATATGCCGATCATTTTCAAGGGCTGTGTCGCTAAGTGCTGGTCCGCTACCATCCCGTCCAGATTACCTCGGAGATGACTGAAAAAGGAAAAAGTCGGTTTCTCCCCCTGCGATTCCTTCGACAAATGAATATTACTAGATATAGGTATCGTAGCTAGGGGTCCAGGTCGCAGGTCAACCCAATGTCATCCCTGCCCATCAGCCCAACCTCTAACCTAAAATAGTTAAAAAAAACTTTTAGCGCACTTTGGGCTGAGCTTACCCTAGTTAACATAATATTCATATATTTCATAATTTTCCATAAAAGCTAATTAATTAAATAAAATATTAAAATTTAATGATTAATATATGCTATAATTATAGCGTAGATAGTGGTTATTACGTGCTGTAATTTCAACGTATTTAGCGAGTATTACAGCACGTTTCCAGCGATTAAGAGCCTCAGAGCTCACCCCAATGTTGAAATCTTGGCAGCCCCGATCGTTACCCAATTGGGTTAGAGATTGGGCTGATGGGCAGGGATGACATTGGGTTGACCTGTAGACTCCTAGGGGTCCGCTCGTTTTATCCTCAACAGGGTCCGCCAAGCCCATGACGTCGCGCCGTCATTTGTGCCTGAGAGTTGAGAGACAAGATACGGCGTGAACTACTAGTGAACTATCCATTAGTCACCGATTAATAAAATACGCCATTTCCAGCTCGCGTCCCTAGTAGTTGCATAGAAGACATAACCTAATGGGTCCTCGTCTTGTAGCTCCATCAGCTACTGGTCCTAGGTTATCGGGTTTTCGGGACAGAGAGCAAAAGCGTACTACCACAGGACTTGCGGGTATGTTGTCGTTTATCAGGTTTTTAAGTATTGTCAGACCCCGTCAGCCAACAGCCATCGAATTCTTTTTCTTATTGGGCACAGCACGAGCCAATATATCAGGCCAGATCAGGTAAACTACCTTAGAAGCATCTGTAGGTTCATCGCTATAATATATTAATCCTATGTTCAATAAAACTTCTAGATGGCCAAGCCTTGGAACTAGAGAGCCGCCTATGTGGAATATTCTGTCATACTGCAGTTTGCGGTCACACTCAATGAGTCCTCAATAGCAAAGCTACTGGCTTGCCGTGTCCAGAACCGACTACTAACTTGTTCCGCGGATAGGATCTTATGCGACCAACCTTGAGCCACTAAAAGACCTAATAATAATAATATTCAGACCCGCCTAGTGGGCACTTGGCTCACTGCAAGTCACGGGAATTTTTTTCACCGACATGCAGATCACATCCTATAGCAATGCCCTGTCGGCATGCCGCGTGCCATCTCTACTTTTGGCCTCAGGCAGTTCGGTCTCGTCATATCGTGAAGGGATATTGGACGTGAGAACTATATGGGTCACATTGTAGCTCCGTGAGATGCATCGAGAGTAGCATTCCATATAGCAGCATGTCGTCATAGCTTACCAATTAACGGTTCGCTGCACCCATTATGCTATATACCTCTGTAGAACCAAACACCCGAAGCAGAAGTTGACTCACATCTAACTTGTTGTTAGTGGATCCTTACCAGCCATGATAGAACACAAAGTAGCCAACTTATTAGTCTTACTCGATTTAAGGAACTCTAGCAGTTCAAGCCCAATGACGGTTTCTACTACACAGGTATACTAACTAGCCGTGGCTAAGCGTGTGATATCAGTAGATGAATACAGATTTTACCTTAATACAATAGTTGAATTCACTCGCCACTCAATATACCTACAATTTATCAACCTGTCTACCTAACGTACGTTAGATAGTCGTACACAATTTTCTTACGCTTTTAAGCAAGGGCCCGTCTGGTGCGGAAACATAAGTTGTATCACCAAACCGCATTCCTACTATTATTCGACCTACACACCACCAGCGTTCATGGACAACGTGGCATACCCAAATCCGTAGATGAAACGTGCATTAACCACACCATCTAGATTCCCGTTCATAATAATAAGTCTCGCGCCGTCTCGCGCAATTTAGTTATGATAATTATGCTTTATAACAATTCACTTTTGCCAAGCTCTGCATCCCTAAGCTACTGTACCTAAACCATCTCATCCTCGAAACTAATCGCAATAGGATCTAACAATCGAAAGAACCAATCGCATCTCTCTCCCTCCCTCAGAACTGAGCAGAAGACCCTGATTTTAGAGATCGACCACCCGCCTAGATCCACCTCCCCTCGCCGCCCTCCCTTCTCCGGCTATGCACTTTTTTGAGGTAGGTATGGGATCTCGGCCTCGCACCCACGTACCCACATTCGACCCAGTGTTTCCTCCGATGATCAGCGCCGCGGCGGCGGAAAAGGCATGCGTGGGTTGGCCACCGTCGTGCCATCCTACGATATATGATATGTCTGTGTGCAACAGCTGACGGGAACTTAGTCCGAATCGAGTAGCTCCGCCATGTCACTTTTTTTTTTTTTCTTAACCAACCTCGGGTCGAAACCGTTACGGATGTAGGTAGGTATTTAATAATAAAATTAGTACGACAAGATTATCGGTAAATACAGGAACTGATGATAAGCCTACAAGTCCCCGTCAAACTCGGAAAAATATAAGGATCCCGTCTCCGGGTAATATTCGTATAAGCGTCCGGCTGGGATAGAATACTTGCCTATTATATTGTGTTAAGAGGTACTAAACTATGAGAAATAATTACAATAGCTTATCGACTTCATCATCACCATTACAGGTAGATACACAGTCTTTCTTACCTTTATCAAAGGCATGGGATAGCCCCCCTCCGGCAACCCGGCTAAGACCAGTGAAGCTTACTCGGCCCGCATCGGGGCGAGTTAGGGGCATATAATTATATGACAGTCGATTCTAAGTTCAGAGGATTGGGCCATTATTAGCTCGCTATCTTTCAGCTACTCCCTCCACGTGTGGGATATTCCTGAGGTTTATTCGCAATCGCAATCGCAATCTACTAGTCTGCCCAGAGTTTTCTAATCATGGGTCTTCAGCCGCAAGAATAGCCAAGAGTAGTAAGCTGGTAGGTACTTCCCCCTCGCTGTAAACTTGACAAGCTCTGTAATTCCGAGGAGAGCTCGGGCGGGAGATGCTTCCAGTGACTTATTGTGATAGGGCATTAACTTGCGCCTGCGGGCGTGTTGTAACTCCGGGTAATGTCTTAGCCAGAGGACATGGCAAGCACGGGATTGCGTTGGTGTTACGAGTACTGTAAGACAGGACAGAATCTGATACCTACCTCTAGGTTAGACGGCTGCTCGTGGGTCAGCATGTCCGCGGCAGTTCTTTATTGCCTACAACATTTGCCTAGGCGTGGTGATTACCTAGTAAGTATACTTGACCGTAGCGGGTGGACGGACCTATAGGGTGGTTTCCATTGGGATGATATAGGGCTATGTCGAGTGACTGGAACACGCATACTGGTGTGCACTTCGGACCCGGTTGTCTTGCATCTTGTCTTAGATAGCTCATGTTGAGACATAGTAAGAGCGTGTTCGGAAATGCTGCGGTTCTTTCGGAGCCGCACTTAATCAGCCAATAGGTCTTCAAGCGATCAGTAGATATCATGGCCTCGTAAGAAGTTACCGAGATGGTCGGCGACGTAGAAACTACCTAAGATACCTTGAATAATATTTCCTCGTCAGCGGTAATTTACCATTGGTGTTACTTTAGATGTCTCTGTCTAAGTTCAAAAGTATTATCTCCTTGCATAAAATCGCCGTTTAAACCGAAGTTAACTTGACGCCTAAGGTACCGCCTGTCTTAATGATACCCCTATCTTCTCCTGAAATACCAGGTACCTGAACTTACTCAGAGCAACTCCAGAGGGTTGACTCATAACTACAATCCGTTGAATGTATAACTAAAAAAGCATACACATGGGCAACTAGGTCAGGGATCTGTTACGAAACAACGGAGCTGTATCCCACCCTCGACTTAACGTGTGTCTTTGTTATGATAATGGGAAATCATCCCTGTTTACTTAGATTGACCCGATGGATACCGTGATGTTTCTAGTGCTTTGGGAGAATTGAAAGAATGAACGAGGATGTTATAATTTCGTGTTTATTTCAACAATACTATTGCATTATTTTCCAACACTCAACTCCTTATGGTGACAATAGCATTGTACGCAGTATACGCAATGGAAGTATATGGCTTGTCGATTCCAAAATCATGGAACATTCGCTTTGCTCTTGGCGAACTTGTTACTCTTGTGTTTTTAGCTGTTGCGTCTATATAATCAACCACACTTATGGGATCCTCCAAACTGTTACTACCCATTAGTATCGAACAACGACGACTACTACACTGTCAACAACAATATCTTCATCGCCACTCTAGCTGATTACCTGTTTGCTCGCGTCCACTCTGCTGTTCCAATGCCTTCTAAACCAGCCCAATTCGATATCCGCGAAGGATGTGGCCAGCCTTATTTCAAGTGCTGGTGTCTCATCGAACCTACGCGCGCAGACAGGGAGCTCGCCGCGCTGGCCGCTCAAACCAGGAACGAGAGGGCGAAGAAGGCGAAGGAAATAGAGCAAAGCTTTGCTAAAATGGCTAGGTCTTCATCATCCTCTTCTTCTTCTAGATAATTGCGTCCCTAGGATGACCACAACAAGCCTTCACTTTAAGAGGGGACGAAACCTCCAAAAAGGGGGGGCAGCTACGAGGAGGGTGCCCCCTGAAAGCAAGTAACCTTGCGATATAGGTGCCAAAGGTATAAGTACCTCCTTATATGCTTCTTGCACTGTTACAGCACTCTTTAACCGCATTCGTTTTTACGCCAGCAGTGTGTTTCTGGTGGACATGTTCGTTTTACGTTTCGTATTTATAGAAAACGAAAAATATATAAAAGAAAGGATTTTTTCTCTTTTAGTAAAATATAGTTAAATAAAGCTGAGTAGATAGAATCAATAGATCACGTTGTTTAAATTGCCTTCGTTCATCGTATTCACGTTAAGTCAGGTACCTATCTAGGTACATTTCTCCTTTGAGACCAAAATAGTTGATAGACGTGACTGATATTACCTACTATTACAGATGGCATTTATTAGACTTCTCTGAGCTTCTGTTACCCTAGGCATATATATCTGTACTATTTTCTCAGTTGTACTCAAATAGAAATATGAGAAAACATGAAAGACAAGTCTGGTATGAAGGGGGCTATAGACACATCCTAGGCTGAAGTTGGTATATAGCTAGAAGCATCTTAACCTAGACATCTTGATGATATAGGGATACCTTAAGTCACAGCTTGTTTCCCAGAAGTAAGTTGTCAGGGATATGCGGATATGTGGATACTATAGGGGTATATCGTTTATGTAAAGGGGGTAGCCAGCTCCCTCGAGGGAGGTTAGAAGGCCAGACGTCACCATACATTTACAATAGACTGCATACTAGTCCTCTGACACTCACTCTGTATACGATATCCATCACGGGCATCAATTCCTGACATAAGTTCAAAAATCGCTCAACTGCTGAATTCATCTTTATGCAAGTTACTTTGGGCCGTGTCATATACCCAACTCCTATAGACGTTATATACGTGCTAGGCATTCTCATTCCTCCCTCCTCTCCTTCAATATTTCCACGCCGTGGTTAATAAGGCCAACAATAACAATATTAATATCCAGTTCCACCATGTAGAACCGAAAACCCGAAAACACTCTACTGAATGGCAACGTGGTGGTCTCGGGTAACACAACCCACACTTCCATCATTCTCATTCGGGGTCTCCCAGGGATGTGGAGCAGTCTTCTTCCTCTTCTGGTTACGTCGCGGTGCGGAAGGCTCGACAGGCAATAGCTTGGCGCCGCAGCAATCCCAGTAGCACTGGTGAATCCATATGTCGAACTCATGGACAGTGACGTTCTCACTATCCAGGAAGTCCTTGGTGCTATTCTCCTGCCCCCACGACTTGATTTGACCTGCATAGCTCTATGATTAGCAAGCTGTCACATGTGTATCATAGGTACAGGTAGGTATCAAGTAGGTATCAGGTAGGTAGTGACAAAAATGCTTACCCGGGTGATAGACGCAAGGGCCGTGAAGACAGGTCTGTTTGGTATCGGCGCATTTACAGGACTTTGAGCCCGGATTGAATCGATCAAAACAGTCCTTGCACGTCTGCATGTTCTTCTTGAAGCATTCCGGTAAGTTGCTCTGGATCGCAATTCTAGCTACACAGGCCATGAAGTCTTTCTTCGCCAGATGTTGTTGATGCTGGGCTAGGACTACCAAAGGCCGAATTACTAGTGCCTGTGCGACTGGCGTCGTAGAGTTGTCTCCTTGTATAGCCTCTTGAATCTGATGGATGTGATCGGCCAGGCTCAGGGTATCGAAATCTATGGCAGAAAGCTTGTAGAGCTGCTCCGCAATCTGAAACATCGTGCCCAAGGTCAACCCTCTTGGTGCTAGCCGCCCTTTTGAAGAGACTGGGAGATGCCATACTGGACCTTTTGTCGATCGAGAGCTGACCGCGGGGTCCTCAGAAGAGTTTTCGCTCTCGTAGGTTGCAAGTTGAGCCTCTTCGTCACTACCAGCGGTGTTTGGTTTGTACTTGTCGAAGACCCATCGCCGCATCAAACGATACTTCTCTTTACTCTTTCGGCGATCGGCGGCCATAGCCTTTGCCTCTTTTCGAAGCTTGGCACCTCTTACATACTCCATTATGGCTTGACCACCTTAGGTACCTAAGTATGTAAAGATAGTTAAATAATAGCCTAAGAGTTTCTTGCCGCGGACGCGAAGAGCTTTGCGATGAAGATTGTGGTTGTTGCAAAGGCGAAATTTTTAAGAAAGACCAACAGTTAGGGTTTTTTAAAAGTGCGAAGTGTTGATTTGACCGCAGTTGAAGGGTGTTAATTATGATACAAGATATTTTGTAGATGAATTGCGAAGAAGTAACTGTTTCGGTTGTTCAAGGTACACGTGTAGAAAGAGATGATATGTAATAATTGAATATAAAATAGAAGCCCATGAATTATTTGGACGTTTGGTTCCAAAATTGAGACGAAGAAGTGACCTGTAGGGAGGAAAGTCAGTACATGAGGGGAGGCACTTGTTATTTATGTTATCAGGTCTATGTTACCAAGAAACAACCACGCAGTAAAATTTGCAATCATCGCGACTCTTATCATACGCACCAACTCCAATGAAATAGTTATCTGCTCCTTCCTAAGTCATTTATCCGTACGTACCTTGCTTATCTTGTCGCGTGTAAGGCAGTTACTACCTACCTAAGGCAATGACTGCTGCCTCTTAGTGAATCGTAAGTTGTTTGCTAGCTGACAACCTACCTAGGTAACCAAGGCTTTGGCGTAACCGGAAGGAGGGGCCTTGAATTTCAGATAGCTACTTCCAACATATTTTAGAGCTTTACTAGAGCTGAATGAAGGAGGTAGGCACCTGGCGTTTAGATTAGTACTTTAGGTTAGGTACGTTCTACGGAGTCGTACCTTTTATATACCGAATCAGGTTAAAGAAGCTTAAGGTAGTTCAGCTGTTTTAGAACCACATTTATTTATTACAATGCGCTGTTTTACTCAAGCAGACATCACGACAACATACATGTTTCTTAAAGTATCATATAATCTCGTTACTCATATAAGCTCATATTTGTAGTACAAAGATTATGTAGACTATCGAAAAGTCCAAACGTAGAAAATGACTTGTACCATTCCCTAGGGATAGACAGGAGCCACGTCACGTTGTACGTCTAAGGGGCAAATTCATGCTTCAGGTATCTATCACATGTATTGTAACCTCACTAGGAGGGCAACAACCAACTTTGGAACTTCAGAGCTGAGTATTTCTGACCTTCCTAGAAACAAGTAGCTATTCCATCCCTAAGTCGCCAGTACCTTACGAAAGAGGACATTTATGATGGTAGTTATAGCCTACGTATAGAGGGGATAGTTAAGCCAACCTAGACAATGGCAAGTGAAACAACGGAAGATTACCTTATATAGTCGGCGTAACATCTAAAGGTATTGTTTCTTAGACTTGGATATTCATAACTAATCATGATTCATCTCCACAAAGAACATGTTTATACGTGGAGGACGTCCAATAGGATTCTCTCTCTACTTGTATTGTCACATTCGAAATCTTCTCCCCTCACCTATTCTTCTTCTTATTATTACTCGGGACATTAATATTTTAATAAAACTGGACGTGAATATATTAAATCTCGCCAGTCTGCTGGTATCGTGGCGCCTAAGTTCCTATCTCTATAAACGTACACTTTGCTCTTATCTGAATTCCAATACTCATTCTATCGTACAGGTCGTTTCAAAACGCATTAACACGTTGATGCCAAGGGATATATATATGGCGGCTTCGAAGGCACAGGGATATCCATATCTTCAGTCCGTTAGCATTAATACAAGTAAGCTTTCGATTAACCAAACCATCCACTCGAACACGCTTCTGATGAGCCATATGATGCTTAAAATAAACTCGACTTAAAGGGGAACTCCTTTAGCTGCCGATCTAACGACTTAGGTCGAATCACGAGAGTTTCTTAGTACGGTTCTTAGCGACTTTAACCTTGCCACTCAGGACGTCCGTTTGGCTATTGACGTGATCCAGCATTTCTGTCTGCTCTTCGACTTCGCGGTTGATGGCTACGGCCATCTCCCGCTGTTTGCGGATGATTTTACCTAGCGCTTCTACATCTTCGTCCTGCTCCTTCATCATCTGCCTCTGTAATTGCACGACGCCTCGGTTGTCTAATTCCCGGGTGCGCTCCGTCTCGGGTAGCGGGGCGCCGAGGACCCTGCCGCGTCCTTTGGGAGCGCTCCCGAGTAACGCAGCTTTGTCGGCTGCCGAAGGCATGGCCCTCTGCGACGCTTTCGCGGCCGCGGATACAGCCGTGCTCAGCTTGTCCAGATCCTCCCTTTCGACCCGTGCAGCAGCGAGCAAGTCTTTCCGCCGTCTGATTTCGCCTTCGCCTAACCTCTTCGACTCCTGCATCGACCTCAGACCGTCCCCAAGCACGGTAAGCAAGCTACCGGCCTTGACCAGCGCTTTCTTGGCAGCTGATCCGGCTTCGAGCGCCGCAGAATTATCCGCGGCGCTGTCCCTCTTTGCTAGACACCGCCGTGCTTCTTGGAAATCTCTCTTCATTTCTCCATGTAGGTCCAACCAGGTCCCCGGGTCTTGCGCGGCGGCGGCGTTCGCAGCATCCCGGTTAGGGACGCCATAGCCAGCTCTTATGCTGGCGGCGCTGTTACCGGTACTACTCAGACTCGGGAGGTTTAGGAAAGTGCGCCACGCGGCAGTGTCGCGCCATCTTCGGTCGGGGGATTCTGCGATAGCGCGAAGGTAAGCCTCGAGGCCGCGGCGACGGTCTTCGGTAAGTTCGGGCGATGTGACTGTAGATTTAAACCATGACTTCCCTGGTAAGGGGGCGGGAGGCGGCGCGCCAACTAAGGAGGTGAGGGATTGATGTAATGTAGCGAAGTCGGAATAACGCTTCTGTACGACAAATGTGCGTAGGGGAAGGCGTAAAGTGATATTATAGAGCGTGTAGGGTTTCGAATTGTCGTCTGGAGGGTGAAGCGACGTTGTTGGAATGGTAATCTCGGCGGGTGGCGCCATACCCTTTAGATCTGATGAACTACTCGTGCCGATTGACAGGAAAATAAAAACAATATTGCAAACATTGAAGGGCGAGAAGCTTCTGTATACGCCAGGGGTCTGAAGGTGAGAAGTTTGTTAGATTAGATTAGATTAGAATAGTAAGTAATACTTTAGTAAGTAATATCTGGGATTGTTGGATGACGGAAACGACTGGAAGCTTTCCAGGGAAGCACGAGGCAAGAGACACGCGCGCAGGAGACCGAGACCCCGGAGATGACGGTGACCGGTCAGGCGGTGGGGCCACTTTACACCTGTAATAATGCATAAATGCATGCATATGGGATAAATGCATTAATACCGTTAATACCATTTCATATCTGAGGTCAGATAGGAGGTATGAATGATTCGTAGGTCTTGTGAATGATTAGGTGCCTGGTTAGTCTGCTTTACCTAGCTATCACCACCTCTGAAAATCATTATATTTTCAGCATCTTATTTAGAAGTTAAGGCTGTTTATTTTATTGCCAAAAGTAAAGCCTATTGAGGCTAGTAAACAGTTCGAACCACACGGGTTATCGTATTTTGGCTCTTTTATTGAGGCCGAATTTACCAGAATACCTAATGTTTCCGTGAACAACATAATTAGGTCCGCTCAATCTGGAATATCTAAAGCGATGTTAGAAACAACCACGGCAGAAGGCTGTAATGTTGCTTTTCGGTACATACCTTAGGTACCTACCTACCTTAGGTACCTACCTTAGCTAGTCTTTAGTGATTCAATGATGGCTTCTGAGCAAGCAAGAAATGGTTCAGCCAAATTATATTATTTCCATATATTCCGAATAGTTGTGCGGGTTTATTGATTGTGTACTTTGTAGAAAGCAAAAAGATAAGTTTTGTTAGGTTAAAACTACAACGATGACGTAATTTGTGAATAAGTTGTCAACATAATAGTTCAGATCCTTAAAGATTCAACCTTTTAATAGTAAATACCGTTGTTGAGGCACAGCATCAAGAACCTAAGGTATTCCAAATAAAATTTTCTAGACTTTGGCTAATAAAGTTTAGGTACACTATATTGATGTTGTGCTGCACTAATTTTTCGTTGACCGCCGATAGTACCGAGTGTTTTCGGACAATAAACACACGAGGTATGATGTCATGCCGATATGATATATTAGTGTATAAGTCTTAAGGCTGGATGTGGGCACTGAAAATCCTAAGAATTTTCTTAGTTTGATCTTGCTCTCTAACGTATGCGGTGTAAATATTGGTTCAACAAAGTGTTAAAATAGGGTCTTTCGGCACAGACGGATAGACCGAGACATGATTCTTGTACACTCTACCAAATTCCGTATGAACTCGGTCAAATGTTCTTTAACAATTACCAACTAATGTCCTTCAATTTTCGTATTACTAAACAGGCCAATATCTATGATGGAAGACAAAACTTAGATAGGAGGTAGGTACCTAACCTAAGGTAATGAATGAAAATTCCAAAGGCATAGTTGCGGTAGAGGTTTAGTAACGTTACTATCGTATTCTTTCTACTTGCGCAGCCTCAATGATCGGTAGATACCGACTACCCAATCACCGACTTCTGCAAGGCATCAGCTCCATCGTTCAGCTGAGCTCACCTAAGAGCGAGCTGTGGACTAGTTTAAGGATATGCAGTGCATAGATCTATTGACTCGTTTAAAGTCGAACGGCCGGTCCCTCCCCACTACACCGGCACGATATCTTGCATAGACGAGGATAAAAATAGCTGTTGCGCAACACGAAAAAAAAAAAATTTAAAAAATCAATATACCGCTTCTGCCGGTCATCTATACCCACTTTCGGGGCTACAAGCGTTGTGGCTGGGTGGCTAGAAGCTTGCCTAGGCTTAGAAGAGTCGAGTCGGACGGGTTCTCTTTGAGTTATGAGCTCTATTAAGACCGGTAGCGGGTTAGTTAGCTGGGAGTAGCTGGGCCGCAACAGCGTATCATCGGCATTTAGACCGTTTCTTTTCCCCTTTCGGCTTCCTTTAGCACCGCGACTCGCTGGCTAGCCTTCATAGCCCCTCTCAACAATACGAGATCTTGGCGGCCCGATGCAGTCCAAGATCGCCTTTCGACGTCACTAGCCTCTTACATCCGCTCTTAGAATCCATCACCAGATCTCGCTCTTCACGAGAGGAGCTGCTCATCTGTAGGAATTGCCAGTATTATATAAGTGTGAACGCCTTCCAGCATCTTGATATGAATTTTATATACACCATCAACCAATAGAACATTACAACATACAACATACAACCATCAATAATATATAATTCCGCGACTATCAACCTACTCTTAATTATACACTACCTCACTTAATATATATATACAACCACATTGATCAATATGCGCGGCTTCATCTCATCCATCACCGCTCTTCTACCTCTGGCAGCTGCGGCGCCAGTAGAGATTCTCAACCGCGACAGCAATCCGGGCTGCCAAGACGCATCGTTTGGCGCCTTCGAGTGGACGATTGAAGGTTTCGACTACCATGCTTCTTACATCTTCACAACACCCGCCCATCAAAACTCGTGGGGTTATGTCGACTTCAACCTGACCAACCCGGCGCTCGAGTACAAGGCCATCTGCAGCGCCAGGAGCAACCAGCTCTCCGACTTCTTCTACGGCACATTTCCGTACACCTGCACCGTTCCGGACGGAAGCACGACAGAGACTACTTTCGACTTCAGCCGCCCTAGCGGCAAGTTGAACGTCAACCAGACCTGGGTGTGCAGCGACACCGACCCACAATACCCGTAAGTTATCACCCCTTTTCAAGAATATGGGTTCACACCGATTCTAATAACTTATGCAGTACTACCATTCATGCTTATGGTACCGTCAATCTGACTCTCGCCTGCACCGACGAGACGTGGATCAACCCCAACTGGACAATGGGCCAGATCTACTCGGACCGCACGGTCACATGCGAGCCGGTCACGCTGCCGCTTAAGCCCTACGAGATGACTGCTGTCGCGTAAGGCGTTAGCTTATTACGAGTTTCTGGGGATATAATTTCGTCACGCATTATGAGGGACAAGGAACTGGTTGGTTTAGGAAAATGGGTTCGGTACCATCATGACGTTATGATATGGGCTTATCATAGACACACATAGGCATCACGCCATCGACATAGAACTATTAATTATAATAATTACGAGAAAATTGGATGAAAAAAGCTTGAAGTTTCACGCCGTGCACAATTATGAGTTTAAGTCTTGACTTCAGCAAATATAATGGAAACGGCTAAAATGATTCGGCCGGATATCTGGGTATTAAGGTTTCAGGGGGGAAGTTTATATCACGGAACGGGCCACACGACTCGAATTCAGGGGTTCCACAAACTATAAATATAAGCTTAATTATTCGAGCTACATTGAGTTTAGTCCGTCCAAGACTCATTAGTAGACAATCGGTCTGTATCATGCCCATATTGGATTTTTATTCGGTTCGCCTATCGAGCTGGTAAAGTCGTTGGATAGAAAGTGGTTGAATTGAATTTGCTGGTAGAACAGGTACCTAACTATAAACTAAAGAACTTCACGACTAAGAACTCAGAAAAATAGGATCACGATATCTTCATTAGGCGTTTCGGGAAAGCAAATTTTATTAATATTAGAGTATACTACGAAGAGAGCGATCAAGCTAAAACACAGGATATCCTCTAAGCTAGCACAGGACTAGATGAGCAGATATCGTACTTTCTTGGGTTAGGTTTGTGACCTTTCTTTCTTCCTTTCTTTTTATCGTTTTTATTCTTTTATAAGAGCTTTATGCTATAAGAAAACGAAAAAATGTACTCCCACAGTAAATGCTTACGAATGCCCAAGATTACTCTCGGGATCCTTGGAATTGCCTAGGACATTGTCTAGGTTAAGGGCGTGCCTGGTATGAAATTAAGCAGCTTTCTGCTCTGCCTTCTGCGAAGCACAACAGGCAGCCGAGGTCTTGCAGTCGGCGGGAGCATCCGCCTTGGCCTCGCACTTGCTCTTGCACAGCGGCGCCTTTGGGGACTCGTCGGCACAGGCACATTCCTCCTCTTCATCATCATCAATATCAACTATCAAGCCGTCGGACGAATCGAAGTCCTGCTCCTCCTCGCCGGCATTCCGCCCGGGCTCGTCGTCGAGGGCGATCGCGGCCTCCCGGAAGAAGAACCTGAGGTGGGCCTGGTCCACGCCGTCGAACTTGGAGAAGTTCCTCAGGACGTGGCTGAAGGGCATCGCCAGCACCTCCGGGGCCAAGACATCCTCGGGGCGGGACTTCGGGCCGTGCTGGGAGTTGTTGCGTTCGTAACGGGCGCGCAGTTCGTTCACGGCCCGTTCCAACTTTGTGCATCTTCGATGCAAGTCCGCGAGGCGCTCAGGCGAGACCTCAGGGGAGCAGCTCGCTTGGGGAGTTTCAATGGAAGGTCTTGGGATGTCAGCCATGGTAGCAGAGTTGTGGTCCATTGTGAACTTTTTTGGATTTTTGAAATATTTGTGTATGCTTGCAGATTGCTGGTTGTTCGGATGATGTTGTTCAGATGATGATGATGCTGATGATGACGAGAGGAAATGAAGCAAAGATAGAGAGAGATTTCGATGGGCATATATACACATGTGTTGAAAAACAATTTCTTGTTCTCGACTTGGTCGGTCCAAGATCAAGATCAAGGCACCTGTTTCATATCTCTTACTAAGATATAGGACAAGATAGAGCAACTGCCCAGTCCTGTTTGAATCCTGAAAAGGCGTACGTTACGGAACAATGAATAACAAAGAACAAGAATCAGGGTTAAGAGCATTCGTTAGCTTACAATACCATTAATAGTCATCAATACCTTTGTAGCGGGAGCTGGTAGTAGGATATCATAAAAGATGTGTTAGTATTGCCTACCTGCTGTATTGAACCCCACCACTAGATCAATGCAAGATAGGTAAAACACCTCCCATCAAAAGTCAATTGTGAGGTAAATAGGTAAGCGTATCCTAAGGAGAATATTAGTATTGTCTTACAGACCCTAACCAGCTCTGTTGGAAGAGCGTACATATCGTCCGATAGTGGTAGGTATTACCTAGCATGTTCGTGTCGCTAGAAACAATAGGTACCTAAGGTAACTACCTCCTCATCTCTTAGAATTAAATCATTAGCATTGCTATAGTTCATGACTCGGGTGTGTTATGGGACCCAGCCGATTTCCTCAATCGGCCATCGAATCCATAGTCTATATCCCTCATCTAACACGGAGTATATCCTGCTGATCAAATGTACCCCCCAGCCTTCCATCCACCAAGTGTAATCTAGGCGTTTAAGTAAGACGCAGAAGAAAGCCAGCACGCATAAAGCTTCGTTATCGCGCTCCTTCAGCAACTTTACGAAGTCCTCGCGTGCCTTGAACAGCCACACGGACGCGGCTGTAACTCGCTGCTCGTCCGTATAGTTGCCAGAGTAGAAAAAGAAGAAGCTCCGCTTCAGCGATTCGATCGCGTGGGAGAGTTCGCCTAGTTTTTGCGGATCTTCAACGTGAGACCTGAGGATATTTTCTAGTTCTTTAAGCCCTTCGTGCTCTGGCGGCACGGTCGACTCCCAAATCTGACCTATATGTCGGCCGGAGTCAAATATGAAGCTTATCGACATCATGGAATGTATAGCTTCGTTATTGAGTTCTATTATGCTACGCATGCCCCTGAAGAGAAACAACCATTCGGGCATGACTCCGTTCGATATTAAGAGTAGGTTATCCAATTCCTTGGGGCTAGCAAACGCGATGTATGTTGTAAGCATGCTGAAGAAGAAGATGGGTACTGCATTCTGAGGGGTTAGGCTATTAAGTATAGGTAATGCCATGGACGAGGATGCGTTGTGGTGGACCATGGCTTGCTGGAGTAATAAATCTCGTCGCTGTGGTTTATGACGGGCGAGATGTAACGCGGCAAGGGAGAGAAGACCCCGAAGGACATATTCAAAAGAGAAACCTAAACGCGGCACGTTCACACGCCAGAAGTTGCGGACCATCGGCTCCGAGGAAAAGGTGAAACATGTTGAGGTAGTGAAATGATGAAGAAGCTCCAGATCGAGACCACTGAACCAGCCTGTTGGCGGAAGCTGATGATGGATGGACATATCCCTGGGAGATGTGACATGGCTACCAGGGGTATGTCCGGCACTGCTACTGCTACCGCCGGCCTGAGGACTAGGGGTTGGACGGTGAGCTGCTGTATTGAAATCGCAAGGGATACCACGTCTACAGTCCAATCAGCACTTGCGTATTCTTTAGAGATCCTATGTTTCCTGATATGAAAATCAGTCAGTTACCTTACGCAGTTGCGACAAGACGGTCGCGTTTCGTCACACTATGTAAGTATCATTAGAACGATGTAAACGAAGAGTATTTTCTTAAGTGAACTAACCCACCTTTACTTTCCTAGATTTGCATACTCGGCATCCTGTCCGACTCTTCGCATGTGGTCTTCGGGTAGCCTTTTGAGTTGGTAACGCCATGCTTACAGGTACCTATAGGTAAGGAAGACTTTATTCTAATAGACCTTAGCGTAACAGGCGTAACCAGACATAAATAAATTGAGGTTAAGGAATTGTAAAATTCGTAGTAAGTGCTCGGAAATGCGTGGCGATTACGAGTCATGTATAAAAACATTCGGAATCGGGAACTAGGCAGATACGAATACGATGATGATCGCATATCCCCGTCTCGTATTCTCGTATTCCCCTATTCCTAGAAAAGGCCGAATTACGAGGCTAAAAGCTGCGAGTTGCGCACAGACACAGACGAACGTCACAGGTATGGAGTATTGGGGTCTTCTAACTTAGGTACCTCATATTTTGCAACAACATTATCTACCTCTACTCTAATTTACTACCTTAGGTAGTTGCCTAAGGTAGCTAATAAAAAGAACGAAAAAAAATTACAAGATTGATGGGCTTAATTCATTCCACTCAAGTCCCATTAGCTGGTTGGGTATACAAGGTTCCATTGATGGTAGTGCTCAGCGTGCCGTTAGCGTTGAAGATATTCGTGAACGCGTCGATAGACAGATGAAACCCATCTGGGCTAGTCACTTTGGTCGCATTCGTCTGTCCGGTCTGAACCAGGTTGGAATACCAATCAACATTGTTTAGCGTAATGGTTGGGTTTCGCGTTGTAACATTCTCCGTTCCATCGAGAAAGGTTAGTCCGTCGTCGGAGAAGTTGCTGTAGCTTACGGCAACGGATTCTACAAATGACCCGTCCGCGTCGGCAACAATAGTGATCTGAGCCGAGCCAGATACGGCACCATGCATTATATAATCACCGCTGTGAATGTACGATATCAAGGGAGAGATATATCCCGGCTCGTAAGGCGTAGCCCAAGGGATAGTGTCGTTAAGCGGCTCGACATCCGCTAGCGGGACCGGTTTGCGAGAGGTGAAATGCGCCAACATTACTCGTTCCGTCCGGCCACCTGGTTCGGTTGAATTAGGACAAGGGAGCGGGTTACTCCCACCGCAAGCTGGCGAAACAGTGAGAGCTTCCCAATACACCAGCCGCGTAGTGTCGAAAGAGAATCTAGGGTCGGCCATTCCGTTCCATTGTGGATCATTAATGCTGCCAGGGCTTCCGTCACCCGCCCCGTTAATAAGCTGTCCGTAGTAATCTCCACGGTCACCATATTTATCAAGAAGGTACGGCCGAAAGAAGCGTCTCTGTCCGTTGTTTCGGGTCGAAGATGCGGCTGTGGTCGAAACCAAATCCGTGATAGGGGGGATATTCCTCATGCCAGCCATGAACATCTGTCTACCAGTACCTCGAGTATCCATAATTGCTATCCATTCATCATCGGCTGAGATGTCGACGGGGTCGCAATACTCGGGGTGGCTTGTCAGTCTACGGACAGCGCCTGTTGTCAGATCAACGGCAAAGATATCAATATTCGACGATTCTCTCGGGTAGCCGATGTACGTCGCCTCCCTGCCGCTTCCAGTGAACCCTCTGAATTCGCCCACAAGGATAGCATCGGGGTCGACACGCATCTCATTCCCTTCAATGATGAGTGGCCTGCTTTTGGTACCATTAACCAAGACGTTCACGTTCGCCAAGTCATATCGAGGCGCCAGAGGTAAGCCCGTGGTTGGCGATGGATTGAATTCCAGCCGCCCAATATAACCGTTTTGGCCTAGTTTCCCGTCGAGGTAAGTGAATGAACTGAAGCCGATATGTATATTGTCAGGATGCAAACGCAGCTCGCGCATGACGCCACCCTCTCCTGATCCATCCGTAGCTGTGTTCCACCGGATGGGATATATATATGTCGATTCGGGGACGCACTCCTCGCTGGTAAGATCGAATTCACCGCAGTCTATGATATTCGTACCGGCCAAAATCCGTTTTCCGTCGCGGAATGCTTGAGGGTAATCCTGAGTATCTGATTTGCCAACGGCATTTTCCTGAGGTACCCCACAGGTAATGCATTTGAACGGGCTACCGCTAGGGAAGGTCGTGCCATCGGACTTGATGAGGATTATTTGGTTACCAGTGTATATGCTTTCCGCATCAGGTGCACCGGTGTAGTTGACGATTGCAATAACATGGTTGTCATCAGGTAAAAAGCTTCCGGACTGGATCACCCCCCCTTGCTGTAGAATACAACCTGTTCCAAAGGGATCGATCTCTGAGGTACACGAACCTTTTGAGCCGTCGGTTACAGGCGGGAGAGGTAACTCGATGATATCGATAGGTTCAGGGTCAGGAGGCGGAGGCACATCCGCCTTGGAGTGCACGGCGGTTAATAATATGCGGAAAAGAACGAGAAAGAAGGTATTTTTGAGAGCCATGATTAGCAGCAGTGGCGTTCGTGACCTCTCATGTAAAACCGTCGAGATATGCGACTTGTTCTTGACATGCTTTAAATATCGTAGTTACGTCAATTTATAGCATCCTCACTCCGTAGTTGAGAACAGGCTTCAGAATGGAACCTTCCAAAACTGATCGGCATCCGAGGATCCATCTAACCAACTCCATTACACTCAATCATTGTTTAATAGAGTATTCCACACTAGAGTGTGCCTTAAAAATTACCGGAAGAGGTCCTAGACTGCCGATCGTATCTGAGGTTGTATTCGCTAGTCTTTCTGATATACGAAATACGAATCCGAGCCTACCCAGCACTAAGAGGTATGCGAGATTAGCGTCTCTTAAAATGCGCCATTATGCGGGGAATAGGAGATAATGCACGAAGCCTCAAGTTACGTAGTTCATTATCCTGAAGGTAGTTGCGTACCTAAACTTTAGGCAGCAACTTATAGAAAGTACGAGTGTGATACGAAAAATCGAGTTCCAAAACTCTATGTCGTTACATGGAGGCTCGGAGTCTAGGCTTGAGGCTGTGCATGCAGAATGAATAAGAATAATGTGAGTGGTAATACCACTTATGGTCAAATAGATTGTAATAGCAATTGTGCTATCAAGAAATACACTTTTGGCTTAGTGGTGTGTCTTTGACAATAGTCTCATATACTTGAACCTATTTAAGCAAGCCAAATCAGAACACCCTGGGCCAAAAAGTTGCAAACGAGTAAGCACAAGTGCATCTTAGCTAAATTCGGGGTTCGATTCCAGGAGCTTACAGAGATCAAGAGGTCCAGAGGTCCAAGAATCCAGAGGCTCGAGATATACAGCTTTGCTTAGAATCGTCCTTATTTGAGGGGATGTGTCGATTCTGACCAACCCTGAGGGGGTGTGTGTCTTTGACAAATAAGGTAATTATAAGGTACTCACCTCAGGTATCTAGGAGGTAGAGGTAGGTAGCTTTATGCCTCGATGCTACACCAGTAATTATGCCTCTTGAATCACTTTCTAATCAGCATTGTCAAGCCAAGAACTGGACCTGGACCAAGACTTTATTGATAATGGACTTTTGTCCACATGATAAGTACTCTAAACCTTCCGCGACTTAACCAACACCTCAAGAGGTGGTTTCTCCCAAAGTCCGAAAATTCGCTGATTATGCCAGTCTCTAGACTTATGATCCAAAACCAGATCAAAATGCCACAGAACCGTAGCCATAATCAAGTGCATCTCATGTATAGCTAAGTTACGGCCTATACAGTCTCGAGGCCCGAAAGAAAACGGACGATGGGCATCACGGCGGTCGTTATGAAACGGCGACGCTGGATTTGTGACAGATTCGGGGAGCCACCGCTCCGGGATGTACTCCCGTGCTCTATGGAAGTTAAGCTCGGAGTGGTAGGCTGACATGTGGTGAACAGAAACAACGGTCTATGAAATAAGTTGTTAGATGGGCACTGGACGCGGGTAATGATCTAAGTATTTCGGCTTCCTTACCTTTTCTGGAACCTCCAAGCCTACAATCTGCACGGGCGGCCCTTTTGGCACCGAACGAGATAGACCTAGGGGGACTGGGGGGAAAAGGCGCAAAGCCTCCTCCAAGCAGACAGCCAGGTAAGGTAGCTTAGTGCGGACTTCATGGAACGTGATCTCATCGGCCGACTTGAACGCGTTACGAACTTCATCCGTGGCCTTCTTCAGCGCGTGCGGCGTTTTTAACATCCAATATGTCGCACCGCTTAGGAGCGTCGCGGTTGTCTCCGACCCAGCAACCATCAGCAGATCGCTGTTGGCAATCAGCTCGGCATCACTTAGCTCATGCGGCTGGCCGCGAGAACGCATAAAATAATCCATAAAGTCGCCTCTGTCGGCCTGCTTCCTATGGTAGATGCGGTCGTGGGCAAGCTTGGTGACAAGCGCCATGTGGTTAGCCTGCGCGTTGCGAACCTTCGAGCCGGCGACAAGCTTGAGGATCAAACCCAGGGCAGGCGCCATGCCAATCAAAGCCAGAACGGGCATGTGCTTCATCAGCTTCGAGATGTTATCAAGCCACGCATTTGACTTGCCCTCAGCTAGACCCTGCAGAGGAGTGCCGTAGGCAAGGTCCGCGATCAAATCAAAGGTCGTGAAATTATACCATTGGACAATATCCGTTGGCTTTCCTGTCTCGGATACTTCTCGCAGCCGCTCGATCAGCAAGTTTACATATACCCTGATAAGCGGCTCTTGCTGCGCGAGGGCCTTGTCGGAGAAAGCTGGTAGCATTGCTCGTCGGAAGCGGAAATGGTCCGACGCATTGGACGAGATGATCTTTTTCGGGTCCATGTTGATTCCCTTGGGATAGGACTTCGGTAGTTCCGCATGTCCATGGCCGTAGATGTCTTTCCAGGCTTGCGGGTTGATGAAGGAGATCCCATTAGGACCGATTCGAACAACCTCACCGTACTTATCATGAGCCTCGCGGATCTGAAAATCCGCTGTTCCTCGGACCATACCAAGCATTCTCGTAACCGGGAATGCGACCCATAATGGAGGACCCGGAATATGCCTGAGCGGATGGAAGTAAAGATTGTATATGGCGTGTATGCATGGGTAGGCGATGCCGAAGAATACGGCGATTAGAATTAGATGCGAAATCTCATACTGTTTGAGTTGACCTCCTATTTCCTGCAAGAAGCCCGTCATCGCGACAGCCTAGAAATCTTTATTTGGAAACTACATGTACATTAGGAGTGCAGATTATGTTATGCTATTTCAAATTCCGTAGTATTTATACGTGAGAGGACAAGGGTTGATTACGCAAGCGTCCTGCACAGCCTCGAGCTTTAACCATTAGTACAGATCTCTTTTGGCCAATATGCCTGCTGTTGGGTGCGGGAAGTATCGTCTTTTATTGACTAAACCCCGGTCTAGTCTATGGGGAATATTTACGACGTATACGTAAGAGCTCGTAAGGCTCGCTTGCTTATACGAGCGCTCCATAATTTCAAGGCTACCTTAGGTACCTACCTATATATAGCTTGGACATAGGCAAGGTATAATGCAGATGTGAATTTTTGTCGTGTTAATTAGGAGTTGGAGACATACCTACGCCAAGGATACAACGGGCAGGATATTTACCGCAACGGCGTCGTTGAAATCGGGATCAAGAAACGCCTTGGACTGAAAACCGTATCAATCTAAATTCATTATTATATCAATTACCTTTATAAAGGGATCGGTGCCGAATCCTATTGTTTTACAAGCAACATGCTGAGCGCTTGAACCACTTGACTTGAGGGGAACGACGAGAACGGCAAGTAAGGTAAGAAAGGGACACGGAGCGATAGTCCAGCAGGAAAATAAGAAGGGGAAATGCTATAGCTATACTTTCGGCTCGATAGACGTATACCTGGTAAGAACACAGGTTAATGGACTCGCCAGTTTGTTCGCAATCCCCTACTAATTCCTTTAATCTTTGTATCTAAGATACATGTTTAAAAAGCGGTTTAGTTATATGCTAACCTAGCATGTTCGAGTAAGAAATGAAAGTCTTTCGCCATTTGAAGATACGCAGTAAATTCCTCTTTGATAAATCGCCCCCCTTATAATAATATCTTTCCTTGAGGCTTTGGCGGTTGGCCGAAAGCAAGAGGTGGATGGCATGATCAACGTGGGTATTTGTCCGGTGATAATGCAAGAAGGCTTGCGTATTGATTTCGTCACCCATCCTTCTGATTTCTTGGTTTCCTCCTAATCATTATAAAATGGCCTATTTGTTTTGCTTATTCCGCCACTCGCGAATCGCAGCTTCCGAGACGTTCTTTGAATTAACCTAGTTAAACGTTGGATACCTGTTAGTCTTTATCTCAACTAGTTGTTGTCTATTCGAACCTGGATTTGTTAAGTATTGTTCGGGGTTAGGTGAGATCGAAGATGTAGTAGATGAAAAGCTAACATACCCAGGATCCCGGCCAGCCGATACCAGTGCGAGGGTCTTGACCTTCCCAGTCGACGAAGTAGATAAGACGACCTCTTACGTCGTGAGCCTCGTTGATGATGGATCGCACATGGTACCAGCCCTTACGCGATGTTGGGACACCATTAGTGTCAGGCTTGTCCATCACGTCCATATGTTCACTTTGCTCACACCCCTTTTCAAGTTTCGTGCATCCTAGACTCTTACTTCCCTTGATATCTGCATAATTCAACCCTCCCCTTAACTGTTTTCGGTGTTGCTTCTGCGATATTCTCGGCTTCTTGTTACTCAATAACGGGGAGATAGAAGTAGGAGTTGAAGTTGAGTTAAGCGGCGACCTCGTATCGGTGGGAATGAGCGATGGTGTTGGTAAGGACGCCGGTGGCATCGTGGACGTGTTTGCTAGCGAAGATGGCGATGATTGGGGAGAGCTTTCGACTGATATAAAGCCAGGGGTTATTGGTGGTGTTAACGATAGGGTTGGTGGGGGAGAGTGTGTTATCGCGGCGAGACTACCGATAGGGGTGACATCGCGCATGCTTTCTTTAAGTGCTCGACGCAACGAGCTTCGCTGTGCAGTGGCATTAGAGACCAATCCTGTGGTCGACGGCGCTGATGTCGGTGGGGGGAGAAAAAGTGGTTGGCGACTATGGGGAGGAGTGGGAATAGTAGCGACAGCTGATAAGTCAAGAAGACTTTCTCGAACAGCTCTACGCAAAGAACTTCGCTGTGGACAAGTGCTCTTTCGCAAGGCACGTTTGGCCGTGGGCACAAGTACTGCCGGCTTCTGAGTATCGCTTGCCGTAATTACTTTAGAGTGGCTTGTCGGCGCCATTCTAGCGACGACGCTAATGGTGATGTCACACGTCGTAATTCATCGGCAGAATGAAGTGCTTGGATTTGAGTTAAAAAAGATGATATTGGAGGGCAGTATGCCAATAGCCAAGCGTTCACAACTGCGAAAAACGAAATATTCGAAATATATCATCACAACATTATGGAAGTAGCACACAGTAAGAACGGAGTTGTGCTAGGGGAGAAAACCTTAACAATAAGAAATTCACGGCGGTCGCATTTCTCGGGAAAATCTCAAAAAAAGTAATGAGCTAACTACATGTATTTTGAGGGTTTGCCGAAATATGCAGCTAGGTAACTTTATTATAAGGGGGGTGTGGTCGGAACATAGAATTAGAATAAGATAGGAAAACTACTACATGATATCAAGTAGAGTTATTAGGTGAATAAATACGTGAACACATACCTCCCCGTTAGAAAAAGAAAAAGAAGTCTGTCTTGATATCTATCATCAAAATCTCTAGGCATCACACCCTCGGGCTGTGCGGGTATATTAGTCTAGAGCAGACAATGTCTCCTAGTACTGTTAGGAATCTGGGATTCCATTCTTGTGATGATGCAAACCGAACAAGAGTCGAGGGCTTTTTTTAATTACACCCTTCTAGATGCATCTCTTCTTTAGCATCCGCACGCACCCCTTTGTTCTTCTCGGCTCACCATACCAGCCGCTCCAATATTAATCCATGACTATCTACCGACCTTCGACCCGATGGCTATTCATCGCTTTATTCTTGTCTTGTCACTTAGTAGGCTTTAGAACGTCTCCTGGTCGTCCAGTGCCTCGCCTTCTGCGGGAATCTCGAAGCCTTCCTCGGTAGAGTAAAGTATCGTCTGGATCTGCTTGATGAGTCCGTCTTCCTGCTTCTCGATCTCGGGATCCTCGTCGACGGCCTGTTGAATCAAGAGTTCTATGTCTCGTAACTTGCTGAAATAGAAGTCGCGTTCGCGCTCAAGGCCTACAACCGTCTCCTTCAACGTCGCATTTTCTTGGATCAGGGCAGCTGAAGCCGCACCGCCGCCACCAGCCTTGGATACGCGAGGTCCAGTTGTGGGAGTTGTGCCACCTCTTCGTGCAGCGGCTGATCCGGCGCCCCCAGTGGCTCGCGCAGCCGCGCCACCGGAAGGCGGGAGAGCATTACCTTTTCTTCGTCCGACAGCATCGTAGTCTCCACCAGGGTAATATTGATCCCAGAACCGCTTGGTCCATTGTAGGAACTCAAGGTTGTCCTGCATCTTGCATTTGGTAAGAGCTTCGACCGGGATGGGCTTGTCGACATTGTGCTTGGCGAATGTGTCTGGAAACAAAGGGGAAAAGAAAATCAGTATATGCAGAGACATGCTAGATAAGTGACGGGATGAGGAAAAGGAAAAAAACCAACTTTGCAAGACCTTAAAGTTCTGGATGTAGGCGTACTCGCTGGTGACATTAAACTTGACACGCGACATGGGGACATCGAGGAAGATGCTGTCGAATACCTGGCAGAGAGCAGCACTGCAAAGGTTAAGAGACAAAGTTAGCCCAAATCTTGCGTTATAAATACCCCCGAACCACACATTGTAAGGTTATGGACCAGCTGTTTTCGTCTCTCCTGGATGGTTTGGTGCATTGTTTGGCGGGGGAGGGGTAAATATTAAAAGGTAAAAGGAGCCTTACCCAGTACCACATTGCTCAACTTTGGTGATGTTTAGCTGGAGAAGGCTGTTCAGCCATGCCACCAGCTCCTGTCTATATGGGGGGGTGATAGAGTGTCAGTCAGGCGCTGTTATTATAGAACTAAAGGGTAAAGATGTGAGATCTTTACTCACCGTGATTCACCCATGTTTACTTGGGTAAAAAAGAAAAAAGGAGTAATTAAATTAATTAATATGGAAGACGAAAACGCGAAAAGAAAAAGCGTCTCGAAAGGTAAAGTGTTGGTTGGCAGGAGGAACAGCTGAAAAGAATGGGACGTTCGATTTGCGGATTTTTTATTTTTTTTATTTGGTTAGGGAAGAAAATGGAGATTGCTGTCGCTGGCGCGGCGATGGCTCTATCACTTCAGCGTGCTGTCAATCAAAAATCGCAAATCCGCGTCACCCAATCAACCAGGTTACTTAAGCTGTCAAGGTGGGGGGGCTTGGCTTAAGGGGCACAGGGGGGTAGCTATTACCGAAGATCAACCTCAGCTGTGATTGTCTCTGAATTCCGAATACCTAATGCACGAAATGGCTTGCTTCACGTGATTGATTAGGTGCATGAACTTACATGTACATAGTACCGTATAGAGGTACCTACAATTTTCATACTTGGTACCTGCGCAAGGAGTGGAGATGTCCAACTTATAGAAATTAATCAACATCATTTCAAGATTGCATCTACAATAATACGTTGCACATTAGGCACCTAGTTAGTTAAGAAATGCTCTACTTATATTTCTTAGGAAATCATATTATTATTCTATAACCCCTGAAGAGTAAAGGATACGCTACACCGCCTGCTCGAGACACAAAAAAAAAGCACTGAATATCAAGAACTACCTCATCAACTTAGGAACCCCATGTTCTTCCAGCTCTGAATAAATTTCCTAGTTACCTGTTCATCAACCGGTCCGGTATTCGCTAATGTTTTCGAATGTTCTCGAGCTTTACCTGTATCAAGTAATAAGCCACCACAAGACATGCGGAAAAAGTTATCGTCCAGAAAGTCGATCAACAAGAACGCTGGATTCTCCCCTGCGGGTCCCTCGACGCGCCTGGGATGTTCTCGAACGCGTTGTACCCACTCCTCAAAAGGAATAATACCTTCCCGGGGTATATCCAAGGCGTTGGCTAATATAGATGTCATCTCTTTCCACTGTTGACGAACTGGGTTCTCAACATGATATATCGGGTAATGCGTCTTATCTTCTGGAAGGAAAAGCAGGTCCACAAGCGTGCCGGCGACTTGATCAACCGGTGTCCACGATAAAAGGCCATCAAAATCAGGCAACGCTTTCAATGTTTGCGACGACTTGATTAGAAATGAAAGGTGTTCCGTGACGTTCCAGTGACCGCTTGTACTCGAGCCTGCTATTTGTCCCGGTCGGACCGCTATGACGCGGAAACGATCGGGGTACTTGTGCAACGTCTTATCAAGCATGAGCTCGCAGATATATTTGGCGTCGCCGTATCCTGTAGGCAACACAGACTCGATTGTCATGCGTTCCTCAGGCACTATTGGTTCACCGGACCAGATAGGCCGGTGGCCGACAGCAGCAATGGACGAAATGAACTGGAAGGTAACCTTGGTACCCGGGATACGCCGAATAGAAATTTCGCGAGAAAGGTTAAGAAGGTTTTTCATAATCTGGAACTGCGCTTCAAAGTTACGAAGTGGATACTTCGCGTTCATAAGCCACGCATTATGGACGATATGAGTGACCTTGTCGACAATATTTTGATAGTCCCCGATAGGTAGGCCAAGGTAGGGTTTCGACATATCTGTCTCGAAGACGCTCAGTTTACTGATAGCTCTATCTGATAAGGGGATGCCTTTTTTGATTAGGGCTTTCTTCTGGCGTTCTTCTGGGTCAGTTCCTCTACGTCGATTTAAGCAGACAATGCGAGTGATGTCTGTTAGTTCCGCTAATCGGGCGATTAGATGTGATCCCAGGCTACCAGTTGCGCCCGTAATCAGCACCGTTTTACCATTGGGATTTGTTTTGGGCACATACACCCCCGTCGCATCTTCAAGACCAACCGAGAACCCATCGGTCAAGTCGTGAACATACCTATTGACCACCACTTCTCGTGCCTCTAGGTCAGCTGATAGACTCTTGTTAGGTGGAGAGGAAGAAATTGGGAGTCGTTCGCACCTCTCACCCGAAGCCATCGCAATAATCAGTTTCTCGCATCTATTTTCTGGTCGAACTCCATCTGTCCAGTCGACGTGTCCGTAACCAACTGCTTGCAGATCTTTCTGCCACCTAAACTCATTCGTGACGGCATGATGCCGCCCATCATCAAAGAACCACCAGCCATTAAATAACCCGAAGACCATGTCGACCCAATACATTGTACCAGTCATCTCAAGCATCATGAGGAAACCATCAGAGCGCAAGGTTTTTCGGATGTTCTTTCCAGATTCGCCTAGTGAATGCGTGGCATGAACAGCATTACTAGCGATGACAATGTGTTGAGTTCCCATTAGCTCATCCGCCGGTGCCTGTTCAATATCGTGAGTTCGAAACTTCATGAACGAGTACTGCTTGAACCTCTTGCGTGCGGCGGCTACGAATGAAGGCGCAAGATCGGTAAACGTATACTCGACTGGCACATTCAACGAGGCTAAGAGAGGAACAAGCCACTTGGTTGTACCTCCAGTACCCGCACCCATCTCAAGGATCTTAAGCGGGCCTTCATTTATATCAAGTTTGGTACAAAGTCTTGTAAGGAAATCCTCCATTTGTTTGTAAAACATCCGGTTTAATGGCCAATCTGCGTATAGGCCTGAGACGAGTTCACGCCCCTCAGGAGTACCAAAGATTAGTTGTATGCCACCTGTCTTTCCTTTCAGAACATCTGCAAGCTTCGATCCAGTATAAAATGTAAGTTTATCGGCTGTCGTCTGGTCCGGGAAGCGAGTTAGTAACTCTTCGAGGATATCCTTACTCGACCTTGCCGGCGCTGCCATGGCGGTCCTAGTAATAACATCGCCGTCGACATTGATGGTGTGAGTTTCCTTCTCTAGCATCGAATAGAGGTGGTCCACCAGGCGGTCGTGCTCCTTCGGATGGGGAATTTGACAAAACTTGTCTCCTGACTTCGCTTCGCGAAGATGCTGTCCAAGTTGATCGAATGCCTCGAATGCAAGTGCAACGCACATATCCGTCTGTAACGGCATCACCGTTTCAAAGTAGTTGGCTTGTCCATGTTCGACAATTCTATCATCATTAAGAGCTTTCGTTTCATTGAATGCTTGCATAACTGTGGCAAAGGGAAGCTTCAGCTCATTATCACAAGCACTGACAATATCATAGGAGTCCTTATCATCATTGGCTGCAGGAGTAGTAATACCGGTCGGATGCCCCGATGATGCTTCGCTGATACTATACGACCTAGTATTGCTGTTGCTAGAGGTTTCGTCTTCACTTTGCTTGCTTATCTCGCCGGCGACATCTCTGCCCACTGCCTTCTGCACGCATTTTATCAGGCTAGGCATGTCGACAATTTCTATAAGCTCATTTTCAGGCAGTGTGACCTTGAAAACAGCCTCGATCTCATGCGCCATCTCCATCCCCATTAGGGAATCTATACCAAGTTCAGCAAGTTGGCTATCGTCCTTGATCTCATCTAGATCAAGACCGGAAAGATCAGCTAGCAGCTTTTTGACCTTGAGAGACACGTCTGATTCAGGCGATTTCTTCGCTTTTTGTCGTTTTGATACCTTTTTAGAGACAGGGTTTGGTGGGTCAATCTCCGCGGGTGCAGCCTCGAACAATGCAGCCTTAGCAGGCCCGGACGATGCAGCAGTTGCAGCACTCTCGGAGGTAAGACGCGTAATGATCTTGCTCATCGACGCTTTAGCAATACTGGTGTAATTAATCCCAAGAATAGCTTCTAGTAGCTCGCCGGTATCTGGATGGAAAACGAAAACATCGGTCAGGTATTTCTTCTCCAAAGGATGATGCGTCGCGAGGACGTGAAAATTGTCTGGTCGAGCATCACCAGGACGAAGCTTGGGTGAGCGAATCCATTGCTCGATACCATTAGCAATATAAATTTCAGATGACGATCTATTCGTCATGCAGTTCACGAAAATGCCACCAACTTGGCAAAAATTGTCGGATAGGTGAGGATCAAGCCATGTCTCAGGGTTGTATTTCTGGACAACGTGACCGGCAGACTGGTTTCCGCATCCCACCAACTTTCGGAGACCTCGGTAACATCTGTCGTAATCGACAACGTCGGAGAATATCTTGTATATGTTTCTGTTCGAGAGCATTTCGTCGACATTACCGCTCTGCAACAACTCGACGCAACGGCTATGTCCAGTAAGTCGCTCAAGACGCGCGAACTCTAGCTTAAGCGTCAAATCCTCTGTTGAACAGAAAGCAATCCTGCCCGTTGTGTGTAGAGTCTTGGCAGCCCTTTGAAGCAAGTCCGTGCTGAACACTTGAAAGGTCCAGGATGGACTTTTCCTTGCTTCTTCCTCTTCCAACCCAATCCAAACAGCCCGTGCCGGGTTGATACAAATAGGCGACTTGTTCTCAACAACATGGATCTGTGGCTCCATGCGGGCTGCTTCCAAATCGGGCCGAAGATTTCGAACAGCCTCAATAACGAGGTCAAGTTGCACAGTAGCTGGACAAATGGCTGCGGTTTGTACAAGAACATGGCCAGCGACGAGTTTTCCATACTTAAGGATCATGGTATTGATCCTAAATTTGGAAGTCCGCTTTTTACTGTCCTGATAGCCAACAAAGGTTAGGAGGCTATCTGGGAGCTTCTCCTCTCTCTGATTAGCTGTAGACAGTTCGGTTGACTCAGGAAGCACCTTATAATCCAGCCAGTGAGTTGCTTGCTCAAACTGGTAAGGTGGTAGTAGAAGAGGGGAATATTCTTTGGTCTGGGCTGCCTGATGTGCCCAGTGCTGCACAGTTGTACCGACCTTCCACAAGTTCATCGTCGCGTCAACAAGATTATTCCACGCTTTATCGCAATTCGTTATGTTAATGGCTTGAAAATGAATACCCGCGGGGCTACCAAGTGCTCGGCTTGCCATAGAAGTAATGGTCGAATTAGATCCAGCTTCCAAGAAGATAGACGACGGGTATTTTTGAGCGATTCGCTGGATTGCATGGTTGAAATACACGGGGTGACGCATGTGATCAGCAACAAACCTGGCTGTGTGTTCCTCTTGAGTCGGGAACTCAGAAGCTCTCTCTACGGGGATAATGGGCTTCCTAAATGTAACTGATCTCCCAATTTTCTCTAATGCCCCCATGAGATGATCGGCAAGGGCGCAATGAAACGAATTCGTAACATTCAATCTCTTCGACCTCAGCGATGATGAGACAGTCGCAGCAACTGTATCAATCGCAGCAGTAGAACCAGCAAGGGTAAAGCATCGTGGGCCATTGTAGCAGGCAATGGTGGCATGTTTTTCTTCAGGAACTTTGCGATTCGACTCCGAAAGCAGTTTCTCGATGTCGTTTAGGTCAGCCTCTACGGCCATCATGGCGCCTCTATCACTTCCCCAGGAATCACGAACAAGTGTTGCACGTTGTATGATTAACCTGGCAGCGTCTTCCAATGAGAGCACCTGCGAAACGGCAAGCGCAGTAAGCTCACCAAAACTATGGCCAACCACCGCTACAGGTTTAATCCCAGAATCAATCCAACTGCGTGCACAGGCGTATTGGATCGCAAATAGCATTGTCTGCAACTCGACGATATCGTTACTCGGTGTAGTTTCGAATATTCCAGGGAATATGCTTCCTCCGCCATTCAGACGAACGACCGAATCGACGTTGTCCAAATGTTTTCGTAAAACAGCTACCCTGTCGTACAGGCCCCTATCCAGGCCCACGGAAGTCGATATTTGGCCCCCAAAACAGAGCACAACAGGTTTGGAGTCGGGTTGATCCAAGGGTGCCATATCAGGATCACCTGTCTCTATAGCTCCTAATTTCTGATCAAGCGCCCCTATTGAACGCACACTAAACAAAACTGCCTTGCGAAGAGTTCGATTGCTCTGACGAGCTAAGTTGAAGGAGACATTGGAGAGGAAGAAATCTGTTGCCGGGTGGTTTTCCTTGCTGAGAAATCTGCGGAAGGCTTTACTGTATCGACGTATACTGGGGCCATCTAAACCCGCGATCCAAAACGGATACTTGGTATCAGCAGGAATCTTTTGTCTATCTTTTATTAACCTAGTGCCAATAAATGGTGACTGTGTGAGGATCATTGAAGCGTTGGAGCCAGAGGCGCCATAATTATTGATCAACGCAGCGCGAAACTCGGCGTCCCATGTCTGTAGGGTTGTAGGGATGCTCATCTTGTCGGCTGGGGTCGCCCCGATGGCTGGGTTGAGAGAAGTGTAGCTTGGCTGGGGTGGTATCATCCCTTTTTGAATCATAAGTATGACTTTGATCATTGAGACAATCCCCGAAGTTGCCTCTGTATGACCGACAAGCCCCTTTACTGATCCAAACAAAAGCTCTTTATCCCGCTTAGAAACAGGGCCGCCAAGCACTTGCCGTAAGCCGTCGTACTCAGCCGGGTCGCCAACCGCAGTGCCGGTGCCGTGGGCCTCGACAACTGATATCTGAGATGGCCTCAACCGGGCCCTCTTGGTAACAGAGCGGAAGAGGTCTGCAAGAGAAGGTGAGTTCGGAACAAAGATGGGGGTGATGTTCTCGTTCTGCTGCGCACCCGTTGCCGCGACAACACCAAGGATTTGATCACCATCGGCCACTGCAGCAGAAAGCTTCTTCAAAAACACGGCGGCCACACCTTCACCCCTGCAATAACCATCTGCCTTCGCGTCAAATGGCTTACATGGGCCAGTCGTGCTCAGAAACGATCCCGCGGCCAAGTTTTGGAACCATAGTGGATTAGTAAATAAGTTAGCACCACCGGCGAGAGCGGCTGTACATTCGCCGGTTGTTATGGCGCGGCAGGCTTGGTGAATAGCCACAGCGGAAGAGGAGCAGGCAGTATCGATTGTTAAGCCGGGACCCGTCCAACCAAAGTGATGGCTGATCCTACCAGCTGTGAAACTCTGCAGATTACCAATAGCAGTAAATGCATTAGGAGGATGACAAGCAACATTGGCATCGTAATCGCGAGAACAAACCCCAACAAAGCAACCTACTTGATTATCTAGGTCGGAAGAATGAAAATAACCGGACTGCTCTACGGCTTGGTAAGCACACTGGAGGAACAGCCGTTGCTGAGGGTCTATGGTTGAGCTCTCACGAGGGCTCTTCTTGAAAAATTTGTGGTCAAATTTGTCGAAATTCTCAATAAAATTGCCGAACCATTTTCTCTTGGGGTCATTGTCGCGGAAAGCGCCCTGAAAAGAAAATCGCTCCTTTGGTACCTCCTTATGCTGTGACTTGGCAGAGACTAAAAGATCCCAGAATTCATCCAAGGCTTCGGCGCCAGCCACATTGATGGACATACCGACAACGGCAACATCATTGTCAGAGAATGTTCTCGTCTCGCTCTTCAAAAAAGCACCAAATCGCGGAGTTGTGTCATCGAAATCAGCCATATATAGTACCTGAGAGTTGATACTACGCAGTAGCGATGGCGGCACGACGCGTTCGGAGCCAAAGGATATGATATACGAGTCCCTGTTCTCGATCATGTTGTCGCGTACAGCGGAAACCGTTTGAAACCACCTTGGCGGTTCCAGCAGAATGGACTGCAACGCATGGTGATGCAGCGAATCCTCTGTTATCAGTTTGCCTCCACCGTTTGACCGGGTGGGAAACACGAGGCCAGATGTAGCATCTGGAAACTGAAATTCAACATGAGCGTCGACAAACTCCATGAGTAGCTTCGACTTCTCGATGTTAACGTCAGCATGGAAACGTCCATAGATACCGACTTCCCACCCAATAAAGCCAGCACTTCTCAGCTGCTGTTGTAGTTCAGTAATAACTGAAGCTTTCGTTGTGATGGTGGCGCGATTTTCGTCATAGTGGACAGAAACGTACGTCTAGACCATCCAATTAGATTCACATCGCAAGCAAATTAAAGAATGTAGCCATGTAAGGATTTTTCCTCATAGCTGGTAAAGAGCAAAGTTCAACTCACCCCTGAAAAGCTTTCGACAATATGTTGCAATTTCTCGCCATCTCCTGCAGAGTGCCACATAACGCTAAGGGACTTGGACGGTCCGAAAACTTCATTTTGGGCGTCGACAGCAATACCGATTAGCAGAGCTAATCGCACCGCGACGGCAGCATACTTCTCGAACTGCTCTTTGTCGCCTGCACTAGAAACAGCAAAAGCGCTCAGGAGGCCGATGCAAAGTCCTAGAGTCTCCCTGTTTGATCTAGATGTGTCAAGTAGATCGACGTGTCGCCCCTCAGCTTCGCTAAGCGAGAACGTAGCATATTGAGTAAGTTGAGAGACGACAACCAGTGGGATGAGAAGTTTGTTCGGAAGAGGGAATGGGGTATTCAGTGGCCGTCCAGTTCGAAATGCATCACTCAAGTCCTCTAGTTGACCAAGTGCTGACGTAGTCTTGAGGCTAGGAATGCGGGTAGTAAGGGTCTGCCATATCCGTGGAAACTCGGCAATAGTGTCTAGAGCCCATCGGAACTCCTCGTTCTCGGTAGCTGTTTTGCGAACCTGGGCGAAGGATGCCTCGTTGAAAGATGAGGCGATCGGACCGAACATCAAAATCGTAGGCCCGGTAGGAGGGCCTCTTCGGCAACCGCACGTATCGACCATGATGGACGCCTGCAGACGTACCACGTCGTGCAATCAAAGACTTTAACTCCGAAATAAGAATATATGAAGGTTTACGCCCATGTATCTTGGCGATGAGGGAATAGTGGCTAATACCAGAGAAACAAGTTAAGCTGTGTCGCTACAGCAGTCTCTACTTTAACGAAGAAGGCTTAGAAGAAGGAGAAGATACTACAGCGCCGTTAACAAAGTCTGCCTCCCGGTGGTAAGATCAAGCGATAGATATAATGAGGCATAAGGTAAAGGCCGATAAATGCGGTAAAGCGCTGCGCCATATTCAGCTTGGATTTCAACCACGTCACGTTCGGTCCTGGAGAAAGGTAAAACACTTGAATTGGTTTACCTGGTGATGTAGATACCGTGTTTCACCGGTTATACGTGCTAACAGTTTGTAAGTAAGTCCACCACCCGCCAAGAAGGGCTATTCAAAGAGCGCGTAAGCGGGTGGAGCACAGGCAAAACTCGACAAATTTTATCCATATCTCTCCCGTCGCTCATCTACCCATACGCTAAGAACTTCATGGTCGAGTGACATAAGTGAAAGAGCTTATGAAAGTTTACACCGAAATACCTCTCAACTACCTCGGTGAGGAGATCTACAAGAACCCTAGGAGCTAGGGCGGATACGTCAACTGTTGCAGTGCCAAGTACGAATAACATGTTTTATAGATGTGCTTGCTAAAAACTCCGCGTTCAATATTATTTGAGCATTCCGTCCATCTGAGTCCCAACACACTGGTAGCCAATAGATTGAGAAGGATTTCCGGTTTCTCTATCTTCATACACCCTTTTGCCGTCATTTTTCCTCTGCCTCCTATATTTCGTACAATGTCTTAGACATAGTCTCAAGTTCTATAGAGCCAATATACAGTGCGACATGATGCTCTACGAGGTAGCTAATCTGTAGGGTACCTAGCTCACCGAAGAGCCAATGGGGAAATTATATTACACCTTAGGTACCTCCTAAGCTAGGTACTAACATGAAGTATAACGGGTGTGATTAATCGAAGGTTGGCGTAGATCTTACACGTTAGGGGAATTCAACAGAAATGAGCCGCGAGCCTAATGCATGTTTTAGTGTTGTTCCCTGCGAAGTCATTATCAACAGTTTAACCCATGTATCCGTGGCGGGCTGAAAGGTTACATGGCGCCGCGGCGGTACAGCCAGGTAGTTACTCCGTCTCACATCTTTCTAATAGTAAGACTTTTTTGCGTACTATGTCTTAGCAAAAGGATCCGACTTATAACAATAGGTGCCCGAGTACCACTACCAGAAGCGGTATGGTTCCTTACCCCTTTTACCAGCCACATGGTGCTCTGCCATCTATATTTCAACCCCATCGAGCTATTGTCTCACGGTGTGGAAACTCATTGGTATAGTTATATCATCCTCCATCATCATGCCAGGAATTGTTGATGATAGTTCCGTTGAGATTGCCATCGTTGGCGGTGGTATCATTGGATTGGTCCTCGCTGCCGGTCTTATCAAAAATAACATAAAGGTCAAAGTCTACGAACAAGCGAAGGGACTTCGGGAGATCGGCGCCGGAATCGCCTTTACGTCTAACGCCATACAATGCATGAACCTGATGAATCCCGGTATCGTCAGCGCCCTGAGATCCGGTGGCTCCGTCCCTAGTTCTATGGATAGTAACGACCCAAATGATTACGTTAGGTGGATGGACGGTTACAACCAACGTCGAAAGGACGACCCTTCTTACCAGAAGCTGATGTGTAAAGTAAATGCTGGTTACAGGGGTTTCGAGGGGACACGACGTGACCAGTTCTTGGAGGCCTTGGTGAAAATCATGCCGCAGGAGAGCGTAGAGCTGAAGAAACGCCTAGATAATATCGAAGAAAAGGGCCCCGACGGGAAGCTCCAGCTTAACTTCTCCGATGGGACATGTGCTCATGCCGATGCCGGTAGGACTTTTGTATCCGTGTAAATAAACGTGCAAAGTAGTTTACAGCTGCTAACTCAAAGTTAATCTTTCAAGTCATTGGCTGTGATGGTATCAAGTCGCGAGTCAGGGAACTTATTTTTGGAGAAGATAACCCGGCTTCGCACTCTCATTATACCCACAAAGTTGTCTATCGCGCCCTTGTCCCGATGGAAAAAGCCATCGAGACCTTGGGAGAGTTCAAAGCCAAAAACCAACACCATCACTTCGGGCCTAACGCCCATTTCGTCCACTACCCAGTTGCGAACCAGACCATGATCAACGTCGCGGTATTTATGTCCGACCCCAACGAATGGGAGGAGGATATTGTCACAGTCGTGCCGGGATCAAGGAAAGACCTCGAAGACGCGCTTGCGGATTGGCATCCCTGTCTCCAGGCTCTCATCCGGCACTTCCCGGAGAAACTCGAGAGGTGGGCGGTCTTTGACATGTTTGACTACCCTCTACCTTACTACAACAAAGGGAACATATGCCTGGCCGGCGACGCCGCGCACGCGTCCAGCCCGCATCACGGCGCGGGCGCGGGGTGCGGCATCGAAGATGCGCTGTGCTTATGTACGTTAATGGGCCAGGTCACCGAGACGCTCCGATGGGATCCATCTGCAGCGACAAGGAAACACGCGGCGCTGTGCGCGGCGTTCGAGGTATTTGATCTGATGCGACGCACGAGAAGCCAGTGGCTCGTCAACAGCAGCCGTCGCGCGTGCGAACTATACCAGCAGCCCGAATGGGGCGACGAGGCCAAGTGGACCAAAGCAGAGACGTGCTTCGAGGAGCTTCGGGACCGGTCCTATAAGATCTGGCGCTTCGATTACGAGGATATGATTAGGAGAAGCATTGAGGAGTATGAGAAGAGACGACCTGCGGCGAAGGACTTTGAGAATGGGATGGTATGATACTAGATACTAGCTTAGCTACCTATCTAACCTTAGGTATCTTGGTATAAATACAAGATATAAAATCTACACACCCCATCTAGGTACTCACCTACGATTACCACTCATCCCAGGTTTCCTGGTGTAATGGCTAGCACTGCGGATTCTGATTCCGCCAATCTGGGTTCGATTCCCAGGGAGACCTTTCTTTTTTTTTTCCCCGTTGATTTTTACACTTACTATTTTTTTTTCCTATAGCGCCGGTAGTGGTTCGAATCCTACTAGGGCTTTAAATTATGGTTCGACTTTTAGGGTTTTCCCTGAGCTCCACCAAGCGCATTCCAGGGCTTAGTGGTTTTTCTCGGGGTAAAAAAAGTCTTTATTAAGGACTTAACGGCCTTGGGGCATTCGATAGAGTAATGTAATACTACGGGCAGATAGGGATGGGATGTTATAAGAGGTAGACATTGGAAGACTTTTCATGTCACGCCAAATTCTATCTCCGTCTCGAAAAAATGCTTCGGACGTTATACGCTGCCACTCATGCAGTGTACGCAGCCTCAATAGATGTAAAGATACTATCGTCGTTATATCATTATTACTTTCAAAATCATTGTAATGGAATATAAAAGTACATATAACCAAATAGTTAGGGCAATAATGGATCGGATATCAGGTACCCGATCTAACTTAGAGGCTCTGCCATACCAAGCACTTTGGGGCTTTCACATCGTGGGACTGGAATACAGGAGTACATGATGAATTATGCCTCTAGCTCTTGACGTGAGAATTATTTGGTCTACTTTCTTTACTTACCCCTTGATGCTATTTTCAACTGTACCTAAGACAAGTGCTGTGGTAACAATGATGCGCCCCTTTATGAGAGAGAAGTATTCTTGAGATACATATTAGCCAATGTTATGCCAATCTATAATATATCACTGGATTGCTTGGTGTTGTCAAAGCTAAGCTTATTTAACTCGGATTTTCCAATAGGTTACATTAGAAGGTGATTTGACAGCATCGAGAAGCGTTAATGTAATGGTCTTCAAGATTAGACCTCATCGCTTCACCAGGCTGAGGTCTTAGAAAGTTGCACAATCTGATAAGACGTTCCGTTCCGGTGGCTCGAAGTGGCTTTACGCCATCAGATTACAAAGTACCATCTTCTAAACCCGCGTGGTTTTCGTATCACGGCTCTTGCAGAACGCATTCGTGTTTAAGAGACTGATTGGCAAGAAATATCTCTTTGTACCGGTCGTAAGTGGTACCAAACCGGAATGGAATTCATTCGGTTTCTTTTAAAGGCTATTTCTCAACTTCATGATCGTGCCAAGTGGCAATAAAGAACAGCGGAGATACCTAGGTAGATATCCTTAGTCTCGGGTCCGAGTTATGGTAGCCAATGAATACCGCGTACTCAACGCTGGACACTAGGGATCTACGTAGGTACTCAGCCATCCAGACTGGTCAAAACGCCGTCCAATGCGCTGTTTACTGTCCTATGCTGCTCTGTCGCCCTTCCTGATCCGGCCGAGAATCATGCACAGATACGTAACCGGGAAACCTGAGGTCCTTCAGCTTGATGCACGATGACTCCAAATGAACTGCAGAATCAATTACGTACCGCCGTCCGCTGTGGTATTCCTCTAAATAGCGGACGTCATCGACTGAATTCATCATTTCCTTGGGCTTGCCGCTATTTTGTAGGTTTTCCCTGGGTATCGCTTTCACATGGTGAGTGTTCTTTTGAGTTATACGGAAACCCTTGCCGTACGCCAATATGAGAAAACTCTCGCACAAGCGGGCTTTATGGCTTGTCCCCTGGCCAGCATTGCGCGGAAGAGATACAGAGTGAAAATACCCCGAGAGGTGGATCGTGATCATAAATGGAATATAAATAGGTAGCTATTTTCCACGATTGTTTCCCTCTCATAACTATCTTGAACTAAGCTAATCGTAGGTTCCTGGTTAGGCTATCGGATTTTTCTCATTAGTCATTGTTAGTATAGAGCGAAGAGACGTCCAAATGAAGCTCATCACAATTGGGAGTAGCTTCTCCTTGGTTGCATCAGCCTTGGCGATAGACGTTCGCGCTGGATGTCGAGGCACTGAGGTGATAGCTCGTGATATTGCCGTTATTGGCGGAGGCGCGACAGGCACCTATGCAGCTATCAATCTTAAAGACCAGGGCAAGTCTGTTGTCGTCGTTGAGCAGCGGGGGTCGTTAGGCGGTCACACTTCCACATACCATGACCCTGCAACGGGAACCCCTATCAATTATGGCGTGCAGCTCCACCACGACGATCAGATTGCACGCGACTTTTACTCTCGTCTCAATGTCACTGCTAGCCAGGCTTCGTTTCCTGACACTAGGATCCCCCTCTACATCGACTTTACAGATGGCTCGCCTGTTTTGAACTACTCCATTCCTCCCCTCAGTGACGATTACATCCAGGCGCTTCATAAGTACCCGTATCTTGAGAATGGTATCGAACTGCCTGACCCGGTGCCTGAGGAATTGCTCCTGACCTGGCCCGAGTACATGGAGCGGTTTAATCTCACCGGCGACGCATTCGCCACGTACTCTATGCCAGCCGTCCCCGGTGACCTGACCAAATACCTCGCTTTATACGTCTTCAATTATCTCAACTCGGGGATGCTCGAAGAAGAGCGCGAGGGAAAGATCATCATGAATGCCGATGGCGACTTAGCCGAGCTTTATCGGAACGCCCTGGCTGAGCTCGGATCCGATGTTCTTCTCAACTCGGTTGTGCTCCATGGCCAGCGGGGTAGCAAGCCGGCCGACGGTGTGAAGCTCTGTGTATTGACTCCCAAAGGCAGAAAGCAGATAGTTGCCAAGCAGCTGGTATTTGCAGCGCCGGCGGAGTTAGAGAATCTGGAACCTTTAAGTCCGGATGAACGCGAGAAGAATATAATGTCGGAGTTTAAGGGAGGATTCTACTTTACGGGAATTGTGACGAACTTCGGTCTGCCAACGAACTATAGCTACACGAACCGGGGCCAGAACACGGAGTCTCACATAGCGAGCGTGCCGGGAGTAGCAATGTTCAACCCGACGAATGTGGAGGGGACATATTACTACTGGTACAACTCGCTCTCGGACATGACGAGGGGGCAAGTGGAAGCTGATACTCGCAACACCATCAAGCGACTACAGCGGACTGTGGCTGGTGCAGACGTGAGCGCCGAGCCCAAATTCCTAGAGTATAAGAGTCACTCCCCGCTACATCGGACTGCCAGTGCAGATGTCATTCGTAAAGGGATTTACCGCGACGTATACTCCTTGCAGGGTTACCGCAATACTTGGTACACTGGTTCCCTCCTAGTTGTTGGATCCTCTCAGCTCTGGAACTTGACCAGTCAACTACTTCCTAGGATCATTGCCGCTTCAGAGCAGTAAAAGGTCTCTTAATTGTCTGATATATCTCCTAGTCAGCCTGTACACGCTGGGTATACGTGGTATTGTTTAGGTACTTATTAGGGGCTTTCGTGCATCGCCGTATTCATAAGGAATCTAATGCATATTGCATATTGCATATTATCTATCCTCTATCCTTACCTGCTCTCTTACGTACGAAAGTGAATATTTTTGAGGGAAGACAGGTACCTACCTACCTATCCAGGTACATGGGGCTATAGGTAGCCAAGAGTATAGAACCTTAACCCCTTTCCTAAGGACGCTAAGTCCGGTATTTACTCTTCACGACCTGTCTCATTCGTCTCCATGCCGAATGAAGTATAACCCCGCACGTAGTGAAGCATTCTACTCTGTCTGGCTTCCTGCTTGATACAAAAGAAGATCGGTGCATGTATTCGACTATGTGGACAGAAACGAAGGCTTTCTTTTTTTTTCTTTTTCTGAGACATTAGACATGAATGGTCACGATCATAGGCTAAGTAGTATGCGATGAGACGGCAAGGCGATGACGTTAATGGGAATTTTCGCAGCCCAACGCCGCCTTATCATCCCTGTAGCCCTATGCCCTATTCCCATTCTGCACCATACTACAGTAGAACTGTAGCACATTTGAAACAATGTCTCACCTTATACTTATACCTAGAGGTACTCTAACGGGTCTAAGCGCTTAGGTACCATGTAGTTCCAGCGGTCCGACCCAGCTACTAAGATCTGCCATAACCATTAGCACCCATTACCAATATTGTCGATCACTGGTTACACAACAGTAGTGTCGCTTTACTACCGGCGAAAGGCCATACAATTGGCCTGGATGTTGCCGGATATTAGGCTACCGATACACCGATATCACTTGCAGTCAAGCCACGCGTTGTGGATGAAAGATTGTGACGCGAAAGCTGCGTCCGAGTATGTCACTGCTATGGAGATCTGAGGAGGGGCAGCATGGGTACGAGAGAATTGAGGTGTTTTTTACTTAGGTACCTCCTACAGAGGTGATCCCGATCCCATCAGCAAGCCAAAGAATTACATTCCGGGATAGATGCGTGTGAGAGAAATGTGACCAAGAAACGTGCCGATATGTGTAGAACAATATGGGTATGGGGGTGCACCTATTGACCCTCGCAGTGTAGGTACTATCGCGCGTGGTAGTTTCGGTGCTCGAAGTGATTCACCGACAACACCTAGTTTAGGAATAGATGAGCAATTGCGAAGTCAGATCTAGAGCGGGTCCAAGACCCAGGGTGTTGGGTTTGATGTAACGATGATGGAGCTTAATACAACGTCTCATAGACGGAAACATCTTGGCTGTTGTAAATGACCTAGGCGGGTCATCTAAACTGTTGGGCTAGTATGTGAAAACGGGGAAGAGAGAAATACACAGAGTGAAGTGGCTTTGATTAGAATATCTTGATTACCTGGTATTTGCTTTTTTTTTTATTGTTTAATTTCGAAAGTTTGCCGCTCTACCGTAGGGTAGCCTATCTAACTTAGGAACCTAAGGCATAACTAATCCAAGAGCCACATTCTCAACTCCATCGCGCGAGTAAATAAGGTACCTTACCTAGGATATCTTTTCTCCCGAGGAAAACATTAATATCCACTCCGATAACCAAAGTAGAGATTCCCGCCCAAATAGCAATTATGATGCGATGCACACTAGACTTAGTTCGTATACTTAAGGGGTCCATAATTCATCTCGAGTAGGCGTTGAGACCAGGCCCGAGATTGCTGAAACACATTAAGCCGTGCATGGCTTCCGTAATATCTTGGAGCTATGACGATAAGTATCAAATCGGTGCGCGCAGGATAAACATAATCCATCCTGTTTTAAAAAACCAGTTAAGAGACTCATATACCATACCTGCACCTGGATTCTGTCGTGTTTGTGACATTGGCCTCTTGACGCTGAGATCAGCCGATTGAGGCATCTCGGTATGAGATGTGACTTTGCTGGTGACACTAGTGGAACTCGACTTGGTCTTTTAGTAATTGATACAGGGGGTGTAAGAAGTTTATAGCGACTCCCATTAATTGAAAAGACTATTCAGCCACGGAACAAAAAAAGCAATGCGTCTGTGGGAACCAAGCATATATCTAAGGAATGAATGAATGACGATGCTGCCGAGAAAGCCCTCCCACTACACACCCGCCAACGTGTGAGGCGTCTCTCTTCCATAAGATACGTAGCCTCCCTATGCAAGCCCTACAAGTATAATTCTTTAACCGACTATAACTGGGTCTGTTTCAGGGGGCTTGCTGACCAAGGACCTACTTGAGGGGTCAAGCTTTGTAGGATTCAAATCTACAATCTGAGATGAACCACGCTAAGCTTAATTTCAGAAGGCAATGCTACTATCACTGCCAGAACAGATTCAACACGTTTTCTACATGGCCACGTGAGTGACCGCAGCTATGTACAGTGCTCAGATGAAGGGGGGTGGCCAACGGAGACTGTTGGTTAGGTGTCTGGATAAGACGGTCGATTTGCGTGCCGTCTGTGGCCTGAGGAAAGTCATCAAAAACCTACGAAAGGCAATGGAGGACCTGTATACTAACTACTGAAAGCAGCTTGGTTAGGTAGGTACTCAAGTAACGCAAGTGTCGACGCCTTACTATATAGTATACCAGCCGTTGTCTTAGGTCGATGGCGGGGTGGCTTCAGATATTTTCATGCCGCAATGACCGTTTCTGTCTGAGGCTCTTTTCAGCGATTGGCCGTACCAAACGTTCAGATTTTTATGGCTTGTTCTGAATAGGTAGTTCCCGAAATCCAACTACACATCTCGCGATCAGAGTTGTGATATCTGTTTCACTTGCAATAACAAATAATGCTTAGCCCTGTAGGCCAGCCCTCAAGGCTTTGTGCAATAGGGCGGCGACGATTCGGAATAAAACGGCCCAATCTCGAGACTCCGCGGAATTGACGGAGGTTGTCACAATAGAAAAGAAGCCACAGTCGTTACAGGTAATTTAAACTGCTAAATATATGCGTATCAATGTATGGACATAGTAGATCGCATATCTATTAACCATATCACAGCTGCTTGTAGGTACTTCTCGACTACACATACGAAGTAGTAGAACACTGAAGACTATTTTACGCATGGTCGCAAACTTGACGTGTGTGAAGCCTTAGTTGATCAGGGGGCCTGGATGTTGCTGACAGCAGACAAAAAGGCCGCCACCGTATTATAGCGCCCCTGGGTTTAGTCCTTGGACATAATTCCGGTTCCTTATGACGTTGAGTAGGGGGCATAATACCGGCTCCCTGTTACGATACAAATGGAAAGTTTCTGTATAGCTTGGTGTTTATGTCAACAGTACCGAAAGGTAATGCAGTAATTTATTTTTATGTCGAACACTATGAAAAATAAGCTTAATTACATAGTAAGGCCCGGATTATAAATCCTTTTATGATATGAGGTGCAGTAAGAATTTATGTATAAAGTTTTAGTTCGGTCCCGACTAGTTCTGTATGCGCGATGTTCTGCAGTACTAAAGCTTTTCTTATTTGCTTAATGTGTGCAGTACTAAACCCATGCCTAGAATCTGCGAAGACCTAGGGATCTTACAACTAATCTCTGTAAGTGTCGCAAGCTGTAAGTTAGTCGCGAGCTTTATATATATGAGGTACCCAGTGCAATCAGGTTAAAATCCCAGTAGATGTACGTTTAATTTCGTCAATGAAGATCGCCAGTGCTGACTGATTCTAGGTACTTTCTAGGTACTACACGTAAACCGATCAGCTCATATGCCCATGTACGATTCGTTTCGCTTGCATATTAAAGCCGCGCCGAGAACAAAGGTCCTTTGCAGCACCACAGTTGTAAGGCTGAGCAACTTCAGTGTTGTTATATCAACAATAGCATACTAAGCCCGGAACACAATAGGTAATATCTTGAATAATACTCACTGCGTTTCTTTTTTTGTCTACCCAACTCCAAAGCAGTAATGTAGCTAGGATACGGCTTGTCGGGAATAATTGCTATATCTTAAACAACTCTACCATGAAGGATTATTAACCTCGTAAAGTGACGTAATAGGCTTTTAGTTGGGCAGCAAATATAAAGGGGTGCTAATCAAGCTCTGCATATGTCTGGGTATGTCTGGCCTTAGAAGCCTTTCGATCCACGTCTCACACCCTTTCCTCGCCTATCCTATTATTTTCGAGCTATAGGTGTGAGGATAGAAAGGTGGTAGTCATCGGAAAGTTACCTGGAATTCCCAGGGATATGGGTACTACCTAGTGCGGTCTACACAAGTTCGACAAGCACCCTGGATTCGTGCTAGACAACCACCCCACATACTCCGCCCCCACGATCATTCTCCCAAGGATGGCCGAAGTATATAGGCTATCGCCAAAATGGGTAAGCTTTGGTGAGAAGCAATGAAAATCAGAAGGAATAGCATTAGCTACCAAAGTAGGTATAGGTATATATATTCTAGGTGCCTATGTATTTGGATCCTACCTAGTTCGGGGTTGGCGATGAAGCTGTAGACTTTATTTTAACTTCATTACTCACCATATGTCCGGTAAGCTCACTCCGTCTGTGCACCACTTATTCCAGTTATCCAATGCTACCACGCATATGCAGACCTCTGGAAGCATCCAGCACCAAGACAAATGTTGCACGGGGGCTGCTGCACAACCCGAATCTGTCAGTGTTCAGCTACAGTCCTTACCCTGACTCAGCTAGCCAGTCACCCACATATTAATTAAGATGCTCAACTCACCGCCATGTCTTGCCCATGTCTACTTGCTATTTCATATCAGCTCAAGATTGTTAGAGAAACTTGCTTTGCCCGACATATATCTGGAAGGTAGCACTTTGATGCACCGTCGTATGAGCTGTTGGAGCAGTCCTATCCAATCCCTTAAGTCGCAAATCTCGTTCCTAAGGGCCTCCCTAGGAACGGGCCGTGAGCTTGGCCTATAAGGCCAACGAGGTATGTGTAAGCCAGTACTATGTACCTACCCAGGTAGGTACCTAATCTACAGACCTTGCCGATATATTAGAAGAATACCTTGCTATGTTAGCATATGTTTCAGCCAATCTCCAAACCCGAAATGGGTCAACTAGCTTTTTCTTAAGGCTATGACTAGTAAGGCGTGGCTTCATTAGAAGAGGCTTGTCGATATCATTTGTCTTATGTGACAGACAATTACAAGAAAACGTTACATAGCCTGACGTTGTATCCCGTGGTATATCGAGGCATGTGAGTGTCTCACATGTCAGAACTCGCTTTCAAAGTCTTGTGCTAGCGAATGCTCTGGAATAGGTAACCTAGGGACGTTGAGTCCGACTAGCGTTGAACTTCATATAATATCCTTGCAAATAGTAATCTTTATTGACACAGCCTAGAGGAGTATCATCTCACCCTTGCTATAATATATCGCATGATCGAGACCAGCAAGGTATGGTAAGGATAACTTAATAGGATGTTTAAATGGTTTTTTTCCTCTCTAAGACATTTGATAGTTGGATCTAAGTCTACTACTAATACATGCGGCCTCAGTGGTATTATAATAAACATTGATATACCTATATACCGGTATAGCGATGCCCTCGCGGTTTCACCACAGCCTCCACCAAACACCTGTCTTGATATACGCGAGATATGCCCCCACTCACAAAGTTACCACCAACTTAGTGGCTGAGACACCTTTCTTGATCAGGTCGACAGCCTCTTGTATCTTTCCCAAGCCCTTACCGACAATCCGGGGTTCTGGAGCCGGCACAAACGTGACCGCCTTCAACGCCGCGGGCAAGAAGTCGTTATAAATGGCCTTCCCGACGAAATTGCCGCTGAGCGTGGTGCCAAAGATGGAGTACATGGTGACGCCCGTCGGGGGCTCGGGCCAGCCCCGCTTCGTGGAGGCTACGGCCTTCACGCCCTCGGAGTTGGCCACGACCTGCTGGAGGATTCCTTGAGGCGCGCCACCAATACAATCTAGAGCGCCGGCGGTAGTCTTCCCCTTGAGGGCGTTGATTAGTTCGTCTTGGATGGTTGCGCTGGAGTAGTCGAAGACTTGGCTGGCACCCAGCTTCTTCACGTAGTTGAAGTTCTTAGGGGAGGCGGTAGCGATGACTTCGTAGCCAGAGTTGATGGCGAGTTGGATAGCGTTGCTTCCTACCGCTGATGAGCCACCCCAGACAATTAGTGTCTTCCCCGTGGGTTTTTGAGGGGGGACGCTGGGAAGCTGAAGCTTTAGGTGGGTCTCCTGGTAGAGCGCACAGGCGGCGGTCGATAAAGCTAGAGGCAGTACAGCAGCCTTCTCAAAAGAAATGTTCCCAGGAAGTAAAGCGGTCATATTGGTCTGAAGAATCGTGTACTCTTGGAATGCCCCGTCCTGTTTACGCTTGGTAGCCATACCAAGAGCGTGGCCGACAACACGATCGCCTACTTTGAAGTCGGTAACACCGGAGCCAACAGCAGCGACAACACCAGAAACATCCTGGCCTAGCATGGTCGGGTAGTCAAGAGGCCACCAGCCAGCAGCTTGAAGAGAGCCGTCGACGGGGTTGATAGCTACGGCATGGTTCTTCACAAGAACCTCGTTAGCCTCGGGAGTCCAAACAGGGGCCGGCTCAACAACGAAAGGGTGGGCCTTAGCCTCTTTAATCCATGCAGCATTGTTAGTAGCCATATTGGTTTTTGTTTGCGTAAACTTTCTAAACTGCTGCTGTTGTGGCTGCGTATAAGAGGTAGTGTATCGGTGAGGATATGTGCTGGGAGCAAGGTAGTTCCTGGAGATGATGATAGAGGATGTTGAAGGAAATCCGGAATTTATCTGACGGGCGATGTTGGGTGTTAATAATGTTTGTAGATGCTGTTTTTTCGAAAGACTGAAAGCCATGGATGATATAACCACTGCATATAGTATGCGACATGCATAGCAGATAGATTTCCTTGCTTGATTTCAACAAGCAAACGTGTTGGTGTATAAACCCACCTTAATGAACAGGAAGCTGCTATTGGAAGGCAATATCAAAGCATTCGCCATACGAGCGCCTCGGTAGCCGAGACGGCACTACGTGCCTACACCTAGGTAAAGAATAGTTAAGTTGGTGTGTGTTAGTCCATTAGTTGGATTGTTACGGCTCGTAGTTAGAGTTCGGAATACCAATATCAAAGCCGCACCTTTCAGGTGTTCACGACGAATCATTATCAGATCAAGCTACGCATAATAATGCCGTGAGGATTATGCTAGATCGTATGTCTGCCGTAGGATCTGGGTGCTATGTCCGAGCTGGCGGGTTTGGTGGGGTCTAGACCTCGGATCTCCGAGATCTACAGTACGTACAATACAAGGCACCTAATATTAGGGTGAGGATAAGCAAGATTTAAGCAACTTGATATTCGCTAACAGTCTTGAGCTCGTATCGTAAGTAATATAGTAATCCGATTAGGTACAAACATAAACGTAGATTCGCGTAGACTGTCATAATAAAGTTGTTAAGTTAGTGATTTCATACACTGGATAGTCGCACAGTAACATCCAAATGGACCCTCGGTATGCGCATCTAAGGTTAAGTAGATGTTATTCGTCAACTATCAAAGAACTCAGCCTATCAACAAATTTTTGCTTTACTATCTCTCGATTTCCGAGCCACAGCTCGGAGTTACCGGTTCTGTGTGTAAGGTGAAAGAGAAAGCTACTTGCGAAAAAGATTTGTTTGTTATAGGAGACGAGAAAAAACAAAAAAAATTTCTTCCTAGTACTCGATTAAAATTATTCAGAGTCGTTTCAGCTGCTGTAGTTACCGTTGCCATGGGAGAAACCAGATTCAATGTCGCGCCATAAATATCTAAGTCATGATAAACATGTGTTAAAATTCCAATAAAACCTCTCCGTATAAGTCATTCGTAGGAGTTATGTACGAAATAGTATAAACATACAGTACACGTCGATGCATTTAGGTCCCCTTGAGTACCTAGGTAGACACTCTACTATTTAATATCTCCTTTATTGAGTTTCGGCACCTGTCATAGACGGTTGGTTTGATAGGCGCGTGTTTTGCCGTCTATCGCCCACGTCATCTACTGCCGACCCCTTCCTTGAAATAGATGGGGAGCAAATAAGACAGAAATTAGACACACGTTGGATTCGTGTTAGCTCCGAAGCCCCGAGAGTAGAATCGACACAGAAGTCTTGCGCAAAATATACAGAACCACACGACTGGTATTTTACAATCTCGTCTCCTCAACTCCTCGTACCCTTTCTGTTTACAAAAATCATCTATCCAACATCTGTATTACCATCGACCATATCAATCACTACCGCCGCTATGGCTCTCAACCCGCGCGTAAGCGACTCGGAAGATGTAACTATCTCGAACCACAGCTTCGGAGCCACAAGTGACAAGGCGGACGCTCACAATGAACCCCCCCAGATCCTCCCAGCCGAGGCCAAGAAAGAGACGCAGGCGGCGCCTGCAGAGTCGCAACAATCCGGTCCACCACCTCCTCCTAACGGTGGCCTCCTTGCTTGGCTTCATGTGGTCGCCGGTTTCATGTTGTTCTTCAATACGTGGGGTATTCTGAACGCCTTCGGCGTTTTCCAGACTTACTATGAATCCGGTGCAATGTTCCAACGATCATCATCGGATATCTCATGGATTGGCTCGATTCAATCTTTTATGGTCTTGGTCGGCGGCGTGTTCGCCGGTCCAATCTACGACAGAGGCTACCTACGACATCTTTTAATCGTCGGCAGCTTTGGTATTGTGTTTGGTCATATGATGCTAAGTCTGTGTAAGGAATATTGGCAAGTTGTACTCGCCCAAGGCCTCTGTGTTGGGTTGGGAGCAGGTATGCTCTTCGTACCATGCGTATCGATCATCCCTACCTACTTCACTAGTAAGCTTGGCCTTGCTTTGGGCCTAGCATCGTCAGGGTCCTCCGTCGGTGGTATCATATATCCCATCGTCTTGTATCAGCTCATCAACAAGATTGGATATGCCTGGTCGGTCCGTGTTATGGGCTTCATTGCTTTGGGAACTTTGCTCATCCCCATTTGCATCATGAAGATGCGATTCAAGTCCCCGAAGCCGAGATCTATAATCGACTGGACTGCTTTCCGCGACATCCCCTATATGGCCTTCACTATCACCACTTTCGTCGGTTTCATGGGTCTCAGTATCCTCATCTTCTACATCTCGTTCTACCCTCAGGAACGAGGTCTTACTGACGAAGCCCTCTCCTTCTACATGGTGCCCATCTTCAACGCTGCATCCTGCTTCGGCCGAGTCGTTCCCAACGCCGTTTCGGATAAGATCGGCCCATTTAACGTCGTTGCGCCATGCTCGTTCATCACTGGCATCCTCATGCTTTGCTTCATGGCCGCGAACACCAGAGGCGCAGTGATTACTATCGCGGTTCTTGCAGGCTTCTTTAGTGGCGTTTTCATTGCCATGCCACCTGTTTGCTTCTTCCCTCTGACTAAAGATAAGTCCAAGCTGGGAACGAGAATAGGTATGGGCTTCGGTATCATTGCTTTGGGTCTTCTGGTGGGTGGTCCTGTAGCAGGAGCCATCCTTGGCGAGACAAAGCCCTTAGACTGGGAGGGCCTATGGGGATTTGGTGGCGCCGCAGCAGCTCTGTCAGGTATAATGTACGCGGCGCTAAGAGTTTACCGATCCGGTTGGGCAATCAACATCAAGGCCTGATTGACTGATTCACAATGCATTCTCGAGACATGCCGACATACCATGCAAGGGACTGTTTATCGAACCCATTGCCGCATTATCACACAGCATATCACATAGAGAGGGGAAATTGTTATGTAATTCCAGGGCTACATAGGAGGTACGGTTGGAGTTAACGGGACATGAAGAACTGCCAAGTGTTGGAATTTCCACACACTCAGAGAGACTGTTTACGAGGTATAAAAAAGTTAATTTCTCTAATTATTCCATTCATCATATTAAATTTTTAAGAACACGTCGGCAGTCAAACTGAAGTTTCCTGTTTCTAGTTATATCAGTTTCAAATAGGTCAATCACTTACACGACAAGCACCTAGTTATTTCATGCGTAGCATAAAAGCGACTATATGGTCCCAACCACGGCCTGTTCAGTTCATCATCGATTTACCTGGTTATGAAGTGACTGTTACCTTTTTTTGGTTTCATCCAGTATCTAGCAAGGGAATTACATATTGATGCTATACTATAACAACTCATTGACCATGGTTGCCTTTGCTTTATTTTCTCGAAACTAGCAGCGTATACAATCTCGTAGATACACATTCCTAAGCTCGACATCACCCTGTCTGACACAGTTTGACCATTTCACAAGTTCCTAGGTGTGGCGTCACCGCTTCATAGAGGCTTTCGTACCACGCACTTGATCGGAGTGATGGTAACCTTCTCCAGATCCCAGACGCCGTTTTGCGCGTAGATGTCGTCTCTAATATAACCGCGAACTTCGCTTTCGGTGCGCGCGCGAACCAGCACGGAACTGCCGTTGACAGCGAGGGGCTCCTCCTCGGCCGCGGGGTGGGAGGAGAGAGTCGGTCCGGACATAACAACAACACCAGTGTCAACCAGACTCTTGAGGTGCGCTATGTGTGCTTGCACATTGCTCAGGCGCATCTCTGCCGTGCCTGGGTTGTCCGGTATTAGGACCAGGAAATCGTTCAGTCCCGACATGGTCATATAAGGGTTGGTCTGCTCGTGACTGTGGTGGTGCGGCGTATAGTTACACAATAATATGCTCTCTGGAGGGTTAGGTGGCTAATTAGCGACGGTTAACTCAGAGACAAACTCGTATGAACGAAGCCTAGCTGACCTACTTGATAATATGACGGAATGGATTTAGGTCAGCTTTGGTAGTCAATGGTGACTGATAGAAAGGATGTGTGAATATGGGAGTAACAAGCCTTTATCTCTGAAGTATGAGATGCCGCTACACCGCTCCTATACCTCTCTCCAACACTTGCCGTACCTAGAACGCTTGACTACTGCATCAATATATTGCTTTGCGCTTTGTTTGTGGAGAAATCTTGCATGTGAAAGAGTATCGCTCGAATCGGGTTCTTGAAGTGCTACAGTACCATGCCGGCCATGTCAGGGATGAACGACCCAGCGTTTTATACCTCGAGAAAGAGATGCAATACCTACGACACGATTGTCCGGCTACGGCAATTGAGCGGTCAACTTCACACCATCCTTCGTCCACACCCTTTCTCGATGGATGCCTTCAATTTTTTCAATAATAACCAGGATAGTGTTCAAATGATGTAACCGTACCAATGTACTAATATACAAATGTATAGCCTTAGATATACGTCAGTCGCCATCGACCGGACTCGGTACGGAGTTTCTCATGCACCAGGTACCCGTGTTTAGCTGAAATGTCGCTGCACACCGACCTACTTGACTAAACCTTTAGCCGTGCCGATCAGTCTATCATCACGGAGAAACGAATCACCTCCTAGGTCGTTAGTATGCTTAGGAATGCCATCTCGCGGTGCTTTACTTCGGGATACGCTTCTACCTGGGGTTTCTCTTACAGCGTATGAAAGTTCCCGGGCTTTGGTTAGGAACACCTGGTAATGTGGTTATTCTTACTGGATAACGCCCGGTCTAGCCCGCAGTTTTATGTTTGTGTAATAATAATAAGTCAAACGGCTTTCGGTGGCAGCCATGTTCCCTGTAAAATCCCAAGGAACGTGAAATTTACACACCAAGAACTGTCCGTTTATAAACGAGTAAAAGGTTTAACAGTCCACCTCAGAGTATAACACATACACGCACGCATAGTCAGTCAACACCGATAAAATGGGCAACGTCGAGAATATTCCAGATGTAGCACCCGATGCTATACCGACTGTAGATATTAGCCCCTTCACGGACCCAAATTCACCTGAGAAGGCGAAGCAAGATGTTGTCAATGCTGTACGTCACGCTTGCACCACGTACGGTTTCTTCTATCTAGCTGGTCATGGCGTGAGCGAAAAGAAACGCAGCGGTATCCTCCAGTGTGCTAAGCGATTCTTCGACCTCCCCCGGGAGGAACTTATGGAGGTTTGGATCGGAAAATCCATGGGTAAATCATTCCGCGGCTACGAACCTCCCGGAATACAAACCCATCAGAAGGGTCTTTTACCCGATATCAAGGAGGTAAGTGCATGAGGGGGACATCTAACGATACACATAAGCAATAAAACGTTGAGAAGTTATCATGAAGATGCCCAGGGCTAATCCAAGTAAACCTCTAGTGCTTCTCTATCGGCCATGAGGTCCCAGCTGATCATCCAGATGCGGGAACCTTCTCCACCGGCCCGAATCTATGGCCCAAAGCCCTGAAAGACGAAGAGTTTAGAGCTCCTATCATGGAGTATCAGGCCACCATGCTCGCGGTCTCCAAAGTGCTGCTCAAGATTCTTGCCCGCGGTCTCCCACAGGCCTGGAGAAACCCCCCTGACGTAATGGACGAGATCGCTGTCAACCCATCCATGCCTATGAGATTACTGCACTACGCTCCCCAGGAAGTCCTCGACGAGCGACAATTTGGCGGTACGTTCCAAGCTCCTCACACCTCCTATGTCGTTTCATGTATGCATGCATGTCTGACCATAAGCAGTGGGCGACCACACCGACTTCGGATGCATCACCATCCTGCTCCAGGAGATGGGCACGAAGGGCCTGGAGGTATGGTACCCGCCGACGGAGACGTGGATCCCGGTGCGGCCCAAGGAGGACACGTACGTGATCAACATGGGCGACATGATGCAGAAGTGGACCGCGGGCTACTACCGCAGCGCGCGCCACCGCGTCATCACCTCCGGCACCAACCACCGGTACTCCGTCCCCTGGTTCCTCAACGGCCAGCTCAAGCTCAAGTGCAAGGCCCTGGACGGCTCTGGCGTCGAGACTGTTGTTGGGGAGCACATACGCCAACGCCTCATCGCTACGATGGGCGAGGCCGGAAAGGCCCTTCAGTAGGCGGTGGACTTGCTGCGGCTGAGACATGCGGCGGGGGAATACCTAGATGCAAGTTTCGGTGTGTTTGAACTAGTGTATGCGATTTTGCACATAAATCATGCCTGCGCGACATACAAGGCTCCAAGACTGGAGATTTCGGGATCCGGAAACGGCAGCCTCTATGCCAGATCGACAACCCCAAAATGAGCACCATCACGTAATTGCACGTAGGAAAAAGACCCCAACATCAAGCGGTTGCCAAGGGTGCGAGCTGTGCACAAGAAGATTAATCAAAAAATGGCGATTTAAAAGGCAAAGGGTCATAAATTCTTTGGTAGTATGGCTGTTGTGGCCGTCCAGGATAAGTAGTCGCCATTGGCTTGCGCGGGCAGGTTTAGTATCGGGGAATGAACACTTTTTCGAGCTACCGCAGCCTGATTTCGGTATTCGTCCACCCATACTAAGACGTAATTAGTGAAATACCAATTACCGTATTCATCGAATTTATCGTTAAACCATCGCTGTTGAACGTGAGTACCGCTGAATATAGATCCATTCACGTTTGTGGGCATCCTTGAGCGGAATGCCCTCGATTGGTCTTCTAACATAAGTGCGTTCAACCTGCCACTCCTTGGCGACCGATCTGGCCGATCGCCCATCCGCGACCTCTTCAATCGCCCGAACGGCGCGGTACTAAATTTCCTAACTCATACTATTGAAAACTCCAGATTCTAACGATTAGAAAGACACTTTTCTCTTTCAAAAGAGCCTAGGAGGAAAAGGCAATATAAACCCATCTTGAAGGTAAGGCCTGTGCTAGGCGTGTCGCGTCATAGCGCTATGGGCGCTCAGGGGGTGGTGCGTTAAGGGGGTAGTTGACTTAGGACAGAGACATGTTTACGAAGCTTACTGGGTTCGTAACAACTGCATGCGATAAGAACAATCTAACATTTATATAAACCAATGTTTTACGAAACCATAGGGCTGAGAACAGCGGTGAAATATCCGCACTCTTCAAATAACAACCTCAATCAAACCTTCATTCCCCTGGCCCTTGTTATAGACCCCGGTAACCTTCAGGCCACAACTCTCGATAAGTGCGTACAACTCCCGTTTAGTACGTTCTTGAGAGGATACCTGAGCCATCATGAAAAGGTCAAGCGAAATATGCTGCCAGGCAGCTTGCTCGTCTGCAACGATCTATAAGCAAAAGTTAGTATGCAAGCAGATAAAACAAGGCCTAATATATGGTTTCGGTATGGTTAGGACTTGGAAAGGCTAACAAGGAATGCATACACAATCGCTAATAAGAATTTTCGAGTATCCCGGTTCCATGGCATCCTTTAGATGACCCAGAATCTTGCGGCATTGCTCGTCCGGCCAGTCGTGGAGTACAGAGCGCATGAAGTAGGCACGCGCCCCCTTGATCGGCTGCGGCGTAAAGAAGTCATGCACTTGCAACTCGATGCCATCATCTCCTACTCCCATGGCTGTCGCTGCCGTTATCACATCCGGGATTTCTTGGAGGACGAGCCTGCCGGTGTACTGGGGCACACTGGCATGGAAGTCCTGCAAAATTTGGCCGGTGCCGCCGCCGATATCAACGAAAGCAGATGCATCGCCGTTGCTCTTCAGACCTTTGATAAGACGTTCTTGCACAGGGTACATATCAGACCAACTCGGTCGGTGGAGTCTAAGCGCATGTACGTAGCTATGGAACGCCTTAAATACATCGGGGTGATCAGTCAGCCAAGTAAAGGCAGAGCCATAGCTATTGGCATATTGAAATGGCCCATCTAGAGCGTTCTGGGGGTTTTGAAACCCAGTGTTCCGGAGGTAGGTGGGCATCTTCGCAAAGGACGTCTGTGTGATATCGAAGCTTTAGAAGTAAATTTGTCAAAACACACCCTATTCACCGTGGATTGGCAAGTATACTACGCACGAAAAGGTAATGCCAGATGCATATTCTGGCTGTGACAGGAGGGCAGTAAGGGCATTTGGTACATAGAGTCCCGGTCCCTGCTCGTTGAGCATACGCATAGAGACGCAAGCTCGGGCAATACGCTTAACGAGGGCGGGTGATGCTCCTGTTGCAGCTGCAAGATCCTCATTTGTCTTAGGCTGGCCGTTATCCTTCATGGCAGTCTCGAAAATTTTCAAGTCTACGGCAACACGTGCCGCAACAACTCGAGTTGGCTATATTTCATCGGTTAGCATAATTACGGCTCAATAGGCAAGTATTGATATTCCCACCTGCGCCCAAACGTTCCATAAGAGCGTCTCAACAGGAGTTTCTGCAGTAGTTACAAGCTCCCTTGCGCTCGCGATTAGCTTCTCGCGTGCCTCCAAGTCACCGTCGAGGAACTTAAAGCCATCTGCCGCCACCTCTCTGAGAGCTTGAGCGATTCTCTCTTTGTGGTCAGGTGTTATGGATGGTTGAACAGGCATCGTGTTGGACTAGGTAGATACAGACGAGGCAAATAGTGAGAAATCTAAGACAAGAAGGCGGCAAAGGATTCAGGAAACCTGATGAGCAAGTCGAAAGGGAGATGGATCTCTGGGGCATAGGATTGGTCGCCGTGGGCTTAGTGTAACCCACCATACTTCTGGCAATCAATCTCTCACCAAAAACTGTATTCAATAGTTCTACTATGGTCGCACCGAATTAATCCCATAGCCTCGTTGACAGATGAATGAGTAGTTGTCATGGTTACCTACCGCTAGGACTAAGGGCTAACTAACATCGGCGACATTGGGGGCGAAAAAAGAAAAGTTTCTATTGGCTAGTTGCAACCTTAGATATGAGGTAGGTAGTGAGCCGGATAGATGCACCAAGGAAATCTAAATATATATCCGATGTTGATGTTGTGTTAGTGCTGGAAGTTCGTCTATGCGTAACGCCACTGCATCTTTATTAGGTGCATCCTCCAGAATGGCGGGTTATACAAGTACAAGAGGTCCCCATTTTGGTTCTTTTTCTCGAAATATGTATCTTTTCCGGGGGGAGTACAATCTTTCAAAGGCTACCGTCCTTTTTTTGTTTAAAATTCCGCCGCCGCAGGCAGCGCCGGATTCTCATATACATAGCTGCAAGGCGTGCGCCAGCGTGCCGAGCGGTCTTGCACGCGCGAATCCGGCCGGCGGCACGTAGTACGGGTAAAGCTTAGGGGATAGTAAACTCGGGCTATTGTGGTGCCCGGCGAGGGGTGCCCTCCTGTGATACTAACTTATTATCCCGAATGATGCTACTCAACACAGCCTTTTGGTTTCTCTTGAGAGATTTTTCCTTCTGTTCGTCTTTGCTCCATGCTTTTTAACGTCAGAGCAGTTCTTGATGTTGTCGATCTCAAACTTTCTACAATATTCACTTCTATACAATCGAATCTGTCGCCTAATCTCGCCATGGATTCTATCATTGGAAGCCCCCCTGATGACAGTCTTGGGCCTACGATTAACATCATCGCTTGGATGGGTGCTGGAGTCTCTACTGTATTTGTCATCTTACGTCTCTATAGCCGGTTATTCATCACGCGGGCTCCAGATTGGGATGATGTTGTGATTGCTATTGCAACGATAATAAACATCATCACTATTGCTCTTTGTTCTATGGCTATATCGTACGGGTTAGGCAGACATATTCAATACCTGTCTGACGATGACCTTGTCAATTGTTTATACTATTCTGCTATCCAACGGGCCCCAGGCATACTATCCTTCACTCTTCCGAAATTATCCGTCGTTATTTTTCTCTCCAAGTTAATGGGCAATATGAAACGAGGTAGATGGTTCTTATATTCGGTTATCACAATACTCTTCATCACTTCTCTTATGGGTATTGTTATTTTCCTCGCCCAATGCCGTCCAATGGACCACCTATGGCATCCACTTTCTCCTGCAGATTGTGTCTCCGCCACTGTATTGGATGCTATTTCATACCTTTGTGGTTGTGAGTACTGCCTATCCCTACATGACTTCGCTCTTGTGCAATGAAGCAGTCTCCAACTGACGTATGGCACTCACAGCATGGTCGGCGTTTACCGACATCGTTTTGGCTTCATTTCCCATTTATTTGCTTTGGAACCTTCAAATGAAACCGTCTAAAAAGATTTCGACTATGATTGTGATGGCTCTGGGTTTCATGTGAGTAATTACCAATACGAATCGCTTTCCCACGTGTTAATCACATATCACTTCTGCTAATTTCGATTCTTTAAAGCGCGGCCATTGCAGCGATAGCCAAAACCACCCAGCTTTCCAAAAACCGTGCTACCGATGCAACATGGGAACCATTCTGGCTTTTCATTTCATCCTAGTTCGTCTTTAAATACCTACCCTATATATGTTCCTTCGCTGACTTTCATGCTATTAAGTATCGAGAGCGACCTTGTCATTATAGCCGCTTGTGCACCTACATTGCCAAAATTGATAAAGAGGATTCTTGGTAAAGAAACAGATGAATCAGCAGGCCCAGGATACCACTTTAACAAACCTACATCACAGGACTATCACCCGTTCGATAGTCAACGTAATTTCATCCTGATGAACCCTGTATAAGGCGGCTCTAAACATCAACTTGTTGCGTGTTTCTATTCGCAAAATAAGCTAAGGGTGTGACATAGTATGTCAGTCTAGTTGAACAAAACATTATGTATGCAATATATTATAAACGTGAGAGTGGATTGAGTTGCCTTGCATTGACTCACTGCTGGATGCTGTGAGATACAACCGTTGAGCCAAAAGTGTATTTTTTATTAGCACAATTGCTATTACAGTCTATCTGACACACCTCCTTAAATATTTACGACTTTGGACAAAGCTGGATCTTAGACTTTGCAACTAAAAGTTCGGGCTCTTATGCTATCCGAAGGGTGGCCTCATGTTCATAACAATTAGTTGCCCATTGTACTTTATTACTATTACCAAACATGACTTTCATCCCCCTTTACTCAGTGACCCCACGGTACTCTGCCAACAACCAACGCACAGGTTTTATATAGTTGGAAGCCTAGCCGTCACCAGCCTAGTGAAAGCCAAGTGCGCTAACAACTGTGGTAGACCTTCGATGCCGGTGGGTCATATATGGCTCTACCGTGGTGGGTGCCGTTCAGAAGAAGATTGTCGCAGGTTGTTGCTATTGTCATAGGCAGGTGGCTAGGGGCATTACTTGGCTATCAGCCATTCTACCAGAAATGGTCGACAGATTGGTCACTGGGGGAAGCCAAGATGAAAACGTCATGGATCTATAGGCGGGGCTTGACGAACGGTAAACAATGAATGGAAAATGGAAAATATTTCGGCGATACGACGGACTAGAACAACCCACTGCAGATAGCTTTTAGATCCTTAGAGATCAGTAGCATTTAATAGAGCCCGGTTATTTATGCCCTCTTGATATTACCAGACGTAGCCCCTTAAGCTTATAGCCTCAGTTCTCACCTAATAAACGTCACATTAATCTAACTGTAAGGCGAGCAAGGATTCATAGTAGTGGCTTATGGCAGTTGTACTCCGGATATATTATGCGTACCTATGCATGTTAATCAAGTCATGCCACCATTGCTACATTTTACCAGTGTGTCACCAACATGGTTGGGGGATTTTACAGTTATTTTGCAAGACCGTGCTCCCTATATGCATCCAAACGTGGGTTCCAACGTACAGTTCACCCAACCACCACGGCTATGGCCAAAGGGTAGCAAAAGAATCGAACAGAAAGTTTAGGCTATTCCTCAGCTAATACTTCCCAGATCTTCACTCTTGTAACCAATAGTATAGGTTACTGTCTCTGTGACAGTTGGGCTTCCAACTATGTAAGACCTGTGCGTCGGTTTCTGGTTGGCAGAGTATCGTGGGAATAAGGGTTTTTAAAGAGAGACATGATGTTTTCTAAGGACGATTGAGCAAGGAGGTTACGAGATATAACGAGGAGGATGACGATGGCTTCATTTTGTCTGGCCGTGTGTAAGGGGGGTTACGTAACAGCTATTACTGCGCTTTGCTGGGCGAGGCGCATTACTTGAAAGCGTTTCCTAATACAACATCGAATTACCCACATCTTCAAACCCTAAAGATTTAGTGTCAACCCCTTTACATTAACAACTACTACAATGATTCTCCTATGACACAACCCCACTCGGCCTTTATAAACCTGTCCTGTCCTTTTCTTTATATTTTTTATTTTTATTCTCATTTTTATTTTATTTTATTTTATTTTGGATCTATACACTTCCAAAAGTCGATTGTTATTCTAATTCAACATGGCCGTGAAACACATAGTCCTGTTCAGGTTCAAGGCCGACGCCAGCGCCGAGACCGTAAAAGAGGTCCGTCACAGCTAGCCCCCGGGTGCCAAAATGCTCTTCAGTAGCGTAACTTAGGTATACATGCTAACACCCCGCTCGACACGTAGGGAACCTCGCGCATGCTGAGCCTGAAAGAAGGGTGCATTCACCCGACGACACAGAAGCCATACATCAAGGCTCTAACTGGCGGGAAAGATATCTCTATCGAGGGAGCTGATGTCAGTCGGAACTAGTGTACCTATATAAAAAGAGAGTTGGGAAGAAGCCTGCTAATTAAGCTTCCTAACAGAACGGTATTACCCACGCCTTCGTTATGGAATTCGAATCCATCGAAGACCGAGACCATTACGTCAACAACGATCCGTACCATGCGGAGTTCAAGAGCTGGATCATATCCTATCTAGAGAAGTTTATTATTGTAGATTATGAGGAGGGTGTGTTTTGACTAGGTACCTAGGTTAAACCTATGGGGTCATCGGAGAATCTGGGGAAACTGGTATGATGCCAATTAGTTATAAAACTCCTTACCTGGGTTATGCGAAGATGCTCGGTCTATTCTCTAGCTCTCGTAGCCATATCTATCTGGTATCAATGATATAATCAGAATACCCCCCCAACCTCTTCATAGTCCTTGAAGAGAGAGCAACTCAATGAATGTACATGCATGATCTTCCAAACATTCAACGACCTAGGATTGATATGTTATGGATCCGTTGTGGATATGCTCTCTGCTCGTTTTGCAACCATCGCTTGGAATCCGATTTAACATGCCGCCGTAAAATATAAGCAACAACTCATGAAATATGCACCGATAGTCAAGCATGTCCCTACCGCAAATCCATTTCCTCTAAGCATCTTTTCACAATCCCCAACGCCTCATCCACCACCTCGTCCCCTCGCCGCCACGTATACAGCGCTACGCCTTGCGGCTCCAGTGTCTCCTGGGCACGTTGCAGCCGCCGGCGCCACAAGTCCAGCTTCTTGTTCACAGCCGCCGTCTGCCCAGTCGGGGTGTTGTTGGTATACATAGCACTACTGCCAATGCTAGGTGAGAGACCCTCGAACTCGGCTTCGGAGTCTCCAGTAGTCCGGCGGCGCGTCAGGGCGCTATCGCTGACGCGAGCCGGCGTAAGACGCGGGCTCGATTTCGTGGTCGTGGTGCCGGTGCTGGTGCTCGATTGTGTGCTTCGGCGCGGGGGTGGAGGTGGGGGAGGGATGATCTTGGATGATGAGTTAGGGGGAGAGGTTAAATTCGCCGATATTTGGCCGTTACTTCTAGTCTTTTTCAACCCTCTCAACGCGTCGTTTCCGCTAGCTTGGTCAGAGTGTGTCTGCATTTGCACCAGCGGGCTAGGCGTTAACGCTCTATTATTCGTCTGATTTGTCTTCCGCGGGGCTGGGGGTAGCGGGGGTGCTGAACCCGATATCTTCTTAGTAGATCCATCGTCGCCAGTAGTTAACACTGGAGCGGCCAGCGCGCTCTGCAGGGACTTTGGCTTTACGGGTTTTGGAGGCGGTGGTTTCCGTGCTAGGAGATCTGACGGGCGCGTAGCCATTCCTGTTGTCTGGGGCTCTGATTCAACTCGCCGAAGCTGATGTGGCTCGGGCTCTTGTTCTGGCTCCTCCGAGAGGTCGATCAGGTCGCCCATGACTGGTCCATCAGCCGGTTTCGGCATAGTTGTCGTCCGAGGAGGGAGTGGGGGTCTTCCAGTTAGATTCTTGTCCTTGCTGTCACTGCTACTACTCCTAGAGGATACTTGATTAGACCGAGTGTCTGAATTGGTGCGAGGGATGCGTCCCCCGTTACTATGCGCGTCGAATCCGGAATCGAAATAGCCTGTCTGTTCGGGTGTCGTAACATCGCGAATGAAAATAGCTAATATCCTTCCAGGGTTAGCAGCTGCCAACTCCGTATATACCTCGAGGTCGGCTTCGCCGCTATCGCCAACGAGAAGGAATTTCCTTTCCGGAAAATCTCTCATGATCTTCTCTAGCGTGCCCTTTTTCCGCTCAGCCACAGGCTCGAATATACCCTGGAGCATACCCGAATACTGCTTCAGGTGTAGCGAGCCAGCCGGCAGACCGGTTAACTTGAAATAGGTAGCTAAAACCGGGTAAAGCTGCCATGGACTATTAGAACAATAATGTATGCGCACACCAAGATCATGCAAGGCGGTATACCATGCCCGAACACCGTCCACAGTTAGGTCATTTAGGTCTCGAATAAAGGTATTTCGAAATATTTCCTTAGCACCGAGCGCGATATTCGAGCGCTTGATCGTGTCGTCGATATCGCTTATTAGGCTGACCCCCTTCGGCTCGATGAGCTGCACAGGCTCTGTGTAGGATAAGTCTTCGTTCGCAAGCACACGTACATGAGTGGGTATGAAATCAAGCGCCGCCCTGATCACGAAGTGCCCCGAATCATTGGTATTAACAGTACGCGACTGGGCTTGCGTATCATTGTAGAAGAACAAGGTAATAGGAATCTCAACCAACGGTGTCGTTAAGAAAGGAGCAATGCGAGCCATTAAATTTGCATTTGCAACGGCTAGCTCAGCTTCAGAGAGCTCTGTAGGTCCTGTTGTACCAGTGCGTCCTCGGAGAACAGGGGAGGACGGGGCGGAGGGTGGTGATGGATTGCCATCTTGTGAATACTGGTCTATGCGTCGCCTGTTTCCTTCGTCCTCGGAATCTTCGTCTCTCGGCCGTTCGCTATAGCTACCCTTTTGCGCGGCTTCCTCCTCAGCCTTACCCCTACGCTCAATTTCTTTGGCTTCTTGAGCGATCTTCTCTTGCTCGCGTTCCTCCTCGTGCCGTTCGTGTGTTCTCGCCAAAGAAGGTTCCACGGCCGTTTGGTCAGCCTGCTGCGCCCTTGGAGCGGGAATACCGCTTAATTGCCTCGCCAGACCAATCAATATTCGATTACGACGGGTCATTGGGCCCCTGTGAGGGATATATATCCAGCCCCGGACATCGACGTCTACGATAGCCTTCTCATCTTCATGTCGTGACCACTCGTTCTCCCAGTATTCCTGTTCATTCATACTGATGGTTGAAGTATGGGGTGGGCCTGCAGGATCATCGAATTGTCTCGGTTGACTCTTAATGTGCCTCTTCGCATAGGATGGAAATAAGACCATCTGCTCATTTCCGTTCGTCACAATTGCAACGTCGGGGAAGGCATCTGGTATGGTAATCCTGGATGCATCTGAACTATCCATATCCCTCGATCTCGTCTGGTAGTAAGACTCTTTGATCTCGTTTACCGCCGTGGCGCCAGCCCTGTACATGCTCCCTGCCATAGCTGCAAGCTTCCTCCTCCTCGCGCCTCTTTCGCGCCCGCCATCAGCGCCGTAGTTACCGCTCCCCACTCCATATCCCGACATGGATGTCATCTTTCCCGGCGTTGGTCTCGATCCATCTCCCGCGACTTTGGTATTGGGAGCTGGCAGGCCGAGAAACAGCCGTCGCGCGTGGTCGACAAGACGCGACTGCTCACGGCGACGGCGCTGACGGTCGAGGATGAAGCGATATATACGACTTTGGAGGCGATGTTTATAGTGAGGAAAAGTATCAAGATGGAGATCGATAAGTTTCTCGCGGTAGCGTTCGCGTAGGCTACGAGGGAAAAGATACTGGAAGAGGCTCTGTCGATGATGAGGATGAGGGCGTAAAGGTAGGATTCGACGTGACGGAGCCACTTTGGGGGAATTAAGGAAAATTAAATAATTCAATTCGATAGTACGGTTGGGGGGTCCTCTTCCAACTTATCTAACTTATTAAACTTAACACCTATAAGGGTACCTCCTAAGTAACCACATGCACACTCGTACCTGATAAATCGCAATATGACAAGGCTTCAGCCAGGTGACTTTATGTCTTCGAAATGCTGAGAAAGCCAAGTTTTAACAAGGACCAATTAAATTAACACATGGTTTTACGACACGAAGAGAAGTTGGACTAGAGGGTTAATTGTCGAGGTTAAATAAATAAATAAAAAATAATGAAAAAAAGTAATAAAAAGTTGGAGCTTGTCCTATTGAGTCTCACGGCCAGCACGGGACGATAAATTGTAGGTTTTTTTTTTTGGTGGGGGCCGCGCACTGGTGACATCAGTTATAAATCCTGACCCGATAAGTACACGATAATCAATACCTAGTACAACTGCAATAGGGGCATTAACAATACTAACGTTACACTGGGTATGTACAATACCTAAAAGTAGAAGGACATTTTGAACTGATCTTGACTATCTCTTTAAACTATGACTAGCAGAACAGCATTGAGGGTATAACTTAGGTAGGTTAGGTACCTTGTATTTTAGGTACTGTAAGTATATAGAAGCTGGGTATCTCAGAGAACCTCATATCAATCAGTACTTAACATTGCCTAAACTACCTCTTCCGTACCTTGCCAGGCTTTCCGGCCTTCTTCTTATCCTTCTTGAAATTAAGCACAGCACCTTTACCAGCCCTCTCGGCAGAGCCCTTTTTCCACATACCCTCCGCTCTGGTCGACCTCGCGTCCAGCTTCTTCTTATCCTTATTGCTTAGCTTGCCATTCCCTTTCTTCTTTAACGACTCCTTCAGTCCATTTAGCTCTGCTTTGCCAGCCTCCTTGGCCTTCTTCTTCTCGTGTTGCGTTTCAAACCACGTCCTCTTCGGCCGCGACTTGATCTCATCCTCGTGAACAACCATATTCTCCCCCTTCTTTATTTGCATCTCCGCCTGCGCCAACTTTTTCTCTTCCTTCTCTTCCTGAGCAATTGCCTCAATCTCGTCAGCCAACTCGTCGATCTTGGCTTGCCATTTATCAGCTTCGGCTGGATCGATAATCAAACTACTGATCTTGGCTCCCTGGGCCTTTCCTGCTCTTACCGCTGCTTTTACAACCTTTCGGTCGGGTTCCGCAGCTAGCGTGATAGCAACACCAGAGCGCCCAGCTCGTGCAGTACGCCCCACGCGATGAACATAGATCTCGAGGGTTTGTGGGCCTTCATAATTGATAACGGTATCTACACCTTTAATATCAAGACCTCGAGAAGCTAGATCAGTAGCAAGTAGGAAAGATACTTTGCCATCTCGGAAGGCTTCGACACTAGCAATTCGCTACAGCTTGTTAGAAACGGGCCGATAGACTATATCAAGAAGAACACTCACTTGTGCCTGGTTCATGCTCCCATGTAATTCAGCGCAGGACAGGTTAAATAAGGCAAAGATAATGCGAGCACGATGCGCCTCCTTCTTCTGCCTGAAAAATATGATGACCCGCTCAGTATGCATTGTCTTGCAGACATGGATGAGATAGCCCATTCTTTTCTCTTCCCGACCTGGTCTCAACCTAACAAATTTCTGTTCCAGCTTGTCATTCGTTTTTCTTTGAGAATCTACCATCACTCGTACCGGTTTATTTAAACCAGCGCGGATGAGTCTATCAACGGAAGAAGTCATAGTAGCAGAGAAAAGCATCGTTTGCCTTGACTTAGGTAAGGTGGTAAGGATTTCGTTCAGTTCGTCGGCAAAACCATCCTCGAGCATTCGGTCTGCCTCATCTAGGACTAGGATTTCAATCGTATCCGTCGAGAAGCTGGCCGAGTTCCGCATATGATCGATAAATCTACCCGGAGTGGCAATAATAACGTCAGGTCGTAGACGTAGTTCCGCTTCCTGAACTTTTAAGCTCAACCCACCAACAGCCAAACAGAACTTGATATCTGTATGGCTGGCCAGCCTAGTTGCAACTGCGTGGCACTGAATAGCGAGTTCTCGGGTAGGGGTTAAGATCACTACGCGGCTTGTAGGGATTTTATTCGGTCGATACAGTAGTCGTTCTAGGATGGGAACGACGAATGCGGCAGTCTTTCCGGAACCTGTAACCGCACCACCAACGAGGTCTTTACCCTCTAATGCGAGCGGTATCGTTTTTGCCTGGATTGGAGTAGGTTCATTGAAGCCGACAGAATTGAGACCGCGCAATATCGGTCGAGAAAGCGACATGGTCTGGAAAGAAGATTTCCCGTTTTTCTTTCCAGCTGGTTTCTTCTCCTCGGGTGCGAAGAAGGCCGCTCTCTTAGCTGCTTCTTCGGGGTCTTCTTCTTCGTCATCCGTTTCGTCAGATTCTCCTTCATCGTCGGGATGATCGACGGGGGTCGCGACAGAATCATTGTCCGAAGCACCATCCTCCTCATCACCTTCATCCTGTTCAGACTCGCCCTCGTCTTTCTCATCACCTGATTCTTCGTCCGAAGCAGCGCCCATTCCAAATCCATCTTCAGCTAAAACTTCGTCGTCCCGATCGTCAAGTTCGATGTCTTCATCTTCAATTTCGCTACCGGCGCCATCCGCGACTTCATCCTTCTTGCCATTGCTCATTTTCGCATCGCTTCCGTCGATACCTCTCCTTCTTCGCACGATATCATCTACGTCAACAAGTCTCTTTGTTGCGTTCCCATTCATACCCTTCTTCGCACCATCGAAGCCCCAGCCCTCGAAATCCTCGGCCCTAAAGTCTGTTGTGCCATCTTCTGCGAACTCAAAGTCTGAATCCATCGCTCCATCATCTTCGTCTTTCTTGCCCCAGGCACCATTTTCCTCGTCGTCTGATTGAGTAGCTCGCTTGTTCTTCTTGGCCTTTTTCTTCGGTGGGTTCGGTTCCGGTATTATCTCCTCTTCGTTAGGAAGCTCGTCATTATCGGATAGGGTATATATAAAGTCGTCGGCCTTACGCTTAGAAGCCATCTTGATAATAGTGCCGGTGCTTAGAATTCGGTGAATTTTTTTAGCCGTAATAAACAGTGGAATTGAAAAAAAAAAATCAGAGAAAATCCCGGTAAATTTATTTTTATGCCGGGCGGTGTAGATCTTAGATCTAGTCCCCGCAGCTCCGCCATGTGGAAAGCTTTATGCATTTATCACCCCTCATGTATTGTACGAGGTCCCACCGATATGGTACAGAACAGGTGTAGGTACCTAAAGTAAGGTACCGATAAGGTATAAAAAGTATAACTAAGGTAAACATTAGAACTTGTCAATTACAATTTCAACTACATATTTCTATTGCTCTTCTTCAAAATAATAACGACCTATATAGATTAATGTATAAATCAATATATAAATCAATAAGTTGTGCAAACATACAAAATTCATCCTAGGTAGCATTATATAGAAGGTTACTTAAGTTATCTAAACAATCCCTCGATTAGGCATGACTTCTAGAAAACATGGTGTTGTCATTAGTTGAGGTGCATGATGGGCGAGGTCTGTTTGGCTTTTACGGATTACTGCCGGTGGTGGAGGCTATCCTGAGATGAGCTTCAGTCACTTTCTAACTACAGACAACCCAGTCCTATAAATGAGGTTCACGTCCACATTATCCTGGATCCCAACAGCAATCCGTAGAAATGATAGGTGCTTAGGTCACATTTGAGCCAGTGGAACTTGATACCCTCGAGAGCTATAAGCCATAAGAGTTTCACCCGGTATACCATGTAATACCTTGGTGAAATGTTCTCAGGGATTTATGGGGATACAGGGATCGACCGGGTAAAGCTAAGCTCTATCGTCTATATAAAGGGTAGCCATCTCCCTCGCAAGAGGATGAAACGCCAGGCGTTACTAGTTTAACCCAATACACCATATGTACGACCGTGACACTCACTCTGTATACGATATCCGTCACAGACATAACCTGAAAATGTTCGAGAACTGTCAAGCTGTTCATAAGCTCAAGACTAGTGGCTTCTCTGCCGTTTGGTTTACTTAAGAGAACAGTGCAAATCTATAGGTCATCCGAATACTGTTTCTGCCGAAGACTCATCTACGCACCATAGAGTTGTTCTATGAGCCTGTCAGGTTATGCCTGTGATGGATGTCATATACAGAGTGAGTGTCAGGAGCATATTATGCAGTCCATTATAGTGATCTAATAACACGCGGCCTTCTAACCTCCCTCGAGGGAGCTGACTCCCATTTATAGACAATAGACCCCTGTAGTATCTACATATCCATGACAGAGCCGAAGGCATTCTAGCACGGCTTCAGCCCCCTCCACCCCTTTTTCTTTTCCTTTTTCTCTAAAAAAAACGAAAAGGAAAAAATTATAACATTGTTATTTTAGAAACTTTAGGTACCTTAGGCTACTTGGGTAGTTATCGGCGCTTGGCTCAGAAACGTTAGTGTTTTTACCTGTCGCGGTCAACCTCCCCTCCCCTCCCCATGGGGATCTTTACCTCGGAGCTTGGCAACATGGCTGACTACCTCCTAGGTAGGTACCCGAGAACTAACAACCCAACAAAGAGGAAGCAGGATTTCCCTCATTAGCCAATCCCCGATCCAGAAAGGTTGCCTCCACTAGCTGTTAAGTAACACAGTTCCAGTGGTTTGGATGAATGCAGTTAACTTATAGGGGTATATTCGTGATACTAAGCTCTTTGGACCAGTGAAGATGGTGATGGGCCAGTTCGTTCCATGGTACGATTCTGAGCGAATGATTCGATAAGTGGTCAGTACGAATACGGAGCAATGACATATAGTAGGCAGAAGCCAATATCCTTTTTTGGTATATGCATTGCGACGTACCTACCTGTGTGTCCGACCGCAGCTAAAAGTAACAGTGGCATGCTGCAAGGTGACCTTTCTAATCTGTCACATTTGCTTGTATTGTACCAATGGCCGAAGGGGTATGGGTTCGGTTGGAAGAAGGTCGATGGAAGCGAAAATGGAAGATTCCCCTCTTAGACGACTGCAACACTGGAAGCTCTCATCAACCCTGTTCTTTTCCATTTTCTTTCTCGTCCTTACCTTTTTCCTATTGTACTTCTTTTTCCGACCGCGTGACCTTTGGAATTTTACCTTTTTAGAAGTAATGCTGACAGCTAACGTGCTGACTATTCTTGGACGTAACTAGTGGATATTAAATAGGTACACTACGAAGCATGTTCGTATTAAGCCCCATGAGCTCTCTCTGTTCCTCTAGCTAGTGTAGTATAACTACCTCCTACCTGTGAAAAACATGTCCCGGATTTGATGCTCGTTAACGTCTGGAGTATAGACGTTGGACTTCTAAGAGGTATAATATACCTAACAGTAATAGTAAAAATACCTAGTATGTATGTAGTATTGGTATCCCCGCCCTTTACTTCTTTCAAATGGTTGTCCTCATTGCCATCACCCCAGATCTATTCTCCGTCTAGGCGTAGCATGTGTTCAATCTTATAGGTACACTGCTATGTACCTAACATATGCTCTTCCCCCAGCCTGTTCTTCAACTTAGTTCTTGGTTCGCTAATCACAGCCCCACCAGAAACAGCTGAGGTCTAAGACGTTAAGGAATAAGAAACGTGGTCTCCAGAATACTGTATTTCTGCAAGGTACCCCTGTGTGTAGAACTACTTGGTTGTCAACTTATTAGGTACCTCTTAACTCACATACATTTTATAGAACTAGAAATGACGATCCTGTTCATCATTGCTAGATAGGCAAGCTAATTTGCCGTGAGCTGGTAATCAATATATCCTTCTTACCTTCTCGGGCACTGACCTATATAATACTACCCAAACACTATATAGAAGGTTATGCGGGAGCTCTCGGTTCTCCCAGCAGACGGGATTGGCTCTTAATTCTGGTAATTTGGGTCTACGAAGTACCGTTGCAAATAATAGCTGAATGCCGCGTATGTTAGGTGCTGCTGCTTATATTCCGTCGTTTTCCTGGTTAAGCCGAGACAGAAACGCGGAAAGAAAATACCACGTCGTAAGCTCATGTCTTGGTGACGGCGAGGATCAATGGGGTAGGATGTGGGGAAGAGAAAAAACGGGCTTCGGCAGAGTAGCAGGGCTAACAAAAGCCAACCAGTGGACGATTCCGGGTTTGGCAAACTCCGGGATTCAGCCCGCCCCGGAATGTCTCTCTATCTCCATACTGGAGTTAGGGGAGTCTAATACCAATTCGTTGACCGTCGCTTGTTTCATTACGAAAACAAAATATATACCACCTCTGGGTTTAATATAGGATTCCCTGACTTGCACCGCAATTGTGGCGACTTCGGGTTTCTCGACGTTCATCTGCTAAAGGTGCGGTGCTGTACATACAGTATAATAGCTAGTACACCCTATATGGACGGATGTGACCTTACGAGTTACCTGCTGCCATACCCTTTCTACTGCGAGTTCCTACTTGCGTATCACTCACTTTGTACCTCATCATTTCCAAACCAATAGCAAAAGAATGAAACGCCGGGACTATGTATGTCAATTAGACCGCCTGGCGCTCATTGAATACTTGACTCCCCCCTCCATCATACGATTCTGGTTCTCGCATTCTCTATTCTGAGATCGATCCCCGGCTATCGTTTCATTTTAGCCACTCAGACGGCGCTCTTAACTTCACCCACATGATTCGGCCTTCACGTGTATGATACTGCAGAGGTTCTCCCCATCCCTCCCTACCTCTCTCTCTCTCTCTGTTTCTCCGGCAAACTAATCCCTGCATTTTACATATTTGCCTAACCTACGTACCTTACTTATGTATTCATACCTTGTTAATATGGTGTTAGTTAGAAAGGAATAAAATATATACAATCAAAGATAAAAAAAAAAGCACTGCCCAACTTCAAACAGCGAACATCTGCTCTCCCACCGGACGAGGAAACCCTCGCTAACATCCGTCATCTGACAAGCCATCATCATACCTAACCCATCGCTCGCTGACGCTGACCACAATTTCGGTCCTTTTCAATTGCGAATATGCTCAAGGCTGTACGAAATCCAATGTATACAACTTAGATCTAGCTAATAGTTACAGCTGGTCTTCTTTTTAAATAGTCCTACATTAGGTAGTTTGTCACGATCCTAACATTAAAGCTACCTAGCTACCTACCTAGGTAGGTATAGGTAGCTACGTACAACTTATAATGCACACTCTGTTCTCCGAATTCTCTCTCCATGCCCGCAGGATCTGCGCCTCGTGCCACTTGCAGCATGACCCCAGCAATAGCCTAGGAAAGGTAGGTAATTCGTGACCAGCACCCCGGGATACCCAAAACTACCAGCCTAACTGGCCCCGGTGCGTACCTACTGTATTGTACTATACAATACAATACACTGCCTGGGGAAAAGGGACACACACACACACAGACGCCATACTATATACGTTCAGTACCAGCTATCGGGACCTTGCCACCCCTCGAAAATAAGGCATCCCCAAGCCCAATTATCCCATGTATGTACTACTCTGAGATTACCTTTCCCCGGGTTTTAAACGGGGGCGAGGACCTTCAGCGTCTCCGTTCGTCCCTCTCTCTGTCTCTCTTAACTATTATCATTATTATTAAGCCGCCTAGCCAATATCACTGTCTCGGCGCATTCCCACTTCCCCATCTAACTACCCGTCACATAAGGAGACAGTTGCAAATATCCGATTTTTACAAATCACCAACGGAAATAATTATGTTTGACGGCTCCTTAGTAATCTAACCTACGGACTCGATATTCCTTTCCATTTTGGCCTGCGCGGAAGAGAATATCGTGCTTCGACTAGTACTCCTATCCGTGTTTCGACCTACTATTAAGTACCTGAGTTTGATGAAACAGCGCGGCTTGCAACTTGGATCGTCTCGCCCAGTCACTCGCAGCATATTTACGTTAGCCGTGCATCGATACCTGCGTTAATCGAGGATTAGCTCCAGTGGGTGTATCAAGTTGCAATTGCTCCCTAGAATCTCATATAACCTGACGTACTACGAGGACACAAAACTCTATGTATATACGCGATCATGACATACTTCCCAACTTGAGCCAGAACCCCCTTCCTCCTCAGTTCAATATCATCCAGCGTTGATTCCTTGCCTGACAACACTCACCCCACCCATACATATCGGCCAGGAGGTTTTTCTTCTCGGCATCAGCCGGATAGGGTTACTATGGTCGTTAAGTTAGATGCGCACCAGACGTCCCTGGAGCCCTTCGGACTACCGTGGTCCTCGTGCCACACACGCCACCCAGACGGCAACCCCGGCCTAGGAAATAGTACCAGGTATCACTACTTGCGGATCAGCGAGTCGGCGCCCAATTCACCACCAGGCATCGTCCGGGCTCTTAAGACCGAGGTCAGCAACGGTAGCGGGGATGATGGTAGCAGCGAAAGTAAGAGCCAGGAATGTATCAACCGCAGAAGTATTGGCGTCAGCTCTTGCTTGCCGAAGATTCAAATAGAACCCCAGCCATGTGGCTCTCGAATATCCGCTGCGGCGCTCTTGACGGAGAGCCGACCGAAGCCCAAGAAGGCGAACTCGTCCCCGGTAGTTTTGCAGTCGCAGTCCGGTTCTAGCGAGGAACGCCAGGAAGAGCACAGTAATGATGTACCACTGACACCCCGGGTCGATTCGATTCGACTCCCAAAAGCAACGACGTTAAACGCAGTAGTACCAAGGGGGGAAGAAAAGGAAAAAACGGTCTTTTGCTTCCCCCGCGACCTGTTCGTGCCTTCGTCCCATACTTTCCGGCTCCCTAAGCGGGGCCGTGCGTTTCACGATGTTGACGGACCCGGGACGAGTGGACTCTCGCGTAAGAAACGAAGGCTCCGGTTGCACCTTGTAACGAGCAGGCTCTCACAGCCATATTCATGGCCGGCAACACATATTATGAACCGCGAAAGCGGTGACGACTCACCTGTGCTCAGCCAATTTCTCAAGTTCGCCGCTATGGGCTCCTTGAAGAGAGCCGGTCATCAAAGCGCGCTAATCCGCAAAGCAGCTATCCTTAATAGAGTGAGGATAGGTGTGCAGCAGGCCGCTGTGCTGAGAGGCCATACAGTGATTGCGGGGATGGCAGCGAGTGGAAACTCGTTGAGTCATGGCTTACAGCTGGTGACGACGTCGAACAACTCGATGGGGGCAGGATTCCCGGGTCTCGCACCTAACCCTTACGATCATCCAATACCCCCAGCCTGGAGACCTCATACAACGTTATTTAGTCCGTCAAATCCCAGTTCGACTCCTCCGGACCGGGGCAATTCTGTGAATCAAAAAGAAAGCTCTGAGAATAGCAGTCCGAGTCTAGCAGCGGCCTGCTCATCTCCGCCAGAGCGACCAAGTGTACAGTCTAACTCAATAGACACATCGCCACCAATGGAAGAAGACGACGTGGCGTTTCCTTCTCCAGACCTTGAAACCCGATATGCGGATTATTCAGATGATGACCTAGACAATGTATATGCTGATTTTGGAGTAATATTTGGTTCCGGTGCGCGGTCGCCTGAAGATGGTAATGGAAATAGTGAAACATCTAGTGGCGAACACTTTTATGAGGAACACTTGGATGAGCTGGATGGGATACGATGGATAGCCTAAGACGTTGCAAGGAATGTCTTAACTGTTAACGCCTTGTGTGATATGTGCTTCAGGGAAATATCAGAAATTGGGCGTTCTAGTGGTTGGAGGGAGGCAAAAAGGCTACATCGAGGTATATGGCAATGGAAACAAGGGAAAGAAAGTAAGAAAAAAACATCAAATGCATCGTCATTAGGAATAAAGACCTACTGCAGCCTCGCGGCAGCTTTAAATGATCGGAACTTGAATAGTGATTGATAAGGAAACATCTTTCGAGGAGGGTTGGTAAATAAGGGTGTTACTGAGTGTCCAGGACGTGAGCGTTAAAGAAGCATTCGAGTATCGAAGTACCGGCCAGCTAGACAACGTTCTAGTTTGCTGCCTGTAGCTTCTTCGCGCGATCTAGAGCAATATCGATCATGGCCTAAGATATGGATTGAGCCAGAATGCGTCAGCAGAGTAGGACATATTTATACTTAGTGGATCATATTTTTCTAGATGAAGCTTAACCTACCTGAATGGCTTCTTTCTCCTCGGCGAAGATATCACCGCGGTCAATGCGTTCCCGCATATCTTGCATCACAACATCACGGCCCCGGCCATTTACAAACACTACGTATCGTAACCCAGGGAACCGAGCCTCATACTCCTCATTCAGAGCCTTAAGCCTCGCGGCCTCTTCTTCCTCGTCACTTGAGGTGCCAGATGTGTTAAGGTGTGCCTGTTCAGCACGGCTCTGTGCACTTTCTACCTTCTTCTCACCTAGACGCGGATGTGAGCCCAGGATTGCATGAAGCTCTGCTCGTGAGCCAAGAATCGTCGAGCTTTCCGCTAACAGGAAGAGGAGGTATCCAACATATTCGATCAGAGACGAGTAAGATGAGAAAGGGGTGCTGATGCGAATGTGCGGGATAGCTATGAGGTGAAGATGTTGTGATGGTTCGAAAAGTGCATCAAGTACGGACTTTATCTCGTCATCACCAGCCACTTGAAGTGAGGTAATGGGTGGTAGTATCATAGAGGCCATACTGGAAGATGTTGCACATATGCTGCTGTAGATAGATAAATAATAATACAATGCTATTCTAAGTGAAGGATAAACAGGGAATAATGGGAATCTAATATGAGAAGCTCGCTATAATTCAATTATTTTGTATTATTATTAAGTACTTCGAGGGTTCTATATCGTCCAATAGCACCTCCGCGCTAAGGTTGTGGTTGTTCCAATCCAAATGATTGCTCAACGGTGGGGTAAAAAGGTGGGGGTTAGATTACCGACGACGATACGATCTCTTTTTGGGGGGAATGTACCTCTTGTACCCACCCAGATTATTTTAGCTTAAAAAGAGAGCCTTAACTCAATCTAGGCATATGATCTCATTGAGGCTTCAAGCTAGATTACGGATAAACCACGGGCCGTTAATGTGCATAAATGTAGACAGAGACTGGAAACGGGCGGGTCAACTTCGGTCTATTTACTTTGAACCAATCATTTGAAAGTCAACATTGCGCGGGAACTTGGCGAAGCTTTAGAGCTAGCAACCGCTGACCTTGGAAATTTTATTGATTGAAGCTCAGCCTAGCCAGCAACTAAACGTAATCAGACTCAATCATCACCAGTCTGTTATCCACGATGCTGTGCTCTCGTAAGTATTAGCCTGGCATAATTATTTTATAGATTTTACCTTCTAATGCGATATAGTTTCCGGTGAAGCTCCTCAAGAGCCGGTTGTTTCCAAGTTATCAGGTACGTTCGAGTAACGGTACTCGCTTTGTTTGCGGCACTGGATAACTAACGTATTGTTTAGGTGCTGTATTTGAGAAGCGACTCATCGAGAAGTATATCGAAGAGAATGGAAAAGACCCTGTTAGCGGCGAGGACTTAACCGTCGACGATCTTCTACTCATCAAATCTTCACGCGTCGTGCGACCGCGACCGCCTACTCTCACTTCCATACCAGCCCTTTTATCCACCTTTCAGAACGAATGGGACGCGCTGGCGCTAGAGACCTACAACCTTAGGGAACAGCTCGCACGGACGCGAGAGGAACTTGCGACAGCCCTCTACCAACACGATGCGGCTGTACGTGTCATTGCAAGATTGACCAAAGAACGAGACGAGGCTCGAGATGCGCTATCCAAGGTGACCGTTTCGGCGGGCGGCGCAAGCAGTGGCGACGCTATGGCGGTGGATTCTGAAGCTTTACCCGAAGAGCTAGCAGCCAAAGTAGACGAGACTCAAGCGAAGTTCGTACTACCATTTCCTTCTATTTCTATGATTTAGCTAACACTGCAAATAGACTATCTAAGAGCCGAAAGAAGCGACCTGTCCCAGAGGGTTGGGCAACAGCAGGGGATGTTGCTTCGTTCACAGTCGAAACCACAAATTCCCTTCCCGTTCCCCAAGCTACAACAGTTAGCGTCGAGGCCACCTATGCCGCTGTAGGCGGATTGCAGGGCGACGTTGCCATCTACTCGATTGATTCGGACAAGGTTGAGCGTTCACTACAAATCAACGAACCTGTGACGGATTCAATATGGGACGGCTCCAGGGTCTTCTTGTCGACTTCTAAGGGCTCTGTGAAGGTGTTCGAGAATGGTAGCGAAATCGCGTCATTCGCTGATCATGCCGGCCCAGCCACCGGTCTTTCCATTCATCCCAGCAAGGAAATTTTAGCGTCTGTCGGCGCCGACAAGAGTTTCGTATTTTATGATTTAACCAATTTGAGTCGCGCCACACGCGTATACACTAATGCTAGTAAGTCAACCCTTCCAACCCCCAATATCAACATTTTTTACTCAAATTCCTTGCAGCTTTGACGACTTGTGCCTTCCATCCCGATGGCCATCTTTTCGCCGCTGGCACCAGCTCTGGCGAGATCAAGTTATTTATGACGAAGACCGGGGAGGAAGCCGCCTCGTTCAACTTAGGGGCTCCTGTGCAAGCTATCACTTTCTCCGAAAACGGCTTCTGGTTTGCGGCTACAGCAAAGGGACAAACCACAGTGACTATATTCGACCTGCGCAAGGAGGGCGATGCTGCCCAAGCCAAGGTGTTGGACATCGGAAGTGCAGTGCAGAGCCTAGCCTGGGACTACTCTCAGCAATTCCTCGCAACGGCTGGGCCCGCTGGGGTGACAGTACAACAGTACAACAAGAGCTCCAAGTCCTGGTCGGAGCCCTTACGAGCAGCAGTTAGTGCAGTCAGTGTTAAATGGTCTACAAATGCAAGCAAGCTCGTGGCTGTTAATGGAGACGGAGTAATTAGTATTCTTGCGGCTAAGGAGGCGTAATTTGGGCTGACCGTCACGGTTTAAAGACGCGATCAAATAAGAGGAAAAATTGGCCACAGTAGGCAAAAAAAAGATATCTTAAATAATCATCCATCCAGTGCTGGTTATGATATCAAAGGCTAATCCATGTATAATATAGAAAATGAATGGGTCAATAGCGATACACTTGAGATTTTCTGAGGTTGCTTTAGGTACCTACCTAGGCATCTAGGTAGTATCAATAAGTCAAATGGGCGGGCCTATGTAAAAGGCATACTTGAGACATGGAAAAAGATCAAGTTTTCTCTGCCACCTAATGTAATGTAAATATTTTATGAAAAGCCTCCTTATTTGACAAAAGCCTAGTACAATACAATACACCTCTACATTCATATGTATGCAATAGGCTTGGCGCATAAGGCTTCTAGCCTCTAGGTGCGGCTAGTACCTAGGTATCAGTCAGCTCTGTGGGGCAGAGCCACCTTGCAGCTGGAGATAAGTGCAGAAGTAAACGCAGCAGCTTTAGCCTTTGGTAATGCGGCGTCATCCCTGCGTAAGAAGTAACCAGGCAAGTTACATAGTACGTACCTGTTGAGCGGAAACCCTGGCGCACGGTATTGTACATAGATACCTAATTGTACAGTAAAGATCCCAACTGCAAGGCTCGGGTTAATGTGAATTTCGCCATTAACATTGCCATCACTCCTGACAATTTCTACTTGTTCTTGCCTCACAATAAATTTAACCCAAAACAATCCGGGTTCACTCTCCCTTATACCCTCTCACTCCTCATCTTTTTCTAACATACACCGTCCAAGTATAACACTTCCGCATTTGCAACTTCTTAGTTGCCTCGCAGCACCTGCGACGTGGCGGCAAGTGTACGAAATACGTTGACGTAAAAATACTACCTACTATTTTATCTTAACTTTGCTATGAGGCAGGCGATGTCCATTTGACTCATGATTGATGGGTGTCTAGTAAAATGATAGTACGGGGTTGATTATCACAACTGTCTTCAATCTCGGTCCCGTAAGGGCAGGTCTATCTGGTCGGTAAGGTCCCGCACAATCTGCTATTTATGTTTGTTTGCCTGCTTGCTTGCACAGTTCATACTTCGAACGATTCTGTAAAATCTGTTGCTCTACTATTTTTTTATTTTTTTTTCACATACTGACGTTTAATGTTTTTCTACCATTCAACAGGTATCTAGAGTAATTTCGATATGGCCGAAATTGCCGACTCTGATCTTGGAGATCCTTTGTCTTCGACTCCTCCCGGCTTTGTTGCGAGCCCTACACCAAGCCCTACGTTGTCGCTTCAAAGTACAGACGACGGTTCAAACTCTATTATGTCCGAGTCCTCCTTTGATGTTCGACCAGAGCCTCGACGTCTTTACAATCAGATACCCCCACGTAGCAGCAGTTCAGCTCCTCGCACCGTATCTTCCCCCATACCATCTAGTGATCCAGAAGAAATCGTAGACTTCATCGACCGAATTTACCATTTCGGATCCCCGATAGACAGCGACGATCCCCTCTTGGAGAACGCATACGGCCATCACATAGACCTCGATATTGATTTAGCCGACGAGTACGATTCAGAAGAAAGCTTGTTTGTGAACGGCCGCCCCGACAGAGACGGTGATATTGATCTAGTTGATCGCCAATCCCTCGATTCTTGGCCGAGCAGTCCTGAATATAACGCCGTAGAAGATTATATGCCGCTCAGGATGGATGGACGTAGAGAACTGGAGAACTTGAGAGACGAATTGATAGCCTTCGAGGTGGAGCATGGTCGTACCTCCGCTGCTCGGAGACAAAGACAACAGCAACCTCAAAGAGAACCTGAGGTTATCGATTTGACAGGCGATAGCCCCCTCCAACCTGCACCTCGAAACCGCATACATACCCTTCGCGGACGACGTTCACAACAGCGGGGCACCCCACCACGATTAGAACGAAGTGATGCTAGCTACATGAACCCTCAGACCGTTATCAACCTCGTTTCTGATTCCGAAGACGAACCTGAAGCAATGCCGCCTCCCAGAAGAAGTGTTCCCCCTCCTCCTAATCCCCCCCAGGCGGACTTGGCCCGAAACCAAAATCGAATGCGACCAGGACGGCAACCAATGCAACCCGATCGCATGCCTGGCCGCTATCCTTTTGACCAGATTCAAGAACTTATGAATCAAATTCCTATGTTCCGTATCTTCAACCCAAACCCTCTGGTAAACAATCACGACGACGATATAGTCCTACTAGGCCATCGCAACGTAATGCAAGATGTGATGCCGCAGCCGAACCTCCCCCCGGTAAACCTTGACTACGACATCCATCCCTTTGCTGCGATGGCGCCACCCGTGCCTGGAGGCGCTAATCCGAAGCCCGCGCATGAACCTCCGAAGGAAACAAGAGCGGGCTTCACGAGAAACACTGGCGAGGATGTCGTAGCCATCTGTCCTAGTTGTGAGCAGGAACTAGCATATGACCCGGATGGTGACGGAGGCAATACACCCACACCGTCCAAAAGAGCTCGTACAAAGAAAGACAAAGCTGAGCACCACTTCTGGGCGGTTAAGGCCTGTGGACACGTAAGTATTGATGCGGCTCTCTTTCCAAATGTCCAAGGCACTAACATTTGTTCAGGTCTACTGCAAGAAGTGCTACGAGTACCGCAAGTCGACGGCCAAGAACCGCGTCCCCGTGGGTTTTCGACCTGATCCTAGCGGTGCCAAGAATAAGGTGATGTGCGCTGTCGAAGACTGCGATTCGGATGTAAGCGCGAAGGCTGCCTGGGTCGGCATCTTCCTATGACGGAGGGGCCTGTCTTCACTTTGCCCCTCCAAATTGATTAAGTCTAGTCTGGGGATGCTGGATACCCGACTCAAGATAATTCTACGGCGTTGTGACACTTCTCCGGTACTCATATTTGCATCATAAGGCGTTCCGTTAAGGCAAGGGTATAAACGTGGGATGACGGTCGGAAGGGAACTGGGTAGGGTCGATATCCCCATACTTTGTCTACATTTTACTTTTCTCCTTGTCTTTTTTTTTTCTTTTCTCGTGGCCCTTGGCATACGTGTATTTTCATAAATACAGACCTGATTACGGACACTAGCCTCTCCATACTACCACAACAACCTGAGTCGGTCATCGTATGAAAAGAAATACGGTGGATATAAGATGTGGGAGTGGCGGGTTTGGTTTAGGTAGGTACTTAGGTCGCATTGCGTCGTACTCTAGCCTACTAGACGGCTTGCGAGAGGCTTTCAGCCAGTCTATAAGTAATTAGAGGCATCGTTATGTTCCGAGAAGCCTACTGGAATCACGGCGTACATTTCTAATGATTGATTCGTCAACAGAGTATGTAGTTGTAGTGCAGTATGTACCATATTCACGGAAGGGCAAGGCAACTTTAGGTACGGTACCACGGCAGAGGCTACATCAAGTTAAGAAAGATAAAAATAAATATGTAGTCCAAGCTAAGAAGTAAGCGAAGCGAGCCATGACTAAAGAACGAGGGTCAGGCATTTTATAAGGCCATGCTTGGACTCTGGAGTAGGTATGCGTATAGGAGGGACCTATCTTATTTATACCAACCTTGCCTAACTCTATGCAAAATATGCACGTTAAACACAGGCGGATAGCAGGTACATGTAGGTACCTAAGGTACATGATCAATCCTACGGCACTCTATGCGCCCAGGAAGCCAGGTACGGACTTTAGGTAGGCACAAGGTCGTAGGGAAATCGCGAGAGGGTTGCAGGGTTTAGTGCTGACATAAATCGCCAACCCGAAGATCTCGTTGGCCCTGACTCTTTTTTTAAAAAAAACAACAGGACTCAGAAGAGGGCTGACTCTGAAAGAAATATCTTCAATCTTGCTTAGCTGAGAAAGGGTCACCGTTCATTATTACTAATATTTTCCGTACAAAGATCCGACCTTAATGATTATACCTCTCAATCCCCAAATCTGTTCACTCCATTCCGTATTCCGTATTTTGTTTTGCATCAATGAAGCAGCTCCATCTAACCTCTAACCTGCTTAGATGTCTAATCTAAGCCATCTCTCTAACCAGCCCTGATTGATGATATTCGGATATAACTACCTAACCTAAGGTATCCTGTATATATTTCGTTATATATCATACCCACCCCGTACATCCCTGGTTTCTTTTTAGATGGTCTACTAGTCGCCGACTATGTTCACCACTTTCCTAGGACCGACTCCACGATCTAGTGAATCCGGTCCGAACTCCGCTTCTCCGAATGGGTCACAGCCTTCACGGCCCCGCCAGAAACGTAGCCAGGTAGCGCGTGCCTGGTAAGTTGACTATACTTCTATAGTTCTATGGATCTAATAAACCTATACATGTTATGCTTCTGTCCTTTTACGTCATCTCTTATTGACTTTACCTAGTGATTACTGTCGCGTACACAGAATCAAGTGCGATAATAATCACCCATGCCTCAACTGTCAGACTAGAGGAGGCCAGTGCAGTAATGACCGCACAAATGGTGTTCGCACTCTCCCCCATGCATTCCGCGAGATAGAGCGGCTTAAGCAGCGGAACCAAGAGCTTCAGAAGGAGCTCGAGGAGGAACGCAGCCGTAATAGGGGTCAACCCGTTACTCCGGCCAGACCTTCGACCGCACAGCTTCCTACTCCCCCAAATATATCATCTTTATCAAGCACATCTATCACAACCCCACCGACTTCTTCTACAGGTGACGCCATATCTTCAAGGAGATACTGGGAAGGTATTTATACTAATACGGCAAGATCCGCGTCCAAAACTTGGTACGGACCTTCATCCTTACTCTATTTCATTAGTCGCCTGAACGACTTCTTGGCTTCAACACTACAACAGCATCTTCCTGAGAGCTCGCTGCATCCAAACTCAGCCAGCAGGATACTTGATGGCCCTACGAGCCCCCCGGATAAGCAGTCCAATGGACCTGATCAGGTACTAACTGATGATTCAATCAAGGCTAGGGAGTACTTGACCGCTACACAGGAAGAATATTTCCTAGACTTATATTGGCAGTCACATCACACCTCTCTGCTGGTTCTTGATGAGGATGATTTTAGACGCCATTATAAATCATTATGGGTTGGATCCAGAAAGAAGCGCAAACCGTCGGCCCTCGTTGACATCGTTATAGCCTTATGCATGCAGTACGGCATGGCACGAGGCCGGGGTAATAATAACTCGGCACCAGGAAATGCCAACGTTGATACTGATGACGCAACCCTCGCCGGCCGCTGGCATTATTGTCGTTGCCAGAACCTCCTGGCTTGCGAGTTGGAAAGCCCCACTATATCGACTTTACAATGCAACATATTATCCGTCGTCTGGTTGTGTTGCGCTTCGTTCCAAAATATGGCGGATAGCACCTTGGCCATCACAGCTAGGACAGCTCAAATGCTTGGCCTCCACCTACCACCGCCACAAGGCATGCCCCAACGCGAGAAGGAGATGCGGAAGCGCCTTTGGTGGTCTATCTATGTTGCGGAGACCAAGACTAGCATGAAATTGGGACGACCATTCATGCTTCATTTGTCACATGCGACTTGTGGTCTACCAGCCGACGACCACGAGGCCGCAGCACAGTCGGGGTCAGGTTTCGCGCCTTTAGACGACAATGTCACTTGGCTCAGCTGGAATTTACACAATACTAAGCTTGTCCTTGCTGCCCGCGACGTATACACCGCTTTTTACGATAAGTATCCGGATTTCGTCGAGAACGATGGTAACCAAGCTTTTTACGACGCACCGGAGGCTATGGAGACGTACGCTGATTTCCTTATCACGCGTATGAGGGCCTTGGACCAGTGGGTTAAGGATGTGCCTAACGCGTTGAAGACTCAGCGTAAGAACCACGGCATTCCCTTTTCAACGGACCTGTCGCCGGTAGAGATGGAACAGTTTGCCCCTCTTTGGGTCCAACGCCAGCGTCTCCTACTGGAATTGTTATACCACAATCTCTGCACGAATTTATATCGTCCATTCATATCCTTCAAGCGGTCCCCATACTCGTTGGCATTATCTCATTCTTCATCGCTTGCAGAATCTTGTGCTCGCAGATGCGCCAGCCATGCGATGGCGCTTACGCACATAATGCGGCAGATCCTATCGACAACAGATATACTCACCGGCTGGCAAGAGGCTTTCCAATGGGAATGGAACGTTTCCATGACTCTGATCGGTTTCGTCCTTTCTCATCCTTACGATGAGCTGACGCAGGCGGCACGAGAAGCCATAAACGTATCAGCCGATGCCTTGGGGATTTTTGCAAATAGCTTTTCCGTAGCCGCGAGTGCAGCGGGACTAGTACGTGATCTCAGTCAGAAGGCGGATCGTATTATTATGCCGCAGCCTATCTACGAAGGAGATAGGCTCATAAATCAAGGGGGGCAACCTATTACCATGATGTCCCAGAACGAGCAGGCTGGTACAGTCATGGATCAAACAAACGTTGGATCCTTTATATTTGACGAGGACACTATTGCTGTAATGCAAGGCATTCTGGAAGATTCAATGGATCTAGCCTTTGCTGTTGACGGTTACAGCAGTACGAACGTTTTGTGGCCGAACATAGACCCTACAGAATAATGAGCCATCTATCTGGAAGATATAATAGGAACTAATTTATAACTTTATATAGTGAAGTGAGCACATACCTACGAAAATGGAGCACATATAAAGCTGTTCGGAAAAAAAGTGGAGTTTATTTATATAACGTTTTGGATATTCGGGAAAGGTATACATTTTTGAAGATGAAGATAGAATGGATGTGTGTTAAATTTCAGCGGCATCCTGGGTGGTTATGTCACTTTATAGATCTACAGCCAATTGATTCGTATCCTGGAGCCACCGAATCTAAAATCCAGATGGCATCTACCCAATAATCACGGGAGATTGTGGTTTATTTTGCAATTGGCAATCCTATCACAAGCGTTCCTTCTGTTGGCATTAGTTTCGTACATCAGGGGTTCCGGCCACTACATTTTATTGATACTACCTGAGTATCCATTCCTGGACTAGGCACTAATAAGACGGGGTGTATACGACATCTCCTTCGAGAGTATCGCTGAAGGCATATACTGGCAGTACATGATATTACACACTACCTCTTATCGATTCTCCATAACAATACACAGTGCCCGATGGACCCCGTCGGGACCTTAAAGCTTCGAGGCAAGACTGGAAAATAAGTATTTGCTGAGACCGCCACCTTGTTGCGGCAGTACCTGCGGTTAATCACAGCTTGACGCGTTTCGCGCGCTGTGCTGTGCTTTACTCGAAGGAGTAAAAGAATTATGGAGAACTTGTAAGAGTGGCAGAGGGTAAGAGGGTTTAATCAATGCGCAAAGACTTAATAGAGCTTATAGGTAACTCCTTCCGGTAATTGACACATGCTGTATTAGAAGAGATGTTTTTTTTTCGACCCCATTCAGCTCATTCACGTTTGATAGAATACGCTGGTACACCTTGGCATTGGCAGAAATAGACGCACCATAACGTTCAATTGCAGTAACGGAAAATAAGGCACCATATGTGCTTAGGTGTGTATTAAAGAGAAAGTAAAAATAAAAAATAAAGAAAGTGATTCTGAAGAGAGATACTCATAACATTTCACTTGATACGTAATCTTGAAAATGAACAATTAAGTCGAGGTTGTTTTCGCGAGACCTTTTTTTTTGTCTCTTCAACCACAGTAAGCTAGGTCCTTAAGGCTGTTAATATCAACCAATAGGAGCAACTCCCTTCGCTTGCAGCGACGCGGCGGCCCCCACCACGTTCCCGGGATATAAGCGGGACCCGGACCCCTGGCACGGAACCTCTCCGTGGGCAAAGAGCCGCACTTCCCAGGAGGAGTTTCGGAGAGGGCGATCAATGTTTGGCATTGAGTCACAAAGGGCAACGATTAGAAGTGAAAAAGATTATCTTGAACTACGGGCCCGTTTGCCCGCCTGGCTGAGCCAAGAAAATGGAGATAACTGTACTGCCGAAAGGGGAATTCTCTGCTGGCGTTTGGGCTCTAATCCCCGGCGCATAAGCTTAGATCTGCGTTTGTGACTTGTCAGATTAGACGGTCATAGCACGTGACTGAGGGATGGTTCCATCTGCTGAGAATTGAGTACATGTACCTCCACATACATACAAGAATTTTACACGGGACATTTTATTCATTAAGAATTAATCGTACTCATCGTCTACTTTGCATGCGTGCCCATGATGTAAGCGCTATTTATAATGATGACTAGAACTCAGTTAACAGGCATAGTGTCTAGGGACCTAGGTACCTAACATAGACAGTTTTCACGTTCTCGAGTACAAGAAAGGCACAGGTACATTGCTCGTTTAAATTAGACTTACTTTACCTCTTCCTACGATGGCATGTCTTGGCTTTCTTTAAAGGCTTTGGTTTGCCGGCACCAGTGGAGTACCTACGTACATGGTTGTGTCTTTCTCACGCTCCAAGACATATCGGATGGAGATAAACCCTATTCTCGAGGTTGACGTTGGTGATCGGACTTATCGAACATGTTCAACGGGCACTGTTACCTCATAAGAGGGTATCTTGGCACTAAGTATAGAAGGTAGTCGATATAAACCACCTTGACCCAACCTGGTTTTTCTTCTGTCTTCTTCTCCCTCTCCTTTCCCTAGTCTGCCCACTCACTGGCCTACCATTCCCACAGACAATAAGTCTTAGGTGTTCTCCCCTCCCCCCAACGATCTAACGATGAGCAACCTCACCATGGAGCAAAAGACCGAGGAGTCCAACTCCGAATCGGCCCAGAACGTCGAGCTAGGGACGCCGGACAACGCGAACCAGGACACGCCGCGAAACGCATCGATCCAGGAGAAAGGCGAGCCGCAGGAGCGCGCGGTCACGGGCTTCCGCTGGTTCCTCGTCTGCCTGTCCATCTTCTCGGCGAACCTGCTCTTCGGCCTCGACAACACCATCGCGGCCGACCTCCAGGGCGCCGTGGCCGAGACGTACCAGAACACGGGGCAGCTGGGGTGGCTCGGCGTGGGGTTCACGCTCGGCTCTGCGGCGGGCATCTTGCCCGTCGGGAAGGCGTACGCCATCTTCGACAACAGATGGGTGTTCATCACCTGTCTTACCAACTTCGCTGCTGCGAGCGCGCTGTGCGGCGCTGCCCCTAACATGAATGCTATGATCATCGGCCGTGTCTGGGCCGGCCTTGGAGGCTGCGGCATGTATCTTGGGACCTTGAACATCTCGACCGCTCTCGTGCTGCCCAAGGAGCAGCCGGTGTATGTCGCCGGCACGGGATTTATTTACGGCGCCGGAGCGATTCTGGGCCCCGTGGTCGGAGGTCTTCTTGCTGATAGCTCTGCGACGTGGAGATGGGTAAGTGTTGCTCAGCTCCCCCTGCCTTATTCTTCAGCATGAACTCTCTCCAGTTGAATTTTCTACTAACATATTATGGTAATCTATGCAGGCGTTTTACCTTAACCTTGTTATCTTCGGCGTCATGTCGCCCATCTACCTATTCCTAGTCCCCTCCGTCCCGCGCCGACCCGAGATGTCCTTCCTCGAGAAAGTCAAGCTGATCGACTGGCTCGGCATCCTGCTCAACTCGGCCATGTACGCGTGTTTCACGATAGCGTTCCTGTTCGGCGGCGTCGAATGGGCGTGGAGCGACGGGCGCACGATCGCGCTCATCGTGCTCGCCTTCGTGCTGCTCATCGCCTTCGTGCTCACGCAGAAGTTCGCGATCCTCACCGACAAGGTCAACCGGCTGTTCCCGTGCGGGTTCCTGCGCGACCCGCAGCTCGTGCTCATGTACGTGCTCATGTTCACCAGCGGCCTGACGCTGTTCGTCGCCGTCTACTACATCCCGTTCTACTACCTGTTCGCGCGCGGCGAGTCCGGCACCCAGTCCGCCGTCCGCCTCCTGCCGTACATCTGCTTCTACGTCGCCTCGATCCTGCTCTGCGGCGCCCTCATGGGCCGCGTCGGCTACCACATCGTCTGGTTCCTGCTGTCGGGCCTGTTCCTGACCGCCGGCGCGGCCGCCATGTACACCGTCGACCCGTACACGTCCAGCGCCAAGATCGTCGGGTACTCGATCCTGCTGGCCGTCGGGATGACGGCGTCCCAGGCCCCCTACGCCATCGGCAACCTGCTCGCGGAGCCCGCGCTCGCGGCCGACATGATCCAGTACATCAACATCTCGCAGGGGTCCTCGCAGCTCGTGGGCCTCGTCATCGCCAGCGCCGTCTTCCAGGCCAAGGCGTTCGAGGGCATCCGCGCGCTCCTGCCGGGGGACCAGTACACGGACGCCGACATCCAGGCCGCGGTGGCAGGCGCGCGGAGCGAGGTGCTGACGCAGGCGTCGCCGGAGATCCGCGAGGCGGCGATCGGCGTCATCGTCCAGGCCATCGACACCATCTGGATCGTGGTCATAGTGGCGTCGGCGATATTCACGATATGCTCGCTGTTCCTGTCGCGCGAGCGCTTCGTGAAGCCCAAGGGGAGGGGCGAGGGGGACAGCGGGGCTGCGATGATGGTGTTCTAAGTATTCGTACGCATGGTTCTCGTATCTGGAATGTGTTAAGGGATTTATATTTGTATCAGGAATTTTCTATTAGCTACGGCACTTGCCCACGGAGGAAGCTGGAATTCGGCTGCTGTTAGCTTTATGGCTAATTATCTCAACTGACTTTCGCTACCTAAGCTTAGGTGATAGACTAGAGGTAGATGAGCTGTCCTTTAAAAAAAGGGGGGTGGTATATGCGGGTATAATGATGTTAAGGTTTAAGATTTTCTAGGTTAGGACCTATTGCGGTCGTGTTAATTTATTGGAAAGACATTGTATACTACACTATGTTACTCCGGGGAGTAACCAGATATCTTCCACATGCCACTATTAGACTTTTAAGTATGAACGAGAACCTCACGATTGCCATGCCTCTGGCTTCTAGTGCTATATAAGTGAAAACTGTCATAACCATATCATAGCTGCACTCGTGTTCTATGATCGTAGAACGGAGCTGGCAAGTGTTATTTCCTAAAGTCTCAAAGATTTGCGAGACTTCATACATCGTCTAGTATTTCGGGTCCTAGTACCAACTTAACGTCCACTATTATTATATCCTGAGCCTTACTGCTTAATCAACCTATAGCAAGTGGTTAAGCTGTTACCCAATAATGGACCAGACAGTCTCCGACGTCAAAAGTAATTCAAGTGGTTTCCCCTTATAGTGATTTTTCAAGTCACATTACACTATCATTGGTTAAAAAGCCTGTCTACCTCTCATGAAAAAATACTTCATGCTAGCATTGATAGGCAGGCCTATGTAGTACCAGAAGTAACCGTTGACAGCTGTCATATTCACCTAGTAATTTATATTAGAAACAGTAGCTATGTGGTAAGATTATTCTATAATCACTTACCTTTCTACCCTATTTCGAAGACGCTGTGCGCGCCTTATATAGGTACTGAGCCATTGCGTCGTAAGTCTATCCCCACTTCACACTGGCTTCTACAAACCCCTCGCAGCGTGATGCGACGCTTAGTGCCATGACGTTCCCAGTACCAAGCTTAGGAATCTACGTAATTGATGAAGTTATTCTTCCATCTGCGAAACTCTTTGACAATAACGGACTTTACATAAATCCGCCTAAATCCCAAAATAATAAACATTAACTACTTCCTACACAAGATTCGCATTGTTCTTTTACTTTATTTATTCTTTTTGTATTATTAATGTACTCGGCAGCGGGCTATTGCCAAACATTACCTACCTAGCTAGCAGTTCCGGTGCTCCTTTAGGAAACCAGCTTGGGGGGCGATCCACAATATCAGCACCTAAGCAAAGACGAAGCGACGTTGGCATCTGCTGGTTTAGTAAAAGATAAGGCCATCAGTAGCTCAGACAAGGTTCTCCAGTAGTTCAGACAAGGTTGTTCAGTAGCTCGCGAGCCTCGAGGCCTTTAGGAAGAGCTCCTTCGCTGGAGATAGCGCGACGGCCCCTGGCAATGAATGGACTTGGGGAGATGGAGATAGCTTCTGCTTGAAGTAAGTAAGGATGGGAAAGTCGAGGAGGGGGGCGTGGAAGTTTGCATATAAAGAGCGATGAGGTAGCTGTCTTTGTTCCTGGATTGTGACACGGCAGACAGACATCAGGTAGACTCCAAGATTCTATTGTTTAGTTGTCTTTGTACGCAAAAATCGAAAAGTCTATACGTCTCTCGCAATGTCTCTCCCAAAAACCTTCAGGCGCGCCGTGTTCCTCGGAAAGGGCGAGGACCTCGTAGTCCAAGAAACCCCCTTAGTTCTCCCGGGAGACAATGAGGTCTTAGTCAAGGTCGAGGCGTGCGGTGTGTGCTACAGCGACCATTACAGCCAATTTAACGTAATGGGTGGCGGGTTCCCCATATGTCCCGGCCATGAAATCATCGGCAGAGTCGCAGCTGTCGGCAGCAGCGTCAAGCGGTGGAAGATCGGCGATCGTGTTGGTGGCGGTTGGCATGGCGGTCACGACGACACCTGCACTGCGTGCAACGAGGGCTGGTACCAGATGTGCGATAATCAAGTCATAAACGGCGTGACTAAAAACGGTGGATGCAAGTCGTCTCGCTCCCCCTTATACACTTTATTCACTCTTGAGCATCGGTTAATGTATATTCAGACGCGGAGTACTGCATACTACGCGCGGAAGCCACTGTTCGTATCCCCGAGCATGTAGATGCCGCCAAATATGCGCCTATACTGTGCGCAGGCGTGTCAGTATTTAATTCCATCCGGAACATGAACGTCCCGGTCGGCGAGACAGTTGTTATCCAGGGTCTCGGCGGACTGGGACATCTTGGAGTTCAATACGCCGCGCAGATGGGATACCGCGTGATTGCAGTTTCCCGAGGCGCGGATAAAGAGAAGTTCGCGCGGGAGTTAGGGGCCCACGAATATATCGACGCGAGCAAGGAGAAAGACGTAGGCGAGGCTTTGAAAGCGCTCGGAGGTGCTCGATTAGTCGTGGCTACGGCTCCGACCGCCGACTCCATAACCCCATTTCGTATGTACCAACGAACCTCCTCTCCTCCTTTTGCGGAAGTGGTTACTGACTCCTGCTGTAGAGAAAGGCCTGGGCATACTCGGCAAGATCCTGCTACTAAGCATTCCGGGTGATTTCACCATCGACACCGTGACCATGCTCAAGCACGGTAGCTCGGTGCAGGTTTGGCCCTCCGGGCACCAAAAAGACTCGGAAGACGCCATCAAATTTGCCGATCTCAAGGGCGTCGACTGCATGATCGAGACTTATCCTCTAGACCAGGCACAAGCGGCGTGGGGTATGTTTCTTCCTTTTTCCATCATTTCCTCCTTTTTTGTATATCGTAAATAGGGCATTTGCTAACTTTGCTACCACATAGATGCCATGAAGAATGGTACGGTTCGCTTCAGGGCTGTTATCGTGCCTTAAGATGTTTTTTTTTTCATGCTTTCTTTCTTTCGTTGGAGGAAGGACTAAATAAATTGAAAGCCAGGTGGCCAAGTTGGATATACCACAATAATCGAAAAGGTTCCTCTCGTTTATTATCAAGAGTAAAGACCAAAAGAAATAGAAACAGTGTACTAGAAACTAAGAAAATATAAACACGGGTTCCGATCTAGATAGCTTTTTAATAATTGTCCTTCAAGGTGTCCATCAAGGTTCCAATCGCAGCAACTCGTAACTTGTAAGATCCACTCGCAGGGCTGGTAAAATCGTCGTTCCGGTACATCTCAATTTGGTAGGTGATATATACTGATTTCGGTAGTTGTTCTAAGATGTATCGCGATTCGGGCTGTTAAAACTCACAAACCTCTAGATGAGGTGGTCAGGATGGGTTGGGGCAGCTGTAATTATATAAAATATGCCTATGCCTAATGTATTTAACTCAACGCAGGGAAAGAAATTCTGCTGGTATCTTTAGGAGTTGCTTTCTTCGTCGCAGCCCTATGAACGCCTTGCATACTCCGAACCGTCAACATGGACCATCAAGGCGTATGGAGTCTTCTCGCAATCTGTTGCATCCCTTACTTTACATAACATAACACTCTCTCCACCCCCCTTTCCCCCTAACCACTAAACCGTAGAAATACATGTAAGGTAAGTCGATCAACTTAGTCTTTACCATTCTCCCCGAATCAACGGTCATCCTGTTCCTGTATCCGCCGCAGCGCAAGCCTCACCTCCGTAACGACTTTATGCCGCAAGAGAATGGCATCCGTCGAATGCGGGCCACCTCTCCTATCTAGATCGGCTAGGAGCGCCACCCACGCATCTTTCATCGCTTCCGGATTCTCTTCGCCCTGCAGCTTCTCCCAGGCCTTGAGCTCTCGGTACCGGATGCGGCCAGGGACAGCGCCGAAATCGACTTCCGCGGGGTCGTTGATGGTGTGTCCTTCGAGGCGAACCTTCATATTGTTAACCCAGGCCGGCGTCTTGCGCGCGCTGTCGTCAACCGGCAATGCGCCTGACATCTCGTATTGGCGACTTCCCGCCGAGGTCAGACACGCCGGTAGGAAAGCCGGTGCCTTCAAAGCCTTGCCGGGAGGGCTGTTATTCTTCAGTTCCCGGACGAAAGAAAGTTCCTTATTGCCTTCGAGCTGGCGTACTACCCGCCTCATGCGCGGGACTTCGCTTTTCAGGTCCTTGAGAAGGCGTTCGAGCCGCGGACCGCTTTTCTCCCAATTCCGCTGGCACTTTAGCTCGACATCGAGCATCCCGGGACTAACGAACTTCTTCAGCACGGCGCTATACACGAGTTTGTCGCCAGCGTCGTGATGTGCATGCACCGCCCAAAGATCGACGCATCGCCAGATGTGTCCGCAGGCAGTCTCCAGCACAGTCATAGTCCGATGAATGCATCCTTTGGCATTCTCCGCATCATCCTCTGGTAAGTAGCGAACCTGGTTGGGCCCCGCGAGTAACAAGAACTTGAGGTCCAGCAGTTCCTGGTCGAAGTCCCGCGCCGTATCGAAGAAACCCCGAAGCGTGGGGTTCTCGCGCACGCTCTTGTAGTGTAGCGCGCGCCGGCCGAAGCTGTTTGCGAAGTCCGAATATTCGTCCCTGAGGGCCTGTAGTTCTTTGCGCCGGCGCTCCTCATCGTAGGTCGTCGTTTCGAGGTCGCGGGTTCGGAATGTTGTGGTATCGCACTTGTGCTGCTCATCATCTTGCAGCAACGAGAGGGGAGGGGTACTGCCTGACCGGTCGTAGCGTCGATGTGGTGTGTTGTTTTGTAAGGAAGCCATGATTTTTATGTTTATTTTATTTTTTCCTTCACTGTTTTTGGTTTATGCAATTAAAACAGCAGCCGAAAAAAAAAGAACGAGAAAAACTGTTTTCGGTCAAGGTGTATTATGTAGGTATTTTCTCGTGGCCCGGCAATTCGAAGTCATGGCTGGAATTGGATCTGGCAACTGTCAAATGCTTCTCATACAGCTCATTGAATTCGCCCCTGCGCAATGCGAACCTGACTGTAATTTTTTTTTTTTTTTTTTTTTTTTTTTTTTTTCAAATCCACCTATTCCTTATGACCCAACTTCAAGAAAGCCCACTCACAACTTATTGGTCATGGTTGACTATGCCGTCTGATTTCTAGTCATTCTCTTGAATAAATTTCTCTAACAGGTAGCAACTTACGCAACTTTAGCAAACACACTATATAGGATGGAAAGTCATGGTAATAACTTACCATATGGTGGTAACCCGAAGGATTTGCCCTTGTATGAGTTGTCCGCTGACAACAAGATGGGCAAACTCATCGCGTTGCTCATTAAATTTACTCACCTTCCGGATACCAAACCACATAGCACATCTTCGCCTTCTTCTTATCTTGATTCATGCATCTCATAATTAATTCGCTGTCATGCTGGGTATAATGCTTCGCGCCCCCCTTTATGCTCGCCCGTATCCTACCCACCCCGTGTATTGTATTATATATACATATCGACCTCGCACCCTGAATCGTGCACATCCGAAGCTCTTAATCCAGTATCAATAAGCCAGAACTTAAGCGTTATAACATCTCGTTGAGGACTTCATCCAATCCAGCCTCCCCGTAGTCTGTTTCCTGCGACGCCGTTATTTCCTGCTGTTTTTGCTTGTGGCTCTCCGTGTGTTCAAGCAACTCCAACATTTTCTCATACGGGCTACGTGACTGGTTCAGTCGAGGACGTGGTTCTATTGAGTCCCCCTTCTTTTGATTCGGGATACCCCCGGCCGAGCTTGAAAGCTGATTAATAGATTGAGGCCGCGACTGGTCCTTAACCTGATCTTGTGGTCGAGAGGCCAAGCTAGATACGTTAGGTTTGCTGCTGTTTTCGTTTTCACCCCCGGTTGCACGTGCTGGCGTTGACCACTTTGATTTCTCATCTTCTGATCTTTGGAGACGCTTCAGTTCGTCTTGTACGTTCCGCCGGGTTGATGCACTTTCCCACGCGATTGTCTTTATCCTTTCTTTAGTATATATGCGATGTACTTCCCGGCGACTCGAGGTAAAAAATGGTTTAGGCGAGGCCCGAAGAGGTGCCATATTCTTCTCTACCTGTAGCATGTCACACGCTTTCTTTTGTAACTGGATATTATTTTTGAAGCCGCCGCTGTGTGAACGACTGCTCTCTGTAGGTGTATTCAGTGCTGTGGTTTCCTCGCATACTGCTTTCGAACTTCCAAGACCAGTGGCTTCACTAACCGGGCGGAAGTGAGATGATTGGCTCCTGTCGCCCTCCAGTCCAGTCTGACCTTGCGGTTTCGACCCGCTGGACTGCTCCTGGGTTGATGGATACGATAATGCTGTTGAGTCAATCCTGTCATTCGGTACCGGATTCTCTGAGGTTGAGTTATAGCTACCTCGTCTATCCCGAAGTTTAAGTCCCGATGATGATGTTTCCCCACCTCCAAGGTCTTCTAGATCTTGTGACGAAAGGAGGAAATCCTGTGTTGAGAAGAATGGCATGTCGAATGATTCAAAATCTCCCGAAGAGTGGATGTTTGCGGTGGGAAGCAAAGGGGAGCCCCTTGTTTGTATGGACGAGGGGTATTTCCCATCTTCTGTCTGACCGTTTTTCGTGGCGGAACCGAAATAATTCTGATTCGACACGGCTGATATCGATTTCCTAGGCAAGTTCCTAGCAGTAGGAGATTTGCTTGTGTATGCGGCTTTGGATTCTAGCTTGCGGTCATTTCCTCTAATATTAGATTTTGATTCTCCAAATATTTCCTTGACTTCCTGAGAAGGGCTGGGGAAAAGGTCATCGAGGTGCCCGAGCATGAACAACTGAGTGCTTGTTGGTGGTTGTTCCTCTTGCGATCTCTGAGGTACACGATGACTTCGACTGAGGTTAGGATTAGGAGCGGGACAATAGCCAGAAGCATGAGCTTTAGGCAAAAAGGAAGGTGTCCTCGGATTCACAGCTGAGAAATGACCACGAGATCTAAACCTCGGTGGTATTGCAGGGGGTCCCATTGGGATCTTGGGCTGCTGGAAGGACTTTGATTGTGAAGTTGATGGCTGAATGCTCTCGGATACGCGTATTGAGGGGTCTGGAGCGGGACTTGGTGTGTGATATACTGGCTTGGCTTGATCAAGGCCCAGCTCCTGAGGCGCGTTGGTAACTCTTGAATTGACCTTACTTGGGCCTAGATTTTGGAGCGGGAGCCTATCGGCTGGTGGCAATGTGCTCTCCTTCGCATTTTGTCCCGGTAGAAACTCCTTGGTCGTAACCGGGGAGCTACGATGGTCCAAATATTTGGGCTGCGATGGGCTATCAGGAATTATTTCTTCTTCATGTGGGAGAAAATCCACATCCAGATCAGCGTCGTCGTTCTTGGGTGAATTGCCTACAGCATCAACTGGTTCATCAAATAGTTCATCCGGAAGTACCATCGTAGCAAGATTATCTGCATCGACAGTCAGATGCTCTACTATTTGAGGTTCTGGAACCAGACTTTCAGCTGCGCTGCTAGCCACTTGCGAAGTACCACGGGAGTCCAAATCCTGGAGCGACGATGCCGAACAATTCGGAATCCCTGCAGAGCTCGGACTGTGTTCCGTATCTAGAGGCACTGTTTTTTGCTTTTTGGGCGGTGGCTCGGGTTCATCTTCACCTGATAGGGTACCGCTATTGCAATCACCGCTCTCATCGCTCTCATGGCTATCATGGCTTTCATGGTGATCGGCAACCGGCGAATTGATTCCTTTTTGGTTCTCCGGGTTCTTCTTTTTATCACCACGAACAAACCAGGCAATCGTAGCTTGCGACGGACGTACATCGACTAAGGGCAAACCTTTCTTTTTCTTCTCAGCCCGCTCTTTTTCTTCCTTCTCCTTTTTCTTTTCTCGCGCCGCTCTTGCGCGAGCCTGATTCCTCTCCTTCTCAAATTCTCGACGTATGCGATCTTGCTCGAAGAGTTCCTGACGTCGCTGCTCGGCTTTGGAGAGCTTAGGGGCCTTATTCGTTTTCTGATATGCTTTCTTGGCCTGTTTGGAGGTCATAGGCCGTTTGCTGGGACGAGCTTGAGGAGCATCCAAGCCGCCATTGAAGGCACATGGTGCGTCTGGTATAATGGAAAAGGTATTTTGACCAGGAGCCATCGCTTTTCACATTACACATTAAAAATAGAAGCCGATTGCATCTACCCATAATCCACGGGGTCACTTCTGACCAGCATTGTATCAACCGATGGTAAACAGAATTGATCGGATTATCGCAGCGGAATTATTTACTTAGAGGTAGGAATAGATTGTTGAAGTTTGACATCGCGTCGCGATAGCAATTGATCGATACGTGCCTAGTAATGTTCCACTTTACGCGTGTGGTCGTTCCTTACGGGGTGTGCTAAGTGGGGTATGTCTAAAATGCAGACACAGTTTTATTACAGTAAATTTAATACTGTATAGGTCATTAAGATGATATAAGAAGCACTTACATAAAACTACAGCAATACATACATGACGCAAGAAATACCTAGCTTAGTTGCCTAATTTACTTGAAATAAAGTTCTTAGATGCATTAAATGATTACGTAGAATCTTAGGTACCTGCGCAGTTGTTCCGAACCAGCCGACTCTAGGTTAGTCTCGTTACCTAGCTCAGATCCATCTCTCGTCAATTCGTTATACCTCTTCTAGGTAGGAGGTACTCTTTCTTTTTCCCCCTTCTCCTTATAAATTACTTGCTGTTTTCACTTCCGATTAGGTGGTCGCAGAGAGGAGTCACCGGCAGTGGCCTCATCATCACGCCAAATTAATTCAGTAGTACGACAGATTTGCAACGAGTAGTTCAAATCCTATCATTATCTCTAGGTACCTATCTAGCTTAGGTACCTTAGGCACTCCTAGCTATCGTAGCTTGGGTATAGCAGACACATTAAGAAATTAGCTTTTAACAATAGCCAGCAGGGCAACCGGCCGTGGTGCCGAGAACGTCACCCGAAACTCCACTGATCTGGAGAATAGCACCAACAACACCTCCAAGACCCTCTCCAGCAATGAAACCAGCTGCAACTGCATATCCATAGAGGTCGAAGCTCTTGATGTTCCACTTCCTCCATACCCAGGCCAGGGTGGCACCGAATAAGGCCGCTGTCGTAAATACAGGGTTGGGGAGAACAAACGACAGCGCTACAGCACCCCAATTCGGGAGGTATTGTCGATACTTTTCCCGTTCACCCACCAGGTAAAAGTGTCTGAATACAACCTGACAAGCGCAGAAGACGGCCATAACGATGGAGAAAATTCCCGAAGTTAGAGGGATACTGACATCTGGGTCTGTAACGGCCTGTGCAACAGCAGCCCATGCCGACACCGAAGGGGCGGCGAAAGCGCAGTGCTCAGCCGACGCGTCGAGAATGCAACTAGATATTCAACAGTTAGCCCATAATCTTATAGAGGCAAATTTTAACTTATCAAAAGAAGATTACTTACGGGTACGCGGTTGTGAAGAGCACAAACATTCCTGGAGCTAGGAAGATGGAAACGACAGACCCGAGGCATTGGGCGTACCACTGCTTAACAGGGGATGTTCCCAACAAGAAGCCAGTACGGAAGTCAGAAGTCAACGAAAATGCGACGTCAGCAGCTCCGGAAGCCAGACCACCAGCAACTAAGTTGACTCGCTGCGCATCTTTGACCGCGAAGTGGTTCTTCGTAGCACCACCAAAAATAAGCTGGCTGGCTTTCGACGCGGCCGTTAACGGGGAGTTATCCGTTACAGCCCCAATTTGGACGGCAAGCTTCAGATATCTTATGTTAGCATCGTAGTTCTGTCGTTGGGAGATACTCTACCATATTCCTCGGGAGAACAAAAAAATAATAATGGGGGTCATCCAAACTTACTGCCAGCCGTTAGCAACTATAAATCAAAATCAACAAGGGAACTAGTGAGGATTATACATACCGAAAGAGAACAAGATGGCCAAGACACAAGCCAAGACAGTCAAACCGGGGTTCATTCCCCATTGTAGTTGGAAGATAACCATGGCTACGGCGACGGTGACAACGAGGCCGGTCGACCATGCCCAAAATGGCACCTGTTCATGCGCTGGAGCTGGATCCTCGATAATATCCTCGCTCGCTTTCACTTCCCTCTCGGCGCGCGTGGCAAAGTAGGTAGAAGTCTTACCGCGCTTGGCCAAGGCAAGGCTGATGTTGGCGCAGATCTTCTGCCAAACTACTCGACCGGCGTATGCGATTACCTTATATTGAACCAATAATTCCGCTATAGAGGTTACGACCATAATGAGCACCCCGGGCCAGAGAAGCCAGTAACGCGGGGACGGAGTTTCGTGTCCGAGGTTACTAAGAGAGGCGAAGGAGTACCAATCAGCCCATCGCGGATCATCCTCAACCTGTTGCTTGCCGATACATTCGCCGTAGTGAACAAGGAGAGGTCCGATAATTCCCCAGGCGAGAACAGCACCACCAAACATAGACAGTGCAGAGTTCATGCCGATGAGGATACCGCTTCCTATGAATGCCGGAGTCCACTCAAACCACCAGCCCCAACTCTCGATATTCATGGCCCAGCTGGTATACTAACATATAAGATATTCGCATTAGCTTCCTAACCCCATCCTTCCCAAAAGAGAGCGAGAGGGAACCGCCCTCTCTTGGTGGGCAAAATGATAGAGATCTTTGACTTACACCGCTCCAGATGTGGATCCATGTAAAAACGTGCCAGTCATACAATATACCGACAGCATAGTATGACGCTACTCGTTGGATGAGGGCAGCTGCGAAAGATAAACTGAGGGCTTTAAGTTTGCTAAGAGCCTCTCCAGCACCGGCGACACCAGCGTGCATCGACCTAATGGTGAGCGCCACGGCAGTAGCAGTAGGGAAAAGCAGCTTCAATTCCCGGCCGACCTGGATGATAAAGAATTTTCGGAGAGGCGCGACGAAGAACAAACCAAAGAACGAACAGACAAGAGTGATTGTAATGATTGCGCCGAATTGCTCCTTTGGAGTGCCCGTCTGCGCGTGGAGTTGGTACATTGCCGGTATGCCTGCAACGAAAATACCTGCAATTCCACCAGCGCCCTGGGCTGCAGCCTGGATAATGCTGTTCTCTTGAGGGCCGAAAGAACCGCCGATGATAGGAAGGGTAGTTCTCGAGGCGAGTTTGATAATACCGTATCCGAAAATTGCTCCAAACATAGAGGCGGCGAAGCTAGCGTGCGAATTAGAATCATCGTCGAATCAACCTTTTCAAAAGTAAGAGGGAAAGGGGGCTGTACGTGAATCCGGTTTTCAACCCTATTCATAGGTAGTCAGCAAACAGTCATTTACTCTAGCAAAGTCCGCCATTTAAGCTCACCCAGATATAAATTAGAGGCATTGACAAGACTACCTAACACGATACCAATTATGACGGCACGGATTGTTAGGGGATCATGCTCGTCGACGAAGCTGCCATCCATCTTTAGGGGCACATAAAGGTCGAGATCTTCTTCGATGGCATCAACATCCACATCGACGATGTCAATTTTCTCATCGCCCTCTTTTCCCACAATAGGCGTCTTGTCCGTCTTTTCGGCGACGTCCGCCAGGCGGGCTTCTGTCGAAGCCATGGTCGCTGATGTCTACCTAAGATAATCAGGGACGAAAGCTACGAGAATCGATGGATTGGGGTATCTTGAGAAAGAAATCGAGACGGGACAGGTCGTGTTCCACGCACGAGAAAGAACGACACGCTTCTCTAATATACCTACCGACTACGAACAACGCCTCCTTCCGATCCGATAAAGGTCAAGGTCTCCACATTACATCGCAACCGCCGTATACATTACCTAGGTAGGTATGTAGTACAACATCCCTCATGGCTTTATTCCCCAGGATCCAACCTAGCGTAGTCTCTATCTGTGTAGGCCACAGCTGCTGAGGATCAGGAGACATATCGGGAAGGTGAGGGCAGTAACCTGTTCAATTCGACAGGCGCCACTCCTATGCTACCATGCGATAGCGATGTCTTAAGACATGAGCCAACTGCATTGAACCATACCCCTACCTAACGGCCTAGGTACCTAAGGTATTAATTACACTTTATGGAATCGTGTCGCAACGCTACCCTACAAAAGATAAGCGAAGATGGATAACCCGCGCATGCTAGAATCACTATATTCTAGCTAGCTAAACCGGCGAAATAATGAGCTAGAATTACATGGCATGATAATACTCTCGACCCTCGCCACTTAGAGTTCTTTGAATTTCAGTCTGGCCGATCGAAGAGCCGTATCCCCACTCCCCTTTGTCGTGGATCTTCTTATCTCTGGACCATACCGGTATGTCGCCCCGAATATATTGGCTGATTGGGCCTGGCGAATAGAAATCCGTGTCCTAGGATTGGGCGTTGTTGAAGCAAGGGTGTGGCGTCAACCGAAGCATGAGCTTGCTTTGACCGTTTCCGTTACCCTTGTCCGCCAGACACGCGACAGCAAGTTTCCGGTTATTAGTAAGGAAGCGGCGTAAATACTTGACATTCCAGCTAATAGCATCGAGTGTAATTCGTAGAGATAACGATTAAGAAGGGAATTGAGCAAGGCATACTGGTAATAGGTACGAGCTGAGCTGCACAAGATCTCTACAGAGTTCTGCGCAACAGTCTTCCCAATCAATCACTCGCTTGCAAACTCGCCTGGCACCCGATTTTGTTACATCGCGTTGCTGGAAGGGTTCTTCTAGTACGGCTCCTAGAAGATGAGATTTACCAACACAGGTAATCAATTCGTAGACAAGCAGATTGGCGGCATTAAATTAATAGTTAGTCTTGGACAAGAAGGTATTTATCAACTAACAACACTCATTTGCTACTAGGGCAATATACTACACTACCACTTCATACTCAATTTATCTCTCGGTGCACGAGAGCGGAATAAGATATCTCGAATTAACAAACGGCCCTGAGACCAATGTGACAAATAACATTACGATATTTCATCAATTGGTTACCTAACGGCATGAGGCATACGGGCGCCTTCTTGATCCGTCTTGGCGCGGCATGACCGTTGCTGTGTAAAACACCAAAACACCATCCGCAATAACACAGCAAGGGCGCACCAGCTATTAGCTACTTGTTCCAAATCCAGTTGGTACCCCCGAAGCTATATTCAACGTCCCGCGCCGTCGGAATTCTGGTCGGAGTTGGGTTAGACTAGTGCCTTAATCACAACGTCCAGAACTTATAAGTTGGATACAACCTATAAGCTATAGTAGTGTATTCTTAGTCGGCGTGATTACAACCACCACAGAACCAACACGATCTTACCACCAGGACGGTTTATTCTGAAGGCTGTCTCTTACCTGCACGCCGACTGCCCACCGAGTGCCGTTTTCTACTTATACACATATATATCACACCTCCAGTACTATTAGGGATTACAAGAAGGGAAAGTCTGTGCCTCTTGTGCCACGCTCCAAGTTGCATTCCTAAAAACCCTTGCTACAGCGCGGACCCCACTGATTGCTACAGGGTCGCCTGACCTTTTGCTACTATGTATTATTCCCGACAGGGGCAGCATGGGGTAAAATAGCGGTTATCGAATTCCACAATACGTATTTTTGAATATTCATGAGATCCGACTCTCGCTTTATATCACGGAAGCCCTCTTATATCGAATTTCAAGCGTTGGCTCATCTGCCACACAATACAAATAGGTAATGTGCTCAATTCTACAGCTATTTTCTATAGAGGGAAGAGGGAAATGCAATATATGCGTGCTCTTCCAATGCGGAACTTGTCATATTGTTTGTACTCGAAGTAGCCGTTTACTCATGTGTTAGTTATAAACTCTTGAACGAGCGAGCATTGAAATCCATCCTTATCATCACCACCACCACCATAAAAAAGAGAGAGAAAAAAAGGTCTTTGAACTAGGACCTGAAAGAGCTGCGGCTGTTAGCTGCAAGACTCAATTGATATTATCTCAATGGTTAGTCGACGCCACAAGCGTATATCAGATATGCAACTTAAAAGCCAACAAACCATGTAATTCGCCCCCCTCCCCCCCTTTATTTTTTTCTTCCTCTCACATCCCCAAATTTTCCTACACCTGGCGTATTTACCTACCTACCTACCTAAGATACCTAGATAGATGAATGATTGGTTAAAACAGCGAACCTCCTATCCTCAGCCTTGCTTTCTTTATTCACACCCCGCGCATGATTGACAGGTACATGACAGTAGTAGTTCCACGGCATTGCCATAACTTTAGGTACCTGGTACTTACCTAGGTAGGTACCCAAGATACCGGTGGCAACTTATCCGTCTCGGTGCTTCTTCTTATCCCGTGGCTTTGGTTTGGTTTGCTTGCATACGGTAACTGGTGGCGTTCGTCCTTGAAACGGCCGAGCCGGTCGTACCTGACGCAGAAGCAAACTTCTCAAGTTTCCCCTTGGCTCGAGATAGGTATCATATGTCATCTGCGTGTTGTTCCCAGGTATCTTATCATCATTCGAACTCGCTCTTTGCCGAATTGCGATCCAAATCCAAGACCTTGGCCGGTAGGTGTAGTGTAAGCAAGGTGTCTTTATCAAGACTTGCTTCGCCTGATAAGCGCAACCCGCACGGCCGCGAATCAGTTTGGTAGTAGATATGAGCCGGTGTAGCTATCAATGTGCAAGAAAGGGAGGGAGGAAAAAGAAGGGGCAATCTATTCCGACATCAGCAAAGCTGATAAAGGGTATCAAAGGAAGAAATCACATCACAATTCTAAGCAAAGATAACGGGTTCTGCGCAATGCTCTAGGTACCTACCTAAGGTACCTTGTATTATCACCCTCGATTCTCTAAGACTGTGTTCAACTTGTAACTCACCAGCTATATTTTATAACCACCAATTCTGTGTCATGCTTACAGGTACCTAAATATATTCCAATATGCTGACATAAAACTGTGTGAGACTCTCAGTTAAATACAGATAAGTGTGATGGTAGCTTTACTGCCAAGGCATTACGCTTGGGAGTACAAGTCTTGTATTATAAGTCATTCCCGACAATCTACAAGTGACATACATACATACATCACTTGTCTTAGATATCCAAAACATCGAGCTTCAAAATGTACGTTCCATTATTCAACGATTCCAAGCTATCCATAGAGAGCGACGAAGGAAATAGGATATTCAAAATAAGGACAGGTATCATCGTTACCTCCAACATGCTTCCCTCGCAACTTTTTGATAAAAGTGAAGCCAATATGAGTGTCCTGGGGGTATCTCCGGGTATAACCATCTGGAACTTCCTGATTACCGACTTCACCCTTCCTTCTCTCCGCGTTCCCCTCTTCGTATCGTACAAACTGTATCCAAGAAGGAGTGACTAAGACTCTTTGTACGCTCTCTAGATCGTAGCAGTGTTACCACTCACGGTGGGAACAGTAGTAGTCGCAGGGCCGGTGGTAGCGATGGGTCCGGTAACAGGTTCAGAATACTTCCCGTTCACGGTCCTCCCGTTTGTGTAGTTACCATTAGTATAGTTACCATTGGCGTAATTACCATGTGTATGGTTCCCGTTCGTGGTGCTGCCGCTAATAGCGTGTGGCTTGCGGGTAACTTGAGGAGGACCAGGGATATCGCTGCTCTTGGGAGCACTGCCAATGGAGAAGACGGGGCTCTCCCACTTCTCTCCCTTTCGGGCTAGTTCTTTGTATTCGGTAGCCTTAGAGCTGATACCACCAGGTAGGTGAATGTCAGGGAAGATGCTATCCTCCTTAGTGACCGCCATGTTGACCTTTTTGTCGGCTGCCACGGCCTCTACCTTCTTCTTGCCCTGGAGGAGTTGCTTCTGAGCAGCAGTGACGTAGCGGCTGTAAATGTTTGGAACGTCCTCGGGGCTGGAACGGGCTTCGTCGAGAGCGCGGTCAGCTTCCTTCTTAACCTGGAAAAGAAGCTGGTCAAACTTGTTAAATTGATCCTTAAGCTGCTTCTCAGCGGTCTTCTGGACTACTGGTCGAAGAATCTTGAGCATGATGGGCTTGAAAAGACTGAAGAGGATCTTATGGTTAGACTTGACAAGCTTGATTTGGAGGTTCTTGACGTCGACATCGACCTTGTCCAGCTTAAAGAAGTGCTGCTTGTCCTTGTCATCTGTGGTTGACAACTTCAAACGGAAACAAAATCCATCGCCACCCATTTTGATGTTAGCAACACCAGTATCGGTAATTGAGGGGAAGCCTTGTTTGCGCTTGACGTAAAAGCTGACATCACGAAGATCCATCTGGATGCCAGTGACCTTGACGTCGATCGAATTCTTGTTTGCGCTTGCAATCTTCTTGCGGCCCCAGCGGAAATAGTTGTCGCTAGCAACTTCAAGCACATTAGGCATGAAGTTATCGCTCTCCAATACTAAATTCTCAACGACAGCATCGATCTCGGTGTCGGAGTACTCAATGCGGGGGATAGGGATATATGCAATCCTCTCAAAGGCAGCCGGGATGATTACATCAGTTAGGTCTTTGACGAGATGAGGCTTAAACGTCGCCTTGCCGTTCTCGTCATTGCCAAGGTCGGTGAACAACTTCTGTACTGAGGCAGCGAAAGCCTTATTCTGAGCATCCTGGTCGAACTGATCGGCAAGGAACTTGATCTCATTAACGATGCGATCAGTGTGAGTCTTGTACTTCTCACGAAGGAGGTAGTTGCCGTGATCATAGAGACGGTTCCACTCCTCGGTGGAAGCATCTTCCATAATGTAGCCTTGCTGCTTGAGACACCTTCGGACATAGGAGTTCATCGACTTAAACCAATCTTTGAGTTCGGGGTCCCTATCAGCATCCTCATAGATAGTGTTGATGGAAGACCATAGATCATCAGTAGATGTTCCATTGGCGAACCTCTCGATTAGAGTCTAGAATAGGGTTAGCTTCATGGCGTTATGTTAATCAAGTCACCACATACCTTTAGATCAGCTTCAGCAGCAGCTAGGTGGGTTCGCGTCTGCTTGACTGTGCCGGTACCACCGGTAGCAATGCTCCTGCCATGAGAACCGTACTCTTCAGCCAAGTCTAACAAGGTAGAAATGGCTTGCTGGTAGTCAGGGTGTTGCTGGCATTCGACAATCATTTTCTGGTTCGCTTGTTAGTATAAGTTGTTACGCCTAGCTAGTAAGAATAATGTTTACCTTTAGACGCCAGATAGTCTGGCTACGACGCTCCTCGGGCATCTTCTTCGACAGATACTGCTTAATGCGAGCGCGATACTCTTGGGTTGACTCCTTCGTAGATTCGCGAGTCTCCGGGTCGATGCTGGACTTGACCTGCTCTGCGGCCCTGCTTGTCGCGTCCTGTGCAGCGTTAATGCGATCTCCTGCCGATCCGTCCGGTTGTCGGATAGCTCCGGCTCCAGCGTTTACCACGCCCTTGGCATCCTGAGCCGGGTCGCTCTTGTAAACGTTCTGAAGCTGCGACTTCAAATTCTTCTTGGATAAATCGGGAGTATCATGCCAGACATTGTCCTCAGCAGGTCGGTCGATTTGAGCGAGGGCCTCGCCGTCAGGCCGGACCTTGTTCGCGGCATTGGAAGCGGCATCGCCAGCAATGTCGCGAAGTAGTATAGTAGCGTCATTCACTAAGAAGTAGTCAGCTATTATGTTCACCAATATGAACTAAGTCACAGGTCAACTTACGAAGCTTGCGGAACTGGCCATTGGTGATAATCAATGTTCCCAGCGTCCGGAACCCCTCGAGAACTTTGTCTCCATGCTGTTTCACCGTATCCTTGTCGATAGGAGCGTTAGGCACACTCACAGCGTTGGGGTCAAACTGCTGAGTCTGCCATATGAAATCCTGTAAGAGGTTTCCTTCATTCTTGGATAGCAGCAACTTCTTAGCTTGAGTTACGACTTCTCTGAAGTCCTTGACAAGCTCCCGTCCTTCTGGTGAAAGTCGCTCCGAGGGGTTTGTCAATGCTCTCGACTGAAGCAGACTGTTTAGGGCGACATCTATTTGGTCATTCTGTTATGTCCGTTGTCAGCTTTGTTTTGTGATGTTGAATGGGGGAATCTATAGATAATAATGAGAGTCACTTACAGATGGCAACTTCCCAATCTGGAATGCTTTGACAATTCCGTATATCTGAAGCTTCCGGTTGACGTCGGCTTCCTTCTCCTTGATGTCAGTTGGTTTATTTACGCTTGCCATGATTGTGTCGTGATATGTAAATAGGGTATCTCAAGATCAGTTCACGATTCTGTATACGACAATGGCGCAAAGTAGAGAAACGTTTTTGGGTATCACAGGTTATGGTATATTAGGGTAAGGGGGTATAATAAAAGTGTTATTAGATTGTGAGTTCACAATGTAAGGATCTTCGTTAGGTGAAGAGAAGAGAGAGAGAAGGAGATCATGAATTTGAGGGTTGGGGGAGGACAAGAGGTGTTTATTATACGTTGACGTATTCCAAATGTAAGTAGACGTAAGGTACAAATACGTATACGATATAACCTTAATTTTATGTACGGTATATACATGTATAATACCTATGTAGCTATGATTTAATAAAAAAAAATAGTGATGTCGAGGGGTAAGCGCATGCAGCTGGCCGAGAGGGAGAGGGAGAGACAGAGTGAGAAGTGAGAAGTGAAAAGTGAGAGTGAGAGCTAGGTACCTAAGGTATGAATGATTAATTCCGAATCAAGGAAGGTATAGATACATGATGGAATGCTGTTCGTTCCGTCTAATTGTAAAGTATGTAAAGTATCTCTCTGATGCAATTGCCCATCTCGGCTGTGCTTTCTCAAGTCTAAGATCTGTTGTACTTGGATTATTAGGTGTTGATGACGTGAAACTTGGAGTGGTTAATCTACATGTAGTACGTCATAGGTAACGTGCATTAGCGGTACCTAATAATAGTGGAACGCATTCCCCCCGTACTGGCCCAAGCTCCCTGTAAACTATTTTGGAGCTTGGTAAGAAGAAAATCAATTTTTGGAAAGCTGAAGTTGTTGTGTAGCACCAATACCAATACCAACAAAACCTTGGATTCGTTATCCTCAAACTGGAAAACTGGAAAAAGAGTCAAACAACTATTCTGTCATTAAATTTGAAGATTACCTCTACCTAGGTACCTAATGAAATCCAGTTATGATCGAGACTTATCACTACCGAGTTATGAGGTGACGGAAATACCGGGATAAATTGACTTTTTGGTATGAGGTAACTAATATGAAGAATAGCCAACATGCTGTTTTCACATGCGCCGCAACAAGTATCCTCTAAACGATAAAAAAATGGCATTGGGAATGTGAATATAATGCGCCACGAATCCCCGAGATGATTCAATGCGGGACGTATCAGTAAGTAATACACTACAACCTGACCAGCCCGACCCTCTGTAATAAGGCGTCGCTATCGCCGTCTTGGGTTACCAACAGACGCCACGCGGGTCCTCGATACACGTGTATCACGGCCTTGGTGGGGGGAAGACTTGTCCGTAAATTGATTTTCGAAAATGTTCAATTTCCGCATCCGGTTGTCTATGACGTAAGAAAAAGCAGAGAAGACAATACCTCCAAGAGTAAAATATCAGCCCTCCTCAAGCTTGTGTATCAAGCTATCAAGCTATACACTACACGCTAAAGAGCCCTACGAAGAAGAAGAAGAAGAAAAAAGGCTTCATTAATTTAGTCATGTGGAACGAACTAAACAAGTTATCGGTAGACAAGCTATACCTCAATGAAACACTCTGGGGTTGATACTTACTATACTTGGCGTTCGCCCGGATCTCGATTGAACGTCTTGGACGAATTACATATGGGTACCTAGATACGATACTGCAGTTTCCAACTACCAGACATCCAACCTGCCAGAACAAGGACAATGATAGGTTTAAGTAGGTTAGCCAATATCTTGTCTTAATATCCTGGATCGAATTATATTAATTCCCCGGACCATTGCCTCCACCAGGTTACATTGCAGATTGCCTCACGACGACAAACTTCTGCCATAATGACAACATCTTTGTTGTCCGTTCCCGATCGATCTACGCCGGGGTAATTAATTCTTATTTTTCTTATCAAGCTACTTTATTATCACAATATCGTACATATTGTATGGATTCGATTGATTAATATAATGGTAAAATGGGAAACAGCCCCCTTAGGTATTTTGCTAGAATTCTAGTTCCTTTTTCGTACATGTGACTTTACCTACCTTCATCCTCCACTTAACTTCGTCAAGCACTTCGACGTCCCTAAGAGGAAAGTATGTCTAAACTTAGATATACCTAAGCTACTATCCACTAAGACTAACCCCACTGCGAAAAAAAAACGTGTTTACGCCATTCCATAAACAGGGCCTGGCTGTCAAAAACCTCGCGGGCAGATATAACGTCGAAAAAAGGGTAAATTGCGAACAACTGCCTCATGATTCACGATTCACGATTTGACGGAAAACCAGACAGTGGGAGAATAAAATAAATATTTGCTATGTACAAGGTAATGCCTCCGTGGGCCGAAATCAACGAATAGAAAAGCGACGCAGGTGAAAAACCAGCCTGGTCAGCGATAAATCACGAAATCCCAGACGCCGATATCAATGCAACCCGTTCGCTTCTAAATGCATTTTTTTTTCTCATGATATCCCCAATCATCCAGATGAGTCTAGGAGGTATTTAGATTTCCTGTATGAACTGCGGGCCCATCAGATCAGTCGCCGCGAGCTCAGGAGCCACAAGTGACTTGTAAGCGTAGGTAGCGACGGGGGTCGGGTCGAGGGAACCGGAATCCTTGTTGCGCTTGAAAGCGAGGAGGCCGTTGTCGCCGCCCTGGTTCGTGACGAAGGCCAGGGTCTCATCCTTGCTCAGACTGAACATGCGAGGGCGCAGACCGCCGGAGGAAACGGTGTCGGCGAAGTCGAGGTGGGCGGCGCCGCACTTGCCGGTGCCCTTCTTGAATTGGAAGTGCGCGATGCTATCCGTCTCGTTACCACTGATTCGGTTCGACACATACACGTCCCTCTGGTTCGCGGCAACAACCAGCTCACCTGCGGCGGCAGAAGTAGCGTTGGCCGGGGGAACGGCACCGTAGGTGCTCTGCTTCTGGAGTTGCTTGAAGCTGATGGAGTCCTCGGTGTATGTGAGCTTGAAGAGGAAGAGCTCACTAGACAACTCGGATGCTAGTGCGTAGTAGTGGTCATCTCCATCCGAGATGAAGCCGCCGTGGCGGGGTCCAGTACCGGTAGGTAGGGTGGCATTGCCAGTAAACTCGTATCGGTCATCCTTGCTGTCAAGGACCAACACCGTGTCACCGCCCAAGTTAGGAATAACAAAGTATCGGCCAGTCGGGTCAAGGAGAGCTTGGTGAGGGTGGTGAGCTCCCTGAGCAGGGTTAGGCTCACCCGGAACAAGAACTGTCTTAATGTGCTTCAAGCTACCATCAGCAGCCGATACATCCCATACATCGACTGCGCCGCTGCCGTAACCAGCGCCGACCATGCGGGTCTTATCGCTGTTGAACTCGAGGAAGACGACACCGGAAGTGCCATTCGCGGCGGAAGCAAGAGTCGGCTTGCCCGAGTCGAGTGTGAAGAGGCTGGTGTCGTTGGCGTTCTCGTTCACGGCATAGAGGAGGTTCGGTTCCTTAAAGAGTAGCCAGCTTGGTCCCGTTCCAGCAGCGGTGTGGTTTCCAGTGATGGAGAACTTGGATCCATCGAAATCGGCAGTTAGGATCTGAAAGGGGGTGCTGAGAACGAGCTTGCGCGGAGCAGCTGCCGGAGCGTCTTCGCGAGGTGTAAGGGACGGCATTGCTGAGGCAGTGCCGAGAAGAAGTGCTGCAATAATTCCCTTCATGTTTGTAAATTTGGAGGGGTAGAAAGTTGGTAAGATAAAAGTCAAAATGTCAAAAAGAGTTTAGGTTTAGGCTACGCTTGCTTAACAAGTGGCTAAAGATACCTTAGGTACCTAGGGAAGGGAAGAAAAAGAAAAGAGGAGAAAAAAGGCAATTTTGCTGTGACGTTTATAGCAAAGCAAATGGCTGAAGATGGTCTTATAAGCGGAGGTCAACAAGGAATCTAGCGGTGACTTGTCAAGTGAATCAACAACACTAAAAGACCGACTTGAAAGAAGAGTAATGGTAGTTGATGGTATAATGGGTAATGAATGACAAGGTAGTTGTAGTTGTTCCCAATGTGACCTAATTTCTTTGGACAAGGGACAAATATTTCGCGAAATAAGAAATGAATGTAGTATCTATGGATTGTTAGCTTGTCAGAGTCTATAACAATTCAAACAATAGAATGCGGCTTTCGCTCATTCCTCTTACTTACCTTCGACCTCTACGCAAAGCTATAGGTTTTACTAATACTTGGCAGACAGATGCGAGAAAATATCATCAGAAAAGTAAAAGGCTAGATTACGAACGAAGACAACGATCATAAATAAGGAGAAAAAAAAAAAGGTCAGGCTGAAGGAAGACGTCAGTCCAATTTTATTATTCACGTTCGTGTATTCCATAGAATGTTTAGCGCTCCCTTCTTTCTTGGCTCGGGAATAATACCTCCCTATTTTAGAATTTTAGAACAAACTCAAGTACCATACATGGCATAACTCCATAGGGCTGTGTCACAGATTCATTGGGTAGGGGCTGTATAAATCGTATGTACGTGAGATGTACATAGTATGTCATTCCAGGTTACCTAGTTCATCTGACTAACAACCTTGGAAGTGTTTATTCTGTGCCGCTTGGCTGGCTGGCTGGCAGGTGCTACTTGGTGGTAAGCGCGATAGTTCTTAAGTGGGTAAATGCTAGGTAAATAAGGAAACATCGTTATGCTCGAGACCCTGAAAGAAAAAAAAAGAACCTAACATCAACATGACAAACGCCTTTCTCCCCCAGCTCCCCTGCAGTAGGCCGCTATCACAGGTCGCAGACGGAAAAGATCATCCTGAGTCGGTGGGAATCCAAGTCTGTTTAGGATTGATAGGCGCAAATCAACCCGGCGTCTCTTGTAAAGTGCACGAAACTCCCTTAGCCAATCATCCGACTTGCGCCACCTCCTCGCCAGACGTAGGTCAAAAAAGCATACAAACGTTTCGCAGGATTCCGACTAACTAGACGGGAACGAAATGTTTTTGAAACGCTCCTATTTATCTATTTGTGTATATTGATTAGAGGGAGCATGAAGGTAGAAACAACTTCCCAATAACTTCTAAATGACCTTTAAATGACGCCAGCAAACCACCCTTAACTACTGCCTATGCCCTAGACCTGGTCCTCCAGACGAAAACAACACCGTTTGACTGGCGCCGGACCAAACAACATACATTGTAGTTCATACATCTGTAACCGTGTAAGAGATAAGTAATCCCAGAGTTACCTGCTCCCATCCCTTCCGGCCCTTCTACTCCCCTTCCATCCTCCTCATTATCACCATCACCATCACCAAGTAATCGTAGCAATCATATTCTCATACCTCCTCCCCTCCTCCCCAGCCTTCCCCCCATCCAGCAGATTCTCATAAATCCACCTCCCCGCATCATCCCTCGAAATAACGTACCCCACGGCCGGCGCGTCGCCTAGCCCGACGCGGATCTCGCGTTGCGGCTGCGGCTCGTCGACCAGGAAGCTCGGGCGCACGATGGAGTACGTGTAGCCGCGGTTCCGGTCCCCGGCCCCGTTCGTAAGCAGCGATTCCATCGCGATCTTGTCCGCGTGCGGCACCCGCAGCATGAGCTTGTACATGGGCACGAACAGGATCGGCACGTCGCGCGCCGCCGGCGAGATCCCGCACGTGCTCACCACGTTGATGCGCGGGCGCCACTGTCGAGCTGTGAGCGGGTGCTGCCGTCGCGCTAGGGAGACGGCTTCCAGGAGAGCTGCCATGCCCTTCTCGCATACGTGCGGGTCGTCGAGCGTCATGCACGAGAGCTTCAGGACGCCGCCGATCGTCGATACGACGACGTCGACGGGCGTGGTACCGTCGACGGGCGTGGTACCGTCGACCAGGCACTGGGCTACGGCCGCGGAGTCGTGCGCGTTACCTTGCACGACTCGGAGGTTCGGGTACTTGTCTGAGGGGAACTTGTCCGCGAGCTTGGACGGCGTTCGGCAGAGCGCGATGCATTTGTGGCCGGCGCCGAGGGCTCGGGTTAATGCGCCGAGGCCGATGCCCCCGGAGGCACCCATGAATGCGATAGTTTTTGTGGTGCTTGATGAGGCCATCTTGCTATGCTCTGGACATAGTACCTGTTATTGATATTTCTGGAGAGGAAGAAGGGATTTAAGGTACTATCGCAGATAATCTGAAGCAAGTTATGTAATAAAGATGACTTAATGTCGATATATACTGGTTAGTTCACCTCAGCGGAAGAGCAGTCATTTATGTTATTACTCAATATTCTACATCCATAAACTAGCCATTAAACTCTTACACATTCCTCATATCCAGCGGATGAATCCAACCCGTCCGAATCTCACCGTCGTGCAGAAAGATGTCAACGGAAAGTTAGTCATACCGCTGCCTCATGGTACAGAGACTTAACTCGTTACAGCGACCGGTTTCCGTTCTAGGTAACTCGGAGATCCGAGCCCCTCTGCAAGAGACGGCGTCAAAAAACCGTCCGGTCTTTATTTTTATTTTTTATTTTCTTTATGGTGACACACTGGCGTTTTTCGTATAGAGTCCGAAAGGATACGTATCCCGGGCCGGGGCTTGGGTTCCTATTCCACGAGGCGAAGACTATGGGGATATACATAGCCACGTTGATGGGACCGCTTTATTGCTTGATCTGTTGGTTCATTCGTTGAATAGCCACGTGAGTGACCGTTGCAATAGTGTGGTTAGACCTCCTCCGTTTTGTTATCGTTGTTTTTTCTATTAGAGAGTACATATGATTGACTAATCTATTTACGCCCAAATTGATCATTCTCTTTTGACCAATCTTCACGTATTGTACTGAAAATATCTAATTAGTTAAAATGTTGCCTTATGCTAGTTGAGAAAATGAGAAGCGAACTCAAATAGACATAAGGCCAAAACGAAGAAAGCGATTGTTGTTGAAGTCTCTAAAGAAGCCGATATCATCCCATACAAAACTATCTTATACTATTTGTAGCAAAACAAATCAACCACTTGGATCCAAAAGTGCTAGTCTACAGTTACTAGTGAAAATTCATAGAAAAATCCGATACTAAGTCTTAAATCAACGATTGAGTTTCTTCGATTCAAATTGATATTGCCTATCGTCAAACTCGCAGCAATGTTAAAAAGCATAAAATTTACGAAAATGTTGTGATACCTCAAGATACAACATTCCATAGGAACCAGATAGACTTACACATTATTCCACCAAGCTCAATCGAACATCCATACGCCCAAATTCCCTTGTTATTATATACAAATTTCTTCTGCTTATAGTTAGTTGTCTTAAGCCCTTATCGACATAGGGCATAACAACCCCTCCCAGCAGTTCGTTCGGCGGCCGTATACCAACGTCGATATGCAAAAAGCCTAGTCATATCCATAAAAGGAGCGGACGGCGTCGCGCCATTACCTCCGCAGATTGGTATCGTAGTCCATTACACAATAAAACCACCCCAGGGGATCTCACAGACGCGCGTCGACCCCCGCCTAAGAAACCCCACTCCTGCTCATTCTGCAAGATATATATATACGCAAAGAAGTATGAAGAAGAAATTTAAACTTTGGTTTTTTTTCGTTTTTTCCTTTTTTTTACCTAGAGAAAGAGCATGGCGCCAACGGCAATGAGAGCAGCGAATGCGCTCGGCCCCGCCATGCGGTCTAACCGCGCACCATTGTTTTCGTCACCAGAAACACCACAGACTTGTTGGAAGCCATCCGTGCAGGCGGCGTTAGGGCTGCTACCAGTGGGGGTAGCGCCGCTGCCCGAACCGCTACCCGAGCCGCTGCTAGCACCGCCGGCTGCCTGACCATTGGTACCGGGACCGCCACCGCTCAAGCCAGGAATGACATCTTGCGTGCCCGACGTTGCGCTAGAGTCCTTAGGGTAGTCTTTATCCATATCAAGGCCGGTACCTAAAAGCGACTTCAGAACCGTGTTACCATCGCCGTCCACAACGGTATCGTTGGTACCCTTCACGTTATTATAGGTATAGCTCTTGCCCGAGTTGGTACCAGGAGCCTTATCCGTCTTGTAGCAGTCAATAGTGACCTCGCCGACGGTGGCGTAGTAGTACTTGTCCTTCTTGATAGCCTCGCTGTCCCAGTCGATATATCCACCGGCCCAATCAACTGTGCCCTTAGCATTCTTCTCGTCACCACCAGGCCAGATAGAAAGCTGGACCCGGGCAGGGGTCTGTGGGAACTCCCATTGGTTGGTAGTAGCATTCCAGGTCTTAGACTTCTCCCACGTTCGACCAACTTTATCGTCCACGAGCCACTCGATCTTCTCCGGAGTCCACCTGATCTCATACGTGTGCCATTCGGTATTCGTGTTTTTGATGGTCGAGTCGGTGATATTGCCCGAATGAGTATCTGAAGAACGAGTTAGCAAATGGCGGTTCATGCAAGCCATTGATTAAGTGCACTGGAATCTTACAGTTGGGAATGCCCTGGAAGTAGTAATTCGTCTGGACAATGTCCAATTCGTTACCAACCCACTCAAAATCTATCTCGTCCTTCACATCGCTGAGCAGAATGAAAGCTGTAACGACACCGGCATCCTTCGATGTCTTTATTCTGGCCTTCACATTTCCATACCACATGTAGACTGTCGAGGCAAGGACAGTTCCAGCCGAGTGGGCCGGCATGGTCAAGAGGACATTGCCAGCGTGGGAGAGAGGGGTACCCTGAGCGACCCAGTCAGCCTTGGAAGGGTCACCAAGGTATTTCGAGGCATCAACAATGCGATCGGTGCTGTCCATCTTCATCGTCCTGGATTCGCAGACAGGTTCGGGAACACACGAGTCGAGAGAGAAAGACATTCGCGGGTCACATCCCCCAAGGCAGTACGCGCCTACACCACATTGGCCGTATTCTAAGAATTCGGCCTGGTTAGAGAAATACGCATTAACGCACCAGGGAGAAGGGTTGACTCTTACGGGAGCAGCAGGGAGTTTCCTTTGGACATTTCTTGTCGAGAGAGCATTGAGGCGCCGAATTCTGAGCAAGCACAGTGGTCGCACCCAGCAAGGCTACAGCCACGGCTGGTATGGACGGAAGCATCTTGTCGACGTTGTTATGGCTAATATTATTAAGGTATTATTTTTTTTTTATCTACCGGTAAGATATGTACCGTAACGGAGAGCGGTCGAGTCGCGTGCGTCTCTGTATTCATATACAGCACGATATATTTGAGGGCGTATTAAACGAATGAAGCCCGGGAAAGTATATGAGTGTATGTATATATTTGTCAATTGGTGGATACTGGACTCAGCCCACAGCAACTGACACTTCCTCGACAGGTGGTATTACTTGATAAGCAATCACCAGAAGCGAGGAAAGGCGTGCGTATGATTCCCGGCAAGGGGAAAGGGGGAATAATAAGAGGCTCAACAAGTTGTTCAACTTATATATACGAGCAACGACGAATCGTGATCTCCTTATGCACAGGCCACTTTGCAAGTATTTACAACTAAAGCAGGCCGTGCTTTATCGGGTGTTTCAAGCGAGAGTAATCCACGGAAACGATCGAGGCGAAACCTCTTTTAATCGAGGGTTCGAATAACGACTGAATTATAGGTATAGAAAAATATAGACAAAGGCTGAGTCAACGAGGGTTGAATTTGTTCGATGAGCACAAAAAAGACTCACAGCCACCGCCCGGCTAGAAATGCATACAAACGGCCAAGCGAAAGGAATTTACCAGAAAGATGGCAACAAAAAAGAGAAGGAAAAAAAAAACTACCTCATGGGGCCGGTAGGGAATACGATACTAGTGTGATAGTACCTATGGGGGAAAGAGAGCGCGTGAACAGACTGGCAGACTTGGGAAAAGAAAAATGGCGTGAATCCCGAATGTTCGAGAGGCGCTGTCCCTGTGCCTGTCATCCCAGCTGGCATAACGGGCTATAATCTCTTGCCTATGGGATTTTCATGGGATAGGCTCTGATAGGAAAAGAATAGGAGAGATGCAGGAAAATGAGTGAGGAAAATGCTACTGTAAGTGTAAGTACTATGTAAGATACGGTAGGGATACTCGCTTAGGAATAGTCGGCTCATTTCTTGTGGGTCGAAGCGAATTAAGTCTGGGCTCGTTTGTTTGTAGAAGGAGCAAAGTATAGCAAAAAAGCCGCTAAGAAAGGTACCGGAAAGGTACCAGATTGACACTGGCTTTTGCCCGGCTTGCATGACAGCCTCGATTGTCTCACAAAGTTCTGATTGACAGCCCGTTAGGAAGGTGGGGCAAATACTATTATAACGATCTCATTGGACGATTTTGATAGGTAATACAATACCTACAGTGTAGACTGTTAGCTCCTCGGAGTATTTTTGTACTGTGCTCTCTCAGATGCTCAGATGCAAAATCTCGTATTTCCCACCGGTGATCTCTCATCAGCATAACTCAGCGAAGCGGAATACGCGGAAAATGTAAAGAGAAGATTGATCCAATCACTTGGATCGCGGGTGTATCGTGTCACAGCATGATTCCTCCATGGACTTTTTTTTTTCTTTTTTTTTCCTTAAATGCAGTTAGAATCCACCTATTATTTTACCATGTATTCCGTACGGCCGCATACCTTATACCAGACGGCATCTCATGCACCCCGGACTTTTATTTTCCACGGTAAAGGATCCGGTATCACATTGTCGGCTGAAGTTTAGATAAATTGAAATGGCTAGGCTTTGCGATGGCATGGAAGCGGGTTAATACCTAATGCAGGTAGGTACCTAACGTATGACCTCGTTGAGGTCGCCTTGTATCAAAGGATGACTTCCAATCCACAAAGCCTAAAAAGCAACTCTCATAATACAGTTACATCTTGGAAGACTCTATAGTTATAGATGATGTGGTAGTTAACTAAAATATATATACAACACTCCTCGACCTTAGTTCCATATATATACATACCTGAGTACCTGAAGTAGGAGGTAAGTAAATAATCTATGCCCAGAACCCCCCCTTAACACCATAGCAACCAACGTTTGACATTTATAATAAGCCGTAGCAAAAACACAAAGCCAATAAGATACCCCCAAGTATAATGCGTAGATCTATCCATTCAAACCTAGTAGTTATTCAAAATAAAAACTCCCCCGCAAACGCCAACCCCTGGTGAACCACGGTCCTAATCTCCTCCGGCATAGGCAGCGCCTCGGCCCGGCTGAAGCTCGCCCATACCAGCTCTTCGTGCTCCGGCGACTTCACGGCGAGGTCCTCGTGGTTCTTCACCAGCACCGCGTAGTTCAGCTGTAGGCACTCCTTGCGCAGCACCAGCTGCGGGTTATGTATCGGCGACCTTCGCGACTGCGTCGACCCGGTACTCCCCCTAATCCCACCAACACCTCTGCCACTGCCTCTGCCACTACCAAGCGACCCCGTAGCCGAAGTCAGCGTGGCCCCATCTAGCACGGACAAGTCCCCACTACTACTCCCTCCGGCCGTGAATATCCCGACCCCGTCGTCGTCCCAGTCCAGTATCCGCACCTCGACCACGCGCCTCACGTCCTGCAGCGCCCCGAGCACCCGCACCACCTGCAGCCCCGTCTGCTCCGCCACCTGCCGCGCCACCGCCGCTGAGATGCAGAAGTCCTCGTCGAGCACCTTGCCCCCGGGGAGCTCCCACATGCCTTCCCCATTTCGGTATCCATTGCCATCACCATAGTCACAACTATTCCCATGCCTGTTCCCATAGCCGCTACTAGTATAATCTTGCTGCTCTTCATCGTATCGACTCCGTCCCCAGCGAATAGAAGAAGGAGGAGAAAAGGGGGAATAAGAAGAAGAATAGGGTGAAGTAGGCGGCGTACTAGGAAACGAAGGAGAAGAAAAAGGAGAAGAAAAAATAGCCGTCGACTCGGGGGTGGTGGCGGAAGACGAGGACAGGGCGGACGGGGGAGACGAGGACGAAGAGGACCGGCGGAGCAGCAAGACGGAGGGCCGCGAGCTGTGCGCGTCCATGCGGAAGATGCACACGCCGACGAAGAGCTTGTCCGCGGGCCGCGTGGCCCGTATGTCCTCGAGGTACTGGGCGCGGGACATGGCGAGCACCGTCTTCTGCGCGTGCGACAGCGTCGTCTTCCTAAATGAACAAGTCGCCATCGGGCACCGCTCTTCTAACCAATCAGCGTTACTCTACACTATAAGATAAAGCCTTCAGCCTTATCTCCACATCCCTCTCTCTCTCACACGGCACGGGATATCTAGGATGTAGTTTTAGAGACAGAGAGTAAGAGAAAAAAAAAGGGGGGGGAATCCCCGAGAGTTAGGCACACAATAGTCCCTAATTTCCTTTCCTTTTCCTTAACCACCCCCCTCTCCCTCCCTCCAAGTATCTAGGTTGGGTAGGTGCTTTCGACGGGAACGCACATGCGAATCGGTCCACGTTTGAAATTGTAGGTATGCGTCCGTCCGTCCGTTTTGTTTTTGTTTCTGTTTCTCCTTCGGCGATACGCACACGCACGATCGGCTCAGGTACTCAACACAGTCTTGTTCTCCCCCGCCCACCTCTTATCTCATCATCTATAGATGATACAATAGCAGAGAACGGGGGAAAACACGCGAAGGGCAAAAGTATGCAGATATGGGACTATGTTAGATCTTTCTTTTTCTTTCCTTTCCTTTTTTCTTTTCCCCTCATCCCACTTCCGCCCAAGAAGATACATTGCTCCTTATATATGTGTGACTAGAGGCATTATTGCTGGCAAGATAGCCTTTTCGATTAGTCGGGTTAGACAGGGCGCAAGGGTCTTATAAGGCCAGCGAAGGCATATCTCGAGTTTATTCGGAGTTTGTTGTGCCTGTTTATCCCGAGATGTCCTCAAAGTTAGCTTTCCAAAGGCAGATAAAGGTTGATACTATTGATCCTGCGGCTGGCAAAGTTTTCTTTCTCCGAGTTTAAGACGTAATCTAAGGTGTCGGGTTTGCATCGGCATTCTGATGGGTGCCGATGAACTTCACCCACCTCAAGCACGCGACATACACTAACGACCCTTCGTAGTCCATCCATCTGTCATTAACAAAATAGTTTTACACCAATATTGGTGTTCTCAATAGTGAAAGGGTACAGTAAGTATCACTTATTTAACTCGGCAATATGCAAGCAAAGTGTTATAGCGTAGTGGAAATAAAAAGAAAAGGAAAGAAAAGAAAGTAGAGCGCCCCAAGGGCTCAAATGAGAAACCATCGGTTAGAAACAACAAGTCGTGAGCGTAATACTCGCCATCATTTTTTCGAACATGAAAACCTTGTTCTACGCCATGGGCACAGAAGCAACCTTAATACATTCAACTTGAATGACAGTAAAGGATAACAGTCGTATTCTACAAGCTACCTCTGTACCCGTTACCTTTTCGGGTATATTATAGGAAGAGGGCACCGTTGCAAAAACACTGGTACCAGGGCTTGCAAATGGCGAATATTAAAAAGGACTCGTCTATTGACTGCCAACCGCATAGTAAATCAAATGTTTCACCTCCTATCGACCTTTCATTAAAACCTCCCAAGCGCACGTCTGACTGACTCAGTCACGCATCAACATCGCCATGGTTTTATGGTAACTTCTTTTTTTTCTTGTTATAGTCCTTCAGCCCCCCTACCAGAATGCCTCGAGACATAAATCATTCGAGACCAAAGAATACAAGTCTGATTCTTCCCGAATTCCGTAATTTGACAATCCATCCATTCTCCCGTGGGGGAATCGTGCTGTGAAAAGAAATGAAAACCGTATCCTTGCCGAAAATAATATACCGAAACAGAACTACAGACGAAAATGGGAGTTTGGCGATACGCCGTCGTGTCGTTGATCTCCCTTCATCCCGTATTGCGATGCAACTAGAGGTCATAAAGTTGTGAAAGCGCGGTCTCCACGTACTAGTGGGCTTGCCGAAGAAAGACCTCATAGAGCCTGTTCTCTTACAAAACCTGATAAGAATGAGCAGATCGAAGCATATAGGGTGTGTCAACGCCAAAAGATGGGACTCAGAACGAAATGGAGGGCTTAGAGCCTGGGCTTTCTTAACGTGCCTTTTGCGTAGAGAACAGTTCTGGAAAATGCTCCTTGGCATATTGCTCACAAGCCTGTACTCAAGTCCGTTAGTAAAAGTCTAGAATATCGTGAAATAAGTTAAGCAGAAAATAACGACTGACCTTCGCTGGCTTTCCAACTTTTTGACCAATGGTCTTCCACTTGTTGTTCTCGTAATCCTTGATGGCGCTGAGGAGCGCTTGGCTCTCGTCTTCGGCGAACTCAGCGTAATGCATATCCTAGACGGTTATTGGCAACAAGGAACGGGGGATGGAGCAGAGTACACAAATACATACTTTATACCAATGCTTCTTAACGCTACCTTCAGTTCGCGTCGGGAAAGTCTATTATTGCTCGAGTTAGTTGCGCTTCTAAGAACATGCTGCAAGTGGAACTGACCTTAGCAATTTCGGCCCAGCTATTGCCCGCATCCCTCATCTGCTTTAGTCGCAGTTCCTCGGCCGGGGTCCAGGGCGTATTCGTTCGACTCTTCTTAGCCGGGGGTGGCACAACCGGAGTTGTGGCTTCTTCCTTGGCAGGAATCGCCGGGGGGACAACGGGAGTGACTTGCTGCATCGGGGGTGCCGGTGCCGCGGAGACTGGGGTGGGAGTGGGGGCGGGTGCGGGTGTGGTTGAACTAGCGGGCCCGGTTGTAGTAGTCGGGGCTGGTGTCGCCGGGTTCACAGTTGACGCGTGCGGCTGCTGATGGGCCTGCTGTTGGTGTCCGGGCGCAGCGCGCTTACGGCCGCGTGGAGCCGGAGCGGAAGCTGGCGTCGGGGTTGTCTGTTGAGACGGCGCAACTGCGGGAAGATTGGTCATCGGAGCTGGAACCGGCGTAGCAGCATGATGCTGCTGTGTCTGATGGGAAGGTTGGTGGGTTTGGTGATGGGGATGCTGCCCGTGGGGACCATGAGACTGTTGGTGGTTTTGGTTCTGATGCTGCTGGTGCTGAGGCAGCTGCTGATGGTGCTGCTGACCATGCGATGGGTGCAGTTGGGCACCAGGATTGGGAGGCTGCGGCGTATAACCAGTAAACTCAGTCCGACGTGACATGTCGGCTTGGTAAGGATGGTTAGGACTGTATCACAGATGGAGGTTAGCATAACCATACGACTTGGTATTGCTGAGAGCGGCGACAGCAAGACGCGATGCAATCATGGCTGCACAGCATTGGACATTCCGAATCGACAACAGTTGGTAAAGTAAGGCGGAAGAGGTAGGTGCTGTTCAGCTGGAGAAAAGAGCAGGGATATCGCGAAGTAGTCTGGGCTGCAAGGCAGTGGATATTGCTAGGTTTGAGTAGGAGTAGATGAGGCTATCGCCAGGGGTCCTGCACTCGCAGTGGAGCAGAGACTTGTAAACCTGGGTTGGATGTTTGCGAGGCAAATCCATGACTGAGACGACAGGTATACATTTGGTACATATATGACCATGTCCTCTATACAACGAGGACGGCAGTATATGTGTACGAGCCATCTGGGGTAGAGGGGGGGTAACCGAGGGGGGGATGAAATGGGGAACATGTATATAGTCGGGGAAACAAATTGAACAAGTACAGTACTTGGGAGACTCGATGTAGAGAGGAAAGGAGATGTACTTACTGCATGCCATCGTTCGCGTGTTGAGTGGAGTTGGTGTAGACCGGGTACTCCGTCGGCATGGGGCCGACCTGCCACTGCTGCATGATCTGAAAAGGGCAAACTAGCGTCAGCTACAATACCTTAAGGTTTTCTTTGTTCCTGATACAACTGAAAAAAAAGTGTACAGAATAAAGCTAAAGCTTGAAATGGAGGGGGGGATAAATAAAACGCGACTGAGCAGCCTAGAAAAAAATAGAAGAACAAATTCTGGAAAGGTTTCAAAGTAGAAGGGGGAAAGGGGGGGAAAGGTACAGGTGAGAAAATAAGAGAATTATTCCGCGCAAAAACAAAACAAGGGAGGCGAAGTAAATAGGCGAGATGCGCAGAGTAAGGGTAAGTAACAGCGGCGGTAGAAGGGGGGGCCAGGCAACAATCCAAAAAAAGAAGGAAAAAAAACAGCAAGAACGAATGAAAACAGAAACAAAGAAAAAAAAAGTATGAGAAGTAGTCGTTAAGTCGTAACGGTGGTGAGGTGAGAATGGGTAGTAGTGAAGGTAGTGATGGCAATGATAAAATGTTACCACGAAATTGTAATAAGAGCAGGCAATGATGCCTGCATGGGTGAGGAAGGTGAAGAAGCGAAGGGTGTTTTTACTTGACAACGTGTTTTTTTTATGATCATGATGCTGCTCGTAGCTTACGCCAGAGCGTAAGCTACAGCCGACAGCATCTTGATGGGTTGGCAGGAGTGTTGACCCCAAACACGCGTTTCTTTTGGATAGTCGCGCAGCTGAATATATAATTTTTTTTTTCTTTTTCTGTCGATGCAGGCGACGGGTAATGATGGCAATGGTGGGGATTCGCAAAGGAAATACCGGAATACAACAGACTGAATGGAGAAAAAAAAGTAGAGGGTACTCAAACTTACGGGCAATTAGTATTAGTAGTTGTAGTATGCGATGGTCAATCCGCAGTGCATAAAAAGTCTGCAGCGACGTTGAAACTTTGTTGCCTCCTGCTGCGAAACGGCGAGGACGGGCAATCAGTAACTCAAAGTCTGCACGCGTACTGCGTACTCCGTACAGTGGATAGCGGGATTGCCCAGGTGTTGTGTTCTCAAACCTCGAGGCGACTTGATCCGAGATACAACTGACGCGTCTGTCACCCGGTACTGCACAGGTAGACTTGCGACTTTGCTGCTAAGCTAGGATAAACTGTTAGACAAACCCGTGGGAAAGAAAATGTGACAAGAAGGGTTTAGTCAATTGAAAGTGGGCGCGCGCGCAGCAGCAGGCACCGACGCCGGTGAACAAAAGATTCGAGGTGAGGTTGGGGTGTTTGAATGTTGTTGTTGCAATGACAGGGAATGAGACCCAAATGTATCGTGGTTCAGCAGAAGTACGGAGTACCTTGGTGTGAGAAAGGGAAAAGTAGAGGGAACAAACTGTGCGGATTGGGGAGGGGTGCAGGTTGAGGGAACCGTGGGAAAGTATCTGAGAGTAGTATGTAAGAGGTATGTAAGGTGTAAGGTATAAAGTAGAAGGAACGTTGGCAGGTTTTGGTGAGGTAGCCTTTAGCCACCTGCAAAATTTGCGCTTTCTGCCTGCCGCGCACGGACTATAGCATAACCCTGATATTGGTTGGTGTCTTTTATGAAATTCCTTTATGCTAGCACGCCTAAGGCACAAAGTGATTTGTGGTCTAAGCTTTTAGCTCGGCGGCAAATTTGGCCAAGGCCTTCTTAGTATTGAATTAATGTACATCGCAATGTACGCGCACTGCTAGTGGACTACTATCCTAGTATCAAATTGAAAAGAAAGGAAAAGAAAGAAAAAAAAAATGAGGGTATATTGATTCGAAATGGCGAACTTGAACGCGAACGCGAACGCGAAACTGAGAAATATTGACTGGCTGTAACTGAGAGGGTATGATAATTCATTGGGTACAGGCATGTGGCGCTGTGCTGCCGTAAGACTCGCATCGATATGAGAGAATAAAAAAATGAGAGGTCACGATACCTTTTTTTTTTTCCTCTAGGGAATTTAAAAATTCCTCTTCTCCTTCAGTTTGGTCCAAAAAACCAGCAACGGTTTTCCTCCAAGTTCCTAATCGCATGTGTCAATTTGCAAATCTGCAGTTGATAACTCCTTATGCAAGGATCTTAAAAAGAAGTAGCGCGCGATTGAAGTACTTACCTCTGCAATGAACACAAAAGTGACTTTGCGATGATCAGAATTCTGATACTTGTTGATACCTGATTAATGCAGGATACCTAACTCGACTAACCAGGACTCGGACAGCTGTCGACTTTGTTCCTTGGGTTCCTCGGGGAGTACTTTTGAGCAAAGTATCTTAGGCTTAGGCTGGTCGATGTTTTGGATTGGTGTCTAATCTTTTTTTATTTTTATTTTTCGTGCGCGACCTGGGGGTGTGGGTTCGAACGACTGGCACCTCACGAAAAAAGAAGTGTGGAAAGGTTAAGATTTGGCGGTACGCAGCCATCGAAGGTGGGAAGTACCTTTAGTGTTCGGGCTATGGTGGCTCTAAGGCGCATTCGCCTTTTCTAATTTGCTGACTTTTCCCCTTGTGGGTATATAAAATCTCTTGGCGGCCATGTTCCGGTCTAACCCTGAACTCGGTTAATCATGGGTCAAGACTGTGAGCTAGTGAGTGATTACCAATAATTCGAAGCATTTCTTGATGCCCCACGAGAGAAAAGGACTGTACCTAGGTATTCCGTACTTCGTACACTCTCGTACACTCGTGCCTTCTGGCCTTCCACCGTGCTTTTGAAATAAGCCGCACGTGATATTAGCTGCTACAAGATTCAACTATTGCAGCATGTATTGAATGTATTGAATGTACATAGTATCGCATGTATTCCATTCATGCTCATGTTGCTACATTTTCCGTATGTACCTGCAAATGCCCTTTTCTGATCATGTAACCTCCAAGTACATCACAAGTCTGCATGTTCAAGATCTAAGGTATTGAAGTCGCTAGACTTTTTTTGATATTTCAATTTTTCGTGTGCTTGATTTGTCTATGGTTTAACTGGTCTCTACTTCGTACAAGATAGATTTTTAATATATTAAACAAAACCGTCTCTGAAGAAGTATTTTGCGACGTAAAGATTGATGACTACATAATGAAAGTAGCAGAGTCGGCTGCAGCCAATAAAGCTACACTTCGCTCTTTGCTATCGTATATCGGAATCGGATGTGAAATAGCTGATAATTATTAGGCTCGGGGATCAATTACATACATACCTGATATGCTGCTATCCGCACCGAATCATCATCTCTAGCATATATTAGCCCTCCTACCTGGGTAGACGGTTCAATATATTTATTTCATATATTAATGCCTTAAGCAAATCCTGTTATTTAGGTAGCTTTGATGTGGCCAGGTATTCAAGTGGATAATGTACATCGATGATGTGGCTGGTATCTATACATTCAGTGTAGTCGTGTAGTCATCATGTACATAGTAGGTATTGTATGTATAGGTATAAGGCAGTAGGTATATACTATAAACCTTGTCTGCACCTAACCTAGATATTCTTGGCGTGTACGAAGTATAGGTAATACCTAGTCCAGATTATGTATTGTACATTGTCAATTTAACCTGCTTGTATCTGTACTTACGCAGAATAAGGCACCAATACTAAAACTCATGTTATTTACATGAGGTAGGTAGTTCAATAGCGACGGCGTTTCATACCTAATATATAATTTATATTTAACCAAATTCCGCTTCAATTCCAAGAACGGGAATCACATAATAACTTTTGGTAAGCTAGTTTAGACCAGGAGAGAGTTTGGTTATGGAGCTAAAGTCGCGATGCCAAGCACATGCAACGCAAGTGTCCGCAAGGTCATGACTTCGGCCAAGTATTGATACTTCTCCCCGCAGTATGGAGTACACGCATCCTCACGATACTTGATCGCAAGTACCTATATAAGGTCGAGGTATACAAGCAGCGTATACAAGCAGCGTATGCAATGCAGCCTCGCGGTCACTCTCAAATACTATCTATCTACTTGCCTATGCTTGACCCATTTAGGTACTCGTATTACAACATTCTATATTCATACCTCTAGATTCATTATCGGACGCAGCTGACCGGTCACCCCCTATACACTAGTCAACTTACTCCTTATAGGAGTCCGAGAGCAAGTGACTATGGCTACTAAGCTGGGACGCCAACGACCTGTTTGGATTCGCGAGGAGCAAGTGCTGAGAATGTAAATGTAGGCAGTACAATTCTACCGTATTCATAGTACATACCTCCCTCTCTAACTTCAATGACAATGGCCTTTTTCGGTATAATCTTTATCATTACGAGGGGATCTTACCTATACAAATATATGAAGTGCTTGCTTTTCTTGCCTGTCCACCTACCTAAGTCGTCTATGAAACAGTAGTACACATGTAGTCATACCGTTCTCCATAACTGTTCCCAGAAACATGTCAGTTTCCTTGTGGAAATTCAGCGGTGTACCACCTCTCCTGGTATATAGCTTGAGGAAAGCGTAGCTTATTGGGATATATAGGTGACACCCTATCATTACTGAGCGGCTATGTACATGTTAGAGAGATAAGAGTATATGAACCTAGGTATTGTATCTAGTGCACTTTCATCTTTCCCCTGATAGAAACACCAGGTCTAGGTACTTTATGGGGCGAATATCTGGGCAATATTGACCATCGCATAACGAAATTGAGACGAACCAACGCTGAACTACCAAGTACACGAGTACCGTAGTGATGGTCAACGGCGTCATATCTGATATGTAAGATAGCTTTTGAGGAAAGGGATCCTGCAAAGCTTTAGTAAGGGGTATAACCTCTCATATTACGGGGTACTACATTACGAGTAGGTAGCTACGGCTTCTATGAAGTTTATAGATACCTCAATTGACTTCAAAAAAAGTGAAAGATATGTACACACCTGTGTCAAGTATTCAACTTTAGCAGCGAGCAGAACCATGTACCATCTTGATGTTCCACTAGTTCAATAGGGCGTATATCCTACCGGGCTTCTAGCTCTGTATCGAAAGCCAACTTGTATCTGCAGTCGGGACTGTAGCAAACATTATAACGTAGCTTGCCCGAAGTATTTAACAAATGCGGCTCTGTAACCACGAAAACAACTGTGCTCCCCACATGCTTAGATACGTGTCTTCGATGAACGCAAAAATGCAAGAAAACCATTACTGGGTTGGAGGCGATTGGAGGTGGTATCCTTAGAACTTGGCTCGAACATCGGCTAACTCGATTGGTAAATGTTATAACAGTGTATAACTGGTAAGTATACATGATAACCTGTAAGATAATACGTAGTTCATATACAATCGAAGGCTTAGCAAAGTTAATAAAGCTAGAAGTCGATAGAGAGACGCAAAGGCAATGACCGGAGAACTTTCGACGGGCCGCGGATCCGCCTGTGTTTAAGACCAAGAAACATCGTTTATCAAATTCTAGCTTGTTTTTTATCCCACCATCGTTGGCAAGGTTGTCAAAAGGCGCTTTCAATGCAAAGTCTGTCATCTGGTCTCTCCCAGCACTTGATCGACGGCCGAGCTAAGCCATAATAGCCCACTTCTGACGTGATGTGTAAGTGTGTTCCCAAGAAGCTGGAACGATTGAAACTATGAAGGTAACAGACCGTTGGAACACAGTCTGAAAATGCGACTCTGACCACGACAGATCGTTAGCTTAGTTGCTTAGGTACATGCAGTGTACAATACTTGAGTAAAAGGTGTGGTGGCGAGGGTCGAATACTTCATGGGTAAGGGGATTGAATCCTATATACATCATATGTAATTGACTCTCCTTCTGAGGTACGTACTTAAGAGCTACCCAGCAGCTGCATGCACGAAGTACAACTCCGTAGGTATTGCTCATGTACCCCTTGTTTTCGCTTCCTGAGACATTGATTCTTTACACATGTAGGGTTGACGCTAGTTCAAGAAACAACCTTGAAATGTAAATTGCTACCATAAACACTCTATAGTTTAGGATGATGAAAATGCCAGCTGCAAGAACAGTATGATCGACGCGGTATTAGGAAACGCCCGTCTTCTACTTACCAAACCGATAGTCCTTCACGCGAGAACATCACGAACTTATTATTGTTCTTTAATAATAGGGTTAGTTCCTGATATTTGTATTGCGTCTTATGTGTTTGATAGACGGGTGGTCACGGGGTTTCTGTTTTGTCTGTACCAGGTATGTAAGATATAACTATTATAAAATAGGGGCAATATTGATAAGAAAGCACTCTGGTAATGAGGAACACGTAATTTCCCGAACGACTTCTCGATTTTGATTTCACTAATATACACAAAACCTAGCGTAAGAGGGTGGCTCTTTCGGTGACGATATTAGCTGTCAGTATGTATCTCTTCCAGCCAGCCAGCGGCTTAGTTAGTTGGAGTTTTGAGGTCTGTTTACTGAATGTTGTAGCGCTCCGCGGGGAGAGACCAAATGTAGATAGACGCCGTGAAGTAATCGTTTCGTATGTCGCTGACATCCTGGCACTGCCAATATCGGTGATAAGTTATCCACATCTTTGATCTGGTCACTATCGACATGTTTCGACATGCTCTTCGGAGCATTGAGGATACAAGTACCCCGCCCGCTTCTCGCGGGTAAAATATTTGCAGGCGTTGAGGCTTGAATCAACCTAGCCTGGGTTTAAAGATGTATGATAATATTCAGCGCGATAGTGTGTTGGATGGAACTCGATAATTGGGTCGATACGCTAGATTCGCGATGTTCCGGCGCCAACGAGGATCCGTTCTAGGCTCACCACTTGGCAGGTTTCAACTTCAGGTAAGCCTACGGCGACCCGCGACAAGGATGTGTTCCCGCCCTGCCGCTTTACTGACCACGCGACAAGGGGTCCGGCTTATTGGGCCACGGCTCTCATTTAGATATACGAAATATTAGTCGAAATATAACTACCTAGGTAGTTGTTTTTCTCCATAGTCTCCATAGTCTCTATAGGTAAGCTAGAATGATCAGTTAACTAAGGTAGATGAAGACGGCTTCGACTGCGATATAGGGTATGGTATGAATTGTCCCACTGATAGCCTTGCTTTAGAAGCTTGAGTAATGGAATAGGAGGATCCCTTGAACTTTTTCGGTCTTCCTTACCTAGTGTATTTACAAGGTAACTATCAAGAGACAAATTAATGAATTAGTTACCTACCTTAGATTAGGTAGGTATTTAGTTGATAAAACACACGAGTATTACAAGGTCTGTGCTATTATACGAGGCGAAACAAAACGGCGACTCAAACTCATCTTTGCTATCATGCAACTCTGGGGTTTATAGGATTTGGTAATCATCAAGCGAACTTCATGCTATCGATTGGATCGGCTGACTTTTTTTTTTTTTTTTTTTTTTTTTTTTTTTTTTTTTTTTTTTTTTTTTGCGACGACGAAAACATTTATCGCACATTAAGCACGAGCTACCTAGTTTCATTGAACAAGAAACGCAATGGGAGCACGGAACAAAACGAAAGAGAGATTATACGGGGTATAAGTTATGGTATTATGTTTGGGGCCGCGTGAGTTCGGCATATTCCATAGGTATGAAAGTAAATATACCTCTTAACCTACTCAAGACATTATATTAGACGGGAACGAAAACGAATTAAAAAAAAAAATAGTACTTGTACTTTGGTTATTACAGAGAGCCGCGGGAGGCTGAACAAAAGGGGAAAAAGAAGGGGTATTAAGGTTCCAAGGTTCCATGCTAGTCAGGGGTTAAAGAAACGCTATGTCGTGTGTGGGGTTCGTTATGGGGTACGATAAACCAATTAGAAACCCTGTAAAATGAATAAGCGCGTCCCTGTAACACAGTGAAGCAACGTCCATACACAAAACCTAACAGATGTAAAACCAAACTTCCGACACAGACCCTTTTTTTCCCTTCTTCCACCTCGAAACCTACATCATTATTATCATTATCATCATCACTATCATCACTATCATTATCATCATCACCATTATTATTATTATTATTATTATTACCTACCACAATGCTTCTACGTGTATGACCCTACGTTGAGTTGTCTCGACCCAACTGTTAACTAATTGTGTCTGTTGTGCCTCCAGCTGCACCAAACACTCACTCACTTAAGCTTACAACTCGTATCGTAACATCCGAGAATGCTAACTAAACATGCTCTGCTACTTAAATCTCCGATATAATACACCAACACCGGGAATGGGCTGGCCGACCAGGTCAAATATAACCTCCACTGCCAGTCAAGGTCGGACAAGATAGGGTCCTCGAGTGGAAGGCAGCCCCTCTTCTCTGTAACCCTGGACGAAAGACCGCTTTTCTTTCTAACCTCCCATCGAAACGGACATGGGTGCGATGGAACGGAACTGGAAAACAAAAGTGCATCCCATCTAGATCTGGTTATCATTTCATCAACGCCCGTTGGCCGCAGGCGGCGGCCGGTTTATGTCGCATCTAGCGTCATTTGCGTTGTAGCCGTGGTTTCCGAATACATGAAGCATAGAAATCCTAGTTTCCTAGAGAAAAGAGAGCTCTGCTAAGAGGAACATGAAGAACAAGAACAGGAAGAACGAGAACGAGAACTCTGGCACGTAGAGTTCTACTGAAGCCACCTTTCTTCCTTGTGGCTGCATTTTCGACCACGGGAAGTCAGCAATATCCTCAAGGTTTATGGCGTATTTGTTCGAAGAGTTTCTTAAGTTTGTTCGTCTTACTACGCATAGTAAGTTTGCTCTCATGGTTTCGGATCACGGAATGAATGAAATCCCACCTCTAGCGCTTGTCCTATCTAGGCTTGTCCGTTTTAGATCGATGCACATGGATTTCAGCCCAGCGCATCAAGCCAAGACTAACGCCTCCGTTCCTGTCTCCTCCGTTCTCGTCCCCTCCGCTCCAGCTTAAACCTCTTGTTACAGGGTTATAATTGAAAAAAGTTCAAGACGGGAGGTGTGGTAGTGCCCACCCCCGTCAGCGTTAACCCTAGTCAATCTAGAACGTATCGGCTGAGCATCAAGATGTAGAAGATGCATTATCGTTATTATCTGCCTTTCGTCTCACTTACTCTTACTGATTTTTTCCCCTCTTTACCCTCCCCATAGGTTCAACTACTGTATCATTGACAACGTTGTTGCGAGCCTCCTTTCTTTTCTTTCGCAGCTAGCGACCACTTTCTTTCGTTGTCCAACTGGCTTGGCTGCTTACGCTCTTTTGAATAATCGCTTTGGTCGTCGGTGAAATTTGGATCAGTTTACAACTCTCCGTTAGATTCGTTTTTGTATCTGGTATATACGCTTAATCTCTGGCGTGACAAGGAAGGGCCCGAGAGGCAGCTCACTGGGAACATCAATAATCTGGCACAACCGCAATAAAACCTCCAGATACCTGGTCTTATTAACACGACGACCTTCAGCAACTTCGATTCTTCTAGCAGCTTGGCCTGCCTATTTTACACATATCCCTTTTTAACTTCGTTGAGGCAGCGCCGTCTTCGCTATTCTTACGACCATCCAGCTGTGGTAGATCACGAGTACACAATGTCTCCACCACTGCAACTAACCACATCCACCGTTATGTCATACGCGCCAACCAGCGATGTTCTCGAACGACATGAATATGCTGTCAATAAGAATAGAAAATTAACAGCATCGACTGGTGGGGGGAGAGCCTGGAGCGAAGAGGAGGTGAGTAGAGTAGAAGCCATGCTTATATTCTTTCGATTGTAAACTAATATCTTGGAATAGGAGGTGTATCTTCTTCAAACCCGCCTTCAAAAGATGCCTTATAAGCATATTGCTGCTCACTTGAAAAAAACCGAGTTAGCTTGCCGTCTTCATTATCACCAGCTGAGCCATGGAAGCAATCGTCGGAAGCGGACTATGTCGGTATCATCTGTGTCCTCAACAGGTCATTCTCCCATCTTGCCGGCTACTATCCCATCTCCCATCCAGGAGACTCCTCGTGGTAATTCCTCTCCCGTGAGTGCCACTGGTCAGGAGCCCGACTCACCCAGCTATGCGACCACGGTGCAACTCCCTAGTATTGTAACGAATGCTGGCACATCGCCTCATCTTCCCGCGATATTGCCAAAGCCGTCGACAATTGCTCTCCCAAATACTGCGCCCCCGGCTTCGTATAACTATCCTGCTTCGGGTCCCGACTCGGCTCGGTCGCTAGCGCCATCCCCGTTTCCTCAGTCCGCATCAATTAGCCAGGTACCTGTTCTTCGACTTGACTGTTCCCTCCCGCCGCCTTCAGCTCACGTGGATATCCCTCGACTGCAGTCAATATATGCTGCGCATCGGTCATCATTCTGGAGTGCGATCGCATCTGAATATGGGTCGGGTATTAGCCCAATCGTCCTAGAGCAGGCGTGGAAGACAAGCATATTTTCTATGGGCGGCCAAACTCCGATTACACCGGTTACCAGTCCCAACGACCGGGAGATTGTTTATGAAAGGCATGACAAGACCCGTATTAGCGCTATCCTCGGAATCGATGCCAATCCACGAAGTCCGAAGGAGAGGGAGATGGTTCGGCGATTAGAAGAGGAACGAAGTGTTGGTGTAACTGCTGGTGCCTAGGGTCCTGGAGTGTCATTCGCATTGAAGACTAGCACTACATCAATGCATTCTAGTCACTACGGCGCTTCGCATTGGTGTTACTTCAGTACCGGAGTGGGTTGTTGCCCGTCCTGGCTGGGCAGCGATTCCTGAATCAACTATTTTTGCCCTTGTAATGCCTCTAGATTTCCTAATTCAACACTTATCGGTCAAAAATTTACGCATCGATTCTATCCTGGGGCATGCGGTGGCGGCTATTGCGGCCACCGTTGAATAAAAGCTACACCTTTCACTGTTCGTATTTTGGGCTTGTCCTCGATATTTGAGAGCATTGGCATGGAGGCCAGCGAGGGAGGCTGCTCGACACAGTTGGCCCGGAGGTACATAGTCTGTGGAGGAGGTGGTAAGAAGAAAATGGCGAGATGTCCTGAACGGCCGCTAGCTATGATTTAGTTTTATGTGTACGTATAATTGGATGGATATTTCTTTTTAATATTTTTGGCCAGCACGATTTATGATGCAAAACCAATGCCCAAATTTTACGGCCGAGGAATTCTGTACATTAATTTCCAATAAAAAAAAAAAAAACTAAAAAAAACTCGTAACGAGCGGTCTATGTTCTGTCTAGAGCAGGGAGGAAATAAAGGGGGATCCCCTATCTTGAACTAACAAAATGATAGCACCCAAAACATCTACACAGTCAGTCAATCATGTTTATTGTGCATGCTAGCATCGCATAAGATAAAACTTGTCACTGGGGGGAGCTGCACGTAACACTTAGCGCCGTCTCCTCTCCTCATGTTTGGCCTAGGTAATCCCTCGAATCAGAAAGCCACAGCAAATATAACGAACTAATCACTTACCTTGTATAAGCGCAATATTGTATCTCTTTCTGGTTTCGGGTGTTACTTGCATGCTACTCCGCTTTCCCCTCCCATAGCCGGGGCCGACAACACCAAAGTATTCGAACTATAATGTAATGGGTATATCCTAGAAAAGTTGCTTTTTTAGGTCGTGGGCCATGTGGGTATCTTTATAGACTTGGTACAGCTCGTCTACTAGGCTCTAGCCAGTCGTCTCTCAAGGATTTCAAATTACTAGCTTCAAGTGTATACCTAGATAAGTATGAATGCAGCTCTTGCTTCCGAATCATCTCCGCGCCGGGATCCGGGCTTTTCCCCGTTTCTAAATCTTCGTTACGTCAAAACCTCCGAATCTTAGAATCGTTATAAGATCTGAACCTACCCGGCAAATTCTTTACCCCGCAGAGCCAGTACCAAGCTGAAGATTTATAAATATAACTCCTATATAAACCGTCAGATCCTTTTGTTAAAGCATAAACCGTCGGTATATAGTTGCTACCTATCATCATAGGTATTTGAACTAGCCAAAACTGGACATATTTAACATGAGCGACGCACCCGTAGCTGAGACGGGTCTCAGCCCCAAACTTCAGGACCCCAAAGCCGATCCTCAATATATTCAGTTCAAGTGCTTACCAGCGGGCGGTCCCTTAAATCGATGGTCTAATGCGATCACAAGGGAACATGACTTCCCTGGTGCCCAAGTATGTGGCCAATCTATATGCAAGGAACTCTAGACTCACATATTGGTATAGGCTATGCTATACGGCGCCGGTGTGCCGAATGAAGAGATCATGAAGAATGCTCCTCAAGTTGGAATTGCAACGGTCTGGTGGGAAGGAAACCCTGTATGTTATTCAAAAACATAGCTCGATTTCTCGTAGCATTGCTGACTCCTAACTCGCAGTGCAAGTAAGTGATACTGGCTTGTATTATGACTATAATAATCACATGTTCACGACCTGGTGCCCGTAGCTAATGGTTGCTGTCCGCAGTACACATCGTGAGTGAAGGTGGAAATCGCGAAATATACTTCAATACGGAGAAAGCTAACAAAGATAGTCCTCGATTTCGGGAAAATCGTGAAGAGAGCGGTAGAGAAGCAGAATATGTTAGCATGGCAGTATAACACTATAGGTGTATCAGATGCTATTACCATGGGGGGCGAAGGTTGGTTTGTGCTGCTTCTTTCCGCACCGGAGTCGCTAAATATTATAAAATAGGAATGAGATTTTCGCTTCAAACACGCGACCTCATTGCCGATAGCATAGAAACCGTTACCTGTGCGCAGCACCATGATGCCAATATCGCAATTCCCGGTTGTGATAAGAACATGCCGGGTGTTATCATGGCGGCAGCACGCCATAATCGCCCTTTCATCATGATTGTAAGTCCCTAGTCGCCACTAAAGCAGCTACTTGTCTGTCTACCTGGCAGTAAAGTTGCGAGTTAAGCCCACAGGCTTTCCGCATCAGACGCGTCGCTAACTTGCAGTTTCTAGTATGGCGGAACTATTCGAAAGGGTTATTCGGAATTATTGGAACGTGACGTGAATGTGAGCACTTGCTATGAAGCTTCAGGGGCATTTGCGTATGGCCGGCTTCAGGCCAAGACGAACCCTGGTGCCGTAGGCCGAACTCCAAGTGACGTGCTGTCCGATATCGAACGCCATTCGTGCCCCGGTGCAGGTGCATGCGGTGGAATGTACACTGCCAATACGATGGCAACGGCTATAGAAGCCATGGGTCTCACTCTTCCCGGGTCGTCGTCTTATCCTGCTCTATCCCCGGAAAAGGCTCGCGAGTGCGAACGCGCCGCCGAGGTCATTAAAATCACTATGGAGAAAGATATTCGTCCGCGAGACTTGTTGACTAAGGAATCGTTCGAAAACGCGCTGGTCCTTACTATGATACTGGGAGGTTCTACTAACGGAGTTTTGCACTTCTTAGCTATGGCGAACACAGCTGAAGTACCGCTCACTCTGGACGATATCGATAGGGTCAGCAATAAGACGCCCTTCCTCGCGGATCTAGCCCCGAGTGGAAAGTACTTGATGGAAGACTTGTATAAGATTGGCGGCACTCCGTCCGTGTTGAAGATGCTAATAGCGGCCGGTCTAATCAACGGCAATATCCCAACCGTAACGGGCCGTACACTTGCGGAGAACGTCGCCGATTGGCCTAGCTTACCGCCTGACCAGAAGATCATTCGCCCTCTCTCGGACCCTATCAAAGAGACAGGCCATATTCGGATCCTGCGAGGGAATTTTGCACCAGAAGGTGCCGTTGCTAAAATCACTGGTAAAGAGGGTCTGAGCTTTACTGGTAAAGCTCGAGTGTTTAACAAGGAGCATGAGCTCGACGATGCCCTAACGCGCGGCGAGATCCCGCGCGATGAGAATTTAGTTCTCATAGTTCGTTACGAAGGGCCGCGTGGAGGTCCCGGTATGCCTGAGCAACTGAAGGCATCCGCAGCTATTATGGGCGCGGGATTAAAGAACATCGCTCTTGTTACGGACGGTAGATATAGTGGCGCTAGCCATGGTTTCATTGTCGGCCACGTAACTCCAGAAGCAGCAAGAGGCGGACCTATCGCATTAGTTCGAGATGGAGATACGATCGTTATTGATGCGGTTAAGAATCGAATCGACATAACCAATGTGAGCGAGGAAGAGCTGAAAGAGAGGAGGAAATCATGGAAGGCTCCTCCCCCGAGAGCTAGGAGGGGTGTGTTGGCCAAGTATGCGAGACTGGTCGGTGATGCCAGTCACGGTGCTGTTACAGACCAATGGGACCCAGAGGATTAAGTATTACCACACCGATGAAGACATTCAGCCATTCGTAGAACTCTGGATAAATATGAAGAGGTACTTCAGTAGTGTATGTCATATTTGTGTTATCGAATGTCCTGCTATGTGTTGAGATATTGCAACTAGGTAGAACCAACCGAAAAGAAATATCGTGTAAGAAGTAACAAAGGTACCTATGTAAAGATAACTAGAGCGAGTTCTATAAGATATTTTGATTAGGTACGGATTAGTTATTAGTCAAGCTAAAGGTAAATTCCATTCCTTTGAAAGTTATGAAAGATTTCATAAGAGATGGTACCTAGATGCTGCTTGCATAATCTATCGATAAGATTAGATACCTACCTAGTAAGAGCCCCACTCTTAAATACCAGGATCCCTGAAGCAGCAGCCACTGATCGCGGGGTTACCGAGGGGCATACAAGAAAAAAAATTAAATAAAAAAAATAATTTTCAATTCAACGTTTGCGTCGCGAGATAATCGCGATTAAACGTTGGCATTTTTTTTTCTATACAGCGCTAACTAACAGACTCTCCATTTTCGTCCTTCTACAGCCTATAAATAAACAAATTCTTGTGGTTTACGAATTATTAGACATCATGTCTAAACGTACGGCGGACGTTGGAGACGAACATGCTCCTCTGAAGGGAGGTGTTCGTCCTGAGCCCATGGACGTAGACGACAAGGACATGGGCGAGTTCGCGGACGAATTCGAGGACGAGTTTGAGAGCGAGGACGAGATCTTCGAGGCTGGCGTTGACGGTAGACCCGACGCAGAGCGCGAGGCTGAGGAAAACGCAGCTGGCAACATGGATGTCGACGATAGCACTTTTATCGTCGGGCGCAACAAGCTTGAGGCTGGCCAACATCTCGCCCCAGATCTGGGCACTTACGAAATGCTTCATAACCTTAGTACCCCTTGGCCGTGTCTCTCTTTCGACATCGTGCGCGACAGTCTTGGCGACAACCGGGAAAAGGTCTATCCTGCCACCATGTACACTGTCGCCGGTACCCAGGCCGAGAGCACACGCGAAAAGGAGAACCAGCTCATGATTATGAAGTTTAGCGGCCTGAGCCGTATGCAAAAGGACGGCCAGGACTCCGAATCTGAGGATGATTCGGATTCCGACGACGAAGAGTCAGATCCTATCCTCGAGTCCAAGTCCATCCCATTAACCTCGACTACGAACCGTATCCGAAGCCACCAGATCCCCTCGCAGGATCCTTCGAAACCGCCCACCACTCTCACAGCGACCATGACAGAGTCGACTAACATCTTCATACACGACGTTACACCCCACCTGGCGTCCTTCGACAGCCCCGGCACCGTTATCACCCCCCAGCAGAACAAGCCGCTCTCCACCATCCGAGCCCACAAGTCAGAAGGTTACGCCCTCGATTGGTCACCTCTTGTGCCCGGCGGTAAGCTTCTAACCGGCGATAACAATGGTTTGATATATGTGACGACGCGCACGGATGGCGGGGGCTGGGTTACCGACACCCGCGCATTCCAGGGACACACCAGCAGCGTGGAGGATATCCAATGGAGTCCGCAAGAAGCGTCCGTGTTCGCGTCCGCGTCTAGCGACGGCACGGTGCGCGTCTGGGACGTGCGCAGCAAGAGCCGGAAACCCGCCATCACGGTGCAGGTCAGCTCGGTGGACGTGAACGTGATGTCGTGGTCGCGATTAACGACGCATCTCCTCGCGACGGGTGCCGACGACGGCGTGTGGGGCGTGTGGGATCTACGGCAGTGGAAGGGCGGCGCGCAGAAGCCGAGCCCCATCGCCAGCTTCAACTACCACAAGGAGCAGATCACCAGCGTCGAATGGCACCCCACGGACGACAGCATGGTGGCCGTCGCCGCGGGCGACCACAAGGTCACCCTGTGGGATCTGTCCGTCGAGCTGGACGACGAGGAGAGCAAGGACACGGCCGGCGTCAAGGACATGCCGCCCCAGCTGCTCTTCGAACACATCTCCGAACACGCCAAGGAACTCCACTGGCACCCCCAGATCCCCGGTACCCTCATTGCGACGGGCCAGGAGTTTAGCGTTTTCAGACCTATACCGGTTGTTTACGGTATTCACGCGAAATAAAGCCTGTGAGCACAAGTCGAGAAAATAAATGATTGTCCGGGGAATACCGAGATCTTCTTCACCAGATAGAAGGATGAAACCGGGGGAAGTGAGAACCCCTTAATTCTCTCCATCACGGAGTCAGGATCTTTAGGCATCATAGGGAGAGTTGAGAACTATCTACGGGTATTAGTTTGTCATCGCGCCTGATGTCCTGCGTAAAGGGCAATATTCGGTATACGAGTTGTCTCAACGAAGCTACTCGTTAGGTATCTGGATCTAGGTAAATTCTGGTGATATCTACCTTACCTTGCCTACCTAGGTATACAATCTTTGCGCGTTAAAAATAGAATAACTATACAATACCACCAGTATGTATTGGGGTATTCGCTCGGATAAAAAAAGGAAGCCCGCAATTAATAGAACGATTATTCTCTGAGTTATCCGTTGATCGATTTCTACGTGCTCACGGTAAACCCATATAATAAGGCCGTGATATGAAAAAGGGAAGAAAATCTTGGAATGACTATCTCGCTTTTTATATATATATATATCATCTCAGCTCAGCCTCAGATTGCCGACGTAGGAGATCGGGAACAACCATACCCATCACACATCAGACTCAAGCTCGTAACGGTATGAAAACATAAAAAAAATTGGAAATAAATATATTATCATCCTTAAAAGCGTAGGGTATTTCTTAGTTGAAGATTCAAGATATGGGTATACATATCAAAGAGCAGTCAGTGTATCAATCAAAACCGATCGTGGTATCTATATCAATACCAATACCCAAAGCCATATTTCTCTTACAACTCCTAAAAAAATAAATATCCCAGAAACAACATCCATCGCCATGCGTATATCTAACCAATTGACCAATCATTTCAAAATCCTTTCTTCGTACAGGCCGTATAATCCTTCCGCTCACACACATACACACACAACTATCTATACAATCATCGTCTCGCTGTAGTAAGAATAGGACTAGAGTAGGAATAAAGGGGAAAGATAAAAATAAAAAATAAACGAAACATAAATCACTGAGATGGCAGACGACAGGTTAATCAGACCGCCGGCCACATTTCCCACATAGAAGCTTCTTCTTTCCTCCGATTTTCTTCATCCGAAACTCTCGGCTGCCGCACGCTCGACATTGCATATCCTCGCCGTCTTCGCTAGTCAGCTCCGAGCTCAATTGGCTGACATAAGAGTCGGGTCGACTGGTGGTAGGCTTGAGAGGCTCGAGATTGTCACGTTCCTGCGCCCGGGATAATACCGCCTCGGCCGGTAAGCTCTTGCGGCGATTAGTTTTGTCCGAGGAGTCGTTTTTATTAGCATCTTCGGCGTCGACTGCTGTGCTCTTTCGTCGAGTATCCTTCCCTATTACTATGTCAGAAGCTAGGCCAGTACTTGCGGAACGGTTATGCGCCGAATCAGGGGCGAGGCCATGATTCCCATTGCCTCGCGCTTGGGTACTATTTCGCCATCTATTAAGGTTCCAAAACGAATGGCTTGCCCCGGAAGGGTCCAATTCTAACTGGTCTTCTTCCCCATCCAGTGGCCGAAGAGAGAAGCTCGGTGTTGGTGGGATTAGTGAATCTCGTAGACCTGAACGATTATTGATCCCATTTATCGGTTTACCGGGGGACGGGCTTGCTGGTACACTAGGAACCGACATACTGGCATAATGGTGTCTTCTTGTATTTGGTGTAAGGTTTATAGGGGTACGGGATGTCTTACTCGGTGATAAAGACCGTTCGCTGCGCGCAGGAGTTGAAATGGTTACCGAGATTGGTCTGCCGGGATGTCCTTCGACACCATGTCTCCATGTATTAATTCGATCAGAGTTGGCCTGGAATATGCCCTGAAGTGGCTGGGTGAGTGAGCTTCGACGAGAATGAGGATCTCGGCTGCTAGCGCTGATTCGCGTGGCTATACTGCCACTTCGTCCTAGTAAACCGTCTCTTCCAAGTTTCCTAGAGAAGGTCGAACCAGTCTCCCAATTATCGTGGCGGCGCTTAACAAATGCGCAATCCTGGCGAAATACCTTGATTAAACCTGCATGGTCGGTGGTTATGACAATATTACCATCGTAGTGAGCGGACCGTGCAATATATACTGGCGACTCTTCGGGCTTTTTGATTTTGGCTGAGCTTTCGGACTGTGTATCTTGGGATTCTGCCGTCCGAGTGACAGCCGATTCCTCTTTACTGAGAAGTGTTACTGGAGGGGGATTACATAGCGTAAATATGGGATCACCAGAGGACTGTAGTAATTGTCGCGTTGCGGTTGGAGCAAAAATGGCTCCAGTAACGATGTCAGAATGAGCCTCGAAGTATTCGCAAGGTCTCTTCTCGTTATTCTCGGCAAGCTTTAGGCTGGTAGACCACATGAACGCCCTCTTATCTTCACTTCCGCATATGATGTAACTGCCCTCGTCGCTAAACGTGGCCCTGATTTGGTTACATGCATTTTCATGACCCTTAAGTTTCAAATCGAGATGCTTGTCTCTCATATTGTAGATCCTGATCCGAGAATCGTTTGATGTGATAAGAACTTTCACTACGCCATCTGGGGCATCCGGGGGAAATGCCATCGTCTCAATACCTGTGATCTTGCTTCCTTTTGCATTTTTGCCTCGAGATGACCGCACATGGATCTGTGTATGGTATTTTAAACCTTCGGTCTCATAAAACAAGCAAAACCCGTTCGAACATCCCGCTATCGCGGTAATCCCATCGGGAGAAAAAGCAACGGCTGTAATGAAATCAGAGAGCTGACTCGAATACGCAACGGCTTTATCTGGAATACTCCACAACCGCAGGTAAGAGTCAAGAGAGCCCGCTAAGAAGAATCTGTCGTCACGAGGATGGAAGGCTATAGACGTAACGAAATCCTTGTGTTTGAATGTGCACAAGCATTCCTGTCTACTTATATGCCATAGACGAACAGTCTTGTCCATGGATGAAGATAGGAGAAAGTTATTCTTGCTCCAGCTGAGATCGAGAATGTCGCCCGCGTGACCAACAAATTCCCGGATCGGTTTCGCGTGGAAGACTGGGGCACTAAGACGCTCTTCTTTTTCGCTGGTGGCGTTTTCTTCCTCCTCGCTCACTTTCCTTTCTTCTTGTGTTGCGATAACCGCCCATATACGTACAACCCGGTCTCGACCTCCGGTGGCTAGGTATCTTCCATCCTTGCTAAACTCGACAGCCCAGATTGGCCCTCCTGGTTCCGGTTCGTCCTTGATAGGCTCTTGTACTGCTGCGGCTTCGTTGCCGGTGTCCGTCTGACTGTCCTCCATTGGCTTTTGCGTTCCTACAAGCTCCTGCGCCAAAAACATGCGGTTAAATTCTTTGACTTTCTTATTCTGTACTCTAACCCTAATATAACGCGGCGGCTCTTTGTGGTGAGGGATATAACCACCAGCGCCAACGGCAGAAGAGAAAGCAATGGCATTCGCGCCTTCGGTCCTTAGTTCGCTAATTTCGGATTCATCATCGTGGATACTATCGCCTTTCTTCTTGCCACCAATCATGCTAAGACGGCTAAGGAAACCCCCCTTCCTATTGTAAAGAGCTCGTTAGCCCATGGTCAACCTTTCACCCGACTGGCCATGTAAACACACCTTTTATCCTTAACGTGGTCGAGTTGAGGGGTCACTTGTTTGGTAGATACCTCGGACGAAAGACGAGGCATCGTTTCATTTGCGGGACTATCAGGCCGCCCGGGGTTGCGAAACCTGGAGGCAATGGAGCGTTCGGTATTGGTCCTTGCAAATATATGCTAGGGTAGACGAGTTAGCTTCCATTGTCGGGAAACCGGGATATCAAACATACGTGAGATAATGGATCGAGTGCTGGTGAGGGTGAGGGTATAGGTTGCGGCCCGGCCCGGGCCCCGGCATCCGCGTCCTTTTTATCTTTTACATCCTTCCCCCCTGTTTCCTTCCGGGTAAGTTTATTGACACCTCTCTTCCCGGAACCTTTAAGCAATGTGCTAGTACCTTTTTTTTAGGGTGGAGTGTTAGCGAAAGAGGCTCTAAGATAGGAGCTGTCAACGTACTCGGATCATCAGAGGTAGTGGGCGATCGGCCCAGATCATGGAGCGAGTCCAATCCATTGTGGTTCGATTTTGTATTAACACGGGTAGCGGTGAGATCGTCTTGGTGAGAGCGCGCGACCTCGGTGGCCGGTGAAGAGGTCGACATATTCCATTATCTATCGTCACGACCGCGGTCACCTAAGAATAGGGACCAAATTGGTCTGTTGCCTAGGCGCAATGGTGGGCTCTCGTCGCGTACGTAGGCTTGGTATAATACCTAATATAATTGCAGAGAAGACGGTTAATTCGAGTGATATTTGGCGCGATTAGTAAATTGTTGGCTGGCTTCCAAGTGCTATAATATGTCGTTGTAGCGCGTGGGGTGTGTGTTTGGTCTATTTTCTTTCTTTTTTTTCTTCCCGTCACATCCGTTATCAATTGAGGAATGCCTTAATAAAATTCAGTGATCAAATGTCTCAATTCTAAACACGAGTCAAAAAATATACATCGGGACACATGAGAATTGGTAGCCATCCCAGCTAAGCTAAACTAATGAATTATAAAGTAACGAGGAGATTATGATATTATAATACAATGAGTTTATATGTGGTAGGGTGATTAATAAGGCTATATCCCATCAGGCGAGAGAAAGATGGAATGCCGCGGGTGGCGCGAGTTGGAAGAGCGCATTGCATTTCCATCACATTGCAGAGCTTCCCATCAAAACGGAAATCTCAAGTTAATCAAGTTCCGTATTTCGCTTTGAGCTAAACTCCATATAGATCCGCCTTATCACCTGCATGTACCCGGGGGATCACATGCAGCTAGGCAGCCAGCCAAGCTGGGTTAATGTAATAATATACCTAGTCTGTTAGTGTAATTAGATACTCCGTCCTACCTTAGGACTCAGGAGAGGTTACTTTAGAGGTACTTAGTTAAACTGTAAACGGCTTATTACCCATGTATCAGCAATGAGAAGAACGTTTAGAACTGAGGACAAACGGCGCATAATGACGTAAAGCTCACTTTTCTTTGTACTCCAATTAGGTCCCCTTCTAATAGGTACCTCCTATGAACCATCTTTTTCATAGCCCTTATGTGCGTCATCATATGTCATTGTCTCCAACCAAACGCGCCTAATATCTGATTTCCGTATAGCACTGCCACCCACTTGCATAGTAACACCGCCAATACAGCAGGGGATATATTAAAAATTCATATTATCATGCCCCCCTCCGTCTCAGCATTCCCATCGGCACCTGTCTCATCCTCTTCGTCCAGATCTAGCATGGGATATGTAAGTATAGCAGCTATGCCTCCTAGAGCATCTAACCGTTGCCCACTCTCGTGATCACTGCTGAGAATTCTTGCCTCTCCCCCGTCCTCTTTTACCTTGTCGACCATAGCTACGTATCTCTTTCTTGTCGCGATATCCATACTTCGAAATAGTGAATTGTTGATCAGCAAGACGCCTCCACCTCTACCAACGGCACCTTCTCGGACGGCCTTCTCCACCGGGCCCGTGCCGTACCAGGCTCGACCGTCGTCTTTTCGCAACTTGTCGAAGAAATCGTCCATAAATCTAGTCTCCTTGGAGAACTTCATGTCCTTCATAGTTGCCATGACTTCGGAACTTTTCAGTATTTCGTTTAAGCTGTGCAGATGCCCCGAACTCGAATGCACCACTGTCGCTCCTCTAGCCATAGCCATCATAGCTTTGTCACCCCTACGTGCACCCTCGTCCGACACGTACTTTTTGAAATCCCCCGCGACGAATCCGGGACTAGCAAGCAGTAATGGTCGAGGAACCGAGAAGTCTATGCTGCGCATTAAAGTGCTCAAGGTCTTTTCAAAGAACCGCTTCATCCCCGAGTCCTGTTCTGAACTGCTTGACCTCTTCTTAGGTATTGTGCTCTCTACCCTTTGTTTGAGTATAGTACGGTATTCGGTGATGAGACAGATGTTCGCGATACCCTCCTGCATCACTACAGCCGCTACGGCGCCCTCTTTATCCTGCTTGAGCGCGTCTGCTAGGGTTTCTTTTGCTACCGAGTCCCAACCGTAGTTCTTCCATAATGTAAACGGCCGGTTCAGCTCGAGGTCGAGTGTGTGGTACTGTCCGAGACTGGCAAAGTTGTTCTCGACGATGACTGTGCCCGAGACGTGTAATTGGGACGCGCCCGGGTCGAAGAAGGTCGAAGTGACTCGTATCGTAAGGTCGGTATGTACCCTTTCTGAGATGGTGCTGCCAGTCTTTGTTTCTGTCGTCACTTTTCGGATCGCATGCGCTTTGACGATGTCTTCGGGTCCTATTAGGTTATTTGCGTGCCACTTGACAGGTTAGATTCTGTGTACCAATCAATTGGAGATGTAGGCTTACCATGTCTTCCGGGTCCACGGGAAGCAGAGTGACGCTTCCCTCACCTATATCATCTAGGCGTTGCGACGCCTTTGACCCAACAAGCTGCATAGCTGAAGGTGTGTGGATTTATGTACTGGTATAGAGATCCCCTCTATGTTGCAGTATAAATAGTCTTGTAAAATATATGAGCGCGAAGTGTTGGAGCGAGGGTACAAATTCTGGAAATTGAGCACTAAAGATGGAAATAAATAAATATTTACCAATGTGTTTGCAAGAAGAGATAAATAAAACTAAATAAATGGTCTACCTATGTTTAAGGTTCAACGCTTAGATTTCAAAGAAGTTGCAACTTCTAGCGCTACTAAGAAATGCGATTGGCTGCCGATTGTCGTATAGCATAAAATTCATATTCTAACAAAGGTTAAGGTAGGTAGGTAGACAATGATCTATCTAAACCTGTTAGGTATCTTGACAGTGGTTGTATAATGAAGGGAAGCTTTCATTGCGACTTGGCACTACGGCATTTCTTTCAATGCCCCTCACCCCACCATTAGGTTAGGTACCTAGGTAGTCCATCCCGTTACATAATAGTGCCTACCTCTCACAGGTATGACCTCAGTGCAACCACTATATCCGTCGACGCTACTTCATTATATATACAACTTATTAGTATATTTATATAGGTACCTTGGGTAGTATTACTACGTACAGGTAGGTAACGATTACCTATTCGATCGAGGATAAACGGAGATAACCAAGTTAATAAAAACAAAAACCGAAAGGCAATGGTGACTTTTCGGTCTTAAATGGTGATATACAAGGCCGACAAGGTTGCTTGATAATCAAATCAGTGAGTTAGTAACTTCCCTAGGTAACTATTGACACAATATGAGATGGGTATAAATAAATAAATAAATATCCATTACTAAATCTCCGGTCAAAAAGAGCTTTAAACTTATTTATACCCCTCCCCCCCTTCTCTCTCTCTCTCTTTCTCCAGGTCTATCGTCGATCAGCTTTAACCTACAACCACCATCTCTCGGTTTATATATCTCATAACTAAAATAAACTTGATAGTATTCTTCTTAGACAAAATAAAGTTAGGCGAGTAACAGGTATTTTCTTCCTAACATACCTCCTCTCCTCTCCGCTCTACTCTACCTCGGCGATGAGTTTGTACCGGATAAATCTTCGTTCCATCCTGCTCAAGACAAACTTTCGGCCTCGACTAGGATACCTCCACACCAAGCTAACCAACGACTCTCCTAGTAGAACTATGACAACCTCTTACACCATCAATTCCACCTTCAAGCTGAACAGCGGCTATGAAATTCCGCTGCTAGGTTTCGGTGTAAGTGCCTCACATTCTATGGATTCTTATCACGATCATGTGTAGGCGCTCAAGTTGACACTGACACTGACACTTCTTAGGTATACTTGACGTGAGTCCGATGTAATCTAGCTTATCTGTTTTTTTTTTAAAAAAAAAAAGAAAAAAGAAAAAAGAAAAAAGAAAATTTTGTCTAATATACGTTATTATCAATCTCTAGCCCGCCAGAAGAAACTGAGAAGGCTGTTTTGGAAGCGTTCAAAGCCGGCTACCGCCACGTAGACTCGGCCGCTTTCTACAAGAATGAAAAAGATTGTGGAAAAGCTATCAAGACTAGCGGGCTGCCCCGATCCGACATCTTTTTCACGACCAAGATTCCCCCTAAGCTAATGTCATACGAAGCCGCAAAGGCGCAAGTTGATAAGAGTCTGCAAGAATCGGGACTGGATTACATCGACCTTGTACTCATTCATGCGCCTTACGGTGGCTCAGCGGCCCGGAAAGCTGTGTGGAAAGCACTTGTGGAAGCTGTCGAAGAAGGCAAGGGTATGTTCTTTCTCATGTCATTTCTCATTTCATCCTACTTCATTCGCCTACCTGAGATTATACGCCGATAAGACGTGATGAGATGAGGATGTAACCCTGCTGACGCTTTACAGTCCGATCTATTGGCGTCAGCAATTATGGCGTCCACCATCTTGACGAATTAGAAAAGCACATTGCGGAGCTCGAGACCGAAAGGGGTGGTAAGGGCAAAGGAGGTGTCATCTCAGTTGGCCAGTGGGAGATCCACCCGTGGTGCCGTCGTGAGGATATCGTTGAGTGGTCCAGGAAGCGCAATATCGCTGTTGAAGCCTACTGCCCTGTTGTCAGGGGTGAGCGATTTGGTGACCCGACGCTGGTTAGCCTCGCGGAGAAATACGGCAAGACTCAGGCTCAGATCTTGATCCGATGGAGCTTGCAGAAAGGTCATCTCCCGCTTCCCAAGAGCGTTACTCCTTCCAGAATCGTCGAAAACGCCGCAATCTACGACTTCGAGTTATCTCAGGAGGATGTTGAGAAGTTGAACACAGACGTGTATGCCCCTATTGCTTGGGACCCTGTTAAGTCTAGCCTGAACGACTAAGCACGATGAAAACTCCTTGGGGGGTTATGCTTAGTTTAACTAGATTAAATTACCGCGCCAGATAATAGGGGGTAGGTACCTAATTTAATCTGTTTTAACACTCAGGTCACCAGTATATCCTACGGTTATTGTCAATGATGAGAAATTTATTTAGATCTTAACTTTACCCATATCACGAGCGATTATAGCCCCCAACTTTTATCAGGGCTATTTAAGCTTCCCCAATACCCCTTCCCAAGGTTTCAGGGGCACACCCGACTGCTTCGGTTTATCTGGAACATCCCTCCCATAATTGCTGACAACCCAAGACTCGACTTTGAAACTTGGGGGCAGCGTCCACTCAAGTTCTTTCTTGGAAAAGTTAAGAAGGACAAGCCAGCGATCCCCCCTGACGCTTGTACGAACATATGCATACACCTCGGGATCTTCATGCGACAGCTCCTGGAAGTCCCCGTACACGAAAGCGTCTGCGTGATCTTTCCTGTGCTTGAGAGCCCACTGCCAGAACTGCCAGACGGAAAACTCGCCGGGGTCGTCCGCTTTGATCTGAGCCTCGACATTTACCTTCTGGTAATCGTCCATAACTCTCATCCACGGCTTAGTCCCCGGGTCACAGAATCCGGCGTTCTCCCCGGCGGTCCACTGCATGGGCGTTCGAGCATGGTCGCGTGCTTTCATGTCGATTACCTTTCGGGCATATGCGAGCTTCTCCTTGTCATCCACATATAGCTTCTCACATTTCTTCCAGTAGTTGATGGTCTCGATATCTTTGAACTCGGCGATATCCCAGGTCGTTGGAGCGTTTCGAATGCCAATCTCTTCGCCCTGGTATACAAATAGTGTGCCTCCGAGAGTAGTCTGCATGAGAGCGAGGAGCTTGGCTCCCTTTTCGCGCCACTCGTCACTATCATCCGTATACCGCGAGACTGATCTCGGATTATCGTGGTTTTCAATAAACACCGAGTTCCAGCCGTCATTCTCAATCATTACTCGTTGCCACCTTGTGATGATAGACTTCATCTCCTTCACATCCCATGGTTTAAGAGCCATCCTGACATTTGGCTTGTCGATATCGACTAGGTCGAATATGAAGATCATCCTCAACTCCCCGGAGTTGGCACCAACGCTACGCAAGATTTCCTTCTCGTCGCTGACTCCAGGCATCTCGCCAACCGTAATTGTGTCATACTTGCTCAGGACTTCCCGGTACATCTCTTGTAGGTATTCGTGTAGCTTTGGCCCGTTAACGAAGTATTTAGATCCAGGTTGGTACCTGTGTCCAGGATCCAGTACTATATCGGCGTCGGGGAAGCCAGGTGCTTTGGATATTAGATTGATGACGTCCATTCGAAAACCAGATGCGCCTCGGGCCACTACGACTGGGTCAGTATCATACAGACATTAGAAATAAGTGCGTCACCATACTCCAAAAGTGCATTACGTCCCAAACAGCCGTCCGTACGTCAGGGTTCTCCCAGTTCAAGTCTGGCTGCTCCGGTGTAAAGAGGCTCAGATAGAACTCGCCGGTCTTCTCGTCATAGGTCCAAGCAGAGTTAGCTTCACCTAAGATCTGCGCCCAGTTATTCGGTGGTTCTGGTATCCCATCGGGGCCGATGCTCTTCGGCTTCTTCCAGATGTACCAGCTCCGCTTGGGGCTATCGATACTTGCGCGGCTCTCGAGAAACCACGGGTGCTCATTGCTGGTGTGGTTTACCACAAGGTCCATCATGAGCTTCATGTCGCGCTTCTTGAGCTCGGTGATCAGTTCATCAATGTCTTCTAGGGTTCCATATCGCTCATCAATCTGCTTATAGTCGGCGATATCGTAGCCCATATCCGCCTGTGGCGATTTCAGGATGGGTGATGACCAGACCACATCAACACCCAAAGACTTCAGGTAATCTAGCCGCGAAGTAATACCCTTTACAGTGCCCCATACTGAGGTAACTCCTGGCTTTTTGCGTCGGATTGCACATAATTAACACAACTCTAGCAGGATACCCTTGAGTCTTGTAGGTAACCTACCTGAGCTTGGAAGCTTGCGGGGTAGATTTGGTAGACGACTAGAAGACAAAAGGTCAGCTTTGGCTTTCTAATATAATAAGTCCTTCAGGATTATATTGACTTGGGTAGCTAGATTGGAGCATTTCAATTTTGACAGTATATCTAAGGAGCAGAGAGTTTGTTTAACATACCAGCTTCTTTCCACCACTTAGGCGTCGAATAGGATGACTCGGTCGCAGACATTTTGTTTAAAGACAATAAGCTTCAATACTTGGATGATAACTTTTGGCTCTCCCTATAGTTTCTCCCGAGTAACAGCAATATACTTGAATCTGTCTATATTGGGCATCGATGCGTTTCCCCTCGGGATCAGCAACTGACGTCGAGCCGCATCAGGCTGCTGAGATCTACGTTACTCCCCAGCCCCCGAGTGAGTTGTAGGCGAACTTATTTCGTAAGTGTCGAATGTTAGCTGCAGCTTTTCGGTGGCAGTGCGTAATGTATGTACGATAACCCCTCCTTCGAATAGACATTAGTGGAGGTTCAAAGACATCCCACAAAGGGATTCGCAGTCCAGAAAACGACTTGGCTGGGACATATTAACGCCCACTTTTTGCTGAGGTCTTTCTCACGTTCTAGCGGCTGGTTTCGAAATAATGAAGACCCCCCAACCTAATAGGTAACCTAAGCATTTCTCAACATGTGATAGCTAAACATATATCAAGTTGGGCTAACGCACATGGCATCCGTCCATATTCTCTATTACATTTCCATAACCACACGGAGGTCATCTTCGTATCATAACTATACTAGCACTTCCACAAGCGCGATGTTTCAGCCTACCAATACATACATATCATAGCAGGATGCTTGAACATCCTTGACAGATACATTTTGCGAGGTAGTGGACATACCTAGTAAACAAATTAGGAGATCCGCTTGTCTAATAGATGCACCCAATAAACGTCTTCTTTTTCTTCCTTTTCGATTTTCATCACTAACAAAACTTACTTCTTACATACGGACGAACTTTCTTATTTTGAATGGCTGTGGTGGCGTGGTAGTGTATATAGTAGTTATAAGGTTGCGTAAGATCAATCTCCGCGATTCTCTGTAGGAGCTTCAGCTCCTAACAAGCTCCGCTCTTCGTCGACGACCCGAGCTTTCTGCTCAGTAGTTGTCTCGCTCTTCTGCAAACTAACCCATATCGCCGACCCGATAATTAAGGCGCTGCCGAAGAGACTTTCAGCTGGAGGCGTCGTGCCCCAGACCACCCGTTCAAGTATGAGCGCAAAAACCATTTGCGTGTACTAAATAAAGTCCCTGGTTAGCTAGCTAGCTTCTCACACGATCGCATGCGCCTAAACATCGCAGCGAAGTTAACTTACTATGAAATTCGTTGCTCTGCCCGCTTTCTCTCTCTGCAAGCCCTCTGTCAATAGGAACTGAAGCAGAAAACCGGCAATGCCTATAGCTGTCAGGAGGAGCCTATAGATATATCAACTTTGGATACCTAATACCTAAGGTGGGCAAATGAGAAGCGTATCGTACCATTGCGCAACAGTCTGAGGAATCTTAAAGTGCAAATCTGGAAGGACAAGAATGATGACGAATGAACCGACTGTCGCAAGGACAGCAAAGTAGTTGACGCTCACGAGCGAGTGCGCGCGCTTTCCGATGACTCTAATAGTGGAGTACGCCGCCGCAGCACCAAAGGTACCGATGACAGCCAAGAGAACGGCGACCGTACGCTCAGCGGGTGTCGCCGGTACGGAAGGGACTATGCCCTTGGGCTGGTCCGCCATGAATAGCCTCGTTCCATCGAGCTCTGGTTCCTGTACCCTGTGCTGCGGGAAGAGAAACGTAGGTCGGGCGATGAAGAGCACGCCACTAAATGCAATCAGACCTGCTACGGCCTCTTTTATCGTGAATGGTTCCTAGAACGGGTAGAAGACGGGTAAGAACATGTCTTTCCAGAGTACAGTTTGGGGTTGCTCGATATACTTACCCCTAGAGCTATGAAACACACCAAGGCGGTCATAGTTGGCACCAAGAAAGAAATCACCGTGGCGTCCGATATGTTCAAATATGATAGCGAGTCTGATAGAAATGTATCAATAACGGCCGTTCCGTCCAAGTACGTGAATAAAAGGACCAGACTTACAATAGGAACAGAAGAGGCCTGTGAAGCCAGTCAGTCCCCGCAACACCAGGAGGCCGCGAATATCGCGACGTCCGAGCGGAAAATCGGGCACTTTCTTATACCACATACACAGAGAACCCAGTACTGCCGTGGCGAGCATGCGTACGAAGATAATCTGTAAGGCGTGGAATTTGGTCTCGAAGCCCGTCTCCAGCAACCGTGTTGCCATGGTCATCTGTGTAAGTGTTAATATCCCCGTCCCTCAGATTCGGCTGTACCGTTTGTAGAAAACAAAAAAAGGAAAAGAAAAAAAAGAAGAGAAATTGACGTACCAGCGATGCGAAGACTTGGGCAAGGAACACGAAAAATAGGCCTATATTCCTCTCATAAAATCTCTTGAATTTCTGCCATATCGTCTGGTGCTGTGCATCTCCGTGCTCTGCAAGACTTTCTTCTGTCTGCACCTGCTCGCCGTCACCGACAGGCGCGGGGGTCACGATTCCATTTTCAAGGTGGTCTCTAACCTGCGACGATTGAACGAGGGTGTCGGAGCCCTTCGTAGACCCTTCCGACGCACTTATGGATCCGTACGACATCGTGTTTAGTTGCAACGGAAATTTCAAAGAGGAAAAAAAAAAAAAGTGTTCGATATTTTAGTAAAGTCTTTGAATTAGTGGCAATTCGATTTTGCTTCCCCGGTCTCGGCTTAGGCTTTGGCTTTGGCTTTCGGAGTTTAACTGACACATGCATGAACCAGACCCTTGTTGAAGTTAAGATAAATTGTGATAAGTCTTATGTCAATGGTAAGAGATCTATCATTTATGGTAAACGGTGTTTTTTCTTGAAATATGCAAGAAGCAAACATAGGCGGGTATATTGAAACTTATAAAGTACATAATAATAACCAAAATGGATATCGAGATTTAAAAACAGAACCAACCACCAACTCTCTTGGCCCTTCCGGCCCATCCATCCTCTTCCGGCTCAATATCGTCCTTGGTGTATACATCAGTAACCAGATCCATCTCACTCGCCCTCTTAAACTTCGTTTTCTTAATTAACTTCCACGAGACGAACATCAGTGCGAAAACAGGCAGCTCGATGTAGTAACTGACGAAGTCAACAGCGTTAAACTTGGGGCTGAAACAACTCCATCCCTGAATAAGAACAAGAAAGCTGTTTAATACTACGGCAACAATTGGTCCAGCCGGATACATCCAGTTCTTAAAGGGCAGGAGATGCTCCTTGCCCTGTGCTTTTAAGCCAGCACGGAATCGTAGCGAGGTGATGCCGATGCTAATCCAGGAAAGCTGATTGGAGACGCCCACGATATTCTGCAGCCACGTCCACAGCTGACCAGCCCCGATAAAAGAGGCGCCGAATAGCAAGCCAGAAATTACCGAGGTAAAGAGAACAGCTACCCATGGTACCTGGAACCGCGTCAAGCGTCCAAATACCTTGGGCGCGTGGCCGTTAACGGATAATGTATATAGGAGACGAGATCCAGCGAAAAGAGCGTGGTTTCCTGCCGAAATAACACTCGTAAGAATGACGGCGTTGACAAAAGACCCCGCTACTTTAGACCCGGCCAGCTGAAAAGCGATTGTAAAAGGGGAAGTGCGAGTATCTTTTGAGTTGAGGTTCGGGTAGTCATATGGCACGTTGAGGCCGATCATCAGGGAACCGAGGATGTAGAAGGATAAGATCCGCCAGAAGACATTCTTCACAACACGCGGTAGCTGACGAGCCGGGTCCTTGGTCTCACCGGCGGTAATGGCGATGGATTCCGTGCCACCGTAGGCAAAAGATGCGGTTACGAAGACGCTGGCAAATCCACCGATACCGCCGACGAAAGGCGCGTCGCCAATATACCAGTTTCGCGCACCGATATACTCATGCGAGGTATTTCCGCCGACATTGACAGCGATACTCAAGATGATGAAAACAACGATGGTGACGACCTTTAGGAGACATAGCCAGTATTCTACTTCGCCGTAAGCGCGTACATTTATGATGTTGGCTAGGACGAGTAAGAACCAGATGATAAGTCCCAAGGCATACCAGGGGAATGTGTCGGTCCAGTACTGGAGGACAAGTTGTAGAGCAACTAAATCGGCAGCCGTAGATACGGCATCATTAAACCAGTAGTTCCAGGTCAGGGCGAAACCCCAAGCATCATCCAGATAACGCGCCGAGAAGGTACAGAACGAGCCGGCCACTTTATAAGGTAAGGGGGGGTTTAGGTTAGTATAAATTGTTATATATAGGAGGTGGTAACTATTCAGAAATCCATATATAAGATCGGTTACCGTCGGCTCAACTTACCAGGGACGAAAGCAGCCATTTCACCAAGACACAGCATCGTCACGAACACGATGCCTCCGACGATAGCATAACTGAGTAATAACGAAGCTGGACCGCCGGTCGCCAATGCTTTCCCCGTACCCAGAAATAGACCAGTTCCGATGGTACCTCCGATAGCTATCATCTGAACCTGGCGCGACGATAGCGAACGTCTTAGCCTATCTTCGTTCACATATTCGTGGGAGGCCGTGGCCGACGCCGACGCCTGGGCGTTCTTTTCGGCGTCGATATCCATCATCGTCATATCATATAAAATTTGGGTTTTCGTTCTTTATATTCTATTAGTTCGAATTAAACCTTCAACTCCGAAAGAATAAAAAAAAAAAAAAAAAAAAAAGTATTAACCCCACCGGCTAACGATGTAGCTCGCATTATTGATTTTCAGCCGTCGCCTTACAGGATACTGGAAATTGGCTTTTATTTAAATGGGCTTTGCATGTATCGAAGCACGCCATTTCACACGGGTATGGTGTTTTGAGTAAAAATCTTTTGCTGGGCTAAACGCTAAACCTGAAGAGTTTACCGTCTCCCGCTCCACTTGCCTAATCGGGAAGGCAAACGAAGCCGTCAAAAGTCTTCACCGAGGATATGAGGTTCTTTGATAAGAGTCATGCAATCAGAAAAGAAAGGAATGGATTAAAACTTTATTGTAACTTCAAGTCATAACTACCCAAAACTATAAATGTGTTTCTAGCCAGGGAAGAAGCTATAAATCACCTCTACTATGAGGCTCTTATATGCATCGAAGGAAGACCCTTTATTATTGATTATTCTCAGTTGCCCTTCACTTGAAAATGCACCTCTTATGTCTACCTCTTATTAGTAATTGCTAGACAGATGCAGTAATGTAAAACTAATAACCACTTCTACATTTGGCAATGAGATGTGATTATGAATATGTGCCAAGATGAGTGCAACTTTAACATGTACCTCTTATACTAATTATCAATAACTGATACGTGACCTGTGACGACGCTTTTAAGACGCTTAAGTTATCACTAATCCACAAAGTCGGCAATACAACTATATGCACCAGTTTCCTGGTCTAACGTGCCATCGGGACGGTGCGCAATCAAATGAAAACAGCAATCTTCGATACCACGGTATCATTTTATACCCCGCGGGCAGGCCTATAAGAAGCGAAGCTCTGAAAGCGAGACGCTAGATGATGTAAAGACGCTTAGGTAACTTCCCTCTTAGACGGGACCACATGTCAAGGCTAGCTTTCGGGTTCGAGATAACTTTTGCTGAGACATGAGTCGGAATAAAGGCAGTTAGCTAGCGAATGCATGTAAGACCAGATGTGGCTGCATAACTATGGTGAGTTGCATGGCTCTTCACTCCCGATGGCATGATTAGGAGAAATATGATGCAGCCTGCGAGATGGAGATTAAAGCACAGATAACTACAATGCATCTACCTCTCTCTCCATTTTTTTTCGTATTTCTATGCAGGTCTAAGATTGCACGATGCACATCAGACGCCCCCAATGGGTACGTCAGCAGTGAGTGAAAGGAGAAGAAGAGGAAGAAGAAGGTCATTTCGAGTATACGGCAAAGAGGTGAACATCGGGTGAAAAGTTATGGGGCTACCTATCCGTACAGACTACAGCTTCTCGTGGGCTATATATATTCTTCTTCCCCCCCTATACTACTATTCATTCATAAGAACTATAATAAACCCAAGTACCACCTACAGATTCGGAGAGATTTATTAAAAATATCTCAGGCTTGGTAAAAGAGTTCTAATCTAAACGACAAAAGTAGGCGTAACCGAATGCAAGAGAAAAAAAGTATGCATGGCATGACACCTTTCTGATCCCGCAATCCTTCAAAAGCAAAGATCCAGCGGCTCTGCTTACACGCTTATCCCACTAGACGGTATCGTCATCTTACCACGAAAACAATGGCAACCAAAGACAGGATACGGTGTAACGTGATATCCCTTATAACCCCACAGTCGTGCGTGTGAGACATATCAAGATCTCAACGCAAATAACATCCTATAGAGGTATCAAACCCAGTGCCGCGTTATCCATAGCTTGGGAAATGCAACTCTATACTCCCCCAAGCTCGTAACGCTATAATGGCACTGCAGGCTTGGCATATGCAGCCGTGCCGGTCATTAGGCGGAAACTGACTTCTCGTCCCGCCAGCATGGTTTGAAATGTCTTCCCCCGTAAGCCTCTATCTTGGCAGGGCGCATCTGCGCAGCTGATGTGTTTCGTCAAAATCGGTTGCCTGAAGTCGGACAGGCCACTGCCGGATATTAAGCTTCATTCCACGCAAAGCCGTATTATTCCTCGTTAACCCTAGCGCTGCTAGAAAGCATGACACTATATATCATAAACCTCAACCGATCTTCTTTTTTTCTTCCTAGACTCCTCTCGCCCGGTTCCTTAGAATCGGCACATACATAGTCATTTCGCCCAGGAACCGGACCTGAAGGCGTTACATTTTCTCATCTGACGGCTTTCGCTTCCGGATCCCCGGCATCCAACGGCTGGCGCTGCTCGCGTAGTTATTGGTTCGAGCACGATGGGCTGCATCGTGCTAGCCGGGTGATGACCGCCGTGAAGATTCAATTATTGGATGCTTCGTGGTTCCCGCAGAACTTGATCCTACCTGATAATGTAGAACTTATGCAGGCGGGGAAAGACGTGTCTAAAGGAGATAAGCTAACGTGACTACCATGGAGCAAGGTAAAATATTGATTCTATGTGAATTAAACTTGTGATCCTTGCGCTGGCGCTGACGCTTTCACCCTTGCCAACGAGTCCTCATAATGAACCGGATCTGGGGATGGGAGCTATGTGACATTGAAATTTCTGAACCTCGTTCTCCATAATGGACGGACCTCGCCTGTGCCTGGTAGTTGCTTAGGAAGCAAGTAAACTCGTAGCTTGGCTATGAGCAACAACTTGTATATGAAGGGGCGAGGCCGGCCGTCAACTGAGAGGGTTTAGGACAGACAACCGCTCCTCCAGTACCTGTCCACCGAGTAGCTAGTCCTGAGGCACCAAAGAAGACCATAACCACCACTAGGAGGCTTTCCTACAAGTCAAGATGGTCTCTACCTGGGTCCTCGCCTCGACTCTCGCCCTATCAAGGCTAGCTCTTGCTGACACCTGTTCCACCCTAAAGGACATTTCTAATATTGACGTTTCTCACCGTCTTGACCTATCCTACATCCACGAGCAGAACGAGTATTGGTCTACCTCGTGTTCCGCCCTGAAGCCTTCTTGTATCCTTTTCCCCAAGGACGCTAACGAGGTATCTGCCATCGTGAAGGTCCTCAATAACAACACCGAACCCTTTGCTGTAAAGTCTGGAGGGCACAACCCAAACAATGGCTGGGCGAGTGTCAAAGGCGGCCCTCTTATTTCAACGCAGAAGCTCAAGCAGGTTATCGTGGATCAGGAGACAGGTATAGCCAGGGTGGGGCCAGGCCAACGATTAGACAGCATTTCAGCTGAACTTCAAGGAACAGGCTGGACATTTGTCGGTGGCCGTATTGGCAACACGGGCGTAGGTGGCCTTGTTCTCGGTGGCGGTCTATCGTATATGTCGGCCCAGTACGGCTGGGCTGCTTCTTCCGTACTGGAGTATGAGATCGTGCTCGCCAATGGTACAATCACAACCGCATCTGCCACCAAGAACGCGGACCTATTCAAAGCCCTCAAGGGAGGTGGCAACAACTTCGGTATCGTGACAACCTATGTTCTTCAACTATACCGCCAAGGCGATGTCTTCGGCGGCAACCTGGTTTTCCTTCGCACCCCTGAGAAAGACAAGAAGCTGCTGAAGGCGGTGCGGGACTTCACCGAGTACAACCAGGACGACAAAGCAGCAGTCATCGTCACGGCGGAGCGCGGCAACATCGACCTCATCGATACCTGGATTCTATTCCTATTCTACGACGGCCCGGTAGTTCCCGAGGGAACATTCAAGAACTTCACGGATGTCGGGCCTCTCCTCGACACCACCAAGGTCCAGACCTACGCGAAGCTGATGGCTGGTAGCAACTGGGTCATCGTCCCACTGTCCGTCGTGCAGATCGGCACCGAGACGATCCCCATGCCGTCGGCCGAGAACAGCGTGAAAGTGATGGAAGGTATCCACGCCCACTGGCGCAGCATCACGGACACGGTTCTCCTCGAACCGGGTATCATTGCCTCCATCGCGTACCAACCCTTCCCCAAGGCCATTTCCCGGGCTGCGAAGGCCAGGGGCGCGGATCTAATCGACACGGATGACGAAGCGCACCGTCTTATTATCGAGTTGAACTATAGCTTCTTGCCTCAAGGTGATTATGCGAAGATGGACCAGAAGCTACAGAACACTGTAAGTATATATATACCTTATATATATGCTTTCAATCAAGCCCTTATGATCCCCGCTTCGTGTTTTTTGGCTTATAAGAGGAGCTTGCTAACAATACTGCGCTGCGCCATATATAGTACGGCGGAGTCCGCGATCGTGTAGTCGGCTGGCAGAAAGACGGCACCCTGCCCGACATCTACCTTCCCATCTTCATGAACTACGGCTTCCATCAGCAAGATTATTTCGCGCGCCTACGTCCGGAGAGCAGGGCTTTTGCACACGCAGTATCGGAGAGCGTAGATCCTAATGGATTCTTTCGAAACAGAACCGGAGGCTGGAAACCTTAAGAGCGATTTATCAGATACCAATGCTCATTTTTGATACCCATGCATACATACATAGGGTACCTACCTAGGTACCTAATGTATACTGAACCCGAGCATTCGCGTCTCGCTTCATCCTTTCCATTTATCCATGCATTAGTTTAGGTACCCAACGCGGGTGAGGTGCGATGAACTTATAATGAAATGGCACATAAAATATAATGACTTAATAAAACTATTGATCGGTAACGGTGCCTCGAGTCTTCATGTATCTAGTAACAGTTCAGTCAGTCAGTCAGTCAGTAACAGTGTCGATACCTACCTACCTAATGTACCTACGTAGACATCACTCAACAAGTATCTAACCGGACATCATCAGTTAACCTCCACAAAAATAATAACCAAACAATCCTAATGAAGAAATGATTGAAGATGGTAGAGATAGAAGAGCAAAAGGTTAAAAAGACAATGCAGACCATTTCAGATCGGATCGTAATGCGGTGAGTGTGGATCGAACACACGACCTTCAGATTTGAGAATGAAGTTGGACTTCAGTCTGACGCTCTCCCAGCTGAGCTATCCCCGCTTGTGGTTGATAGATCGAATGGTTAGCTGTCTATATGTAAATGGTCAAAATTTTGTGATGGGTTCTCGGTTTCGTGGATCCAGCTTTCGGTGTTTAGGGCTAGCTACTGCTTATGACGGCTACATAGTGCGTGATAGTGTTGCGGGCCGAGTGCGGGACCCCTTTTTCTTTTCTTTTTTTTTTTTTTTTTAGTAGCGTCGTGATATTATTTATTTCTTATTACGAAGAAAAAACATAACCAAGTAATAACGACGCGGAAGATAAGATAAGATAATATAATATGCAATGGAATTGTAATATAATATACAAATTTGGTACAATAGCCTGTATTATGTCTAAGGGAAAATAAAAAATAAAAAATTAATAAAAAGATTTGCTGCTATGGGAGGTTATTCGTTCGTCGAGCTACTCCTACATAGAAGGGTATTCGTACCTAACATATACCTTATATGTATTAGGTATATATATCCAGACCTAAGTAGGAGGTAGGTGTATAGGTATAATGGTGGTACGCGGTAGTGGTAGTATGAGAGACGTACCTAAGGATATATCTCGACAATAGGTCTTTCGTTATACTTTAATTGTAAGTAGCATTTCGTCAACCTAAAATCCAATCTCATCTATTCCAACGCTCCGAGAAAGTAGGGTAAGAAATCAGAAATGCCGCCGCGTGCGTCGTAATGGTATATAAACAGTGCAAACTCCCCCCTCCCTATTAGTCCCGCTTCGATATTCCCCCCCCCTTCCATCTGCCGTGCAATGCCGCCCTAATACCGCTTTTGCGCCGGTGTTTCGTGACTCTCTAGTTCGCCTCCTGCCCATCCCGAATCAAGCTCATTCGGCGTCGAAGAGTCGAGTTCGTAATGTCCTGTGGCCTGGTAAGGCGGCGTCGGGATTTCATACCCTCCTGGAGTGGCGGTATACGGCGATTGCGTGTAAGCCGTAGCAGGGGACGATGCTATCGGCTCCTTATTGCTCCATTGCTCTTGGGGAACTGCTGGCTGTTGCTGGTCTTGCTGTAAGCCGTCCGGCGTGGTTTGAAGAGTCCTCTTCTGGCGGTATCGTTTAAAGAAGAATAGTAAACCAACGAGAATAGCGGCCACAAATACCAAGACGCCTATCACGATACCCGCGATTGCGCCACCTGAGAGGCCGGAAGAGTCTGACTAGATCTAATATTAGTATCATACCTATAACTTAATAGAAAGAGTAGTTGTCTTAAACACTCACGTCGTCTGAGGTGAGCGCGAAGCCGTCGATGGGATGAGCATAGGCCTGGTCATTCGTAGCCGAGGCGACCCAGTCCGCTGTCGCCGTGAGACTCTCCGTGTCATACGCGGTGACCTTAACGGTCTGGCCAATTGTAAAAGTACTATAACAGGTACCTCCGTACGCGGGCCGGTTGGTGTCTACCGGTTTGTCGGGAGCATGAAGCTGAAAGCCACTATCGCTATAATTAGATTCTGTTATATGATTGGTAATCGAGTAGTGGTATGTGGGTGATATGTCATGTTTGATTTCCGCAGCATGTAGGCGTCATCTACTTCCATCACAAATTATACCGCATGGTCCATAAATGGATCTTTACTTACTCGGCGCAACAAGCTATATATCCATTGGGCCACGCCCTCGCCGTGTTCCAGCCTTCAGGACAAACCAGCGGCGAGAACATGGGAGCGATAGAACTCGAGGCATTTCCTATCTACGGCATGTTAGTAACTTCCTCTGCAATCCCCAACACATTCCTCTTTCAGCATGTCGTCGACACACACATCCACAGCAGGATGGGTAATGAGTCCAGTTTATCACATACTATATAACATTAGGTACGTTAGCTCAATCCCGGAAACATGATTAGAGAACAGTCGCTCTTCGCATCCGCGTAGTAGGTACTAACCACTCGTATATCCATTAATATACCCAGACGGATAGCATTCCCCAAACTTTGAACTTGGTACGGGTTGTGGCTCGTTAAGCCATAACTGATACACCGGGGAAGACAGCTGGGTGAGGTGCATTTCCGCGCACGACGACGGCGGGGTGAAAGTCGTCGTGAGCTCTTTTTGCGTGAGGGTGAGAACCGAGAAGGACGGCATTGCTGTTGGGCTCGGGTTCGCCTCCGAGGCGCTCGCCGCCGTTGTCGTTGTCTGTACGGCCATGGTAGCAGCAGCAGCAGCGCGTTAAGTAAAAATCGGCGACGACAGACTACCACGGCTATTACTACACCGGCGAATTACTACTATCGCTCTACTCGGTTATAGAAAAGTCGAAAAACTCGTCTTTGTCGTCGTCAAACGACAGATAGACAGACAGACAGACAGACAACAAACCGAAAAAACTATAACTAGAAGGAAAGTAAGTAGAAGCGGAGCAGAGGAGAATAGTTAGTTTAACTAGAGCAAAAGCAAAGCAGAACCCTTCGGGCTCGGTGGGCAGCAGCAGCGAACGGGGTGATCTCTCGTTCCCTTGGGGGCTTTTTTGAAGGATCGGGACGGGGCCTGATCCATTTTAGACTCTCCACGTAATAGGTATTAAACGGCTACTATGTATTAGAAAGCAGGTTACTAGCATTTTTAGTAGGTAAATGTACCTACCTTACGAGAATCCCTCACGTTAGCAGACAAAATCTATGTATTGTACCATGCTAGTACTGTTAGGGATCCAAAAGGGCTGGGCTGGGCCGACTGAGGCGACGCCAGGGTGACATCGTGCGCTGGGGGGTGTTCCACTCCGGGACGAGAGAACTCCATCAACAGAAGTTCAGCTCTTGCAGACTTTACCTTGTTCTACTGAACCACTCACTCCCCCTGTCGCGTTTCAGCGCTCGTATTGGAAAGCTTGAACTATGTAAGCTTCACAGGGTCGTCGTTATGTAACGGTCAGTATATAGGCTACTTGGCTACTGGTAATATCGCATATAGTTCCTGAACTAGACCATGCTCCATTGACATGTGTCTCGCCCTATGCTAAGCCCCTTTCAGTAAGTCATGGACGATTAAATCACCATATCTTATATATTAGGTAGGTACCTGGTAAGGTATTGTACAATACGTACAACTTTCACCCATCTCCCTCCTTCAAACTACACCAGATCCTACCTAAGGTTAGGTAGACCCCCTTTTCTTTTTTTCTTTTTTTGTATGTGGTACTGCTAATTAGAACGTGCCCAAATTTGATGAGGCCATCACGAGCGAGCCATTTATGTCTTTTTTAAATCATTGGAAGAATACAACAACAAAAATAAGCTAATACACCATCTTCCTGGCGTCAGCGGAACGTGCCGGTCACCAGACGCCCGTAGCATTCGTGGCCTTAATGCGTCCCACTTAGGGGGGCGGGATAGATACCCTAAGTTAGGTAGTTGAGTGAAAGATGATGCATTGAGCCAAATCCTTGGGCTGACTCGAGCCAAGTCTCGCTACCAGCTGTTTCTGCTCAGACCTAGGTACTTGATTCTTTTTTTTTTACGGTTAATTTTAAGCACAAGCCATATTTGAGATAGAGACCATCAAATATTTGGTCTGTAAAGCGCCAGTTTTTGGCCCCTGTGGTTTTATCATAAATAGGACTCGATGCTCCATATACTATTTTTCTCTCTTTGGGGCAGCACGTTCCAACTTGAACCGTTCAAACACACAACTAGGTAGAACCCGAACCTCGTCACGATAGGGTGGGCCGAGTCGCGTCAAAACACAAAGCACAAACGAACCCCGGTTTAACCCTGCGGGTTTTACTACTTATTCTCAACTTAAACCCGGGGTATCAGCCCGATTTTTCGTACTATGTAGAAATCTCTCCTCATGATTCGTTATATCACGCTAGGGAGGTGTAAGCCGCGAGGCTCAGGGCCTAGCAAGCTTTGGCCCATCCGTAATGTCCCTTTATCCCATGGATATTTCCCTTAAAGCAACTATAGCTCAACGTACACGTATTTCAACTCCTCCGCATATTTCATAGCGAGAGGAAGCGCTTCCGGAAAACCTGGGGAAAGCAATCTGACAGGAACGTCATATGTAAAATCAAATACGGCCCAAGCCTTTCAGGGTATCTTTACTTCCGCTTCTAGTCCGTCGCGGCTCTCTCCACGTACTTTCACAGAACGAGGAACAAATAAGAAAAATGGGGTGCCATGAGACTGAAATGCATCTTCACGTACATGTAAACTTTACCTCATGTCTTGTTGTTGTTGTTGTTGTTGTTGTTGTTTGGGGGGGGGGGCACGTTGTTTCCATCTATAACAAGCGAACAGAGAGGACCAGATAGAAACATAATCTGAGCCTTAGGACCTTGAACGTATGCTGCGCTGCGTAGTCTTTCAGAAGTTGTGTTGTCAAGGGCTCAATTTGCCCTTCATCAATCATCTGGAATAAATACCTGGTGACCTTCAACGTCATCCAGATAGACAGGATACATCTAGTATCCGTGGCCGTCCATAGGACCATTGAATGAAGGTGGGTCCATGGCCATGAACTCAAGCAAGTCAATACCTCCTACGTTAACTCCCTGATCCGTCATCGTCACATTGGAATTCTCTCCCATGTTCTGGAACAGGCCGGGGCCCGGAGGGAGGTACCACATCTGGTCGTCAGCAGCCCAGTCGGCGCCTGGTTCAAATACATTATCACCCATGTGAGATGATTCTAGAACGTTACCACTATGTGCCGGTGTGGCTGGTCCGAACACCGAAGCTGACCCGGCTGGGTAAGGGAAACTGCCCGTAGTGAGGTCGAAAGGCGTGGCCGACACATTGCCCGAAGGAGTAGATGAGCGCTCTACAAGACTCGCTATTAGTCCTATGCCAAGGATCTGAGATGACATTGGCTGTGATATACTTACCAGGAACATTGAGGCCCTCTCTGAATTTAGTCTGGTTCAGGTAGCCATTCTCGACACCGTTAGCCTGCAGATTTCCGTTCGTAGCCATGACTCTGCTCACCTCGCCATTTTGACGAGGGCTCTTGCCTTCGCCAGAACCTGTCGCCGGTGCGTACTTGAAACGATCTCGGAGTCGCGTTGTTAGAGACTCGAGTAGATCACCGAACCTGGTGCCTAAATGTATATCATCCACAACACAGTTCCGTAACGCGTCGACCGTGCGATCCAAGAGACTGATGCTCACTTCTACATCGGACTTGGGAGCACCCAGGGCGAAGGTCTTCAGCAAGAACATAGCTCCACTGATGATGCGGAAGTAAGTTCGCACGGGGGCGTGCTTGAGGTATCCTTCTTTCAACAAACCTTCAACAACAGTTCGTAGAAGATTCCTACACCCATCCACCACTTCCTTTACGTACTCTTGGTCTTCATGGCCGAAGCCCCCTAGGTGACCAAGAGGGAGGTTGCCTAGATAGTTTTGCGTTTGAGGTGATAGTTGTGGATTCCCTGAGGCGGTATTATTTCCGTGTCCGGTATTGCTAGAGGCCCCAGCATTTGTTGTGCAACGCTCAACAACTGCTTGCAATGCCAATGAGTTGACGTATATCCGTACATATTCATACTCGATTGTTAGTATATGACGGATGTTCTCGGGCATATCGAAACGCTGGAATTCTCTCCACCAGTTCCTGAGAATCGGCTGGAATTCTTTGAGCGCCTTTGTGTAGTTCCCGCTTTGGATGATCTCTGTGGTGTGTTTCCGTGATCGAAACAATCTTTCGTTACCCAGTTGCATGGCATCGCTTACACCTACCCAGCAGTGTATGATTTGATCATCTAGCTCGACGTTGGGTACATAACTGAAGCTGCTAGACATGACCGATTGAGTTGTGCCCGGCGTGTTTCCCTCGTTTGATATCGGGCGCCTTCCGGATAGGGCAGGGTCAGTTTTCCGGATGCTATCAGGAACCATGTTCGTCCAGCCCAGACGGCCAGCCAGCTGTGTTAAGTAGACTAGCAGCAGTCGCTTAATCCGCGTCGCGCGGAGACGATACGCTTCATCCTCGTACTCGGGCCGCGTGATGGCATTGGTCTCCAGAAGCTCATCGATGTCATCGAAAACTCCCAATTCGTAAGCGAGTCCTAGCGCATTGCTAAGAAGCATCCAGCACATACGGTCACTCCTCCATGCAGGCTCAAGCCAGCTCTCGATTCTACGGCCCCCAACGTTACCGCCGGGGCGTTGATCCCCTTCATCATCGAGCTGAGATACGCTGCGAGAGGGAAGCATCAGCTCGTCAATTGCCTCGTCGGGAGGGAAATGGAGCGCGCGAGGATGCCACTCAGTCAATATCATTAACGACTCGATTGTTCCTAACGTACGCAGACTCCCTTTCCTAAGACCTCGCCACGGCGCAGTGCTAGATGTTTGAGACTCGTCGGCACCAGACCCGCAGAAGCCACCACCAAAGGCCTCCTGCCCCCAGAGACACCTTTCAATCATCCTTCGAAGATATCTCCATAGCTCCTCATGGATGGCGTGAGATCTACAATGCCCACCTGTGGCTCTTATACGGTAGTATCTTGATGCGATAGTTAGTAGGGTGACAGTAAGTATGGGCTCCTCGGTTAATAAGGTGCTATGAGAAGCCGGGCTTCGGAAGGTTGGCGGCGATATAGGCGTCATGGGAGATAGGTACTCGTAATAGCTTCACAATAAGTTAGCAAGGTGCGAAGACAGCCGCTGCTATTGACTTACTATACGATATACCTAATGGCCTCCTCTTTTGTGAACCATCCGGCTCTGACAAATCTGAACCTAGACCAAGCCTCAAGCGCTTCTTGATATCCAGCTTCATTCTCAACGTTCAACCGACGTTCCATATCAGCCGCCTCATCGTTCTTAGTTGATGACTGCAGGAGTGGATCAATCAAGTCTGCAGATTTCGAAGTCGTGCGACCAGCCGAACGACCATTATAACCGGAACTATGATCCCGCGGCGTTTTACGGCCAGGAACAGATACGGGCGAGGGCTGGACGACAGAGGCGATGCTTTCGTGGCGCCTGTTTATATCATGCGGACTTTTGGAATAATCAGCGACTCGCTCGTTTGGGAGCAGGCTAGACGGATGTGATATAAAGACGGACCTGTCGGTAGCAGCCTTGTACAGCAGGTCAAGGGCATCGTGAGGCCCGTAGACTTCCTTTCTCATAACGCTCTGCGCTTCGAGGTTTTCCAACTGAGCGTTCGAATCCTCACCGATGTCCGTATAACTTCCTCCTCTGCCGTTCTTCCCGTCTTCGTGATCTGCATTGGGTCGCTTTAAGGGCTGCGTTCGGCCGTTTGAACCGCCGGGAGTTAAGGGTACGTTACTATAAGATTTCTTATCGACGAATGGAGGTGTGCCTTCGGCATGGGCCCGTTTCCGTGCGTTGCGAATAATATAGTCGTCTTCTTGTTCGTCCGCATCGTCCTCGTTCTTACGCTTACGTCTCGTAGCGCTAAAGAAACATTCTTTGCTCTCGCGGCGGCAACGGACACAGGGGGGATCGTGGGGATCGTCTACACTACCCAAGTCACATCTCACCTTTCTCCTCCGGCAAGGGATACAGGCTTGGTATACGCGTTTATGCTGGGGAGTTTGAGACTGCTGCTGGGGCTGAGGCTGGGGCTGAGGCTGATGCTGAAGCTGCACGGGCGAGGGCGCGTGCGCGTGCGCGTGAGGATGCGCCGTGTTTGCGGGGACAGATTGGCGCGATTGCTGAAGGGTAGATGTCATATTAGCAGCGGGTGCGGCGGCATTCTCATATTGAGACATGGTCTGATCCAGTGGTGGTGCTATCGATCTGGTCGGTTTCGGCTCTAGGTAAAGCTCCAGCGCCAACTCTGAGCCCTGACTGCCAGCTCACGCATCAAACACGACGCAGGGAGACCCGGCGTGCGCCGACTGCTGCTCGGCTTACGACGGGATTTCGAGGATTTATATAACAAGGGCGCGGCAGAAAGCAAGAAAACACTCCCAGCTAAGTGGGACGAACCCAGTTCTGTTAATTGGGAGAAGTCTATAATTATTTCTGATCCCTACTTTGGAAAGATTGGTAGACGAGTGAAATGGTCTACCTCGGACTTGCGGGGTTGGGAGGCCGAGAACAGCTTGAGTCCTTGAGGGTCCGATTGAGGATCGTACAGTATGCTACTTCTTTAGTATACAGTACGTACAAAGTCCTACGCGAGGACCAGATGGCCTAGAGGCTAGTAAAAGGTTTGGTAAAGTACCTAAGCTAGGGTTCAGAATCGATACGTCTAAGCTGTCTGTCTGTTTGTCTGTCTAAGGTACAAAGTCGACGGGGCGAGAGACGGGGAACCACAAATATGGGATGGCATAAAGATGGCAAAGTTAAATTCGGGGTTTGAATTGAGACTTTGATTCGATCTTCCCGTTCTCTCTCGTCTTAGATTTGTCTCTGTCTATCTCGGACTTGACGTTTGATAAGCCGCAGCTGTGTGGGTGGCCTATTTTAGTTTGTAATCGGGACAAGGAATTAAATAAAAAGATAAAAAAGACGATGGAGATTTTTGGAGATTGTGAGGATTGTAATGGTATTATTGGCGCTACGATTGGAGCGATTGATAAGTGGCCGGAATCCGGGATTGCACGTTTGCCAATGATTTACTAGAAAGTGTAAAAATTGGGGTGGGATAAGGTGAGATTTGTATGTATGTATGTATGTATTGTATTGTATGATTGTGATGAGAAATGAGAAATTGAGAGAGTTGAGATAGAGGTAGGTATGCATAGGACAACTTTTTTTTTTTTTTTTTTTCCTTCTCCTCGTGCTTGTTTCTCTCTCTCTCTTTCCATAAATTTTCACCGATTACGATATATCAATTTAGGCCAGTAGAAGCCACTCCCTACACTAGCTAAACTTGGTACTGTTAGGTACTGTTTAGTTTAGTCTACATAGTATAGCAAGTCGGCAAGGGAAAAGCCAAGAGCAAGAGAGATCGGGTGTCCCCAGGCTGCTAGGTGAGAGGTACCTAACCTAATGTACCTAGAAGCACTTCCATTCTAGTTAGGTACTATGTACTAGTACCTAATCTTTCCCCTAGCTGCCTAGGTACATACCTAGTACGATGCAGTTACCCATGTACATGCATACCTGTACACCTAAAGTTTGTGCTAAGTTCCAACAGTGTATCTAACGGGCTTCATTACGTAGTGCTATTTAGGCAGGTGAGGCATTGTGAAAATAATCTCGTACGACTACCTACGTACACAGTACTGAGACTGAGCAACGCAGACGAGATTCGAATTTACCAGTAAGTCGGTGAAGAGGTTATATTAATGCCTACACGTACCCGCCTATCAAGTCAATTTGGTGTATATTACTTACCCGAACTACGTAAAGTAGCTAGTTGTCGTCGTCGAAGGACCAATAACGCTTATGCCCGACTTTCCTCATGCAATTGTCGCTGAAAGCGGTAACCATTTTCTACCAATAGAATTTCAGAGTGTGGCTGGGCTGAAGCAGATTCATACGGTCACGTTACCATCCAGCTTAATCAAGTCTGGCCAGCATGATCAGCATGACCCAATTTCAAGATCCCTCACCTTGGTTCCTTTTCCTTAGCTCACCTTTGAGGAAGAGGGAGAAAGAAAGAAAGAAAAAAAAACCTCTCCAGGTCTCTCCGCAAAGCCCCACTAAACAGAAGTCTCCGTAGCGTCTTGTCAGATGATGATCGCTCAGCCTTAAACTTGTGATGCCTGTGATGTCATTCTCAGCTCCACAGCCTTCAATGATTCAAATGAGCCTACGACAGCCCCCCAACACTTCAATGCTTCAGCGCGTACATATCAGGTATCAAGGCATTTTGATATCTCTTAAGCCCGGATAGCACCGTAAGAATACGTGTATGATAGTCGATAACATGGTAAAAAGCTAAACCTTTTTTTCGCATTGTCAGGGAGACTACATAATTGCAGGGTATCTATCGCGATGGATGAAGCGTTAAAACGCAACCATACGCCAAAGGTCACCATTGCCGCCTGCCAACCAATGCCACTATTCATTTAGACAACCGTAAGGAGACGTCTTCTCCTAACTCGTAACGCCAATGCCCAATGCAAATGCAACCTAGTGCTCACCTGAAGATGGAGACGAATACGATAAACATACGAGCCCAGTAATTGATGACGGCGCAAGACCAATAAACCATTCCAAACCATATGGGCTGCAACCCAAAACACATTTTCGACTCCCAAATTCTTAGATCATCTTCAGGTCGACCTGCTTCAGGTTAGTAATCCGTGTATAATTTGGTATAATCTGATATGATCTGCGCATAGGTGTGTGCCTACCATGAAGTCCCAGATCATCTTAGACAGATGGTCGGGCAAGGTGTATAAATCCACGGTGAATTCTCCAGCCTCCATATCGTTCTTTGTATACGTGTCGTCTGTCTTGTGGTCGTGGATCAACTGGATAACGTGAAGGAGGTCATCCTCATTAAGTTTGCCTAGACCTTCAGCCATCTTCTCATAGTCATAGGCCGCCTTCTTTTTCTTGAAATCGTTCGCCTTTCGAGCTTTGGCGGCAGCCTTCGAGTCGTCTTCGTTGGGGATGGGACCAGTCTCGCGAAGAACAGAAAGTAGCGCCTGCGAAGGATTCTTAAAAGTGACCGACTGGATAACTTCATACTTGGGTGACTGGAAGTTGAGGTCGTGATAAACGGTAGTCTTTCCACCCTTCTCGGTAGTGAAGAGATCGATAGACATCTCAAACTCACCCCATCCCTCGTTCTTGCAGGTGAATGGAGGATCGGTAAAGGCTACATACAATCTGGTCAGCCTTGAAACCCGAAGTCACATACACGCGCGATTCGACGCTGCTCACTTTGATGAGTCTTGTCCTCGAATGAAGGATGAAGATTGTAGGTAACCTTGGTAAAGCAGTTGGCAGGATGCTCATTGCCGGCCTGGTCGAGGAGATAGATCTTGACGCTCCATTCCTTCATAGGAAACTCGGGCATAGGCGAGGGCTTCGGACTGGATGCGCATATCGTGTCAGCAGCTATGGGACGTATAGATAAGTTAGCCGCGGGGCAGCTTACATGTTGTGCTGCTCGGTAACGAGCTTGATGGATCGCTATAAATAATATCATCATCGTGTTAGCCGCATCTTGCAATTCCTCATGAAACGCGTACGAGATGTAATAAAACAACAGATATCCCCATCCCCGACCGCGAATATAGGTAAAAAAAAAAATAAGTATACAAGATCTTACCTCGACATGCATCTTGTCAGATTCGAAGTCCTAGGCAATCGAGAGGTGAGTTTTGAGCTACAAATGATTCAACGATGATGGTGGAGTAGAAAGCGCGTACCTGCACATTAGTTGCAGCCTTTTGGTTCTTGGCCTCCAGGTTACTGGCCCGTGCGGCGCACTTCTTACGCGCCATTTTGTGGCTGGAATTCTAATGGTTGTGGCGGGAGACAGTTTACCTAAGCATGGGGCTAGGGCGTATTGTTGTTCCGAGAATGAACCGGGGGGGGGGGGGGGGGGGGGGGCGGGGGTGGGCCGGGGGGGTATTTAAATTTAAAGGGGGGGGTACCTGGCCTGGATAAAGAACCCGGCCAAAATTAAAGGGGTTATTTCCAAGG